AAAAGATTACGCTACGTTCCACCGTGCAAAAAATTTAAGTACCAGGCCGAGCGCAATAAGCCTACGTGACGCTCCACCGTACCGTACATACGGATTAAAGGGACTAGGAAGGAAAGGAAAGGACGCCGAATTCAGGAAACTACACTATGCTCCAAACTCCACGCAATCGAGAGACGTCTGCGAAGATGTTAGGCGAGAGAGAGAGCGAGAGAGAAAGAGAGAGGTAGAGAGAGAGCGCGAGAGAGAGAAACCAAAGAACGATACCCAAGAAAATGATCCCAGCCAAACACACGCACACCCCGAAAAAAATTCGGAAGTAACGAAACGAGGGGGTTGATGGCTGTTGGCTTTGGGCAGAGGGCTAGCGGGTGTTGAGCTGAAAGGCAAATATAGCACTCAGCAAAAGAGAGAGGAGGGCAACAGTGGGGAGACGACTTCTGATGGCACAGGCTGGCAGTGAAGCAATCTGGCGGAATGCGCGCGCGGCGTGACCAGCTGCGGTTTAAAGGGAGCGCGACAGCATAGAAATGGGCATTTCGCTGCCGTTAAAGGAAGCGGGAAGGTAAAATCGGCGCTAATAGTATTGAGAAAATTTTGACAGGTGGCTACCCATTCGGTTGGAAACTTTGAGAGTGTGAGAGAGTGAGTGAGAGTGAGAGAGGGCGGACGAAAGAGAAAGAAAGAGAGACAGAGCGAGAAGGAGAGAAAGAGTGAGAAATTCAAAGAATTCTCATCAAAATCCGAATGAATGGCTAGCTGGCAGAGAACTTTTAGGAAGCTCTTGGGTTTAACCACGGAGGCGCCGAGAATTATAGACCAAGCCAAACCCAGTAATTTGAAATCGGCCGTTCTCTCTCGCTCCGTCTCTCTCGCTCTCTCTATCCCGCTGCATAGCCTCTAATTTGTGTGTAGATGCCACGAACATTGCTGCTCCTCCTCCTCCTCCCCTAACATCATCAGCCGGTAAACAGAAAATGTGGCCCCTACCTGGGCTGTGCTCACCCAGCTAGCAGATACACAAATAACATTTTTACGGTACACATTTGTGCGCATGTTCGAGGCTATTTTGAAGCACAAAATGGCGAAATCTGGTAATACGGAATTTCAGAATTTAATTTTTCATAAAATCAGCAGACATTTAGGTTTATTAGCGTTAAAATTATCAACTTCCGGTCGTAATATCGAAAATGAGATCATAGGAAAGCGGGTATCCTGATCGTCGTATCCTGATCCGATTCGCCGTCGCCGTGCCGCAGTACCCAAATTGGCACACGCTGAACCAGTCATTAGTGTGCCGGAGCCGGTTGTAGATCTGGAAAACGATTGGCGACTTCAAACGGAACCTTGCGGAGATTTAGACCGGAATTTTTTAAAAGCTTTAGATCAGCTTTAAATAACCGGTTCGAATCCGGCTCAGCTCCGGCAAAAGTCCGGCTAAACCCCTTACTGTAAAGTGTTTTTACTCAACTTGGAGTTTCGATTCGGGACTAAGTGCATCTTGTACAGAATTTTTCGCTGATTCCGAATATGTTTTCCAAATTTGCTACGGACCGTTCTTCTGAAAGTTATACGGCAATTATGACCCTAGTTTTCACCAAAATGAAGGTATCGTTATAGTTTTCGATTTTATTCATTAATTACAACGTCAAAATTGACTAGACGTTTGCTCGACAAGCATCTTACAGCTCAAAACAAGCATTTTAGATAAAAAAAATGAAATTTTTATGCAAAAAGCAAAAGAAACGATGCAGGACGGGGGGGCCGAACCGCCGCCCTGCGCTTGGCAAGCGACTACTTTGCCAATGCACCATGGTGCCAACTGGATAGGGTGCTGTCAGAGGGTACTTCAGGGCCCCTGGGAACCATAGCCCCAAACAAGGAATAGTGGGCCAGCGTCTGAATTTTTGGCATTTTTCGGCCTAATTGTTACCAAAAATGATTTTTAAAATAAAAGTCCGTAGCAAATTTGGAAAACATATTCGGGATCAGCGAAAAATTCTGCACAAGATGCGCTTGGTCCCGAATCGAAACTCCAAGTTGAGTAAAAACACTTTACAGTTAGTTTTTTAGCAAATACGCCAGCCCGTTTCCGGTTCATCCGATCAAAGCCCGGATGAAAAATAACAAAATGCGGTTCCTATCCGGTTAGGATCCGCAATAAACCGAAAGAAATCCGGTAAATTTCCGCCCAAGTCCTCTCCTAACTTACATCCGGAACGATATGTGCAGCCGTGTCGGCGCATTGAGCCGCAAAACCACCCATGGTCTTACACCAGCCCTGCACCTCGGCCAGTAGTTGCTCCTGAAAGGGGCGCATGTGAGAGCTTCGGTTTATTCTACCACCTGAAGCTTACTGCATCCTAAACATTTCATTTTCCTACCTTGGAAATGATTGGATCGTGGGCGTAGAGCGCTACTGTCTCTGCGCATATTCTGCACTGTAGCGAGGATGCGTTGAACGGCTCGGAGATGGTCAGTGGGAACAGGGCCAGGAAAATGAGCGCGACAAGATCTGAACAAAGCATTAATGATATGCCTGGCCAAAAAAACGATAGAGAGAGAGAGAGAGAGAGAGAGAGAGAGAGAGAGAGAGAGAGAGAGAGAGAGAGAGCGAAATTACCGTAACCAGAACGAGGGCCGTACAGGAAGCCAGAAAAACCTACTTTTCATTCCAACAAAACTCCGCACCGCTCCAATTTTCGACTAATGCTGAAATCTCGAAAAATCACGGCCGTCCACTAAATCCGGGTTCCCGGGCCTGCTGAAAAGGGAGACCGCGTGTGTGTGCTGGATTCGAGTCAAAAAAGAGGCGCCGCCAGAAGGGGAAGATAAGAAGAGCCGTTGACGACGGACGGTAGGAGAGATTGAGAGAGAGAGGTAGAGAGAGAGGGAGAGAGAGAGGGAGCGAGAGAGAGAGAGCGAGACTTCTGATGACCCCATATCAGCTGCGGGGGTAGGTGCTGAACTATCGGCCAAAGGATGCTGTTGGAAAAAGAGCAGCCCCGGAAATCCTGCACCAATCAAAGAACCCCCGCCCACCTGGGAGTACTGTTCAGCTTCAAGGTATTCTTTTTTATTTCTTTAGCTCTATCTCACCCTCTCTCACTCTCACTCTCACTCTTCACTCGCTCTCCCCGCTCTCCCGCGCTCTCTCTCTGGAGCATAGGGTAACGCATCATTTCTAACTTCCCTCTCCCTTTAAAAGTACTGTAAAGTAGGCGCCTTTTCCCTGCAAAATCAGTCTTTTAAGAAATTTCTCACCAGCAAGAACATCTCTCGTTGAATCCGTCCGTAGTTTGGAGCCTACCGGAAATGGATTAACATGCCGTAATTGATTCTGGAGCCAGAGATGTGATCAGGAACCGAGAATGAGCTCATTCCTCAAAAATGAGCGGCACCGCCCCGACCCAGGTCTGCACGCGCGAGGAGTTGCAGGTATTTTTCGAGATTTGAAGATTTTATGCAAATTATTGCCTTTCTCCCTTCAATGGTCCTTAAAACAACCAAGATTCTCGCCATTTTCAGACGGAACCCCTCGTGCTCCGCCTCACCTCCCGTCCGCACGAGATCGAGCGCCCGCACGTCACCTGGGGAGCTGATGTCGTTGGTGAGGAATACGTATCAGTACGCTACACTACGCTACAGTACTCTACGCTACATTATGTAACTGGACCACATTTAGACAACGAGCACATGGGCAGGCTGAAGTCGAATTGTTGCTGCATCTACACGAAGCCCCGTCAATGGGATGACCCGTCGACGTGGGAACAGGATGAGCACGAGGTACTACGGTAGCCCCAGGGCACTTTATAGGGCTATAGACTACAAAATACATCTCCTTACAGACGGAGCATTGCCGTGGCCACACTCTCCCATTGCCCGGTGAACAGCATAAGGTACTCTTCGATGGTCTCTTTGAAGACGATTTTAAAGGGATAGTGAAATGGATTCGTAGAGAAAAGTGTATTTTAGGGACACGGCTCTGGTTGCTGCTAGAGACGCAGAGGAAGACACGATGAAATGGCCAACAATCGATTACCTACTGCTAGAAGACAAGGAATGAAATGCCCGCCTCCACTCCCCCTCGCTTCAACGTCCCTTTAAAATGTGTTGTGAATAAAAGTTGAAGAATTTCGGAGAAGAGCGAGTGAGAGAGAGAGAGAGCGAGAGAGAGAGGAGGCAGAGAGCAACCGGTGCCGAGCAGCAGTTTTCAGCCATTATCCCGACAGTTCCCAAAATCCCGGCAGGCCAAAATCCCGAGATACTCATCACGCCAGTTTGCCTTCCACTTCCTTGTCGGTATTATGGCTGTCGGCATTTTGGCGTTTTCCGAGTTGCCTATGTTTGCCTTTAAAGCGCCTTTAAAAGATTTACAGAGACCCCGAGATCATTCCGATGCTCCCCTTCCGGTCTTCGCAACGCTCGAAAACACTCCCACCACATTGTAAACGGCAATTTGGCCAATAAAAGTGCTGGCCCGGCTCCGCTCCATAAAATGCACACCCCGCCCTAAACAGCGCTAAATTCCCGGTCCGTCGCCCCGGGGATTGGCCAGACTCTTGGCCCGGTCAGAATACCAAAATACCAGTTTCAACGCGAAGAAGCAGTAGTCGGTACTTTCCCTTCCCTGCTCGCTAAATGACCATACTGGGGGGTGCTGGTAGGTGGTGGAAGACTGTAAAAAGGAACGGGGCGGAGCTGAGAAGCCCCCATCGGCTCGACCCTAGAAGAGGCAATGATCCGGGGATCAACCCCCTTCTCCAACTACTACTCTCCCCTCCCCCGACCCATATCCGGGGCAAGTGACCAAACCAACTGACTTCGATCCCCCCAAAAATCCCCTAAAGCTCCGGGGTGCAAAGGTCCTCCCGATTCACCCTTCCCCAGTACCCCCCGGTGCTCTAGTTTTCGCGAGTTTCATCAAACATTTTGTGGTAAATAGTATTTATCTATTTACCTACAAATTTCTACGCCTTGACCATCATTATTGCCACTTCCAAATGCCCCGCCCACGGTTTCAGGTGAGCGCTACGGTATTTGGCCCACATTTTAGAGCCCTGTCCCGCTTCTCAAAAAAACGCGCTTATTCTCAACATTTTCAAGCGTTAAAATGGTACTTGTATACGTATAAAACGGCATTTAGGCCAAATTCTAGAGTGACATCGCCAAATTATTGTTTTGAAAAGAAAAGCCGAGTAATTTTTATAATTTTATAGCGACGAAAACATCGTAAAAACGCGCGAACTTCCTCTTCGAAACGCGCCCACAAATCTTGGCCTAATGAAGTCTCCGCGTTGTTCTAAAGAATCCAATTTTTTAGATATTTTACCCTGAAAAACTAAAGTTCCAAAACTTGATCCAACTGAAAAGAATACCCGAAAAACACGGTTCTTCTTTTTTTTCTTTTCAAACTGATCAGTTTTCAGCTGATGCTTGCGTGGTGCGGGCTTTTGGCCCTTTGCGCCGGCTGTTTTCCGGTAGTGCCGAGCCCTAGCCCCAGCTCGACCACAACGACAACGACTGGATCGACGGTCACGACCACAACCACGACCACTCCAACTACGACGACAACCACCACTACAACTACAACTACAACTACTACGACCACCGGGACGACGAGTATGGCTTTTTGAAGCTCTAAAAAGCAGAAACTTCTAGGTTGCTGCCCGGCGTTGACGCAATTCATCAACCCGGATCAGACGACATTTGCTGACGGCATCATGACGTTCCAATACAACTCGATCTCGTGTCGGACGACCGTTTCGGCCGTATGCACGTAAGTTAAATATCTATCACTGGTGGCTTCAATTTCAGGACCTGAGTAAACCTCTAAAAAACGAAATTACGTCTCTAAAACGACTACTCAACGCTGGCGGCCCAAAAATTGTCTTTTAAACCTTGTTAGGCCAATTTAGATGTTTTTAAAAGTAACTTAACGCTTACGATGGCATGTATGGTCAATTTGTATAGAAAATTAAGTCCAACATTAACATGTCGTCATCAAAACTTTCGAGCCGAAAATGTCCTTACAGTGCTAAAAAGTAGCAAACAAAAAACAACTTGACAACTTTCAGTCGAGAAGACGGCCTCGACCAACTTGATGCCGCCATCGTCGCGAACAGCGTCGATTATCTGGATTATGGCGCACCGCCGGTAAGCCACTCCCTAAACGATTCCTGGAAAACGACGATTTGCAGGTGACCGTCACTGGCCAGTGCATAGGTGGCCAATGGTTTATGGCCGAGCCGCCTCTGCTCATTAACACACTCGAGTGTTATCTCATCAACCAGTCATAAGCCAACTTGCTAGGCCTTGGCGATTATGTAACGATTATCTTTAACTTTTTTATTCTAATTCCCCACAGTTCCGTTAACCACCTCCAGAATCGATGAAGCACAATCTCGCTTCTAAAATGAAATTGATATGAAACGCTTTTATATTAAAAAAACCCCCACTGATTAAACCCCTCCCATTGCCCTATCAACAAGCTTATTTTCCCGCCTCAGTGCCACGCCAAAAATGTTTATATTTTCGTGTGGCCGGAAGAGCCGGAAAAACGATCGTCGTCATCATCACCATCGATCCAAAACCATCACGTTTTGAAATTCCAAGGGGCTTTTCTAAAATGTGCATTAGAAACCTGCCGCTCTACAATTTTGTGATCCGGGTATCGTCCAATTTCTGTATCGCTATGCCGTATACGGGTGAATAATAAATAATGCACTTTGTATCTATCAACGATTGATTTGTAAATGCAGTGTCGAAATCCCTTGAAGTATTTATTACCGACCATTTGTAAATCACTGTATATCGGGGGTGGGGGGTAGAAATTGCCAAAAAAAAACCCGGCTACCGAGGCCAAGTGAAGCTGGGGGAAGGCGCGGGATGCAAAACAAAAAAGGTGGAAAGGCACAAAATGAAAATGGATTTTTGATTATACCGGGCGGGGATATTGAACAGAGGGGACAAATTAGCGGGAATCCGGCTTAAAACATTTAGAAGCTCGAAAAATCGAGGCCGAATTACCAAAGACCATAAAAGTAGCAGGGGTGTCGCTTAAAAATTTATAAAAATCGAGCTTGAATTATTAAACGAAAAGAAACATATGTATTATTGCTTTGTTTTCCAATCACAGGCGGGCACAAGTATTCAAGCGAATCTTCTTATTCATTGGAAGGGCCTAGGAATGGGGGGTGGGGGTATACCAGCGCCCGTACGTAATTTGGGGGTTAGCGCTCGTTTCGCGGCGCCGACATACCGTTGAGCACGGCTGCGGGGGCAGTGTGGGAGAAAGGTGTGTTGCGCTCAGCTGTACAACTTGGCCATCTCGTTGAGCATGTTGGCGGTGCGTTGGTGGCATTCGGCCTGCTGCTTCAGGAACGCGCCGATGACGTGCTTGTAGTCTTCGATCTGGAAGGATTATTATAGGGCTGCTTCTTTGAAGCAATGTACCTTTTCGCTGTTCAAATGGTTCATCTCGGCCATCACAATGTAGCTAGTGTTGTCGACGCGTTTCTTGATACGGTCTACGTCACTTTGCGAGACTTTGCCCTCGGCTTCACGCAGTTTCCCGATCGCTTGCTAAACGAAGTTCTTATGCACTCAAAATCCGAATTTGGTTCTCTAGCATTAACGGTGGTGGAAAAGGATACAGTTTTCGCGTTTTCTAATATAAAAAAACCTCATAATTGTTATTAAGAAATACAAAATTTCGATAGAATATGGTTTCTATCACCAATCACCAATCAAGTTTGACGAAAATCTCGAAAAATTTCAACTTATCTTTAAATCATATTTCATACCCTTCAAATCTGGCTAAAATAAGCTAAAACATTGCTCAAATACACCTTGTTGCATTACTAGGCGAAACTGTAGCATTTGCTCCCCCACCGGTAATGCGAAAGCTCCCAGATTTTCATACCTTGTGCAAACCCAAAATATCGGGTACATTCTGAATGGTGCCCTTGTACGAGTAGAGGTTCTCGAGCACGGGCTCGATGTCCTCTTTCGTATGCCGGTCGATCTCGTCGCCAATGTGGTTGTACTGGTTGCCGGTGCGGTGCAGGGCTTCGACCATCTTTGCGCTGGCTGAAAATTATGGGTTAGTGGCTATAATTAAAAACCCACCGGCCGTCGCGTCGATCTCGAACGATTTGCCGAGCGATTGGAATGCGGCCGCCATCCGTTGCCAATTTTGTTTAACGGCTAAAAAAATTTATATTTTGTCAAGAAAAGCCAGCCTACGTCCTGCATATAGCTTCTGGAATCCGGTGAGCCGCTCGTGCATCACTCGAACGCTGTCCTCCATCGAACGGACTCCCCGTTGGAATTGCTCCACTTGTCGTTCACTAGAAAATGACAATTAGGCTACCCTTAAAAACGTACACTTCGTGCATTTGCAGCGGTTGTTCCGGGAATTGGACGGTGAATAGGAAGTTGCCGCCGACAAACTAAAGGAAATTTATTTTTAAGATCGGAAAGCGCTACCTCGTCTTTTTCGGCCTTTCTCTTTCCCGTTTTCCATTGTTTCTCGTCGGTGCACGACATGAAATGAAGCCACACCTCGGCGCGGCCTGAAGTTGTTTTTATCGTTTTGAGGCCAAAAAAACTCACTGATCACCGGATGCCGGCAGATTTTATTGACGTACAGCTGGAGGATGTGCTTACGATGGTCAATAAGATCTTCCTCATAGAGACCTAAACCATATCAAAAATTTAAAATTAAAAGAGCCAGCCAACCTGACACTTGCTTCTCGGGCAATGGCGGGATCGGGATCATGATGAACTTGCTTTGCAATTGCTCGTGGAACCAGTCGAAATGCTTATAGCGGCGCGATACCTAATTTTCAGAATTTTTAGCATAAAATCCAAACTCACTTGAATTCCCGTGATGCTGCTCGTCAGCGAATAGGCAATAAATTTCTTCAGGCCGCCCAATTTGGTCTCCTTTTTCGGCTTGTCGACGGTGCACGTGTAGTATTGGTCGACGGGGCGCCAGATGGGGCCATGGTCCTGGAAACATGAGCATGTTTGCGTTTCTTTATAAAATTCTGGCCAAACTAAAATTTTCCCCTTACCGACATGATGATCGCCAGCTTCTCGGACGCGGGGAAATTCTTTTGGGCGTCAGAGAGCACGTAGGATTCCATTCCAGACTTGACGAATTGGGTGAATCTGCAAGAAAAATTGTAATCCATAAAGAAAAAAAAAACGCATACCGATTGATGCTTCTGCTAACTTTCGCATTTTGGGCGGCAATCCCGCTTGTTGTGCTTTGCGTGCGAGCTAACGAGGATTGCGGATGGATTGGAGCCGCTGAAAGCTTTTCGCATAAAATTTTGGCGATTCGGATTGCTCACCTCCTTGATACCCTCCTCCACCACCACGAGCCGGTTGGGGCGCTTCCTGAAAGAGTTCATAAAATTGCAAGAAAATTCTCTACCGGCGCATCATCATCGTCATCCGTCCACTCATCATCAAAGTCGTCATTGGGGGAAACTTGCGACCCAGCGGCTGGCTGTTGGATTGTTTCTAAACCAGAATATTACGTTTTTATTTTAATTTCCATACCATGTCCAGGCGGCGCATTTTGCGAGTAGCTCGGTGGAATAAATGGCGCCGGGGTGCCCCAATCGTCAAAAGTCGATGCCGGCTTGGTAAAGGAGGAGGGCGCGGACGGAATGGACGAGATCGGCGGGACGACCATCGGAGCCGAGATCGACTAAAAGCTTTATAATTTACAGAATTCCATTGTGCGCCTAGCAACGTTACAGTAAGCCCGGCTAGTGCTATAAAACAGCATTGACCGGATGTTCTGGCAATTGCCCTTTGCGCGAAATTCAAGCCCCCCGTCTGCCCGCCCCAGACAATACAAAAGCATTTGCCATCACGTTAGTAAGACCTCTTCCTCCTCCTCCAGCAACACGTTTCTCCCAACTGCGGGTTTCGGCTGGCGCTGTGGGCTGGATAACGGATTTTCGGTTTTGAACGCGGCGCAAGTATGTCGACGCCGCATTTGCTTGGCGCGACGATCGGCCAACGCCTTGGCCACATCGGGGTCCATTTGCTCCACGGCTTTGCGGAGTCCCGAGGTGAAAAGCATAGCGAATGGAAAGACTAAAGAAGTAGCCCGAAATTAGTGCAGTCCGCTACGGTAACCAGTTGCGATGCTGGGTAGAGTGGGCCGGGAGTGCCGCACAGAATTCCCGGGTGTCCCCCTCCTCCCCCAAGTTCCGGGGCAATCGAATTCAACTCCAATCAAGTGGTGCGGGGGATGCGCCTAATTGAATCGGGATACGAGCCTACCAGGTGGATTGCTTCCAGCCCCATTTATTTGTTTTTTCCTTGCCACTAATCTGGAAAAGCAATGTCTGGGGGGACTCACCGGCGGATTGTAGGGCCCAACATAGGTCTCGGGGACGAGGCCCACGTCTCCGCGCGCATTCTTTGCCTCAAGCCATCCGCCGTCGACTTTCTGAAAATATAAATTGTTGAACGAGTAGGGATTTGGTTTGGTTCGTTTAGTTCCCTAACTTTTCTAAGAACAATTTTTGACAAAAATAAATTTTGCAAAAAATGAAAAATTCTGGCAAAAATAATGACACTAATTTTTTGTCTAAATTTTGCGAAAATTCCACAATACGTGTTTCCCGAAATAATGCGATAGATAAGTGAACTCACGTCGCGAATAATGGTCAAAACCTCGCCGGTGTGGACCGTCATCTCGCCGGAGCCGGGCTGGGCATTGAAGTCGTACTCCACCGTCACCTGCCGCATGGCGCTAAAAATATCATTAATCATTCAAGAGGTGATGACATCACTTCAAGAACGAAAAGAAAGGGCCAGAAGTTGAAAAAACAAAGGAGAAACTTCGTAGACAGGAGCTACCTGTCCGACACATTTTTTTTGTAAAAAACAAAAGCTGGAAAAGAACCTAAAACATGCACAGGAGCCGGGTGAACCGCTGACCGGACGCGGCCAGTGCTGTCAGCACATCGCTTGTCCGGCTGAAATCGCGCCGATGAATCAGTTTGTTGCTGCGTTTTTGTATACAGCCGGGGGACACTCACGCTTTTTCTCACCAGTCCCCTGGTCCGAATGACTCCACCCAACGGTCGCTCGTTGTGGCCTGTCCACTGGCGCAACGCGACGGCCGGCCGCGATGGCGCAGAATTCCAATGACCCGAACACCCACGTTGTTCCCACTTCCACTCACTCTTTTCTAAAATGTTCCTTTGAAAATCACGTCTGAATTGATCAACTTTTAATCGGAAAACGACCATGGCCAATTCCACTTGAAAAATGACCCAAAACAATCTTGTCCTTGCCTGTGAGTGTGCATGAATGGCAGATCCATATTTTATGAATTTTCCCGCATCTTGGACATTTGCAGCTTGATTGGCCAGCCAACTTGGCTTGTCTTTCCCAACCATCTTGGTCAATTCCGCTTCAAAGCTTTTCAAAACAGGCTTGTATTGGCGCCACCAGCGCTTTCATTGCCTCCTCTCTACATTTTCTGATCCATTGGACATTGTCAGTTTTTATTCACAAACTTCATTTTCAGTTCCGATGTCACAGTACGGAGGAGCTCCAAAACCGCCCGCTGTTTGGGGTGCCCGGCCGGCAGGTAACGATTCCCCGCGCTTCACATAACCCGATTCTAGGAATGCCAAACCCCGGCAACCTCTACGCGGCGGCCAACCAGCAATTGTTGAACATGAATGCAATGGGTCACCCTGGCATGATGAACCTCAGCGGAATCGTCAACCAGGCGGCCTTTGGTGGCCCGCAAGTCTCCACGGTATTGTTCTGTCATTGAGCCGTTTCTATTGATGTTTTAGGCTATGGGCCTCGTCGGCATGAATCCGCTGGCCGTTGCTCAGGCACAACAGGCCCCACAAGCTCGAGCGCCACAGCCAACTCAACAAATGCCCGCGCAAGTCCAGCCCGTCGCCGCCAACAAAAGCCAGCGCACCTTCATCGGTCGTGTCACCAAGATGCACGACACGTACGGCTTCGTCGACGAAGACGTCTTTTTCCAGTCGAAGTGGGAATTATTAAAAAAAATTTCATATACTTGCTTTCAGTGTCGTTCGCGGTCCGATGCCGCGCAGCGGAGATAAAGTCATGGTTGAGGCCAACTTCAATCCGAGCATGCCCTTCAAATGGAATGCCTATCGCATTCAGGTTGGAGGAAAGGAAGTATCGTCTAGTTTTTCTTAGGTCATGAACGATGGCGCTCCGCAGCAACAACCACCAGCACCAGCTTTTGCTCAGCAACCTGCCTTCCCTGCGAGACGTGAAACTCCTACTGGACCCCGTCAATCGCAGTGGGGCCCGCCGGATTCTGGCAGGAACTCTGCCAACTTGCGCCAGAGAAGCCCTCCACCAGCCCGTCGCGCTACTCCGCCTCCGCGTCGCTTCTCGCCCTCGCGCCGGCGTGATTCTCCTCCGCCTCGCCGTTCACCACCGAGAACGTAGGCTTCCATGGAATTTGAATTATCATTGACGTTTTTCAGACGCTCGCCCCCGCCACCTCGTCGCAGCTCTCCGGTGAAGCGACGTGAGCCTTCGCCCCGACGGGAGCCACGCGAAGATCGGAAGCGAGAGCGTGAACGTTCCCCTCCGCCGACGCGTACGGGCAGCGTTGTTCCTTCCAGTCGACGTGATTCGGCCTCGCCTCCTCGACGCCGCCAACGTATTATCCCGCGTTACGTATGCAATCTGCCCAAGCCCACACCAGTCGGTTCGTCTAATCCGAAAGCTTTGTTGACCTTCTATTAAGGCAATACCACCGCCATCTACCTGAAGAAGCGCTACACACAGATCTACGTCCCCTCCGACTTCTGCGATTTTCGTGTTGACTGGACGGCGGTGTCGGCCAGCAATTTCCTGGACTTCACCTATCCGATTCAATTCCACGTGCTCCAAAAGGAGGTTGATCCTCTTGAGGAGCTGCCGCCGCTTGAGCCGGATGATGCTGACCATCGTTACCAAGTCAAGGTAGGCTTTGATAGTGGATGACTATACGCAACTTTTAGGTTCTTCTACTCGCACACGCTGGTCGCACTGCGATCAACCAAAAAGCATACGGCCTAGCAAAAGACGGTGCTTTGGATGACACCTACGATCCTCAGGACTTGTTCAAGGGCATTTCTTTCCTCACGGGTTTGTTTTTGGATGAAGCATACAAGTTCATGTTTTTAGGTATCCGAAACAAGGAGAACGTTCCATTGGGTGGCAGCTACTCTCCATCGCTCGACGGTCCCGACCCACTATCGCTGGGCACAATGATCAAGACGGCTGTTCGATGCGTGAAGGCACTCACTGGACTCGACCTCTCCAATTCTGCCCAATGGTGAGTGTTATCAGTGTCCTGTGGTCTTCTATGGGGTGAAATCATCGACACATTGCGGACACTTCCTCTCCAGCAGCCATCAATTAGGTGCAGCAATTATGGGCTAACATCTGCTCGGAAATCTGTGGGATCGTGCATACTTGAAAATCCGGTCGAGCCTCTTTTTATTTGGTCCTCGGCCCACACATGATTCGGAGGCGTCGCAGGTCGTGCCGTACCCCTCTCTTTCTCGCTCGTCTCTACCCACCCGCAAAAATTCTCTCAGTGGTCCCTGAATATGCAGCGTGAGACGCCGTAGGGGTGGTGTCTCACTTGAGTGTGCCTATCATCTCGTTTTAATCGCAGGTTTCAACTTGGCCAGTTGCGCTACTTCCGCACGGAGAAGGACCGCCTCGACCGCATCACCCTGCTGCTACCAACTAGCGCCGAACTGCAGCCCACCGACGAGCAGTTCGCTGCCCAGTCGGACGCACTGCGTCAGCAGCTCGCTGGACGGTTGGCCGCCCTTGAGGCGCCTTCCATTGCAGAGCCGATCAAGACGAGCGAACCCGCCGCCGCCACCACTACAGCCCCGAACCAGGAAAGTCTTGTTGCACTGGACCGACGCCGGCGGTACAGTGCTCTTTAGTTTTTTTGCGTGCCTCATAACACTCCCACAAACACTGGTGCTTTTAACTTCTCGGCTCGCCAAATATCACGGCTATCCCCTTCAGAGTTCATCAATTTTAGCCGTTTCATTAGGCAGCGCATTTCTTTCGGCAATAATTGCATGACCAGCACGGTGCTTGGTGTTTGCTGTCCATGTTTGTCCCTTCAGTCGGCTAGCCGTTGTTCACACCGCTTTTCCCTTTTTATCGATTTCGTTGACTAACCCCGGTTGAGCATTGCGGTAAGTTTGTATACGAAGCAGAGGTGTCTTAAAAGGAGAATTGTGTTGGTGAAAGTGTTCTGCGGTCCGGGGCTCAATTCCTTGTTTTAGGAGACAACCACGCCATCGAAAGATGTGGAGATGGAAGATGAAGGGGAAGATCCGACACATTGGAGCAAGTTAGACATCAAGACCATGAAGGTATTAACGAATTTGTCAATTATTATTTTTCAGGTCGTTGAGCTACGTTCTGAATTGGCCGCTCGAGGGCTTGATTCGAAGGGGATCAAGACCCTGCTTGTGCAACGTCTCGAAGAAGCCTTAGATAAGGAGAAGGAAGCCGATGGCGGTGAGCCACCTGCAGAGGAACAGCCGGCCGTAGAGAAACCCGAGGAGAATACCGAGGAAGCTTCAAAGGTCACCGAGGTATCAATTCATCTTAATATATATACTTTATTCAGTAGTTGAATAAGAGTGGGGAGTGGGCAATGTGTGGTGCCAATGGTTCAGAGGTTGTATAACATGCGGAAACAAACGGGGGAGGGAAGAAAAGATCACAGAAATTGGGACAGGTCCATTTTTTCTAAAGTTACACGAAAGCTCTTTGCATTTCCCAATTGACCTTCTTTGAAGACCCTAGGCGGGAGCTTATTCCAGGTTTTCGCAACTCTACGCGAGAAGAAAGAACGGGGGAAACCTTGCTTACTATGGATTCTCTTCACTTGAAAAGCATGGGCATTCCTTATCGGACGATTTGTGCATTCCAAAAATTTCTTCATTTCTTCTTCATTCATCTTCATCTTCATAAAATAGTTAAAAATTCTTAGGAACGCAAAGAAGGCATCAAGCCGGCTGAGGAGACCGAGACGCAGAAAAAGGCCCGTGAAGAGGAGGAAAAGAAGAAGAAAGAGCAGGCAGAGAAAGAACGAGCTGAGAAGAAGGCGAGCTTGGAGAAGAAATTCAGCTACCCCGCCGAGCCAAAAGTATAGAATAACTTGATTCTGTATAGGGAACTGTTTAGGCTTTTGTCTGGCCACATCGCGAATTCAAGGGCGGCAAATTCGACTGCAAAGTCGTCCCACTGAAGGCTTTATTGGACTATCGCCCCGAAGACAACAAAGAGCACCAATTCGAGGTGAGTTAATCTTTTCTTTAGGAAAAACTAGCCTTTAGGCCTCCCTATTTGCTGAGTCTATCAAGGAACTCTTCGAGCGTCATTACGGTCAAGTCATTGGCGATGCTATTGTCCGCGCCAACGATCGTGAAGAAGAGGTACTTGTTTTCGTATGCCGTTTATATATTTTTACAGCACAAGAGACGTCAAGAAGCGTATAAGCCGGACCCCGCGGAGGACAAGGAAAAGGCCGATGCTGATGTGGTGGTTGTTGAGGATAGCAAGAAGGAAGAGAAGAAGCTCGATTTGAAGCCTCGCATTCAGAATGTCAAGCTCTTCGAAGCCTTCGCTTTTTACGACCCTAATCTGCTCGGGTGAGTTACTATCGGCCATTATAAAGTAAATTGAATTAAAGTGTTGCTGATAACCGGGGCAATCTTGGTTTTTAGATATCTCCAAGAGAGTGATCTCGAAGAGATTCTCAGCGCCACGCAACCTGGATACAACCGTTCGGTCGTCAAGAAGATTGCTTCCAAGCTCAGCCGCCACGACAAGGTCAACTACCGCGCCCTCACCGACCAACTGCTTGACAAGGTTTGTGACTTTTCGTGAAGCTAAAACTTGTTGCAGGACGGAAATGTTCGCTTCGTTCCTGGGCAACTCGACGAATCACCGCTCGTGACCCTCATCAACGCATTTGAAGGGCACATCAAAGATGAGGAGGCGTCGACACAAACAAACGTAACTAATGCTCGATTTTCATTTATGCGTTCCTAGGGCACATCATCCGATTCCGGTGTGGTTGTTATCGACGGATGTGTGGTCAATGTCGAGCAGAAGCTGGCAGAGATGAAGAAACTTGATGCCGAGAAGCAAACCGCCCTCCAGAAACTTGCCCAAGCCGAGTCTACTAACAGTATGTTGCATTTGATTGTATAGCATCGGCAATTTTCAGAGACGCTGAAGGAGACACGAGATCATCTGGAGAAGAGGAAGAAGCGTCTTGAAGAGGACGTCGAGCGCTACAGAAGGAAGAAGGACGAGGCGGAGAAACACTTGAAATCCGCGACTGACGATAGCGCAGGCGTCCGAACGGCTCTCGTCGATGCGAAGAAGTTTGCCGAGAAGCTGCTCGACGCGTTGAACAAGGGAATGCCCGAGGAGAAGAAGAAGGTAAGATTCATTGCCGGCCGAACTATGATTTATGATTTAGGAGGAGAAGAAGGAAGAGAAGCCGGTGTTGAATGGCGCGTCGGACGTTACCCAGGAGGTGTGTATTTTGACCCTCTTTCCATCCATGAGTTTTGTTTAGTTGGACGACGACGAAATCGTGTTGGCCGATTCGGTCGGCGATGAGAAGATGGACACGGCCGCGATTGAGGCGAAAACGGAAGAGGAAGACATCAGCCTGGAAGAGATCTCGGCGGCCACGGAAAATGGCAGTGCTGAAACCGTTGCCTAGACATTATTCTTCTTCCCTTTGAACACATTGCCTTATCCACACCCTTTTGAAACGTTGTTCCTGCCTTATCCCTGTCCCTGGTCCCGGCCCTTTCATTTCCCCCATATAATACCCTTGGATCTCTAGGGAGTTAATTTATTGGATTCACCTCTCGGTTCACCCCACCAGTTTCCCTCCACTCTCTCGACCCCTTAAACTTTGATGGCCTCACCTTTCATTGCTACCTTTGGGGATAAATTGTTGTCATTTGCCGAGAAATGCTAGCGTTTGAATGCATTTCATTGCGGCCTCGCGATTAGATGCTGCCGAAGGGCGCCATGTCAGTGCCGCATTTTTGGTATAACGATGGCGTGTTTTTAATAGTAGTTGTGGGCAGGCCTGGACGCGGGTCGGTCCGCGTCCAGGGTAAACGCCCCCCAAGGCCGGAAAGAGTCGGTGGAGAGGAGCGGGAGCAGACAGGAGAGAGGGGCGGCAATTAGTAAAGTTCGAGGTGGGGAGGTGGGGAGGTGGGAGGTGGGGAGGTGGGGAGGTCTCGGGGAGGTGGTTTTGAAAATAACCGTTTTTTGGCGCGTTTCGTACCAATTAATGTTCGTAATCGATTTATAAATGTTTATTGGTGTTTTCTGAACATTATTAGAGGGTTTTGGTAAAATATTTTTTTATTATTAGGTTAGATTAAGGCAAAAGGGAAATCCTTGTAAAGAGCTGGGAAATTGAAGAAAATACATCGATTTCACGCTGTTTCTTTACAATATATTATAAAATTATAATGATGTGTTGCATGACAGGTTTTTTAATGCCTAAGGAATAACTTCTAGCCTTTCTAAGTTACCTAGTAAGAAAATAACGAATAATCTTCTATTTTGCGTGTTTTCACTCGTTTATCTTCGTCTTCATAATAATTCCTTCTTCCGGTTTCTTTTTCATCCTTCTTCTCTCTTATAACTACATTAACTACATTAACGTTACTTACCTTCTGCTAAATTAAAAGCTCCGCAGGCTTTTAATTATTTATTTTTACTAGTTTACAGGCTTTACTATGTGTTAGTTGTGTTACTGGACTGGACGTTTTTAAACTAAGCCTCTTGCAACGATCAGTTAAGCCTAAGCCTGGGCTTAGCTTCACATAAACGAATTGTAAGGCTAGTTGCGCCAAGCTAAGTCTTTTTAACCATTCTTTTTTCTATAGGTCAAAAACAAGTTTGGATGAGCAAAAAAAACTATAAATAAAAGTCAGACGAACCAAGGCAACGCATTTTAATCGTTGCTTTGATACTAAAATCAGTTCTAAAACTAAAGAATCTTGAAATAATGCGCAACTAATCTATAGTATCAAACACACGTTAACAATTTTAGATGGATCAAAGGGTTTTAGTTTTTTGGTGATATCTAAAGCCTGTAAAGTGCAAACCTAACACTAAACCATTGCAAATAAAGAATTCAGAAGAACGAGAGTAAAAGAAGGAAGAATCGAGAAAGCCTGTGGAGCTTTAAATTTAATTAAAGGTAGATAAAGTAGTATTAATAGTAAGTAAAGCTAATGAATGTAAGAAAACAGAACCACGAAGGGCAAGAAGGAAGAGCGAATCATTAGGAACATAGAAATAAACGATTGAAAACAAATAAAAGATATAATTAATAGTTATTTTCTTACTAGCTAACCTATAGGAAGAAGTTATATAGCTATAGAAGTTATGTGCAAGCGCTGTATAGTAGAAAAAACCTTGCAAAAGTAATAATAATTTTAATTTTATAATATATTGTAAAGAAACAGCGTGAAATCGATGTATTTTCTTCAATTTCCCAGCTCTTTACAAGGATTTCCCTTTTTGCCTTAATCTAACCTAATAATAAAAAAATATTTTACCAAAACCCTCTAATAATGTTCAGAAAACACCAATAAACATTTATAAATCGATTACGAACATTAATTGGTACGAAACGCGCCAAAAAACGGTTATTTTCAAAACCACCTCCCCGAGACCTCCCCGAGACCTCCCCACCTCCCCACCTCCCCACCTCCCCACCTCCAGGGCCGTACCTGGGCCGAAATTTCGGGGGGGGCAGGACCGAAAAAAATTTTTGACGACCTCCCCCCCGGTCGACGCTTTTGTAAAATGGCGGAGAAACGGTGTAAAAACTCTAAAAACAGCGCCGCAGGCGAAATTTTTGCAAAAATGGTTAAGAAAAACCCTGGGATTCGGCCAAATCGCGGCAAAAAATGCACCTTTGAACCAAAATTGCGATTCAATGATTGAAAAAATGAGCGCCGCAGGCAAAAATTTTTGAAAAATGGTGTTTCTAGCACTAAAAACCTACTTTCGAACAGCTATAAAAAGCGCCGCAGGCAGAAAAATTTTCCAGAAAACGATCATAAGGGTCCCCCTGGTGAACTTTTCGGCCTTCGGGCGATTGCGGGGCGGGGGGGGCGGCTCGCCTGGGGCGGCCTGAGAGCGCCCCAGGCAGCAAACTTAGCGAAAATTGCGATAAATTTACTGAAAAAACAGCGCCGCAGGCTGAAATTTTTGAAAAACGGTGCCTATAGGATAAAAAAATAGTGTTAAAGAGCGAGGAAAGAGGCGCCGGAGGCAGAAATTTTTTGAAAAAAACTGTGTCTATATAACAAAAATAAATAGCGTTTAAAAGCCATAAAAAGGCGCCGCAGGCAGAAAAATTTTTGCGAAAAAAATCATAAGGGCCTTATGCGCTTTCCGGGCTCGGTCGATTTTGGGGGGAGGTCTATTTCTCCTCACTCTTTATTCTTGTCGAGGGTGCCGTGAACAGGCAAGCGGTCTGCCGCGCTAAGTTACCGTTAGTAACCGGAATAAAGTGCTTTAGCAATACGGGTTTCTGCTTTACATTGCCCTGTATTCTCCCTGCTTTGGGCTTTCTATCGCTATATAGATCATCCCGATCCGTTACTTCTCCATGGAGTTACCGCCGTATCATTATTGCCTATTTTGGGCCTTTCCTCCAAATATTAGCCCATTAATGGTGCCAAAATAATCTCCTAACAACACCCAACCCCATCTGCCACCCTGACATTAGTGCCAAAAAAATGCGGGAAAATTCAAACTTCTAGATCAGCAGCCCCCTCCATGGGGGCAGCAAAAATGATGAAAAAAAAAAACATAAGGGTACTACCTTATGTACTTTTCGGCCCCCCGAGGATTTCGGGGGGGGCAGGCTGCCCCCCCTGCCCCCCCCCCCTCGTACGGGCCTGCCCACCTCCCACCTCCCCACCTCCCCACCTCGAACTTTACTAATTGCCGAGAGGGGCCGGGCCGGCCCGCGTCCAGGCCTGGTTGTGGGAACGGACGGGCCGATAGTGTCTCGGCTAATGGACTGCCTCGTACCCCGTCACCCTCCGGGCCATATTTCTGCAGCCACCGCACGAAATCTCGTGCAACCGCGTGATATTTCGTATTTTCGAAGATGGTGTGCTTATTGTCTTGCATGTGTGCGGGTCTCTCCAGATTCTTTATTAAAATTCGTCGACAACCATACACACAAATACAGGAAAATCGACAAGCCCAATATCGTCATTTCGGAAAACATTTTCAGGTACACAGATCATGGCGGCGGTCTAGTCCTCGTTAACCGGCAGAATGTCGTTGTGCTCGTGGAAGTAGCCGGACGCCTTGCGTTGACGATGCACACGGACACGCTCGGTGGGTGTGAGGCCCCTAAACTTTGAGCTCGAGATATCACATCTTACATTACCCATAATTCGTGGCCGGGTTCAAACCCGACACCGTAGGGGAGCCTTCGGGGGCGGCGAACCCGGGCTCCGCTCCCTCTTCGGACCGACCGGCTAAAGATATTCGACTTTAAAGAAGGCCGATGCGCACTACCGGCTTGCATCCAGTCTTTTGGCCCTTGGCCGACTTCTTTTTGGGGATGGAGTCGGTCGGAGCATCAGGCACTCGAATGCCCTTGAGAGCAGGCAGTGGCATCAGAACGAGCGGGTTGCAGGGGTCCGCTTCCTCATACTAGAAGAACAATAGTGCCAAGGTGAGGAAACCAACTCGCTCTTTGATTTTAACGTATTCCTTTCGCAATTGCTTCTCATTGGGGCCGCTTTTTTTCGACTACATCGATCGCATTCCTGCTTCAAGCGCCGCAGATCGGCCAGCACGGCCTCGCGTTCGCCATCTCTGTATGTCTAAACAGCTTTACCGTAAACCGCATTTCCTTTAATATAACCCCCAAAATATTTTTTTTCAAAATTGGGTGAAAATTCTATAAATACAAAAACGTTGCTGTTTCAGCTTTGGACTATGTAATCTGCACCACTAAGACTATTATAACTACTCAATATCATAAAAAATATAGCACTCCCTCTACGAAATGACTAACTTAAATTACTAAATTTCCGGCATTTTCAAACACTTTTTTCACTTTTTTTTTGAACCTTTGCTACTTAAAATTTCGTTAAAACTTACTAAAAACAATCTCTCACCTGGCTGAACATATCCGCATGTGGCTCGGCGCGGTCGAGGCCGATGTTGGCACGGTTGATACTGGCCATCGCAATTCCCTCGTAACTGGTGTTGGTCGAATCAGGGCCCGGTGTCGGGAGAGGGTCTCGACCAGCGACTGGATGGCCTGCTTGCGGCCTCCCGCTGGCCGGTGTCAACGCCACCTCGATCTAGAAACATAACCCATTTCTGGATCACGGATTCGTACAAACCTCCTGTATGCGTTGCCGGTGGACGGCCTGGAAACGGTTCGCGCTATTTGCAAAAGCTGTCAACTAAAAAATAATTGGAGAAATAGTTGCAACTTCGTTTACCCGTTCAGCAACAGCCAGATTGCTCCAGATCCATGACCACAATGCGGTGAGGTGGGACAACCAGGGGGATGGGGCCATCTCGGGGCCTCCGGATGGATTTGTGTGAAATAGTTTATGCATTAAAAAAACCGGGCAGGGTAATATATTATCGGGAACGGATGCAAATAGGGGTCGACCTCCGGAATCGTGCTTCTCTTCAGTCAGGAAATCTTTCATCTGTTTTGAGAGTTATTCGTTTAGAGCCTTCATCTTGTCGGCGTTGCCTGGGGAGCATTAATAAATACTGCGTGTTGCCTAAGCCTAAGCATTAAAGTATTGAGCTACATCGATTTACACTTGATACTTTGTTTACTGCGATCAAAATTCTTTTCAAATTCGCCAGAACCTACATTCAGGTACGCCGTACAGTTAGTGCACCCTTTGAAGCTACGGGTTTCGTCGCTGGCGGTGTAAGACTGCATCGTAAGTGTCGTCGGTTCTTGGATCAGGAGTGAAGAGGCAAATGACTCATGCTCATGTTCGAAAGCATTTTGTCAAGAAGCTAGCCCCAAAATTGTTACATTTTTGAAGGAAGCCAGCTCAAAAATTGTTACATTTTTAAAGGGATCGGCTCAAAAATTGTTACATTTTTGAAGGAAGCCAGGATCAATCATACCAAGGGTGAGATGGGAACGGTTGGCGGGAAGGGACTTTTCTGTCCTGACGGATGTCTGTCCTGAATTCGGCCTGACGAGAAATCCTCATTACAGAAAACACACACACACACACACTTTTCTCGCTTATATGATAGTTTATTTCATACACTAATACTAATAGCCTCACCTTTCGTTGCTACATTTTTTTTTTGGGGGGGGGGGGGGGGGGGGGTAAATTGCTGTCATTTGCCGAATTTGGGATCCCTGGAATGCACCTTATTGCTGCCTAGCGTTAGCTGATGCGGAACGGCGCCTTGTGAGTGGGCCATCTTCTTCGGTTTACAGATGGCATGTTTGTAATAGTAGTTGAGCGGGGGGGGGTGACACGGGCCTATGGTGTGTCGGCTAATGGGCTGCCTTCGCATGCAAATTTCACCGGGCGTGCTCGGGCGAGGTAGATGGGGGGCGTGGCTTTGTGCAAGGGGCTACACGCCTGGTCAACATTGTCCCGAAGGCTGATGGGATGGAGCCCGGCTACTACAAATTTGGCGTATGCTTTATGATGTCGGGGCTAATGTTCTGGCACAGGGGCTAGTTATACCGCTTCACTTTATGGGATTTTTGGGGTTGAAAACAGTTAACCTATTTTCAGCTTCTTGATCCAACTTCCTTACCTTTCCACAAAAATTTTTATCGTCTAGCTATTCGGAGAATTGGTCGATTTGTATGCTTATCGAAAGCTTCGAAAATACCAGAAAACGGCGCTTTATTTTTTTTTGCAAATGGCATTTTATTTCTCTTTTTAACGATCCTCTGCTTGAAAACTGTAACTTTCTACGAGATCGCCATCTAGCTTGCGGGTTTCACAGGAATTTATCATTTAATCTTATTACTTCTTAAGAGCATTTTTTTCGTGATTTTGAGATCTTTCGAATGATATAAAATTACCCGTTCGAGCTTCCTCAAACTCGCTAGAGGGGGTATTTTTGTTTGAGGACAACCAAGACTTTGTAGCTTGAATTAATTCGATGAAAACCCGGAAGTATTGCCCAATTTTTTTTCAGGAACACCTTTTGCCCCCAGGGTGGCTCCGAAACCCAGGAGAGGGGTTAGGTTAGGTAGGGGCGGGTCTCCCCCACTTTAGAGCCTCCACCTCCTCCTCCTCCTCCTCCAGCCGAACGAAGAACCCCACTGCCAGCCAGTGAGAGCCATCCACTCGGCCACAGGGCCCCGTCACCGACGACTTGATGGCCGCCAGCCATTTTCCACCCAATTCGGCGTGCGGGGCTCTGCGTATGGCCTTTCCTCGAAAAAAAAAGGGTTAACCCCAGTGCGAGAGGACAGCATGTGCTCTCATTTATACCCAACTGGGCCCCCATCTATAGGGCCCATCCCCCCGTCACCTCACCCTCCCCCCCATAATTCGACCCATTTTTCGCGTGCCCCCATTTTAGGGGGGGCCCCCGCGGCCGGCAGCCAATTTTGGCGCATCGTCGTGTTGGTGTGGCGCATTTCTGGGTTGTTGTGCAATTTTTATTGATTGGATTAATTACATTTTATTTTTTTTGAGAAATACTACTATCAAAAAAATTAAATAAAATTAATACGATTGTAGATTACCAACATTTATCATGAAGCTATCTATCACGTGCCAGTAAAATTTACTTATTTACTTATATTGCATTTAAGTTAACGATAATAATAATCTAACGATATAACATGAATTTTAACGGCGTTAAAGAAATTTAATAATTGTTTTTTTTTCATAGCAATGGTTTTTGGCTTTTTTTTTGCTTTTTCATGTAATTGAAAACGCTAGCTTTATGCAAAGTTTCGCTTCTTCTTCTTTTCACTCGAAAGCAAATTCGTTAAACACTTTTAAAAGTAAAAATTGCGCATTTCTAAGCGGAAATTGAGCAAAAACAGCGTTTCGATCGTTTTCATAAATCCACGATTTTCCCGTACGAAAATTGATCCACAAACCCCATAGAAAACTTATTTTCAGTTTTCGCTGGCAATGCCGTATTCTTAGCTATTTTTCTTTCAATTTCAAAAAATTTCCAACAACAGCAATGCCCTGAAAAGCCGATCACAACAAGCGGCCAATCACCCTTTCAGACTATGTGAGCCAATGCCCGGGTCAAAGCTGAATCTACTATTCTTGCTAGTAAATGCCGTCTCAGCCGTGCACCACCAGTTGACCGTGCATAATGGGTCGGAGGTTTGGGCGTAATTTTAATGCTAAAATTAGTATCGCTAGGTGGAGCTGCGATGTCCACCGGCCGAGGCTTTTATCCGGACGAACATGGCCCCGGATTTTGAATCACCGCAGTTGGTCCGTTCGCTCGAATGGCAGAAAGATGGGACGACGGTGGCTAGATTCAAGGTGGGTCCCCTTTTTGTTATTTTCTTATTCTTATTTTTATTTTCTGGTTTTACTTGCTTCATTTTTCTTCACCGTTTCAAGTTTTTTATCTCACTCTTCTACATTTTTCGTTAGAAATTAGTCGTTAAAGTGCCATTTTTCATTTTTGAAAACCAGTCTAAAGCCTAGCAAAAAGGGTTTTGTTTTCGCCCCAGGCCGGCCCCCAAATCGCCCATTGCCGTACCCGGAAACGCCGAAATTTATGCGCAATTAGAATTGCTTCTTGTGGCGACGTGCCAAACGTGTTTTTCATGACTTGCTTTTTCTCAAATTCCAGGAATTCCCAACGTTTTTGCGTTTCTATTCCGGCCAAAAACTCTCGCCGCAAACGAATTACCACGGCGATAATTTTTCCCCCAGAAAATCCATGTGTTACCCCCGGGTCCAACGCCTCGAATTGGTTTTCGAGCAGCTCCAAACTCTTGGATCCACCCTGGGGAAATTTTGTGTGTATATCTTCGCTACCCGGGGGCGCGGGAGAGGAACTCTTTTTCAGGGGGCCCAGGGCCAAGTTCGGGGGCCCAAGTGACCCATTGACGCCGGGCAATTCATAAAGCCGCGCTGCCCTAGAGGACCCCCACACGAAAAGAATTTGAGGGAACGCAGCAGAAGCCGTCGGGTTGTCAGGATTTCGGCGACCCGGAAAAATAATCATGAAGTGCATAAGGCTATTTAAATCGGAATATGTGACTTATTTGACATAGTGCTTTGTTGGTGTTATTGTATTATCGGGGGGGCTTTCTTCCTTAGGGTCCAATTTTCCTGGTATAAATGGTTTGGCTGTTTTTGCTATGCCTTAGCGCAAAAACTTCTCCCACTTTACACATTAAAGACATTTTAAATTCAAATATTTCGATTGTTTTTCATCAAAACTTTAAATTTAAGCTTTTTTTGAACGTTTTTTAGCGTTTCAGAAACAAAATAGGTTTTCCTGAGCTTGTGCGAGGGTTAGAAAACCATCAGTTCTGCACCGGGACTGGATTGTCGGTAAATCGGGTGGGCCCTCTCGGGTAGATGGCCCGGTGGGGCCCTTGACCCTGTAAGGTGGGCATGAAGCCCCTCTCAGATCATAGGGGACCCATTGTCCCCAGGGCCACACAGCTGCCCCCATCTCATCGCTGGGCCCTAGACTAATTGGCATGAAGTGGGGGCCCTACGACGGTAGCTGGACGGTTTGAGGCCCGGAAATCAGGGTTCAGAATGTTCTATCGTTTTTGTTGGTTTTTTTAAAACAAACGCTGGGCCCGTTGGGTATTTTCAATTATTTTCAGCGGGTGTTCATGCTGAAATTCGTCTCCAGAATAGGACGTCCCGGTGTTACTGCCCCTCTATCGGGGCTAGCCGAGTTCAGTGGATGGCCTAATCGAATCGTTGGCTGTGGAGAAGGAGGGGGGAGGCACTTGTGCCACACGGGTCGCTTCAACCCGCCTAGCTAGGTGTCTCTCCAACGAAACGGGCTACGCGAAAAAGGGGATGGGTCCAGAAGTGGGCCCTGCTCGAAAGGAACCCAAGGTCCCAAAGTTGCGAATACCAGGCCCGGTTCCAGTGCGTTGAGGAACCGATTAGATCATGTAATACCTGGACTAAAGGGCGGTTAAGGTATGCCTCCGCGAGACAAGGAAAGTAATAGATAGCGATTGCGTCATAGATAGCGATTTTGCGCCAATGAAGCGGATTGAGGGACAAGACGTTACCTCACCCACCCGTCATAAAAATGAGGCTGTTTCAAACTTTACGCGGGGTTTTTTACTGGCGTAGTTACGTTCGAAAACTGAACGAGCAATCGGCTAAAAGATTACGTCATGAAAATTCAGTGCGCGGCCAAGTTTTGTCCTAGTTTTTTTCAAAGAGATATCCATAATTTCGTAAAGTTTTTCAACCGCCTCATTCCTTTAGCCAGCCGTTAGCCCCAAATGCCTTGGGGGAACCATTTTCGGGCGCGCCGCCGGGGGTTCATTTAGGGAATGCGCTTGGTGCTCGCCCCGGCCACCATTCTGTTTGTGCATGCTTATTTGTGGAGGCATAACAAGGAGGAGACGGGGGACAGACAGACAGACAACCACAAAGAGACAGACAAACCGACGAAGAACAGAAGGGGGTACCGCCGCCGCGCGAATCTGATACACCCATGAGCGCCTTTTAGTCACCCACATGGACAAAACGAACCAAGGCCATGGGACAACACCCAACACCCCACTGGCTAGCACAATCGCCCACAAATGATTGTATTGTGAGTAGTGGGGAGGAGTGTGGCTATGTGCCCCCCCTTCGGGCTATTCTTCACACCCTTTTTCGTGTACCCAAACACAATGGCAAAACTACATGCCTGGGGTGGAGAGCTGGTTTGGGCTATGCAAATTTTGGAGAATGCCCCCTAACTTTTAAGCTTTTGGTGAAGGGATTTTAAAAATGCCCTGCCACGATAAAGCAGCAAAAAATGACGTTGAGGTTTGGCTTGTTCCGTCTTCTTTAAAAAAAACGGGTATCTACGGCTTGAGCTCGACGTCGGGCTTAGGCTTAAGCTTCAGCTTGGTATACGGCTTGAGCTTGACCTGGGGATTCGGCTTGAGCTTGAACTCGGGCTTAAGCTTGCGCTTGAGCTTGACCTGGGGATTCGACTTGACCTTGAACTCGGGCTTAAGCTTGCGCTTGAGCTTGAACTCGTGCTTAGGCTTGAGCTTATACTTGAGCTGCAGCTGGAGCAGGGCTTAGGCTTGAGTTTGAGCTTAATCCGGGGCTTAGGCTTGAGCTCGAGCTCGGGCTTAGGGTTGGATTCAGGCTTTAGCTTGAGCTTGGACTTTGATTTGGGGTAGAGCTTCAGCTGCAGCGTAGGCATCAGTTTGAGCTTGGGTTCTGGTGAAGCGTGGGCGTAGGGTTAGGTGCAGGCTTCAGCTTGTGTTTAGGCGTGGGCTTATGCTCGGGCTTGGGCTTAGGTTAGGCTTGAGTTTGGGCTTTTGAATAACCGGAATGTGGCGTATGGTTTCAGCTCTCGCCAGCCGTCACAATTATCCGGGCTCATTCCCCACCGGAGCTCTACTTTTTGATTTTTGCTTTCTTGCCCAAAATCCTCAGAAGCCCCACGTTATTTTCATAACCTTCTCAACCTACCTGCCACCTAAAAGTTCCCCCTCAAACCCGCCTCCTCCCGCTGCTTTTTTGCTTGGTTGGCTTAACCTAAAGAGTGGGGGAGGGGACTGGGGGACGAATATGGCCCATCATTCACGGCCCTGACGATAATGGGAATGGCATAGGAAGGGGGGAGGGCCCAGTTTTTGACTGGGCCGCTTCTCTCAGCTGGGCCCCCGGTGCTTCTGAATTCGGGTGAAGGGCCCGGTCCTCGAGGCGTGTGAAGTGGGGTGAAGAAGCCGGGGCTGGAAATGATCTGACATCCAGCTACGTGTAAACTGAAAAAAACGGACTATGCGGGAAGAGTGGGGTAGCAGGGATTTTAAAAGAATTTTTAAGCAAAGCAAGCTAGCAATGATCTTTAGGGAATACTGGGGCTTGAAAAGTAAGCGAGAATTTTCGGCTAACTTGATCATTTGGGCAGTCCTTGATGCCTTACGGGGAATTCAATTTCTAACCTTTTTGGGGCATGCTAGCAGTGATTCTTCAGGAACCAGGAAGCTGAAAGCTGCATAGACCTGAAAGCTGCATCCCAGAATCCCCGGACACCCCTCTAACCACCAGATCCACGGCTTTATTTATGGGAGCAGGGTGAGGAGGAGAGGTGCAATCTGGAGCCGAGCGTTGTTTCCCCCCGACAAGCCTGACGAGATTTCCATATGACAATCCGGGGAGTACGCTCCGATACGTGTGGACGCCCTAAAAAGCCCTGGGGGGCATGGATGCGGATGTAGGGAGATGAGCCGGGCGACATATGCTCATTTGCATATTGTTGCCCCCTTGGCTGGAAAATGTGGAATTGACGAGGGGAATGGGGGGATGAAAAAGTTGATGTTACGATGCCTTTAAAAACTAGCTATCAATCACTCTCTCGCTCTCTCTCGCTCTCGTTCTCCCCACCCCATCTATCTAGCTCTCTCTCTCTCCCTCTCTCTCTCTCTCTCTCGTCTTTTTCTCTCTCTCCCTCTCTCTCCCCTCTCTCTTTCGTTCTCTCTCACTCTCTAGCACTCTCTACATCGCGCTCTTTCTCACTCTCTCGTTCTCTTTCCTAAAAGTCTTAAAAAAACAGCTGCATGTCAACTGTACACTCCCGTACTCCTGCTCCTCAGTACTTCCCTCCGATCCTTGACGTCTTCTACCCTCAATCCAGAATCTCCCCCGTTCCTCCTCCCAGGAAATGACCACCCCCCTGGCCGATCGGGGGAAATTCGATCGTCTGCCTCCCCCCATTATCCAATCAATTATGTATCGCGAGTCGTGCCCACTCTTCTCTTCCCATCCATTCCACGGCACTACTCTAACCACCTACCCCGAAATTCCCTCCGGGACCCACTTCACACCTAGCCCAAACTACGCGTTTCACGGGTTGGCTTACCGGGGGGAAGGTGGCTTTAAAGGGCCATTGAAGTGGTGGTAAAGGCGTTTTTCCGAGGCTGGAGAGGCTTGTGAATGTTTTTGGCGCGCTGGAAAAACAAAAATCGCAACAATGGGTTTTAAAAGGGCTGAATTATAAGTGCAAACACATGTCGAAATGGAATGATGACGACAAAAAATGTATTTTAAGGGCATTAAAAAACTCATATTTTCAGAGTCGAAACGGCTGGGCGGGCGACGTCTGGAACGAGAATCGCTTCGAACTGGTCAAGCCGTTCTACGCGTTACGGTAACAATGGCGTGGATTAGCGTAGTTCAAAGCATTGTTAGGCTCTCTCCGGTCCGCACCGACGACACCGGCGTGTTCAGTTGCCACTTTGAGACGGATCCGCTCTTTCCGGCGGCCGAGATCAACGCCAGGACGCAACTCAGTGTTATAGGTAAATATTTTATACATAAAACGGGTTTTCTAGACAAAACATCTTTAAGAAGTATGTGCCTGTAATTTCTAAACCAGAAAAATCTTTTAAATTACGTAAGAAAATCGATACCTAGGAATTTTAAGGCGTTCAATAACCTCCCAAATATCTCAATATTGCCCCGAAATTGTCATAAATATCCGCCACTCATCATACGCATCACTTCACCATACCCATCCCATTATGTGGCCCTCCGCATACCCCAATATGTCCCGTCCGTCACCCCCACGCAATCCCCTTAATGACCTTTAATTAAATGCGGATAAAAGAGTTATAAATTATACCAAAAGAATACAATTTTATCAACACTTTTAAATCCAGTTAGTAATTACAAAATTTTGCGATTTTTTGGGCTTGCCGCTGCCCTGACCTTACCCTGTTTCCTGGGCACCCCTTTCTCTGCCGCCCTCTACCCGGCTCCGATCTCTCTTAGCCCCCTCCCCACGCCCGGCTCCCACCAGGTCTCGTGGTGTAGTGGTTATCACATCTGTCTAACACACAGAAGGTCGGCGGTTCGATCCCGCCCGAGATCATTTTTGTTGCTTTTTGGGGGAAAGCTACTGGCAGGTGTATAGAACCTAGGGAAGCGATATTTAGCGCGATTTTTGACGGCATAGCGCTAAAAACGAGGCTAGGACTCTGAAAATGCGGCCTTCAGCTTGTATGGTCAATTTTTCAAGCAATTATGGTTGTATATTATAAAAATAAAATTTTAGCCTCTTTTTTCGAAACATTAAGACTATGCCCATTTTCCAGACATCCTTAAATCCAGATCCACCGCTTAATCCAGTAAAAGCCATGGGGGTAGTGCATATTGGCGGGCCAAAGCGTCACACACACAGATTGGTCCAGATGGCCTTTTGCATTGCCGTGGAGGAGGGGGAGGGGATGGTGAGTGTGCCGTCCCAACGCCCCCCGATTGAGTCATTAGCTCCCGCTCAAATGAACCGATGAAACGATGGGAAGGGGGAAGGGAAAGGAGGGCCAAGTGGGCCCCCATCCCCATGGCCCACGTTCCGAGCACCACGGCGAGGTACCCCGGGACCGGAAATCCAGATTTGCACCGGGGTGCTGGTGGAAATTGGGCCCCCGCCGCTAATTTGGCCCATTCAAAGCGGTCAGTCGGTGATTTGGGGGTAGCTAAAGGGGGTGGGACACCTTTGAAGGCGCCGGTTAATACAGAAAAAGCCGAAAAAACGGATTTTTAAGTGGCCGCCTTTTCAAATTTACAGAGGAAGTACCGCGTTTTCGAATTCAAGGTTCGCAAAAATGTTCAAACTTTCCCAGATGAAAATTTGCAATTTTTCAAAAAAATCCGTGAGAGTTGCAATGCTAAATTAGCTCTCTATCAAAATAGCGATTTTAACGGTTGTTTTTTGACAAAATTGCCCTTGGAAAATGCGCGCATCACTTTTTCAATTTGCAATTTGGAGTTATGATGATGTAGGGAAGGTCTTTTAAAAATTCAATATTTTAAAATCCATATTAAATTCGGCATTTCCGTAGTTTACAAATTCCACAATTTTTGTAGTGGTAAAATTTAGTTAAATGTGGCATATTGTCAAATTCCGGACGCATTTTTTAATTTCCAGCCAGTATTGATAAATCCACCATTTATATGCAACATCCGGGTCCCGCGGCGAACGGCCCTATTCACATTATGCGACCTGTGCCCCCACTGGCCCATATCCCCCGCAAAATGGACCCCACAGCCAATTTGCCACCAGCAGCATTAGAGAGGCCTTAGGGGGCCAACACGACCCTCTAATTGCACCGCACTCCGTTTTTTTATTGGAATCGAGAACGGGCCAGTTAATTGGCTAGTTGCAGCTAGTCCGGTCTAGGGCTTTGCCAAGGAATTGCTTTCCAATTTTAGCGAATTCCGGGAAAAATCACTACTAAAGGGGCCGGCAAGGTAGAGAGAGAGAGAGAGAGAGAGAGAGAGAGAGAGAGAGAGACGAAGATCTTATCCAGAATGTCCGCTAAATTGCTCGGAACGGATTGATGCGCGGCCATTATTTCCGCGGCAATCCATTGGACAGCGCCCGGGATGCCTTTTTGCGAGATGGGTCCCCAGGGGAATTCCTTGACCAGTTACTCGGCCTGAGAATGGAAACTGAACTAAAGTTGTTGCCAAAAGTAGAGTGCGGGGTGTGTTTGTCCCTTAATAATGCGGGTTAGCAATCTAGGCAGACTAGCAGAGATTCTTTGAGGAATTGGGAGAGGGCAGGCTAGCAGAGATTCTTCGAGGAATTGGGAGAGGGCAGGCTAGCAGAGATTCTTTGAGGAACTCGGAGAGCGCTGAGGAATTCGGAGAGCGCAGGCTAGCAGAGATTCTTTGAGGAATTGGCAGAGGGCAGGCTAGCAGAGATTCTTTGAGGAATTCGGAGAGCGCAGGCTAGCAGAGATTCTTTGAGGAATTGGCAGAGGGCAGGCTAGCAGAGATTCTTTGAGGAATTCGGAGAGCGCAGGCTAGCAGAGATTATTTCAGTTTTCCAGCTAAAATTCCAGGTGGCAAGCTAGCAGCGACGATTAGGGACCCTAATCCCCCTCATAAAAACCCTCATAACACTTGCAAATAGCCGCCCATTACCTCCCTGTTTTTGCATACGTCTTTAGGACGTTGTGCACCCTCGGCCCACCCAGCTGGCGGCAATTGTTTTACTTTTTAGAAAGTACTCCCCCTTGCTTCCCGCCGGCTTTTGCCCCAAGCGGCAATTATCAGGCCGCCCCGGATGCACCGGCGCGACTTTTTGTCCGTTTGCTATTTCGCGCTCCTTTCCCCTTCTCCGATTAAAGGGGCACGCAATTATGCGCGCGCGGCTTGTGGGGGAGAAAATTTCGTCGGGGGCTCCTTTTAGCAGGGGGTGACTCACTTGCAAAACGGTTGTATAGCTAAAAGGTTGCGAAATTGGGAAAGGAAGGCAAAAGCTGGTACACGGGATTAAAATACCAACAGTCCGAAGCTTCTTGGTAAAAAAGCAAAAAATTCACACCCGGCGGGAGTCGAACTCGGGTCCTTTGGGCGACAAGGGAGAACTTTACCAGTACACCACAGTCCGAGGTCCAATTAGGCTAAACTACAGGGTGGCTAGAAAGTATTTGCCGCAGAGAAATCTCCTTAAGAAATTCTCAGTGTCCGGCTTCGTTGCCATTTTTTAGCAAATATGTAGCGAAGAAACCACTTTTTCCGACTATCAAAAAGGCTAACACCCTAGACCTCAGATTTTTAAGATACGGTCCTTTAGAGGTGCATCCAAACATGAGCCTGCGCCGCACGTATTTTGCCTTTAGTGTTAATCTTTTTAATTTTTGCTTGCAACCAATCAGAATAGCAAGTTGGGTTTTTGTTCATTGCAACGCCCTTTATCGGACGTAACAACCAGACAAAATTCTTTTTAGCCGTATCGAAAAGCTTTTCGCTATTTTCTTGAACGCCTAAAATGAGCGGAACAAGGTGTTTTTGGAGCACAAATAAAAAATGTCTTAAATATCCACGTTTTCATGCGCCAATTATTTTTTCTTTTGTGGACGCACTAAAACCAACCGCGTGGAGAGGGCAAGCTCATTGGATAGCCGTAACTAAAGATATTGTGGGCACAAAAGAATAATAAGATGTACTTTCTTGCCGTTGGTTTCGAACAATCTTCAAATGCTTTAGGCCGGCGTTTTCAATTATTTTGGCCCTATTCAAAGTGTCAGCCTGGTAGGCTGATGCATTATCTATATTTTAATAGTAAATTTAGGGCAAGCTCTCGAATTAATGATTTTTAAAATCCATTCTTGTGCGGCAAATGGTTGCAAGCCACGAATCTCGGCGCACCCCACTAGCAAAATTTTGCATTCACTTCCGTTAACCATCTAAGTCTCGCGGTGCCCCAAGCATAATTTTTTTAGATAGTTTGGATAATGGTTTCTACGATACAGCACCGGAAAAGAATAAGATACCCCCTAAGAAATTTTTCGAGGGCTTCAAAAGTGCCGAAAACCAATACAAAAAACGAGGTTTTATGTATTTAACTCCAATTAAAATTATACGAGCAATGAGCTGCGTGTTTCTATATATCAATGGATAGAGGAAAAAATTTTCTACCGAATGCACCCCCAAATGCATCTGTCGCAGAAATTTTAGCAGATTAAAACCAGGGCGAAAGCGCGGCAAATACTTTCTAGCCACCCTGTATTGTAGCGTTTTTATTATGTTCAATAAAATTCTATAAAATAGCAAAGGTATACGTAAAGCTCCAAATTCCAGTCCGCCCGGTCCCGCCGTCAGCACCCGGAATCAAGGCCTCATCCCCGTCATCAGCCACCCTATCCTGGACCCACGCCACCGCCCATGCCCATCGGCCGATACTACGGTATTCGGTGGTTGTTAGGTGCGTTATAGTCTATATTGGGCTGATTCTTGGCTTTTTTTAGGTCCGTAGCTGACGGCGCGCGCTTCGTCATCGCGGCCCCTTCAAACGCCACGACAGTCATCGTCGAAAATCTCTCCCGGATACCGGTTTGTTTTTTTTATTTAAAAAAGTATATTTTTGCATATTTTGCGCTCAGTTTTACAGCTTAAATTATTATTTTCCGTTCAAACTACCGCCCAATGGTTTTCTCTGGAATTTGTCATTCCCGCTACTAAAATATAAAGGGGCTACGAAATGCCAAAAATTGAGTGACGGCCCGAAAATCGGAGCCCTGTACGTCGGAGGCCTCTGTACGCCCAGGGGCCGGGAAGCTCGCAAAATTTGAAATTGCCTGTTGTCACCTCGAAACACGTTCTCGGCTGTTTCTGGGCCAAATTTGATGATTAAAACACCAAAACTATTTAAAATTGAATGAGGATTTCAAAAATGGGCTCAGAATGCGCGAATTATAGTGTTTTTACAAAGAAACCGCGCAAAAACAACTTCGCGCAAAAATCGAAAGAGTGAGGGCTCTTGTCCCGCAGCGCCCGCTGGCAATTTGCCAGAAATCAAAGAGGCCGCCCAAAAGGGCTTTGATTTGGCAGTTCGGAGCCCCTTTAAAAGCTATTTTAGATCTTTGAATTATAAACCTGTCGTTTCTACTAAATTTTTAAGGCTTTGAGGTCGTTTACATTCTACGTTGCTTCTTTTTCAGAGTACGCCTTCTCGGTGCGCGGCGAGAACGCGGCGGGCAGCGGCGAGTTCGGCCCCGAAACGTCTTTCACGACTCAGGGAATACGTAGGCTGCTTTTTATCACTTATTTGCTTTCGTTTTTAGCTCCATCACAACCGCCGAGTGCCCGCGTCGGCAACGCGACCGCCCGATGCTTGCGACTTTCCATTGATGGTCCACTGCCCGCTACGACGCAGCACCTTCGCCTGACGCTCGGCTTTCACAACGGAACTATCGCCCGGGATATGCGGTACGTAAAAAATTCTTGTAATAACGCGCCGATTTACGACAACTTGAAGCCTTTTAGACTCGAAAAATCGGTCCGGCAACACGAAATCTGCCAACTGAGCCCGTACACCCGCTACAACTTGTCGCTGACGTCCGTCTCCCCTCACGGATCTTCCCCACCCTACTGGGCCGATTTTCGCACGGATGAAGACGGTATGAATCTACCTTGTTTTTTAGGACACGTATATTTTCAGTACCATCCGGCCCACCGCGAGACGTCCGAGTTGAGGGCGTTTTTGGGCGACCGTCGCTGACCGTCTCCTGGTCCCCACCCGCCAACCCGAACGGCCAGCTGACGACGTACCACATCTACCAACGGCCGGCTGGGACGGATGCGTGGAAGGTATGAATTATATAGCCTTTTCAAACCGTTTCTTTATTTCAGACGGACCTGCTAAAAATCAAGGGCCGTGAGGACAAGCAGCGCTACCGCATCGAGATCAAAGGGTTGCAGCCAACAACAAGGTGCGCGAAATAAAATTCAATGAAATCTACATTTTTAGGTATACGATACGCGTCAGTGCCTCCACGGCCAGAGGCGAGAGTGAGAAAAGTGCAGAGAAGGGCGCCACTACTGATGTATCGGGTTAGTTTCCTGAATATCACCTTCCGAAAATGTAAAATGCCATCACGCAACTTTTTAGCGCCTGCCGCCCCCAAAATCGAGACGATCGTTTGGGAATGCCGAGACATGGCCGTGTTCTCGTGGGCTGACGGCCCCAGGAATTCGATTTACACCGTCGAGGTACCGGCGGATTTCAATCAAATAACCGATCTTTAGGTTGATGCCGAAGGAAAAGCCTTCACCTTTAACACGACTCATACAAAGGTGGGGTAAAAGCGTGTGATGGCATTATATTTGTGCATTGCTTCTTTGTTTGTAGCAACAAGATTAGAGTAAAACCAAAAATCCGGCTTTTCCAGATCGATATTCCGCGCCTGAAGAAAGTTCAGGAATACTCGGTTCGGCTGCGCGTATTGGTGCGTAGCGTCGTGACACCATCGCAATACGTCGAAGGCGAATGGGGACAGCATGAGCGTTTTTCATTACAAGGTATGGAAAAAACGTTGAAAAGAGGTCGTTGATTTAGACGATTGTTCAATTCACTCTACCCTGTGCCCTTCGACAGGACGATTTCGGTGCTTGCCTTTGACACAGGTGGGTTTTTAAGAAGCCAAAGCTTAAATAAACACTGTCGTTTAGATGACCCCAATACCATCTCAACCAATCCAACCGGTGCTCGCCTTTTCTGCCGTCTTCGTCTTCCTCGTCGTCCTGCTGCTCATCGTTTTTCTCTTCAAAAAGTCAGCGCGCTCTGGCCTTCCATTTTCTATTTATTTAGTTTCCATCGTTGCATCGGCGCCGATCGCTTCCACAAGAAACGCGAAAAGAGCGTCTACATAGAAGAGCTGAGCCCGCTAGTCTACGGTAAGTACGGCTCTATTTAACAATACGAAAGCTATCCGGCAATCGCTTCATCTGGCTATTTAAGATTCAATCGGCTGTGAAGAGATCCCCGTCGAGATCTTCTACGGCTACTGCGAGGATTTGGGGCGGGACGACGGGGCAAAATATCGTGCTCAATTTGAGGTGGGAAAGGTTCATATTTTTACCGTTTTTTCTTTGTTTAGCAAGTCGAGCGGAATAGTGCGGAATATTGCGCGAGTGGCGACTCGTTGCTGAAGAACAGCGAGAAGAATCGGTAAAGCCGAAATTTTTACAAAAATTTTTGTTTTGAGTTACAACAATATTGGCGCTATCGACAGTTCAAGGGTTCGATTGACAGGCGGGAATACAAATGGTGACTACATCAACGCAAACTATGTGGATGTAAGTTGTTTTAGCTTAAACTAAGGTTTTTATCGATTTTTAGAGCTGCGAGAAACGAAATGTCTACATTGCCACCCAAGCGCCGCTCCCATCTACGTATGGCGATTTTTATGCCATGCTATGGCAAGAGCGCACCAATGTTGTGCTGATGATTGCAAATTTGGAGGAAAACGGATTGGTATAAAAAATACGGCTTTAACTAAAACTAGTATTTAGAAAAAATGCGACCAATACTGGCCCGCGGCTTGTCACACCACCGAAACCTACGGCAGCTTTCAGGTATCAATTTTCGAATAGCTAAAAATCGCTAAATTTAGGTGACGCTGATCTCGCAAACAACTTGTGCTCACTTCATCCAACGAACACTTTCCGTTAAGATCTCCAAATGTGTACCCCAGGTAAAAAGACTTTTTGCATTGATAAAAATACTTTATAGACCGAACGCCGCATCCACCAGCTGCAATTCCTTGGATGGCCCGATCATGGGGCCCCATCATCGCCATTTCCGCTGCTTTCCTACCTACACGCCGCCGCACATCTTCATGCCACCGGGCCAATTGTTGTGCATTGCAGGTGTGTTTGGCTCGCTGATGCCCAGTTTTCATAAAATATATTTTTGCTGAAAAGCATTTTCCTGAAATTAGCCAGGTGTAGATGGATTCGGCAAATCATGATTTTTTTAGGAAAAATTACTGTAACTCTCGCTGAACCATAAATCAGTAAGTTCTTTTCCAGTGCTGGCGTCGGACGCTCCGGCTCGTTTCTCCTCATCGACTCGATGCGTCGGCGGCTGCTCGGCAGCCGCTCTCTGAATCTGATGGGCCATTTGATGCACATCCGCAAGCAGCGCGAGCAACTCGTACAGACTTTGGTAAGCGGTATCATTTTCTCGGTTTTATCGTGGAATATTGCGATTTCTTCGCTTCCAGGAGCAGTACATCTTCTGCCATGAAGCCGTGCGCCAGTTAATACGCCACGGGATCACCCGGATACAGTCTTCGTTGTTTACGAAGTAATCGAATCGAAAAAATCCCCAACGAAACGCTTTAGATATGTGCGTTATCTTGCGGAGGGCACGGTGAATGGTCGATCTCGGATGATGATGCAGTACGAGGTTTCTATTTTCAAATCAATCGACATAATAAAATTTCAGGATCTCTGCAAATGCCCTCACACGCCGGACTGCCAGCCGGAAAAACAGTATCTAATCTTGCCGGTTAGTTAGTGAAAGAAACTTCTGAGATTTCTCCAAAATAGGGCTTCCATCGTCTGGACGAGTTCCTGGTCGGCGGCTGGCAGCAAGAGGGCCCAGAATTGTGGCGGGCCGTTTGGGAAAACTCAGTGCACACGGTCTTGTTGCTAGGTAAGGATTAATTGTTGTTAATTGACTCGCTGACCATTTTTAGGTGACAATTCCGAGTTCTGGGGCCAATCCAGCGAAGTAGGCGAGCTTTGCCTGACGCGCGATGGGGAGACGGTCGTCATTTCTGACGGGGAGCAGCAGGTATTCCGGATTTTGTTAAAAATTCGAACATTGTTTAGCTTCGCGTTCGCCTGCTCTGCACCGCCAAATCTGAATTTGACGCCGACACGTGGGGCAGAATTGAGAGCGTCCAAACGGAGCGGTCAGAGGAGCACGACCGACCGCTGATGATCATCTCGCCGGATGGGGACGATCCAGCGCCGGAAGTCAACGGTAAGTTCGACTAGATGATTCATTTCAATCAAATTTCACCCTTCGATCAAAATGTTTAGCTCTTGCGGACGTGCGTGCTTTTCAATTCTGTGCCCTGACGGCGTTAGCGTGTCAATTCGAGCAGCAGGTAGGCTCAGAACATGAGGCGCATAACCAAGTCGTCCAGGGATGCTTGGATGTTGTTCAACTATTGTCAGCATATACAGAAATTCAATGTGGGCTGTGGCGGACGCCGGTAAGTAGGGGCATCTTGCTAGAAACCGTAGATAAAAAGAAACACTCAAAACCCCCTATTATAGCGCGAGATCGAGTTCATCTACGAGCGTGCGCTGCAGCTGATCATGATGGCGAACGCATAGCGATTGCTGCCCTTGTACAGATTGTTGCTTCACATACACGGGTTCCCCCACAAATCATTGCCACTTGCCCCGAACGCCCGAGCTTTCACACGGACCTCTTCTCCCCGAAATCACTTTGTCTCGCAAATATGTCACAAATAAAGAATTTATTCTGTAAAAAGGCGGACTGGCGAGCATGGCGGATCAATTAAAACGAGATACTTTGATATGTCTATGGTTCTGTGAATTGATTAATGACGAGTAGGCGGGTTGGTGGCGCAGCTTAAATCGGGTGGACGGGGCGGTTGCTGGAAATGTATATGGAAGTGTTTATAAGTTTCGAAAGGATAGCAACATTATAAACGTGAAAAATTAGAATTCCGCGAAATTGTCAATTTATCGAAAACCCACGAGAATTCGCGGCCGTATGTAAGGGGCGGGATGAGGCCGTTGATCATCTGGTATTGAGCCGGCGGGCCATCCGAGACACGCGCCACCGTAACCACACAGCCGGGCGGATATCTGGAAGTCGGAAATCCAAAGCAAGCTGATCTCTCCTTACCGCAGCCCCAGCTCGCACGTGTTCAGCGGCTCGGCGCTCTCCGTACCCCATTGGTCCTCCACCGACGTCAAATCATCGTCAGAATTCGTGTCCACAACGTGGGGCTTGCCTGAAAATAAAAGGAAACTTTAATGCCTAAAAAAAAAATTTTTTATTTCAGGCCGCATTTACTTACTGATAAAATGAGCCGTGTGGATGGTGATGGCGTGGCCAATGATCAACACCGGGCCCTCTTCCACCGAGGTGCTGAGCGTGCTAAATTGATCTTTTCTAAAGAATCTGCCCCAGATACCGAAGGATCATATCGTTGCGCTGGCGGCCCTCGAGCTCGCTCTCCGGGTGCTTCTCAAAGTAGCTGTGCTGCACGACGGGCCGGCTAAATATAGGTAGTCTGCCTTCAGTTTTATTTTCCCCACTAATCCAGATCGATTGGGTAGCCGAGCTCGCGCAGCTTGCTGGCCGCCATCACCGGCAGCTTCGACTGGGCGTCGCGACGATACCAGATAAACGGCTCGAACAGCCCCGGCTCCACCTAAGCGAAAATCAAGCGAAAAAAGTGGGTACTTGGCTATTAGCGGGAGATGGATCGTCAGCTAGGGTGAATAAGAGAATTAGACAATTGGTGTAGTCTGTGCGCCGTTGTCAGGTTTAAAACTTCCAGAAAATCTCATGATTGATTGATCAAAAATTCCGATTTGGAATCGTCTAAAAGAGTTTAGTGATTTTTTTAGTGAGCAAAACTATTGACAATATAAAATATCTCAGAAATGCTAAAATAGCTATCCCCGACAAAAGTCCCGTACCGAAAAATAAAGTGGAAGGGAATTAAGTCGAAATACCCACACAAACTGGCAAGTTGGCGAGCTTAGCCATCGAGCAAGCCGTCTGGATGCAACGGAGCGCCGGGCTGCTGAAGATCTGGAAACAAAACCACTAAAACACTGACCGGCTAAGCCATACCTTGGTCGGCTTGATCCCGCGGTACATCATCGCACGCATCGGCAGCTGGCTCGTGTAGCGTCCCAAAAATTTGTAGATTCACAAGACATCTCTAAAACCAATTTCGGTGATTGGCGAATCGTTCTCAAAGCTGTAGCCGGTGGCCGCGATGGCTCGAAGGCTCGGGCCAATGTTCTGATCGGACGGCATCACCTGGAAGGAAGTCACTGCAAGGGCAACTTTGCTCACCCAGCCCCATGACATCTCGGTATCCTTCCACTTTGGCCCGAAAACACGATCCACGCGCTCCGCCGAGCGCATCACAATCAGAAGGCGCCCTAAAAGCGGAACTCCGAAGGTCAGAAAAATCCGGAAAATCGCCGATAATATAAATTTAAGGAGTAGTTCTAGCAATTTGGCAAAACAAACTGCGAGCCGAAGCACGGCCGGCTGACATCCACAGGGCGCGCAGCGTGCGGTTTGCCTGGATCGGCTCGACCGGCATGGCAATGCCCGAGTTCTATTTGGATACTTTATTCTGCGACTATAAGCAATACCTTTTGTTGCGAGTTATTATCGACTACGCATGACTTGTCAGCAGGCGGGGCCTGACCTATAGAAAATATAGTAAATCCAAAAAGACACGAACAGCTGGCAATGCCTGAAGATTTTGTCGAGCGGTTCGATACATTGGCAGTCACCGTCGAAGCAGGCCCTTTCTTGTTTTTCAGCGCGCTTTTATCGCTGTCGGCCTTCAGAGATCGAGAGTTGGCAGTCTGACAGTGATTATCAGCTTGCCAACTTCCACTCACATTGCACACCAGCGACTGGGGGTTCTTTTTCTTCGGCGTGATATAGTTCTTCCCTCTTTTGGGCCTTCGGGAGGCTGATCGATCAGCGGACTTATCCTCGCTCTTTGGCTTCTTCAGCGACACAGACTTCTGTTTGCTTTTCTAAATGCAAGCAGGTGGCCGCGGCTCGTTAGATCCCTAGTCCGCAAACAAAGCGCGCCGATACCTGGACAGACTTGCTGACCTTCCCAGTCTTTGAGAGGCGCGCATCAGCTTTCTTCGACTAAAAGAAAGGTATCATGAGCTACAACGGCGCCACCTTTACGCTTGTAGATTTCTCGGGCTTCTTCGAAACACGCCGAGAACTAGAAATAGCCAGGTCAGAGGGAATTGAAATACCTTGGCGCGGACCCGCTGGACATCGCCGAAAGAAGCAGAAGCCAATGAAATATTTTCGCACCCCCACCCTTGCTTTTCCGCATGCCTATTTCATGGATTCAAAATACGGAACGAATAAAGTTTATCATAAAAACAACGATCAACCAATGACGCGCATACCCCGTAACGGAGTAGGCACTTAGACCCATGACACAAAATTACAAGCGTGAAATAGTAGAAAGGACGCACGTCAAGACTGTTCGCGATTGTTTATTTGCCGTCATTCTTGACCAGCTCTTCCACGGCCGAGATGGTGAGCTTGGGCTTGACGGTAGAGCCAGACTTCTTTTGGCACGAATTGTGGTCTTCGTAGCGGAGAACGTCGAAAAGGTGCTGAGGGCCCTAGAAACAAAATCTTTGAAACATTGATGAACCATACGTTAACGCCATCGGGAAGCCGTGCGTTGTTCAATACCCGGGCGATGACTTTGCCGATGCGCAAGTTCGATTCATCGTCGTTATGTTGGCGCGTCCACATCGAGATCTAGGCAAAATCATCCTGTAAAAACGCTGTACTTACCTTGTGACCCTTGTTCCGCACGTTGCAGACGAGACCGCAAATGTTCTCCATGTCGTCGCCGTACTGCTCACCGATCATTGAAAGGATGATCTCCAGCCAGATCAGATCCAGGACCTGACCAGACTTTCCTTTGTCAATCTAGAAATAATAGGTCACTTTGCGAAATTATCTTTACGTTGATCAGCCAACGGCCGCCGTGCAGATTCTCTGGCACCTCCCACATCGGCTGGATGCCCTCCTTGAAAAAGTTGTAGTCGCATGTGGACGCAAGCGATGATGGTGGGCGTATATTGTTCTGCAGACTAAACAAAATATTCACGGCCGAATACGCGAAACGTACGCCCAGAACTCCTCGACTGTGTTGACCGAGCAGACCTTCTTCAAACGGTCTTCCCAGTTGGAGTTGCGTTCGTCGTTGAGGTACCAATAAGTCCATACGTTCTTGAGAGGATGTGGTTGCCTCTAAAAGAAATTGAGCGAGGGAGTAAGCACATTACCGGAGGCGCCGAGGCGATCTTCGGGCTCTCCTCCTCACCTTCGATCTTCTGTACCATTACGGTAGCGTGTTAAAAGCTAAAAAAGAGGGATTATATGATTTTCCAAGAGAAAGTACGAAAATAAGAATGAGAAACGCAAAATTGAAAAATTCCCGCGGAAATCCGGACGAAAATCGTTAGCCGAGGAAATTCGACCCTCAGCCGGCTGGGGGACTACGGTCATTTACCCACGGTACACGGACCCAGGCCCGCCGTTGATCGTAAGAACTACCGTATCCCCGTAAAAATCATTTTTATTTATGCGTTTTTGTTAGCGAAATAGTTGTAAAATGTATCTTTGAAATATGGGCAATACAGCTACACATTTCTGCGGTATAAAAATTCACGCAACAATCAGCAAAGTCACTATCTGGACTTGGAGCTCGGCATTTGGGGTTTTTTTGCCTAATCTGTGATTGTCTAAGTTTTTTAGTAATCTAGGTATTTTAAAGTCCCTTTAAAAGTTTTTTAAAGGTAAAGGTATTAATACGCTTCTCTTATTTTCCATGCTTGCTATTTGTGACTTCTCTATTCTGTTTTTAGCTCTTGGCTTGATGTTCGTTTGTTGGTTTGAATAAGTTTTTTAGTTTATCTGAATTCCCTTGTTTTCAATGCGATCCCTGAAATTCCTCCAATACCTCTGCGTGATTGGGGGCAACTTTCCTCTCGCTTCTCTCCAGCTGACAATGCGGGCAGTTTCCCGAAATTTGCGAACAATGCGGCGCGCCTCTCGCGAAACAAAAAGGTCAAACGGGTGCCAGCTGCCGGGTGCCGCGCTCAAAAACGCCAAATTGGGGGGTGATGGGTGCAGAAAAAGGGAGGGATGACCGGGTATCCCTCAAATACTACGGGGAAACAATGGGCATAGTAAGATTGGATCGGCTGATTAGATCCTGGGATGCGGACTTGGTGGCAAACCAAGGATGGTCGTGAGGAAGCAGCAGTGTTTGCACGATCTTTTGCTAGATAAAAAACTAATAATAAGCTAACTAAGCGGAATAATAAGTAACGTTATATAACGGCTACTTAGATAAGAGAACCATTTGAAAAATTTTTGGTAGCGGTATTTCAGGTATTCGTTGATGTGCTGATCCCTGAAAATATATTTTTTTAAGGGAAGTTGCTCAAGAAAACAAAATTTTTTTTGCAACTTCTTTCTAAGGATTGCATTTTTGTAATATAAATTATATCTAAAGTGTTTCTAAACTGTTTTTTACTAGTTCTAAAAGTAAAAACTTTACAAATTTTTATTCAGGGATCGAAAAAAATAGCGATTTTTCGGCCAAAAATGACGGGTTTTGAACATTTTTTTAAAGTTTTAGACCAGTAGCTAGCTGAACTATAGTTTATTTTACTAAAAACACTATTAAAACATTTGCTTTTAAGTTGCTCGGCATTTTCAGACTTGTACAAAAAACGTCGATCCCCCCCCCCGTAATGCGAAAGAACCGAAAAATTCTTCAATTCTTCAAATTCTTCAATTCTTCAATTTTTTAGCGCTATGTTTTTAGGGGTTTCTCCCGTTCTTTCGTGCAACTTCTCCCGAACTTTGCAACCCAAAAGCAGAATAGCGCCCAGAAGCCAGTCCATCGTATTTACGGCCCCTAAACGGTCGGCTTCCCACATCGCGGTGCACAACCCCCCAAAAAACATTCAAACTAGCCACCAGCCGCGTGCACAATTTCACCGTCCTCCTTCGGTCACTCGTTGGCAGCACGCGAGCAGAGGATGCAGGCTGTTGAGGGGCCGAAGGAGGCAATTTCAGCCCTAGAATCCCCCCACCGCTCGTCGGCTACAAGAGACGTGTAACCAGTTCTGCCCTCGTACACCTTCCCTCGCTTCCTCTCAAAACCATTGGAATGCACACGGATCTCAGGCTTACAAGGTGTTCGGGCTGCTTGCACAGCATGCCCGTTCAAGTCCACCGGGGTGCCCTTTTTTAGGCGCGGAAACATCGAAATTCTCGCCGGGGCGCTAAGGACACTCACTCCACTTTCGGTTTCAGGCATCGTCAACGCGTTCGCGGGGTGTTTCGGTAAGGAAAATTGGGGGGATGCACTTGAGGTGGTGAGCCAGGCGATGAAAACGAATTTGCCAGTGGAATTCGTGAAATTTTTGGAGGTATTTGGATGTTTGATCGTAAGTTTAAAGTGAAGGGCAGATGTGTTATTGGATATGGCTTTCCTCTAGGTTTTTGCGGATCCGCAATACGCAACGCGCGCCCGAATTTCATTTCGTAATGGATTAAGGTCTAGGATTAACGCATTAATAGATCGTGATTTGCAATCTAAGTTACCACTTTGGAAGTATATTATTTCATACAGTTTTTAGGTCTACGGAGCTCATAAAAATCCCAAAACGAACGAAAAATTTTGGTTTTTTGGTCAAAAATGCATGCAACACGGGGTTTTTAACCTTACTTGGGGCGCGCACGAGAGGGAGACAGGGAATGGGCGAGGCCACGCCCCCTTTTCGTCCCCAAAATGTATTAGAAAATCCCTTCTAATGGCTATAACTTTATTTCTAGAAAAAATGACAAATTCTCCGCCTGGTAATTTGTAGAGAAGACCCTCGGGAACATTTTGGTAAAAGAATCTCAGCGATCGCGAGGAAAAACAAGGATTTGAAACGCTTTGAAGCGATTACCAAGACGATGTTCTCGTTAGGGCCTCATTTTCCTAATTTTCTGCCTGAGATTCGCCACAGATTTGTTGTCGGCGCTTTTCTGAGTATTTTGCAAAAAAAAAGCAAAACCATGTGATGATTTTACGCGAGGAGAGGAATCGAACCCTGACCCTACGCCTGACGCCGCCTTGGCCACGCCCCCCGCACCCCCGTGCGCGGAAAAAAACCCCGTGGCAAAATGAGCAAAAATTTTCACATTTTCAAAAACTTTTAAGAAATTACGGTAACTTTTTTAGCAATTAAAACTAAAACTCTATGGAAATACACTATATACAGTGTGTGCCAAAATGATAGGGGAATGAAGTTTTTGGTCGATTTCTTTGCGATGTTGCGTGTAGCTTTAAAACCGAATTACAGATTTTGTAGTCCGGAAAAACGCGCATCTTTTGGTCTACTTGAAATACTTCTACGATACAGGATAATAGTTTTACAAGCGATTGAATAAAAATAGGGAAAAAACACAAGTGACAAAATGATAGGGGAATCATTAACATATCGTTAACATCAACTCTCAGTATGAATATTAGAAGCTAATTAGATGCAAATTTTGACTGACCACTTCCGGTCGGAATTTTGGCCAGAAATTACGATTTTACATCTTATCCTGCAATGAATCTGTAATTAAAATCAATCAACATCCACTATTCATACAGAAAGTTCATGGAAATAATATGTTAATGATTCCCCTATCATTTTGTCACTTTTGTTTTTCCCTATTTTTATACAATCGCTTCTAAAAACGTGATCTTTTATCGTAAAGAGAATTCAAGTAAACCAAAAGACGCGTCTTTTTTTCGGGCTATAAGGCCTATGATTTGGTTGTACACGGAGATGGAGGACGGCCGAGAAAACGGTTAAAAACTCCATTCCCCTATCATTTTGGCACACACTGTATCATAGGAAAAAATAACAAAAATTAGCTACCCGCTACACGCTACGCGCGATCAGGGCTACTCCCTGGGGCGCGTAAAGACGTCACGTGTTGCATAACGTTCAAGCCGTTTTATCGCCAAGGAGCTCTGCAAAATCTTGCGCTCCATGTTCATCGACCAGCTTGCTGACCCCTGAAAAACTGTCATCGGGCTGACATAAATCGCGTCGCCGGCAAATAAGCCTATCAATCGAATGTGGCGATCGAATGAAAAACTGGAACATTGCCGTGTTCCCACCCCGACTCCGTGGGGGCTTCTGGAAACAAAGGGCGGCACGATGACGCAGAGGTGCACTGTCTGGGAAAAGCAGCTTCGAGGAGCTAATAATCTACAGGGCGGTTGAGAACGACGATCTGAAAGAGAGAACCCAAGCCTTGGAAAGCTTTTTGTGTTTAGGATATACATGGGCGGTCACCCCAGAGGGTCACCCTGGGGGTGACCGCCGCTCACCCCCTGGGGGTGACTGAATGGCACGATGGGGTGTCACCCCCTCCATTTTTGGTGGGGGTGAGGGTGCGGAACCGGATCACCCTATCCACGCAGATTACTTAGATGGAAATGACCAACGGCCAAGAATTGACTCTAGGCAGCGTTGAGAAGGCAAAATTTTCCAATTTAAGTTATATCCCTTCCCACTACCAATTGAAGGCTATTTTATAATCGATTAAAATGTAAAATTTATGATATTTGCGGCCAAACAGAGGCATCTTGCCATAGAAATTTATTTGAATGCAGCACTTTGCATCTATGGGGTGACCAGATTGTCACCCCGGAGGGTCACCCCAGGGTGCCATTGCAGTCACCCCCTGGGGGTGAGCGGCGGTCACCCCCAGGGTGACCCTCCGGGGTGACCGCCCATGTATAGTTTAGGAGGTATCAACTTGAGCTCGAGGCTTGACTTTGGGCGGTACTGTACGGTTAGCGGGGGGGGGGGGGGTTTAGCAAAGCAGGAAACCCATTCTTTTTGTTTTTTTCCCCGCCTAACCTACAGGGAATAATAAATACTGTATTTTAGTAGATTTTTGATTTCTAGAAAGTTACAAAAATCTTTTAACATTTTTGAAACTTCGAAAATTTTATCGTCAAAATTTTCGCCAACTTTAAAATTTTTTTATAAACTTTATAGATCTCAAAAACAAATAAAATGCGATAAAAATCGCCCATATTCTTTTATAGGGCCGTATAGGATTAAAAAAATTAGTTTTCACACCTGTTAAAATCCCCCTCCCCCCGCTAACAGTCCAGTACCGGTCGCGCCTAAAGCTTGTGGCGGTTCCTGGTTTTAAGAGGTAAGTAATTCCCAAGTAATTTCTACGTCATAACCACCGCATACCAAACTTTTCACTTCCGGCCAATTACCTCCCGGTTGACTGGGTAAGGGTGTGTATAGGCGTCTAGTGGAGGGCAAGTGTTGCCCTTGGGTGTGGGGGTGGGATGGCATCGCCCTCAAGGACCGTGTCTTCCCTTTCCGAGACTCACCGCAGGAGGGAGGGGGAAACTGTCAAATTGGTGGGGAAAATGAGGGAGAGAGTGAGAGCGAGCCAGGGAGAGCGAGAGAAAAACGGCGGAAGAATGGATGGGCGGGGTTGGGGGTTGGGGTGGTGCTTCTGGTATAAAAGCCGAGCACTTGACACCCACCGGCAGAGCTTCCTCACCCAACCAGGAGCCCTCCAATCACCATGGATCTTGAAACGAGGATCAAGGTGGGTAATTACTACTTTATACCTTTAATTCTCGCTATACTTATACAGTAGTTTTTATTATTTTCATTCTTATTTTGGATTTAAGTTGAAAATTCTTTGAATTCGTCAAGAAATCGTAGTTTCCGGTGCTAGTCTGTTAGCAGGGGGGTTTTTTCTAGTCATTTTGCACGGTCCTATAACGAAATATTAACAATTTTCATGGCGTTTTACAGTGTTTTTAGAGATTAAAATGCTCATAAAAACTTGTAAAATTGTCGAAAATTTTTGATTTGGGTCGAAAATGCATGATCAAAAAAAGTAAAATTTACGAGTTTTCAAAAAAATGAGAAATTTTTTTGTGACTTTCTAGAAATCAAAAACTGCGAAAAAGCACTAAAAAATTAGACTTTTTAATAGGCATGAAGAAAACACAGGTTTAGAAGTAAAAGCACAGGTAGTTTTCCCGGTTTTGAGGTGAAGATTCTGAAATTTACATACTTTTTCTTGTAAAAAAATGCTAGAGAATTTTATCTAAAATTTCCCAATTTAACTTTAGCTTGTGTTAATCGATTTTTAGCATATAAAACTTAAAAAAATAATAGAAAACTTTATTTAATTGCTTATTTTACTTATCCTCCTTTTTGCAGGCGTACCGCTTCGTGGCCTACTCGGCCGTCACCTTCTCCGTCGTCGCCGTGCTGTCGGTGTGCGTCACGCTGCCGATGGTGTACAACTACGTGCACCACGTCAAGCGCTCCATGCAGAACGAGATCACCTTCTGCAAGGGGTCCGCCAAGGACATCTGGAGCGAGGTGAGCTTTCGGGCTTGTTATGGGATTTTACACCTTGACGACAGGTTCAAGGAGTTCAGAGGTCGTGACTTCCGTTTCATAGGCTGTAACTTTTCATCTTATACTTAATTTAAACCATCTATTTCCAGGTCAACCACCTGAAGAACCTGCCCACCGGAAACCGCACGGCCCGTCAGGCCGGATACGGTGACGCCGCCGTCGGAGGATCGGCCTCGTCGGGAGGCTCGTGCGACTCGTGCTGCTTGCCTGGTCCCGCCGGACCCGCCGGAACCCCCGGAAAGCCCGGACGCCCCGGAAAGGTGGGTTTTTGTGCCACGACGGGATCAAGTCTTTCAAGCTTCAGCACTAATTTTGTCAATATTACCGTCACTTTTGCAGCCCGGAGCCCCTGGACTCCCCGGAAACCCTGGACGCCCGCCACAGCAGCCTTGCGAGCCGGTCACCCCGCCCCCGTGCAAGCCTTGCCCACAGGGACCCCCCGGCCCTCCTGGGCCCCCTGGAGCCCCCGGAGATGCTGGAGCCCCTGGCCAGCCTGGACAGCCCGGAAACGACGCCGCCCCCGGAGAGCCTGGACCCAAGGGACCACCTGGTACGTTCATTTTGTAGACTTTTTCCGATCCTCAGAACGTAAAAAGTACCCAATCATACCCTACCTTTTTCTAGGACCTCCCGGAAACCCCGGAGCCCCCGGAGCCCCTGGAGAGCCTGGAGCCCCCGCCGTCAGCGAGCCGCTCGTGCCCGGCGAGCCTGGACAGCCTGGAGAGTCCGGACCCCAAGGACCCCCCGGCCCACCTGGCCAGCCCGGACAAGACGGAGCCCCCGGTCAGCCCGGACCCAAGGGACCCCCCGGACCCGATGGACAGCCCGGACAGGACGGAAACCCCGGAGCCCCTGGCCAGCCTGGACAGGCCGGACAAGCCGGAGAGAAGGGTATCTGCCCCAAGTACTGCGCCATCGACGGCGGAGTCTTCTTCGAGGACGGAACGCGCCGTTAAGCGCCCGCCCGTTTCGTTGCGGAACATCAACGCTTTCTGTACAGAGCGCCCCCATGGGGGTGCACTGGAATACAAGAATTTTGCAAAAGCTTTAATCATGAAAATGCACCGGATACTTTACAAAAAATGCACACACACAATTTGGGCTTTTAAAGGACCGTGAAAGCCACAACTAGCAGGTTTTGTAGACTATGGATACCTTTAGATTTTCCGTATAGTATTTTCTACCGTTTTTAGATATACAAAACTCACATTAAATAATTATACAAATTTGTCAAGGTTGGATCTGTTTGCCAATGCTTGATCACAAATGTAGGAAAAATGACCGAAAAAGGTCCACTTTGAAACTTTCAAAAACTGTAAATATTTTCAATAAGCTTTCAGCGATCAAAAACTATGATAAGCACTATAAAAACCGGCAAAAAAAAATTAGTTCGCCTCCTCCTAAAAGCCACCCCCCCCCCCGCTAAAAGCCCAGTACCGCCAGGTAAACCGTGCAAAATTACCTAGGGTTCGGGCAAGCGAGTAATTGATTACGCGATGGAAAGGAAGTTTTTTCTATACGCTCCTTCGAGGTTACAGCGTACAGTTTTGTAACTTCTAAACTTGAATACAGTTTTTTCTTTGGCTTCCCCCAAAATAGCTCTACGTTGGGACTGGGATTGACTTCCTCGCATAGCCCCGTTCCATTAGCAACCCCCAATTATTCCCCCTTCTTCCACGTAGAGAAAAGGCATTTGGGGTGCGGATGAGTGGGCTGGAATCTGCCGTGTTGTGCTCTACTTTCAGCTGTGTTGTTTCCGGTTTCCGCGTGGCTACTACGTGCAGGTTTTACTATTGCTTTGTGCGGTGGGCAAAAACGTTAATGGTTTGCTAATAGCATACATCAATAGCAAACAAGAACCATCAAGAACCATCGCTGCTAGCTTGCCTGGGGACTTGGAAAAATTCACATGTAGTTTTCCTCGAGGCAAACAAGCGCAGGTTTTTTGGGAATGGAAATTCTCTAATAGCAAAAGCACAGATTTTTAAGAAGGTCCTAATACCAACGTGCAACTGTAAAAAGCGGAAACCCGAGAAATCGCGGAATTCAACCCCTATTCTCAACGAGGTCTAGACAACTACACGTCGCGCCAAATTACGCCTTTCATTTGAACGTGGCAGCTTCATTAGATACCACTGAAGTAAAACTCACGCAAATTTTCCAGTGTCATTTGGTGCCGCACGTAGCTGTCCGGCCCTAGCCGACAAATTGGGTCGATTTTGGATAATTCAAGCTCTTGGTATGATTTTTGGTGCTGTATCGGATCGCGTTGGAGTTGTTCCGAAAAAATGGGAAATCTTGAAAAATTTAGGGCAATAAACGGCCTCCCCCGCTAACGAACCAGAACCCGAAAGAATTTAGAGCGAAAACGCCAAATCCCGACAGTCAAAATCCTGACAACCAAAATCTCGACAGTCAGAAACCCCAGACCTTAAAAACCATTTTTGGGTAAAATGACCGGCAATATCGCATTTTGGCTGTCGGGATTTTGGACGTCGAAATTATGGCTGGCATCCCCCCCCCCACGCTAACGCACCAAAGCCCATGGAATTTCGAACGTCTAGAATCCTCCCATCCCCGTTGACCCTTTCCAACACTCAACTTCTCGCCAAATGTTCGATATTCCTCGGCCGAAAGGAGGGACCCAAATAGGAGGCCCAGATGGGGGACCCGATTGTGCGTGTCCCACCCCGGCCAGGGCCACCCCCTCCCTGACATCGGCCCTCATTTTTCATAATAAATCCCGCGGCGCGACTTGGATGGGGAGGGGGACGATCTCCCCTGGGGACACCCCCACCCACAGCAGGCCTCCCCTTTAGGAATCCTGGGCCCCTACGCAATGCGCCTATCCACAACTCAGCAGACAGACCCCCGTCTTTCCGCGCCGCCACTCCTAACGATGCTCGATTGACGAGTTTTTATCGAGAAGCAGGGCCCTGGAGGGGGTGTCGGCTAGCCTAACTCGCGATCCCCCCTCAAAACCGGAAGCACTGATATTTTCAAGAGGGTTTGGTGGTTATTTTGAGGCTGTTTCAAATTTTTGAGGGTTATATTTTGTCGGTTTTATATGCTTAGACTTAGGCTTAAGATTGGGCTTAAGCTCTAGCTTAGCTTAGGTTTGGGCTTAGCAGGCTTGGGCTTAGGCTTTACTTTAGGCTCAGGGTTAAGCTTAGGCGGAGGCTTAGGCTTAGGTCTAGCTTAGGCTTAGCTTACGCTTGGGCTTAGGCTTAGGCATAGTTGCCTATGCTCTGTATTAAAAACTATTTAACTCTAAAAAACCGTAAAACAGGAATTGAAAACGATCTCTGGGGTACTGCGTAAATTGGCGTGTCGCGTTGTCTAATCAGAAATACGTCTGGCTTCTTACGACGTCCTTATTTTATGCGCCTTTTTCCGAAGCCGGTTTATCAACTTTCAATCTCACTTTAACGCTATCGCTGCCTTTCAAAAGCCCTCCGCTTTTCGTATTTTTGTCTCTATTTCTTGTCTAGGGCCAATAGAGCTTCTTCTATTTTTTCTTCTTTTGCTTCCCCCGCCGTTCCACCCCGGCTAATCACCCGGGGCCCATGGCCAGCTCTCGCGTGCCCGGCGTCCCTTTAGTTTTGCCAAAAATTCAAAGACGCGAATCGAGCCGCTTTTTTCAGGGGGTATGCCGTCTGGCGGCCTTGGCCCTCGTCGGAAATGGGCCCTCAACCCCCGCAAAATTCGGCATTATGGCCCGGAAAATTGGCAGCAGACTGACCATGGGCCCGCCTGAAAGCTGGCTCGTTTTAGTTTTGCTTTCAAGTCAGGGCACTCTTTTCAGCGCGGCATCGAAATCCCTGTGTGCTTCGATGCGTAAGTAACTCGCGGGGAGTACCGCTATAATTTTGTGCGCGCTTTTGTAGAGAGAGCGGTAATTTGCAACAACGGTGCGCATTCGGGGGCTAGCTAGCGGAGAGCATTAGCCACGCTACACGAGATTCGAGCGAATTTTCAGAGGTGACTTTTGACTGGCCGTCTGCTCTACCTTACTAGAAACTTTATAAAATTTCCTGGAAGACGGTATATCTGGAAAATAGTCAATTTGTTATTTTAATTGAGGTACAAGTTATATATTTTTATATGCATTCTAAAAACAAGCGATGATCGGTTCTTTCCCCATTATCAACGGGAGGGCCATTTTTCCATGGTTTTCAATTTTTTTCCAATTTTTCTGATATAAATCGATCAATTGTTTTTAGAATATTTTTTTACTTGTTCTAAAAGTAAAAACCTTGCATTTTTTGATTACAAAATACAAAAAATATCGAATTTTTTGATCAAAAATGGCCGATTTTTGATCAAAATCTCACCTAAAGAATTTTTTCTAACGTTGCAAAATTGTTTTTAGCTAAAATGTAGTTAAATTTGCTGAAAACATTATAAAAATACTGCCATTACGCAACTATTTTAATACTATTCTATTCTGCTTTAATTTTCTGATTCTATATCCTGACTTTGCCTTCCACAACAATTTCCAGACTCCTCCCCGCTACACCCCGGTTCCCCGGCGATGCTATGTGTGGTGGGCATCGGCGCAGCTACGGGGCAATACAGGAGGCGATTGCCTGTTTGTGCGTCTTCTTCGGGTTGATCGCGATCGTGAATGCCGGCTTCCCATCCGTGGCCTGGTTCGACTGTCCGGCGCGGTGTCAGTGCTACGAGGACCCGCAGGACCATTCCCACTCCGTCCACCTCATCTGCAAATGGGAGCAGGTAGCGTTCATTTGCTGCTAAATGTCAGACCGTATTTCCTCTGCGATTTTGCGTGAATTGAAGCTGATATCGCGAAAAAATTGTGTTTTTGGTCAAAATGCGACCATTTTACCCTCGAATTTCGGGAAGGTGTCGGGATTTTCGCTGTCGAGATTCCTGTTGGTATTTTGCGCTGTCGATATTTGGGCTTATTGGGCTGCCGGAATTATGACTTGTCCGTATCTGGGCTGTCGGTATTTTGGTTGTCGGTATTTTGGCTGTCGGTAATTCGGCTCTCATGACCTTGACTGTCGGGATTTTGCCTGTCGGTATTTTGGCTGTCGGCATCTTGAAGCTTCGACATTTCGAATCGCGCCGTTTTCTATAGCGTTGATTTTTTTCAGTTGAACGAGACAAACCTGCGTGCGCTGGCCCGGCCAGAGTACGTGCGTACGTTGACGATACGATGCCCTCACCTTTCCACCGGAAAAAGCCGACCTCCAGCCGGGCTTTTTGCGGTAATTCTTTGCTATTAAATTATCCTTTAAAAGCGTAGATTTTTGGTTTATTTTATAGATCACATTTCTTATTGCCGGTAATAACTTTTATTGATCTTTTCCCAGGGTCTCCGAAACCTCGACCGGCTCGAGATTGAGCGCTGCCATCTGATGGACCTACCCGCAGATTTATTTGCTGTAAAGAACCCAGTTTCTTTTTTATTTCCGCTTTAGGGCCTCCACCAGCTGTACTCGCTGATCGTGCGCAACGCAAAGTTGGACGATCTACCGGCCAGCATCTTCGACCATCTACCGAATTTGATAACGCTCGATTTGACCGGGAATTCCCTCAAGATCGAGCCGTTCGCGTTGAGGTCGCTGAGGTATGGTAATTGACGCTGCAGGTTATTGAATTTTCCTTTTGTAGAAATGTGATCCACGTCGATTTATCGAACAATTCGATCGCCTTCCTTGCCAACACGCTCATATCGCTGCCAAAGCTCCGCGTCCTCACCATCGACCACAATCGGTTGACGAACATTGATTTTCGAAGGTATCTTAGCAAAGGCTTGGGGCTTATTAGACTTGGGCTTAGGTTCAGGCTTAGCTTTAGGCTTAGGCTGATGCTTAGGCTTAAGCTTGCGCTTAGGTTTAGGCGTAGACTTAGGCTTGGCTTTGGGTTTGGGTTAGGCTCAGGTTTAGGCTTAGGCTTAGGCTTGGCTTAGGCTGCGGCTTAGGCTTGACTTGGCTCAGTTTAGGCTTAGGCTTAGACTTGGCTTAGACTTAGGCTTATGCTTCGCTACGGCTAGGCTTACGCTTAGGCTCAGGCTAGGGCTGAAGATTCGGTTTCGGCTTGGCTTAGGCTGAGCTTTAGGCTTGGCTCGGCTTAGCTTAGTCCTAGGCTTCGGCTTAAGCTTCGGCTATGCTTAGGTTTGGACTGAGGCTTCTCTATAAATGGCTATAGCAAATGATATTCCAGGCTACCTGAAGATTTGACCGATCTCTCGTTACGCCACAACTTTATCTCCACCATCCATTATACTCCCGGAAGCGCAAGGTGGTCTTGTGCTCTTTTCGGAGACCTAGAAATTTTAGGCATCTAAAGCGACTGGATTTGGCGCACAATCAGCTGGATTTCATATCGGGTACGGGTACGGTAAGTTGGGCACGCTTTTAAGCACATACGGAGGTTTTCCAGGTAAATATTTTGCCGAAAGAGCTGAAGACGGTCGACTTATCGCACAATCGGATCGCCTATATGCAAGATGGGACGCTGGAACGGCTTGAGGAGCTGATATTGTTGGATTTGAAGTGAGTGTATAGGTGGTAGGTAGGCTTAAGCTGTACGGTACAAACTATGGCACTGGACTGTTAGCGGTGGGGGTAGGATTTTTAGCAGGGGGAATTGATTTTTCCCAGTAATCCTCTACCGTTCCATAGCCAAAATAAACCATTTTTATGGCATCTTAAGCAGTTTTTTGATATCAAGGTTTGTTAAAAAATGCGAATTTTGACGTTTTGTTAAAAAATGTATGAAAAACCTTTTCGAATCTTCACGATACATAAAATATTTTTGCTATTTTCTAGCAATTAAAAACTAGTTAAAATATTATAAAATACGTTTTTATTAACATCAAGGTATACCTATAGCTAGAGTTTTATATTATACGTAAATTACGTATAATATAATAAATAAGTAATACGTAAAGCGTAAATAGCTAAAGCTACCTGCTAAACCCCCCTGCTAATAGTCCAGTACCCAAAAAATTTAAAAAATACTAGAATACGGGAGGAGAACATGCGTTTTTAGGAACAACTCGTTGGCGGAGCTGCGGGAGAGCTCGCTGGCCGGGCCGAAGAATCGGCTGAAGCTGCTGCTGGCCCATAACCCCTTCACGTGCACCTGCTCGCTGAAGTGGATGCTCCACCCGACCACCAAGGTTTTTAAAAGTTTTAGAAGTACCTAAGCTTCAGCCTAAGCGCAATCCCAAGCCTGCCGAAGCCGAAGCTTAAGCCTAAACCTAAAGACTAAAATCGAAAAGTTCCAAATTTTAAAAAATTCTAAAATATACAAAAGTAATCTTAAACTTCAAACTACAAACATCCAAATTTTTCAGTCCACCCCAACGGTTTTGGACGTCGATTCGGTGGAGTGTGCTCATCTCCTACAACCGGAAATCAGGCTCAACCTGACGGTAGCCGACCGGAAGAACGAGCTACTGTGTAAATACGAAAATGTAAGTCAAAGAGATTTTATTACGTTTCTTATTGGTGTTTTTTTAGATTAAGCAATATTATTTTTGCATTTTATAGCAATGCCCCGCCTCTTGTACTTGCTGCCGATTCCCATTTTGTGAGTGCCGCATCGATTGCCCTAAAGGCTGCCAATGCTACCGTAGCTCCAGGGATGACAACGAAAATGTAAGGTTTAAGCTAATTTTTTTTACTACGGCGTGTGCAGCTACTTCAAAACGTCATCCGCTGCGAGGGTCTCCGCATCGATAAGCTTGACGAGGTTTGATAGACCCGGATTACGGTATTTGAGCCAATTTTTAGATCCCGGATTCGGTGACGGAGTTGCAGCTATCTGGCGACTGGCACAGCTGGACGCCCGAGAAGTTGGGCAAGTTGGATCGGCTGAGATTTTTGAACCTGACGAATGCGCGGTTGAGGAGTCTGGAGTCGGTAGGTCGCTAGTCTACCGTAGACGGAGCATATTTTTGATGTCTTGCGTAAGCTATTAGTCATTCAATTAATCTTATTAGAAAACTAATATCTTCAGTCGGAGCTGGCCACATTTCCGCGGCTCTCCGGGCTGGACCTCGGCTCCAACGAGTTCACACAGATCCCGGCGCAGCTGCCCGGCATCACGCAGCTGTACATTGCCAACAATCCGCTGAAGGTTGGGTGGATACGGTGTTCGCTAGGGCAGAATTTAGGAATTGAGCACGAAGGATTTGTTGCTGTTTGAAGGGATGCGTAGAGTGGCAATTGGAGGGCAGAGAAATCGGTGGGTGGATGGGGGAGAGAGAGAGGGAGAGAGAGAGAGAGAGAGAGAGAGAGAGAGAGAGAGAGAAAGAGCGATCGAGGGAGATGGAGAGAGGAAGAGAGAGGGAGAGAGAGACAGCGACAGACAGAGAGAGAGAGAGAGAGAGAGAGAGAGAGAGAGAGAGCTACAGAGAGAGCGACAGAGAGAAAGTGAGAGAGACAGAGAAAGCGAGAGAAAGAGAGCGAGAGAGTGACAGAGAGAGAACTGGCAAAATCTCCGGACTCTATAGTTGGGAATGCGATTGTGATGCTCCCTCCTCGCTTCAACGCTGGCTTCGCGTTGAGGGAAATCGAGACAAGGTAGACCCACTACCGTACCCTAGCAATCCAGCGCATTTTAGGTCAAAGATCTCGCCCAGGTGTACTGTAACCTCCCGCTACATGGCCGCATCCGCATCGAGCGTACTTTTCCGGATGCAAACGGCACGCTGTGCCCGAAGGAGGAAGAGGTTTGTAAACGTTGTAGATTGTAGCCCAAGCCAGCCAGTCAGCAAAAATTTTGTAAACCTTTAGGATACCTCAAATTGGGTGAAAATGGTCAAAAATCTGGAAGATCGAACATCTACCGTAGTCTATGGAGTGTTCGAGGTAGGTTAATTTAATTAATTTAAGTTAGTATGAATTTTTTCGAGCATAACGCCCGTTTAGCCCTCAACAAGCACCATCCAGCCAATTTTACTTGCAAAAGAGGAGCAAACAGCCCGTCATCACCCCTTTACAACGACGCCTAAACCAACGGCATCCGAAATGGAAAAACCGGTAGATGATGATGCCGAGGTGTTCTTTCCGGGGTTTGTTTACCGTGGATTACGGTATTCACGGCGTTTTTTAGTCGCCCCGACTTCCGGCCGACTGTCATCACTGTTCGGACGCAGAAACCGAATTGGCGGCCCCCGAAGCGGAAAGCTAGGTTTGATAATTTTTTTCGTGATGATCACTTCTCTAAAAAACTTTCATGACTGCTATTTTGTAACAAAAAACGTGAAACTACCCAATTACACACGAAAAGCCCGGCTCAACTTCCCCCAAAACCCGGCAAGCACAAAAAGCAAAACGTTTACCCGCATCCAATTACCCCTGACCCCCCTGAAATTCGCCCAAATCTCTCCAAAACTTACTACAAATAAATGACAACTTTTTTGTAAGTCTTAAAGTCGTATTTTGCTAACATTTTACTAACGTAATCGACGTTTTTAGCTTCTAAAACTGAAAACCATTTCAGGGAAGACCCCAACGATACGCATCGCTTCCTGAACGCGTTGATCTTTGTGCTTTTCGTGGCGGTGATCCTGCTGATTATCGCTGTCGGGATTACTGTGTATTTTAGGTTAGTTTTTTTAGGTATAAACAAGCTTTTCTTTCAGGTTTACAAAAACTGACGTTTATATCGGCTCTCATCGGGAACCGGCGCTGGAACAGAGGCCGCTGAACGCATAATTTCCATTTTTCTATCGTTCTTTGCCACCAGTCTTTCTATATTTTGTAGATAAACTTTTTCAATACCTTTTGTTAATACAGATGATGTAAAAAAGAGTGCAACGACAAGCTACGCTATCAAAATCCTATCTTTAGGCTCATTGACGTCATTTCAGAAGCTGTGCCCCTACTTTTCCGCCGAAATTTATTGTTTTTCGGTATCTGGATAGGGTATACCTTGAGTTTTTAATTTTCAAATTTTTGTTAGGGTACAGTACGATTTGCTGTACGATACGATACGACCGAAATTGAAGCAAAACAAGCTATTCTCTCTCCGATCTTCGAAATTCCCGATTTTTTTGCTGGAATTTCGGCATCTTGTGGGCAACCGTTACATTTTTTCGGCAAAAATACAAATTCATCGCCATAAACGCCATCCAGGTTACGTGTTTTTAAACGGGGTTCTGTTCTATTCCGCGGGGGGGGGGGGGGGGATATGCTTCGCGGAAACTTCCATCTTTTCGCTATTTTCTCGGGATTTTTGCAACGCCATTCGATAGAGCATCAAAAAATATACTAAGAGTTTTAATTTCATCCAAAATTATGTTTTATAAAAAAGTTATAGCAAAAACAAGTTTTATACGGTGTTTCCACATGGGATCGTGGAGTCGAAAGCTCCTTTTCGACATTTTCGATATCTTTCAAAAATTCCTTTAATGCCATTCGATAGAGTGTCAAAAATTATACTAAGAGTTTTAATTACAACTCAAAATAGCATTATATAAAAGAGTAATAACAAAACGAAGAAAATCCCCCCCGCACAGTTTCCCCCCCCCCCCGCGAAATAGAACAGTACCTTAAACGGCTTTTAAAAGCGGCCGTCGGGCTCCCAGAAATGATGTGAAAATTACAGTAATTTTGTTTTTCAAATTTCTAAATTGCGGGGTTTCGAACATCGCTTCAGCTCACCGAGAGCTATCGATAGATACCTAAATCTTAAAAATCCGTTTAGCGTATTTCGCTGGAATATCTCGATATCGTGGTGTGCAGGTGCTGTTGTATTGGTGTGGATGATGGTGTGCCGGATATGGCCATCTGCCCGTAATATTCCACCCATCCACCCTGCCATGCCCTGTTGCCAGTTGTATCAACCACCCACTTATACAGCCCCCACCCCTTCTCACTCGCTAAATTATGCTCCCCTCCGGTTAGTCGCGCCAGATTTGGGTTGTAAATATTCAGAGACGGGAGATGTCTTGGCCCAGTAGGAATTATACCGCATTATCATCATCGGCAACTCATTATCCATTTTATTTTTGTTACCATCATCGGTAACTCATTTATTATAAGCTAATTTTTGTTTTGCCACTTATATGGTCTTGTTAGCAATAGTTACTGTATTTTTATCGTGTCTTCAGTAGTTGTTGACTGCTAGAAAGGTATAAAGATATTTTTGGAAAATTTGAAAATGGAAATTAATGGAAAACTTAGAGTCTTTTTGGTCATTTTTTATATATGCCTCGCCAAAAATTCAGAAAACGCCAAAATTTGTATATTTTTAGGATTTTCGTGACGTTTTCGCATCGTAACGTAGTATCGTAACGTAGTTTTATTGCAACGTAGTCATGTCGTGATGTAGTCGTATATTAACGTCGTCGTATCGTAATATAGTCATATCGTAACGTAGTCCTTATCGTAATATAGTCGTATCGTAACGTCGTCGTATCGTAATATAGTCATATAGTAGCGTAGTCGTACCGCAACGTCGTTGTATTGTTACGTGGTCGTATCGTAACATAGCTGTATCGTAACGTAATAGCCTCGTAACGTAGTCGTATCGTGACGCAACCGTACCTTTCCTCTGTATTCAGGGTCCGGTCGCGAATATTCAATGCCAAGAAACACCCTAACGGTTAGAGACTAACCCGTTGGAGTAGGGGCCAATGCTGATCTCACGAATCCCAACGGGGATGCCCCCTTCAGAGATGTCTGTCACCTCGAATTGTGAAGACTGCCATTCATCACCCCTCAAACCCTTATATACACGCATAGACAGCCAGATACCCTCCTTCCAGTCAACCCCGGCCCGGTGCCAGTCGATTGGGGGTGGCATACGGTAGCTAGGATTCTTTTTATACTGCGGGCTTCTGGAGCGCTTGCTTTATGCTTGATAGCTTTTTAGGCGCCGCACCCATTCTACATTTTGGTTCTTTGGCAATATCGGGGGCATATTAGTATATTGGCAATCTTCAACTTTTTTCTAATCAATTTTTCGAAATAAAAAATCCAATTTTTCTACTATAAATCGAGCCAGTGTTTCTCAAATGTTTTTCACTGATGCTAAACGTAAAAACTTACCAAATTTTGATAAAAAAAAAACAAAAAATATAAATTTTCGATAAAAAATGGCCGATTTTCGACTAAAATTTCGCCTAAAACTTTTTAAAAGCTTTTTTTGTTTTTTTTTTCGCTTGATTCAGAGCTAGTGTTTACTAAAGATGCTATTAAAATAGTTTCTCTTACATTGCTAGTCATTTTTGGAATTTTTGGAACGGTGCCCCCCGATAATGCGAAAGAATCCACATTTTTTTCATTTTACCTTACTCCATTTTCTCTATTCTGTCGCCATTTCCGCTTTTCATCCCCAAAAGTTTTCTGTTATTCATCATTTTCCATCGATTCCACCGCATCCAATCATTTTTTATTCACAACACATTTTAAAGGGACGTTGAAACGAGGGGGAGTGAAGGCGGGCATTTCATTCTTTGTCTTCTAGCTGGAGATAATCGATTGTTGGCCATTTCATCGTGTCTTCCTCTGCGTCTCTAGCAGCAACCAGAGCCGTGTCCCTAAAATACACTTTTATTTAGATTTTATTTTTCAAATTTACCTTATGCTGTTCACCGGGCAATGGGAGAGTGTGGCCACGGCAATGCTCCGTCTGTAACGGGATGTATTTTGTAGCCTCAAGCCCTATGGGCCCTAGGGCTACCGTAGTACCTCGTGCTCGTCCTGTTCCCACGTCGACGGGTCATCCCATTGGCGGGGCTTCGTGTAGATGCAGCAACAATTCGACTTCAGCCTGCCCATGTGCTCGTTGTCTAAATGTGGCCCGGTTACAGTAATGTGCTGTAGTGTACTTTAGTCTATTGTAGCGTTGTGTATACCAGTAAATGTTTTCCCTACCAACGACATCAGCGGCCCAGGTGACGTGCGGGCGCTCGACTTCTTCCGGCCGGGAAGTGAGGCGGAGCACGAGGGGTTCTGTCTGAAAATGGCATAGAGACGGTATTGTACTGTTTACGGGGGAGTATATAGCTACCTAGCGATCCTCAAGTCTATTTTTATAGTTTTCGCAGTTTTTTAAAGCCATAAATTAATTGTTAAAAAATTTAAAATTTCACAGGAAGGAAAGCATAAGCCAGAATCACAAAATTCTTAACTGCGAAAAACGATACCTGCAACTCCTCGCGCGTGCGGACCTGGGTCGGGACGAGCGTGGCGGTGCCGCTCATTTCTGAGATATGACGTGCAACCCGTTTTTCTTTGCTGCTTCTCAGAGTCTGAATCCATTACGCCATGCTAATCCACGTCCAGTCATTCTCAAATTCGCGGTCTCAATTGCTCGAACTCTGTGTTTCCCTAAAAAAATCGTAAAAAACATCATCAGTCCATATCTGCGTGCCCCGAATGACTGACCCATCGACGATGCGAATGTCGATAAACCACCGTGAACGATGCCGAATGCACGATCTGAACGAGGCGCTCGATGATTTGAGGTGTAAAATCACAACCCCCGACTAGGATACCCCCATTTTCCAGAGCCGTCATCCCGTACGCTCACGGCAGTTCGGTGCGAAAATTGAGCAAGATCGCGACGTTGCTGCTGGCCAAGAACCACATACTCATGCAGGTTGGCCGTGCTCTAAAATAAGGCTGACAACAGAAGTTTTGATTTCAGGCCAGTGCCATCGACGAGTTGCGGGTGGTTGTGGAGCAGTTGAAAAAGGATCTCGAGCAACGAGGCACAAAATCGACGGCCAGCACCGACAGCGAATAAATTTTGCCTTGAAAGGTCACACCGAAATTTTGCGCAGAAAACCAAAAAGTACACATATAAACAATAATTCTATATTTATTAGAAGTTTTACGCCGTTAAAAAGAGGCCACCTTACTCGTTCGTAAACAAGGAATTTTGCGGCGTTCTTTTCGAGAAAAGGATATTTGTAAGGCGACCTACGAAAATCTACATTATCACAGCAAGCATTTCAAAGGCCACTGAGCGGACAGCACAAACACTAAAAGGCAGAAACAGACTCGAAAATACATTATTTGGCAAGAAAAGCCATGATGGTGCGACCGGTATCTGGATAGGGGCGGGGAATAATTCAGGGGATGATTATGCTCTAAATATACAAAATACTGCTGATTGATTATGCGAGGAGATGATAGTATTATTACTTCAGAAAAAAATGAGGTCAGTGGAGGGGAAGATAAGTAATATGTTGTGATGGAGAACAGGGTACACGTCAATCTTTGATTAAGCAAATGCACAAGTATAAAAAAATAAAAAGTAGTTATTGTAACCGTTCGAGGACCACGTGAATGTCGTCAAAGTAGAACCTAGAAATAAAATAGTACTATCTACAATAGACAAAAATACCTTATATATCTATCGAAAGCGCCTGGGATGAAATCTTCGAAGTGAAGTGCGCCAAAAAGCGCCAACAAGGCCTTCAGCTTGAACTGACTGCGATAGCGGATCGTCACCGTACTAAAAATGAAATTAACAACAGGCCTCGCAAACCAGACCTGCGCTCCGTGCTGTCAAACATCCGATTTAAAACCGACTCATAGGCCTCGGGTTTCCACGTTTTCCAGTCTGCCGTCTAAATCGTCGTTAAAACAAAACTTAAAATACCGTACCCGGTTCACTTCTAATATCGTGGAATTTGCAACGAGCCGCTGTACGGATGCCAAATAGCTTTGGCGAGAGCCGATGTTCCCGAAGTCTAGTGTAGTCTCCATCCCGCTGAAAAGAATTGAATAAAATTAACTGTAGTCATCTACCTTTGACGCCTAGGCCCCCGAACAAGCGCTCGCTCCACAGCGGCTCCAAAATTCTCGGGATCGCGGCTCCTGACAGTCACGCGCGAAACGTCGACAACGAGCGCGTCCAGTCCGGTCATTTTCCAGTGATGAAGCTCATGGCAACAAGCTAAAACGACGCATTCAGGCAGGGATTGATACTAACCGTTATTCGCTTTGATATTGTGCTCAAAAACGCTTCTTTTCAGCATGAAGCCATAGGCAGGGGCGTGTTCAGCGACGCGATAAACGGCTTGTTCATCTCGGGAAGTGCGCTGGAGACCTGGAAACCAATAAAAATCATTTTTTCTGTTTTTTTTTTATTCACCATTCCAATTAAATCCTTGGACCAACGAGATATCGTCATCTTGGCGCATTACGGACAGCAACTGGGCCATCGTTTGCAGTAAAGCAGCTGTGGGTGTTGTCTAAAACAGAACTTCAAGGTTTGAGCCGAAACCCACATCTTCCTCCAGAACAATCACTTCGGTCGCCTTCGGAAATAGAGCAAAAGCCGCCTCCACAGACATTTTGAGCATATCTTAAAAAGGGTGGTCAGCTGATGAAGTGCGAAGTTCGTCTACCATTGTATTGGCTCGAAATATTCAGCGAGATCGGCTTCGCGTGGAAGAGGGCGGCCAGATCGGCGGGCTCTTTGTATTGGTGGTTGTGCGAGACGAGGAGCATCTAAAAGAGTGGTTTCCGCCAGTTATGCACGACAAACCTGTGTATTTATCCCAGGCAAGGCCAGTAGTGCTTCTAAAGTGATCCTCAGTGAGTCGAAATCGAGCCCTGAAATTATAAGCTCGCCTTCTTCAAATACGTAATTTCTTATTTTACAGTTAATTATTATCTCCTTTAAATCGAATAGAAAAATAGTCCTCCGCCTTACCGGAAACGACGATAATCGGTACATTATAAACTGGATGGCCGCCGGATTCCTTGTCCGACGCTGGCATCGGGATGATGGGGCGGTCGATGGCTTTTTCTAAATTAGGCACATTACCACTATTTTTTTTCTTATGCACTAACCTCCGCAAAACTCGTCATGGCCATCATATTTCGCGCAGAAATGACGTTTTGGGATGTTTTGGCGCTGAACGACGCGCAGTGAAGCCACGTCCTTATGCCCGGATACTGCAAAAAAAATATTTATGAAAATCGCAATAAAACATACAATTGATTGGGACGCAAATCCAGGTCTTGATCGGCGCCGGCCAGTTGTTTCCGGTTGGGTAATTCAAGTCCTGAAGCCGTGTATAAGTGGCTGGAAACTATGGCTACCTCAAATGGCGTGTACGCGTTGATGCCTTTTTGGCCGACAAAGTACCACGCCGCACGGAACTTGATGCGGTGAATCATCGAGCTGCCCAACTCGTACAGGATCTGTTTCGCCATTTCGGAGAGTCTAAAATGAAACCTATTGAAAGGCGCTCAAGCCAACGTTGTAGAGGCTTCATCGAAGCTGACTGCTGCGACGATCTGGCCGGGTTCTACAAGGTCGAGAAAACGCTCCAGGCCGCTGCTTTCTGGAAAAGCTGATATAAGGTAAACGCTACAATCCTACCCTGTTCGTAGGTATCGAAATGGCCGACGCGGACGACTGCACGGCTTTTTGGGTCGATCACAGCCACGTTCAGCCCTCGACCGGCGTCATTCAATTTTCGGGCAAAGACAATCCTGAAAAAAGGTGATCGGTCTCGATTTCTCATAGATTTTCAAGATCTCCAAAGCCCGCTAAAATAGCTCATAAATCCTACAACTCTACCTGTCTCCTATGCACATTTTCGGCGCATCTTCCTTGTTCAGCCCCGAGTAGAAGTACATCGGCAGCTCGTCTAAAAATATAAAAGTCTTAACTCGAATCCCACCTTCACCGCAGCTCGTGTCTCTGCCGCAATTGGCCCACTGATCGCCAAGCTTCACATTTACACGAACAGGTTCGAGGAATTGGGCCAGCTTCTTTTCGTCGACCCTAGAGGCACTTATTAATATGTCTAGTATACGAGAACGTACCTATTGACGGTACCGGTGTTCTGCAAATACGAGACGTTCCTAAGATCGCCAAGCGGAAACCCGTAACAGCCATCGAGCAGGGAGCGCGGGGTCGCCAATTCGCTCAGGGAGTACGTCTGGATAAGGCCATTAAATTTTTAACACGAGCAACTGCGATTGAGCTGTTTGTTCAACCTGATCGTATCCTCACCAATTCGACGGCCTGTCCACTTGTCAGACCCCATTGGCCGAGCATCGCGTAGGCCGACCCATGCCGCCAATCTTGGATCTGTAAAGAATGTAATGAGCCACGGAAAATTCCATGCCTTCACAGCTCCAAACAGAGCCAGCAGCTTCCGGGCGTCCGGCGAGATGTATTCCGCTACATCGCCTAACGAAACCAGCAAAATCACCCGGTACTCCTTCATTTGCCTGAAAAAGCGAACAGCTTTGTCAAAGGATCCTTTTCTTACCGTAACCAGCTGATCAGCGGCTCGTCCGTCTTCTCGACATCGAAGGAAAACATGTTCTCGCTAGTCAGCGTGTCCTCTGCATCAAAAGTTTTATGACAAGGAGAGTAAATTACCATTCAACACCAAGACATTGACGCCTTTCTTCAGGTCTTTCGCTTCGAATATCCTGAAAATCGCTTGATGCCGGCTTGTTTAACAGCTTACCAACAACACACGACCACTTTTCTTTTTCTAACTCACTTTAACTCATTGAGACAGCCGAAGGGCGAGCTATGACGCGTCTCGGCGCCCAATTTGATGGTCAATTCAGGAGACGCGCATTCCCGTTTGTACACGCATCTGGTGTCTCCTGAAATCGTTCAATTTTACTGCGGCTTCAAAACTTACTCCTCTCCTCTTGCGTTATTATTGGTTGTGGCGGGGCCTGCTGTTGCGGAGGCTTCGGTTGAACGATAGGTTCGAAGCGGAATGGTACTAGATTTGCAAATAGCAACGCAACTCAGAATCGCCAACCTGTTCTCACCGGAGTTTCGTCTGGCGCTCGAGGTGCATTGTAGAGCGCGCGAAAGAATAATAGAATCGACGCGAATGCGACGATCCCTAGGAGCAGCCGCTGCGGCGCCAGTCGCGGCAGCATCCGCACTGACTCTCCGTCGGCTCCCCTTTGGTGTCGCGCCTGAAAGTGAGAAAATTATGAGCTTCAGTGTAGATCAACCATTGCGGCCAAAAACCGGATTGAAAACCATCTGAAAGCCGCTTAAACATCTATTTTGGCGTGATTTCGTTAATTTGTGATATAAAAATTATCGTGAATAGCCACAATATCGCTGTTCGGTCAAAAATTTTGGGGAACCGACCGCAAATGTAGTGTCAAAGAACTTCAGAAATATACTTTGAAAGTTTGAGCGAAGCGTTATACTAATATCTTTTTCTGAGCGCGTTTTTTTTGGGCGCAGAGCCAAGGCACGCGCGTGCCGCACTCTCGCAGATGATCGCAACCGGGAACCGCATTGTCGCAAGGGGCAAAAAGCCAATTTCATCCCGGTCTCCGCCCCAAACATCGACGAGAAAAGCGATAGAACAATCGGTCTCGCCGCTCGGCATGAATTGATGGGATGGCTGTTGCGAGCAATGCAGCGCTTCAAATTGCCGAGTGTAGCGTCTCGTATACCAGTAATGGGGCCCTTCAAATTGGTTGGGGCCCCGAAAAGAAAAAGTTTTCCCCGGAGACCGCATCTCAAATTGCTCTAGCCGGGCGATCCGCGAACATTTCCGCAACAATAGGAAATAGGGCTTGTGGAGAATACTAAACAGGGGAGGAAATGGGGGATCAAATCGCATTTTTTAATGTTTAAACGTTTGAAAACGTTTGAATGGAGTTGCAAGTTGGCCAGGCTTTTTTTGCATCCTCGACTCGTGAAAAAACTAAGATGTGTAAATAACAGTTTTATTTCCGCTTTTACTGGATTCCTGGATCGTTAATTTCCAAGAAAGTCCATTCAAAATCTGATTTTCAGCGCCCTGCCATCAATCCACGTTGGTCGCCACTGACAGTATGGCTGAAGAACCGAAAGCCGATACCTTACCAGGTCACTTTAACTTCCTAAATAATCTCCTCAATTCCAGGCGAGGCTCGCTTTCCGCGCTGTCTTCAACTCGAAAGGGACACGGGCAAAAATGCCGGAGTGATCGCAGCAGAGCTTTTCCAGAGAGTCTGCAACATATCTCCGGTATAGGTGTTACATGTCTATGTATATTTTTAAGTTAAGCCTCCCCAATGCACCTATAACAACACGACAGATGGCTTCATCGCCTCCCTGGTTTTCAACGATCGCACATTCACGTCCTTGCCATTTCCCGCGAAGAGAGATGCTCGTTTTGATTGTTTAAGGCTTGTCAGTGAGGTAAAATAATGCTATAAACTGAAATATTTCTATTTTTCAGGAGCTATTGAAGATCAGTCGTAAAAATGAGAACGAAAAGGATCTCCCGATGATATTTCAACGGGCCGACACTTTTTCCGAACTCCTGCGTGCACATACCTATGCTATGTTGGACAAGTAGGGTTTATTGAGTACAAGTGGATTGTTTTAAGGTTATATCAGGAAAGTCCGATCGGCTCTGGTACCGAAAAAGTGGTCGCGTCGATTTTCATGGTATTTTTGAGATATTTTTAAAAGACAGCTTCTGCAGCTCGATCACCAGTTGAAAAATATGCAGTGCATTAGCCTGGCCACCGGCAACAAGTGCATTACCAGTAAGTGAATTTAATTTATTGTCATTGTTTTTTTAGGAAACAACATTGGCTTTGCTGGTCAAGCCGTCGTCGATTGTCATGCAGAAATTCTGGCGCGCCGCGGCTTTCGTCGGTCCGATAGTTTTTATTTTTTCACACCTTGCTAGGTTTCTCTACGCTCAACTAAATGCTACCGCCAGGACGCCGGAAAATTCGATTTTGGAGCCGTCTGGTCTAGGTAATATCCTTCCTTTTTTAACGTATCTTTTTAGGCAAATGGAAAGTGAGGTCGCACTTTTCTTTCCACCTATTTATCAACACAGCGCCATGTGGAGATGGGCGTCTATATTCATTGGAACGTAGGCTCTTTCTTTCCGGCTATTTATATTTCAAAATAGCCGGCTCCGAGGAGGAAGCGGAAGCGCAAGCCCCGTGGATCGACCGAAACCCCGGGAGACTTCGATACAAGATTGAGAATGGTACGCAAAATATGTCAAAAAAATTGCTTTCTAGGGATGGGCACCGTTTTGGGGAACGACGAATTTTGCCAGACAGTCGACAGTTTCGAACGATTACTGTGGGCTTGATTTAGGAAGGCATTCAATGATTTTTTAGGATACCGTGTTGCTCGGACAAAATTTTGCGCTGGAATGTTCTTGGGCTACAAGGCAGCCTGCTAGGGCATTTTTTGGAACCGGTTTGGAAATGATTATCTTGAAATATATGTTTTAGGTATACCTACGTACAATCAGCGTTGGCGAGCTGTACACGTCGCGTGTAGACCGTGCCGTTTCCAAACGGCTCCAAGGCTTCCAACCCACCTGGAAGCCTTTCGAACTTAATCACCCTGCCTGCCTGCCTTGTCAACTGGTAACTGTTGGACAAAGGTTGCAATTGCCGTTTTCAGCCATATAATCGTGTCGTGTTTGTCGGCGTGTCAACGGAGAAGGTATCGGTGAACTGGAACGTTGTCGACGGCTTCCTGGAGGCCATTACAACAAATACGGGCCGACGACCGAACGGCGGTATTTTTTTTTCTCGTATACAAACCGATTCATTTAGAAGTATCTCGCTTGGCGCCCTCCTCATTTTTTGCGCTATTTCGTGATGCCCACGACCATTTGACGGGCCAGAAACTACCAGGTATGGACCGTGCCTTAATTCTAATCTATTGTTCTTCAGAAACCGCCTCATACTCACAAGTCAAGTTGTCGAACGAGACGTACTACCAATGCAAGAAGGCGATGATCAAGCGCCTTGCCGACAGCGGCATGGGACGATGGCTGGTATGGAATGTTTTGAAACTGCAAAAGTATAATATTTTAGGCCAAACCGCCGGAGCACTCTCAGTTCACGGTCGACATGCTGCAACCTATTGTAGCGTAGATTTTTCTGGTGTCGATTTCATGTATTTATCGTGATAAACCGTTGTTTGGTGCGGGAGAATTTACGGCGATCAAAAATGCACCACATATCCCGAATCTACATACATTCTTTTTGGGTTTGGGGCGATTAGAATAATGTCGATCTCTGGTTTGGGGGTGATAGAATTCCGTTATTCATGTAACTGCTCGTGGATGCATGCTCTCCTTTTCCTATTTTCTGAGGTAAATTTTTCTCACCTCTAGCCGGTAATTTCTGCAGTCCCTGCTCGTCCTCATCACGCTAGTCGCTTGCTCCAAGAAGAAGCCTAATGGTGCGAGGGATCTATCCCATATAACAGCAATTTTAGATCCAGCGTCAAAAACAGGCGAGGCCACGGCTTCGCAGCCTGTAGATGCAGAAGCCGCACCTGTCGCACCACCCCCACCCCCACAACCCCAACAGCAGCCAAAGAACATCGACATAAATGAGGACGAGGTGCCGCTGCTCAAGGCCAACCCTAACGGACTCATTCCAATACCACCTGTGAGGATTTTCAATCGTTGAAACTAGCCTTACGCTCATAGGGAGCCGCCCCTCAAAGTGTCAGCGAACTCGACATCGAGATGCCACCGGAACTGGAGCTGAAGAGCTGCAAACTGGTAACAAATCGCTACTCCTCCCACCCACCAAAATTTTAGCCGACCGTGGACGGGGGCACCGTCCCGACGCCCAACCGTGGCAAGAAAGCAAGTGAGAAGAAGAAGTGCACGATCAAGCGAATCGGAAAGGTGCTAAGATGTTCTGGACTGTTAGCGGGGGGGGGGTTATATCAGGGGTAAAAGTTAGCGCAGGGACTATAGTAGCTTTTGGTTACTAAAAAGTCGTGGAAAAATTCGACGAAATTGATACCTTGCCAGGCGATGAGCGAACGTTAGGCACCGTTACCCCCCCCGGCTAACAGTGCAGAACCCAAAAATTCTATATCGAAGGAGTTACCCGCACCTTTAGAAAACAGCGCCTGCTCCCAAGGCGCCTGATGTGAAGAAGGAGGACGAGCCGAAAAAGGACGCTTCAAAGAAGGGGGATTCCGAAAAGAAAAAGGAATCGGAGAAGAAGAAGGAATCGGAGAAGCGGAAGAACAACTCGGGCAAATCAGCGAAATCTGGAGCATCGGTAAGCCGGCTGGCGTTGATGCGCGGTTCATGGGTATTTTTAGAAAAAGTCTGGCCCGCAAATTGCCGAGGTGTCCGGAAAGAACATTTCGAAGGTGGAACGGCCGGACTGGTGGTAGGAATTTTGTCTTTCATGAACGCTATAGCTATAGACTGTTGCGTGATTGGCAGCCTTGATTTTGATGTAGATTTCCATGGAACACTTTTTAGCGCCCTGGACGACGCTCCGACGAAGAAGACGAAAAACGAGCCGGAAGAAACCCCAGCGACAGCCCTTAAAATCGAGACTACCCAAGGCAGCGATGACGTCAAGGCCTAGAAGTGTGCAAGGACCAAAATCGCCACCGGCGCCGTCATTATGCCCACCACTTGCCCCGATCCTATTAACCAAAAATGCGTGTCGTAAATACTTGTGATTGAAGTATACTTGCTGTTGGAAACTCACGTGTTTCCAGATAAAAGTGCTTATACGTACAAAAATTGGGAAAAACCCCCAACATTCAGACGCTGATGAATTAGCAATTGCTGCTGGCGTGCTTTGTGGTCTTATCACCCGGCGGGTCATGGTTAGCTATGCCTCCTGCCACCAAAATTTTGCGATGTTGGGATATGGTTCGATTGCTTATCGCTAACTATGCGTTTGGGTCTTCTGTCTTCTTTCTCTAAACCTTCCACCTGGGCTGCCTCCTTTCCGCAGCACGTTTCGTGTCGTTGCAATGCTCCAGAATTTTGAGAAAGTGATGGCCTTCTCGCCGTCATCCGTTAGTGAAGAATGTGATGGCGCTAAACGGTTATTCCCCCGGTTCTAAAGTTAACAATTTCAGTGAGGATAAAGTTTGCCGTGTCTGTGGTGACAAGGCCATCGGATATAACTTTGGCATTGTGGCTTGTGAATCATGTAAGTTGGCTTTGACTTGTCTTTGACTCATTATTTAGGCAAGTCATTTTTTCGACGGCAGGGGACGAAGGCAGAGGTCGGTGGCGCGGAATTGGTTCTAGTATAATTTAGACATTGAGCTGTCCCTTTAGCGGACACTGCGAAATCAACACACAATCACGAAGGTACTGCCAAGCATGTCGGCTAAGGAAATGCTTTGAGGTTGGTGGCTGAGATAAATCAATGGCTTATTCAACCAGTTTCAGTAAAAGCTTATGGAGTTTGTTAGCTTTTAACTATATAAAGTAACGTACGTATCATGTAACAGATTTTTTGTTAAGATGGGAATGTCGACGGAAGCTTTGCGCAAATGCGAACGTGAACCGGGGCCCAGCCACTCAAGGAAACGGCAGAAAGAACAGCCCGGCAAAGAGCCCGAGGTAGAAATTGATACTACTAATTTGTTTCACCTACTCCAAACCTAAGAGCCTACTTCAATTGAACTAACTTAATTAGTTAAACTTTAATTAATTAGGATTCCAACGACAGCCCAGATGAGGTGACGATACCCCGCGAGGTCTTCCAGGAGTTGATCCGAAAATCAAAAGCTGGAGAGTGAGTCCTCAAAAAGGAAAGGCATCTAAATTTTTTACAGGAAAATTACAGAATGTATCTGCCAGTGCAAATGCGGCTTCTACCCGAAGGGGACCAAGCTGGTAGCACGAGAAACGGATAAATTGCCGAGCAACGAACGATGCCTGGAATACAAACCCGTGCAGCCATTTTCGCCGGCGTATTTCCCGATGAGCCCGCAGACGGGGCTCGGGAACGGCCACATGTCGGCGATTCCCGCTCCGGCCCAATCTTTGTATCTGGCTGGCCAGTTGCCACAAGGGATCGACTTAAGCTGGTATGAACTTAGTAAGAATCAAATAAAACCACGCTTTGATCATTTAGGTACAGCCCGAAACTAATGGCCGGCATCGCGAGGATGTAAGCGGATCTGATATGTTGTTGCAACCCAATTAAGGCCACCTCCACTTGTCGTCCAGCCAGCGTCAATGCCCACTCAGTTGGCACCGAGCCCGACGATTGTGGCGGCACATGGTAAGAGCACTTGTATTCCTTAAGCCAATAATATTACACGTTCACCCATAGAAGATATATTTAGGTAGCTCCCCAATAAACACAACACCGCTAAACATTGTGCCAGTAAGAGCGCCAAGTAAGCCACCTATAAAACTTTTCCGACTTCTTTAGTTGACACTCCCGAGAGCATAGCAGCGGTGCTCGAGCCAGAACTTCGAGGAAAGCTATTGGTGAGGGACCCACCAGTGCTTTAATGCGAATATCTTCATTATTTAGGAGCTAATCCGCGCGAACGAGTGCCTCAAAGCGCCGCTAGAAATTGAGATGGAACGCGAGATGTCGCTGATGGAAGTGGTGAACATCACCAACTTGGCGCTGCGGCGTATCATCGTGATGGCTAAAGAATTGGGGGCGTTCAAGGCGCTATCAAACGCCGATCAGGTTAACTTGATCAAAGGTGCGTTGTGACGTAATGATAGACAACTTCAAAAATTCAGCCGGTGCCGGAGAATTGTTAATTCTACGTGGAGTCATGGTATTCGATGCGAGCAAAAATGTCTGGAATCATCCAAAACAGGTATGACGCGCTGTAAAATTCGTAGTGGAGTGCTGAAACCGTTTTTCGCTGTTATAAAAGCCATTTACAGGGCAGTTCCGATATGCAGGTGAAGCTTGACATCTTGCTACGATCTCCAGTCGCACAACAGCACTACGAGGAACATAAACGGTAAGTGGCAAAATACTGACACACTGACGAAAATCATTCTAGGTTCTTGAACTCTTTCGGAGAAAGAATACGACAGAACGAGACTGTTATGTTATGCCTAGCTGCGGTCGTGCTCTTCTCTCCGGATCGCCCCTTCCTGCGTGATCCTCAAATCATCTCGGCTAGTAGGCAGCAGTACACGCAGCTTTTGAGGAAGTAAGTCAAACAGACTCAACAATGATAAAATCTCTAGGGTCCTCGATATCGCATTCCCGGTTCCTGGTGAATCACAAACGGCCTTTGAAAGCCTGCTACAACGGGTGCACGATCTTCGCAAAATCAGCGAGGGGCTGCTAGGTGTTTACTGTCGGCTAGACCCGAACCAGCTAGATCCTCTCCTGCTCGAATTGTTTGATCTGAAACAACTGCCACGCGGTCCAGACATTTGACGGAATAAACTTTATTGTAGGACTGCCCAGAAAAAGAAGCTAAAATCTCGACCCAAGAATGTCAACAGATGAAGATGTGATAAAGAGATAACTAAAAGTTACTAAAGCCCGTGCGGAAAAGAAAGCACAAATCATGCGCGAAACCCATTCATATATACTACCAATCATCATCATCGTTCACTTTCTGCGTCGACTGCAGTTTCTGCTGCTGCGTGCTAGTGGGGTGGGGCCTCTGGTTCAGCCACTTCGAGTCGCCGCGCCGGTTGATCTAGGGACATCCTACTATATATAAAAAAATAGTGTTTGTGTGTTTGTGTGTGTGTGTGTGCCACTTTGCATCCACTTCCGTCTGTCTGTCCGGAGGATATCTCAAGCAGGGACGTGTATTAGGCTACGTTCGATACGTCATTAGGTGCGTAATGGTCTAGGGATGACTGCACACATATCAGATTTTCAAAAATTAGCCATTTTCGCTATTAAATTTAGGGTTTTGTAAAAACCTATTTGTTAGGGATAATTAGCATAGAGCGGAAGTAGGTGGTCGCCTATATAAAGAGGCAGAAGGGGTTGTTTTCATCTTTTTTTTTTGTCTTCCGAATGGAGGATAATTATGCAAACGGCAGAATAGTATGGGGTCCGAGACGGGGCCAGGGTTGAAAAGTCGCGAAGCGGCTTTTCAACCCTGGTATTAAATTAAAAAAGAAAGCTATCTTACGAAAGCATTGATCTTCATCGTCTTTTTGGTGCGATTTATTTCGTCGTACATGCAGTGGAACTCGAACGGGACGGCAGTCTCGTGGGCTGGGATTGCTGCGCGTATGCGAACCACGATCTGAAAACGTAATATAACTGAACCACACGGGATGAAGTAAAGGTGGAACAAAAAAATCGGAGATAAACTCACATAGAAAATTGCTGTGCCGAAGCGCCGATGAAGGCGGCTCAAACCTTCGTGGACACGCGTAGGGAGCTGGCACGACATGTTCAATGGCTTCAGTTCTTGGCAAATCAGCCCCTTGAGTGCATCCACGTGGAACGTCAGACGGCACTAAAAACATTTCGGATTATAGCAATAAATTTACCTTGATCGTATCTTTCAAAGGCCGCGTCTCTTGATCGTCGTCTTGGAAGTCGCTCGGGCAGGCCTAAAACAGAAATTGCGACTTTCCGAATAGCAGTACCATAAAATTGAACGGGTCGGTCTCACGGGCCTCTTCAGTCGCCAGCACAAAATTATAACCCTGAAACCAAGGTCTCGGAAATGCATAAAAACAACCTGGAGGCCAATGGACTCGCTGACGTCCGGGCATGGTCGGCCGAGGACTTCACCGATGACGAGCGCGGTGGTCGGGGTCAGGTTGAGCTGAACGGATGGCGGCATCCCCGTTAGGTCGAGCCAGATCAAGCCATAACTGAAGAGAAATTATCAAAATCCCAGAAATTACCGGACGTTGAAGGCGACGGCGTATCGGTTCGGATGCTTGCGCACAACATACGATAGGCCTAAAAAGCATGAATAAAAGTAAAACACTGCCAAACCGTAGTTTGCGGGTGGATTTTCGGGTGTTGGCGGTTGCGCTGGATACATAGTAGACGAATTGCGAATGCTGGAAATGTTATAAAAGCGAAGCCACGGGCAGGAAAGACCTGCAGGCAGAAAAAATAGTAGAAACGAACCGAAATCGAATTTTTTGTCAAGTTCATTTTAAGACTGGGGTACGGTAGCTATAGCATGAATAAAGAAAACCAAAATCGTCAAAAATCTTCGTGCATCTTTTCGATGTACCGCTCTTTGTAAAAACTATCTCGCCAACCGATACTGTTGGCCACAGCGTTTGCGTAAATTGTATCACTTACTTACAAGTAAAGCGTGAATTTCGTTGGTTAGCTGAACGGAAACCCTTTATTCCGTGCACGAATTCCTACGCGCGTAATTTTTTATGTGCACCATGCAACAAAGGTTCTCAACAAAACGGAATGTAAGAGATCAGGGTGAGTGACAAGGGATTCAGATCAAGAGCGTGATCACAAGTCGCTAGAAGGTTATTTATAGTATACAACACAAATGAAGAGCAAGGCAATATGTGAGGTCACAGCCACGCAAAAGTCAATTACAAATCAAAAGGCTGAATACAATGTGTTAACAGGTTGATGTCCATCATTCATTTGTTGCTGCGCGTGAGGACCGTACGAGAGGCTTTTCCGGGCGGCCGTCTGGAGTGCTGGACCTTCAGCGTCTTCTCAATATAGGTGATGGCATTCTCGTCTTCGGCCATCGTCCGTTCAACGTCCTCGTCCTCCTAGATTTCCATTAGAAATAGGGAACAGTCCAGCCAACCTTTCGCTGCTGGTCTTCCGCCTTTGTAATCATTGCACCGTAGTGTTGCTGCATCTCGCGTAGCTGGACTTCTATGGCTCCAGGATTCTAAGCTTGAAACTATCAGAAAAAACGATCCGGACGAACCTTAGGTTCGGGGTCACACTGCGCACCACATTCATTGATCCTTGAAACGAGCGCGCGCATCCCCACCTGAAAAAAGGGAAGGTTTGTCCGGTCTTTGGTCTTTCCGGGGGGCCTGAGGTTTTTCCTATGCGTTCAGATATGCATAGTAAGATCCCAGAAGTTTTTTTTATAGTCTTTTTAGTACAATCTAAGATTTGGACTGCAAAACCCCCTAGAGAAAAACATTTATTTGTTTAAAATCTTACGATTTTGGCCGAAAATTCATTTGTTTGTAAACTTGTAAAGTTTATACGGTTGGGAATAGTAAAACTAATTTGGAAGCACTTGCACTACCGATATAAGAAAACTGGATCTAAGTAAAAACCTAATTCTCGGAAATACTAAAGAACCCATACCAAAAGCTCGGAATACTTGGCTTTATTGTTGGCCAAAAGCTGCTTGTAGAAACTGTTGCCGCGGATGATCAGCTTCACAGATTCGAAGTTCGTGTGCTATAAATCAAGCTGATCAGGTAGGTAATTATATACCTTATCCAGCTCGTGCAGTTCTTTTTCCTTGGCCAGAGCGGCCTCCACGCTCAGAAGCTGGGTTGCCGTCGCATTGTGCTGCTTTTGCTCATTCTCGAGGCGTAGTTTGTATTTTTCAACTTCAATTGCATTGATTGAGAGGTCGAGGTAACAAACCTTGTTCCTTCGAGTGATACTTTTCTCGGACTAGGTCCTCGTCCCGTGCCTTCAATTCGTCGCGTATGTGGCCCATTCTAAAAAGATGACGTGTGAAAAAATAAACCGGTTTACTCAGTGATGAGCCGCTGCATTTCCTTGAGCTGCACATTCTGTTCTCGATCGGCCTCTTCAATATCTTGGCAGGCTTCCTAAACCAAGGAGCTCATGCTCAACCAACAAAATCACCTGGAGTCCCTTCTCGGCGCGGAAGACTTGACCGCGTAAATTTTCAATTTGACGAAGAGCTTCAGCCAGCTGCTTTTGTGCTTCCTAAAATGCAATAAATAGGTTCCGGACAAGAAATTACCGGATTGTGTGCGCGGGTTAATAGTGCCATTTGCTGCTCCAACTTTTGGTACCTCTCACTAAATAACGGTTAGAAAGAGACCGGAAAAGGTACAAACTTTAGAGTGTTGTTGTGGGCTTCCGTTTGCTTGCAACGCGCCCGGTAGGTCTCGCAGTCGGTCGTGTACTTGTCTTCCAAGATGTTCAGTTGCTCGCTGAAACGAGGTTTCAAAACATCAGACGTGGGTAACCTGCACTGTGCGTAGGCCACCTCGGCATCGGCCAGCGCCTTTGCCACCGAGTCCATCGCGCGGGCGTGCGCGTCGCCCACCGAGTTCAAGAAGTCCGAGGCCTATTTCAAAGAGTGATCGCAAAATCAGGTGGACAGGATTCGGTTTTTCTAGTATCAACGAAGAAAAAACCATATTGCTAAAGCAAGGAATAGAACATTGCTAAAAAATACCATATTTTCAGCGGTGGTGTTGTTGAGTTCTTGAAGTAAGGCGTGCAGCAGGTTGCGCAGAGCCCTAGCCGCTGCTACGGGTACGCCGGATGTTTGCTCTTTCTAAAAGTAGGCATATAATTCCGTCACACCACAATAGTCCATACTTCCTGCTCGGCGAGTCGTTGATAGAGTTCGCGTATCTTCTCGGTAACCACATCGTGCACGACAGGAGGCTGCGCTTGTGCTACGGGTTGATTTGGCGGAGGGTCAGTTGCCGTAAGACGAGTTCTCAATAGCGCATCGACGGTTTGGCGGACTTCGTCCCCTTGCTAAACAACATTAAAAAGTTACCAGCGAAAATTTGCACTTGCCGTTTTCAACTGTTCGATTAGCTGGCGCATCGGGTCCGTCAGTAGATCGGCAATCGTTGCATTGTGGTCGTGCTCGAGGTGTTCCTGCTGAGTTGCGGACAGTTGCTCGTGGAGTTTGTCTAATGACCATTTAAAGAAAGCGTATGGAAAATGCCGTTTTCGACTCGAAGTTCGGCTATTTGTTCGATGAATTGCTGGCATTCGTGCTCAATCCGCTGGATTTCCGCTTCCAAAGAGGCGTTTTTCAGTTGTTGCTCTTGATAGGCGTAGCGGAATTCCTCAACTTGCTTCTGCGTTTCCAGGAGGCGTGCGCCCTGAAACATCCGTCATTATTACCGTTGATGCACAACAAAATAAAGTACCGTGGATTTTTTCTCATTCTCAAGGTAAAAAAGTACCTGATCCCGCAATTCGTTATCCTTCGCCTGAACCTGCCTTTCCGCGACGGTCATCTGTCCCTTGAGCTCGGCCATCTCGCGTACGGTGGTGAAGTGGTCGTGCTAAAAATCAAAAAGGTAATGAAAGCTAATCCATACTAACCGTCGATTTCTCCAGACGGTCGCAACGCAGACGAGCTTCGTCTCGCTCCTCGGTGACGGCTTTCAGCTGATCGACAGCCTCTTTTGTGGTCGTCTCCGTGGCCGCCTTACTGACTTTCTAAAATGTCAAGATATGGGATCAGGGAAAATATTACCATTCTCAAAAAGTCAACCTCCTTCGTAAGCTTCTCGACATCGCGCTTGTACCCATCACGTTCCTCGGCAATCATATTTATCTACAAAAAAAGCGTAATTAAAGTGTCATAATTGTAGATACCTCTCTTTGGTAGCTGGATGATTTGGCTTGCTTGACCTCGAGGACACGTTTTTCAAGGGCCGCTTTCTAAACAACAGCGTTGGCAGTTGTGAATAATATACCTCTTCCTCAACATTTTTCAGTTGACGCTCCGTTCTGTCACGTTCATTCAGTGCCGCTTCAGCTTTTATCTGCTCGCTGCTCATTTCTTCCAAAAGTCGTTCATTCCTCTCCTCGGATTCCTAAATAATAAAAGCCACTTAGTACAGTAAAAATCGTACAATCAATTTTTGCTTCAAAGAAACAAGCTCTTTGCGCAAAGCCTCAACATTCTCCTCTTCCATTCTCAGCTGACCGCAGATTTGATGGAACTGCTTTGACTGAGCTTCGAAGGAAGCACGCGACACCTGAAAAAACCAGGTTTTTCTTCAAACTCCAGATTTCCGAAACAAACCCTATCACCCGCGTCGGTTCCTGCTTTTTCTATTTCCGTCTCAAGCTCGGAAATGCGGGTCTCGAGTAAGCCCGACCGCTGACGCAACGCATCCTAGAATATCCATTGCAGTTAAAGAGCATAAAAGTGTACCAGTTCTATGGTTGTTGCAGTAACTTGCTCATCGGCAAGCTTCTTGTTCTCCTGTAGAGCGACTATTTCCGCTTCCGCAGACTTCAGCTTGCCCTAGAAGCGAGGTTACGATAAAGAACAGCTAGATTCTGCCTCAGGCACTCAAAATAATACCTCAGCCTTGTTCTTCTCCTGGGTATAGGCCTGCTGGAGTTGTCGGATGTGCTGACGATCGATTTTTTGCTCAGTCACCAGCTTCTCGGCACTTTCAGTAAGTTGTTGATACTAGTCATGACAATAAGGATTCTACTAACATGTCTGGTACCTGTTCTTCGATCGCAATTTTCAGCTCGTTGATTTGCTCTGCGTTGTAAAGAGCCTGGTCACGTTCAGCAGCCAGTTTGGCGAGTAGCTATAATTTCTGAACTGCCGAAACTCGTCGAATCGAACCATAGCATCTTCTTCTCTGGCCCTTGTCAGCTGCTCCAAATGATGTGATAGTTGATCGTATTCTGGCCGATCGACGAGAGCAGGCGGTGGTGTTTTGGGGAGTGGCATCTCAGATTCCACTTGTATTTCCTAAAAGCACATAAATAACTACAAAGATTTTGTCACCTTGTCTTCCCCGAGCCGACGAATAACCGTACCTTCAGCATGAACAAAGACATCCGCACCGGCTACTTCCTGAAACTAAAGGTAAACCATTAAACTTAAATGAACCTTGAGCTCCTGCATTTGCTCCAGAATCAAGCGAAGCTCCTGCTCCAGTCGCGCATACCTCTCCTCCGAAGTTTCGGCTTTTTCCTCCACCCTACTTTCATTCATCTAAAAAATAATGGGCAAATCCGGAAAATTCGTACCTTCAACGTCTGATTCAGGGTTTCGTTGAGTCGTTGGTTTTCATTACTGAAATTTAAATAAACAAGCGGGACAGTATACTAACCGTAACTTTTTATTGATAGCTTCTAGCTCCTGCTTCTCCCGGCGCTGGTTTTCGGTGCGACGAAACTCATTTAGCGCTCCACTGACGTTATCTAAAGCACTATCTTTACCATTAAAAAAGAATAGTTTACCAAGAACACGACTCATATCCGCTTCTGCGGCCGTGGGCTTAGCGTGGAAAGTCTCGATGAATTCGTCTGAAAAAACGAAATTTTAAATTGCCCAAAATCACAGGTTTGTCGCTGAAATGCTGCGGGAAGGTTTCAAAAAGTTAGCCGGTTTCCAAAGACAGCTTGTACAGCAAGTACAACTGACCATCAATGGAACATAAACTGGTCGCCGCGGTGGAGTAGCGCGAGGATATTGAGGATGTACTCTCCGAGTCTGTAGAAGATGTACCCGGGCGAAGCCACTGACCGGAATCGACTCGTGGTCTTCTGCCGAAGTGACGGTCGAGTGCCGCGCGGTTTGTTGAAACTTTGCTGTCCACATATGGCGTTGATGTGACTATTTCTTTTTCACGGCGTGGCGGAGAAGAAGCGGCATCACGTTGGAAGTCCTAACAAAGTGTTTTTTCAAAAGAAAAAAAGATTTACCGGAGGAAAATCAACAGGCGGGTCCCTCGGAGTCGGGCCGCCGCTCACAAATCCATCGTCTTGTGGTTCCATCAACTTCCGGTTAGCGTTACTGCAAAAGTAACATGGGTGGACTACAGAAAACGGAAGTTTAATAGAAAAAAACAGCTATTCAAAGTTGTTGGGTCTTTTGTCCCTTGGTATTCAAACACGCAATGCCAGGAGGGCCTTACGATATATTTTTCAGGTCAAATGCGCGCGCGAATGACCGAGCCCCCCACATGGCACTGGAATACAAACACACAAAAATTGCACAGAGGCAATCCAAGAACAAAGGCACAAATCTGGGGTTCGCTAGCCCCGCAAACCACTCTAAAGTCCTAATTAGTAAAAGGAAAACACGGTTAAAAGTTAAAGAATTTATTACGAAAGATGTGGGCCGGATTAGAAACGAGGAAAACTAGAATCTACAGAAAGGGAAGGCTACAAATGAACTTTCTGTACAGCTGCGCGAACACTTCTCTAATTATATTGTTTTTAGCTATTAGAAAGCTATCTATTCAAGGGTACGTAAAGGGGATGGTACGTATACACCTACGAACAATTCAATGCTACGTAGTTTGTCGCGTTGGCTTCACTTTTTTTGTAACTAGGTGGATGCGTAGCAATTATAAATGGATGTTGACTGAACGTCGACTGCAGTTCATGAGTTTGCAGCGAACCGGCGGGCACCCGATCTGAAATAACTGAAACTCATGACCAAAAATCCACAAATTTTGTAATTTCAAATCTTCTTCTCCTCACAGCCATTTGAAATTTACAACAATTTATCCCTGCCTCACCGGACGTTGATTATGGCAACGCGAGAAAGTGCGTAGAATATTCTAAACGGCCGGTGTGCTGTTTTCTGCAAATCAGCCCCGAAATCCTGCGTGACGGCCCATTCACTCCTCCACGAACGCCCTCCCCCAAAATAATAATTCTCATTTCCGGGGTGCAGGCCAGAATGTTTGATTCGACGGCTTGATTGAGCCTGGGGACTCTCAGGCGAGTGTTTGCCCTAATTAAGCGCGCGAAGAATCAGTTGGCGTTGGCCATGACACCGGCCATCAGCTCGAGGTTCGCCGGGGGCCCCCGAGGTCGAAAATTGAGTCCCACGAGGCCTCTTCGGCCACGACGATGACGGCTCATCTTTCCCCTCGACATGGAGAAAAGCCTCTGTTTTCAATGGGTACTAGGCGTCGTGCCGAAAAAAGGGTGTGGGTTTTGAGGGGGCGGGTGCCCTCGTGTACTTTTCTGCCCGGTGATTTTACTTGGCACTTTTTCTAACGTTTCCTAAAGCGATGGCTTGATCAGCGTGAAACCGTTGCCTTTCTTACGGAGCGTTCGCTAGCGGGGATGGCGGGCAGCCAGTTTTTTTATTCATTATCTTTTTGTGTTTTTTGTAGTTTCCGTTCGCTGCAAGTTTATAGACGCTTATTTTATTCGCCCGCTACCGCCATAGGAGTAAAATGGCAGTATTTTTATACTTTTTCATGGTTTCGCATTACTAAAGCCTATAAAGCCATTCTTAAAAGGTATGAAGTTTATTGTTTTATTTAAATTTTTTATCAAAACTAAGAATATCTAACATTTTCCTCAATTATGAACTTTTTATATCTGAAAAAAAACAGCGAAAACGTTGTAAAAAAAGCTCTATTCGATATAGGACCCTTGCCGGGACATACGAGCCCCCCCACCCCCGTTACTGAACCAGAACCATCATCCTATATACCACCTTAGACCAGGTCGAAACCTGAACAATGTTGCCATTTTCCCGCTTTCCCATTAGCGGGCAGCGCGTCCGCGAATAGCGCCGATTTCCGGCGGCCCGAATCAGATGGCTGCAGGGTTTCTCACGGAATGGGCTGGGCGCAACGCTATTACTTTTCGCAGCTTCTTCTTTCGAATTGTGGGGGGCTTCCTGCGGTATCTGATATCCTGGTGCCGCTTTCAATTTAATTTAAAAATTAGCTTTGTCATTGCACCTCACCGGCTTTTTTCGCTTATCACGTCACTTTTCGCGTAAAGAGACTGGGCGCGTACTCTAGCTGAAAATGCGTTTTACTCACTCAACTCGCACAGACTTGGTGTATGTGTGTGTGGATGAGGAGTCGAATCGGAGGGCGGCTTTCCGCTCGAATGCCATTGAATACGGGGAAAATGAGAGGACAACACGCCGGGGGTGTCTCCTCCCCGGGGGCCCACGATCCGCTCGCTATTGGCCTGTGGCCAGGACGATGCTTCGTTTTTGCTCGCCACCGTAAGCCGAGGGGCGCGGCGGCGTCATATAGCAAGCGGGCCTGGCGGCTAATTTTGCGCTGAGGGGTCCAATGGCTGGATGAGGTGTCCTAAGGGGATGAGGATACTTTTTAGACTTTGGTTTTTCCGGAAACGTTCGGATGATCTCCCACGGTCAACCGACAAGGCAAATGGCGGTTGAGCTCGATGCACGAGGGTGTCTATAGGAACGTAGCGTAGCGCAAGGCAGAAGAATAAGCCTTTGTAGCTTTTCTAAATAGGCTTAATCCTGAAAACTCGATATCAAGGATTGTAGAGTACGATTTTGCGGCTCGAATGATACCAAAGACGACAAATTAGCCATTCGCAATAAAAATTATAAATTAATAACGTTTTCATTTTAATAATATTAAATTCCGTTTTGAAGTCCTTCGTGTCATCAGCAAGCGCATTGTTTATTTTCCAACTCTCGAATTAGCCTTTTTCAAGATTTGTTTGAGGTTAAAACGATCACCTTCGCTCAAACCCCATACGTTTTTGCGTCGATAGGAGCGGTCCGTTGCGTTCTACTAGCCTGTAATCCATATAAATACCTTGTCTGTCCCCTTGATCCTCCGATAAACACTTTCCTATACATTTCTCGTCCTTTCTGACCTTCAAGGACTCCAGATGAAAACATCCGTTTGATATTTTCGATCTGCCCCCCGGCCTCCGCAACCGTTTTACGGTTTTTGGCATGAATTTTGGAGGATCCACTCTTTCGAGGGTCTGGTGGGCGGGTTTGTCCCGTGTTTTTCGACTCCATTTTTATTGGCTTGGTGGGGCTAATTATTCGGCGGACAAGCGGCTATGCCCCCGTATTTTTCCGGTGGCCGCGGCGGGCCCTCCAGAAGCACTGAGCATGGAAACTTATTTTTTTTGTTGATTTTCCGGGGCTGCTGGTTGCATCGGAGATTCTGTAGTGCAAGCCGCCGGCAGTAATTGACGTCTGGAGGGCGAGCAATTGGAAAATTCGGAATCGTGGCGTGCCGTGGGGGAGTTTGCCGGATCAGATTCTGCGTTAGAAAATTGGCGCTGACGAATTTGCCGTGTTTTCCAGGGTCGGGCGTGACTTTTAAGATTTTTTGACCAGATCCTCTGCGGCTTTGGACGTTGTGGTGCTTTTTGGTTCCTAGAAGCTGGTTTGCACAAACTTTTCAGGGTAAGTAGGAAATGTCGCCGGGTTTGCCGGGGTTTTTGGTACTCTAATAAGAATATTCAGGCCTTAAAACAGCTCTTCTTACCGTTAAATTATCGTCTGATACCTTCAATTACTATTTACGGTGAAATATAGCGTAAATTAACTTTCATTGTTATATGAAGTTATCCTAAACAACTGGTACCGCGCGATATTTGCTGATTTCCCTTTTTTGAAGCTTATTAAAGGCTTCAACCCCGACAAACTTAGCTTAAACTATAGCTATAAGCTTAAAACAACAGATTCGTGCCGAGATTTATGTCGTCAATCGTACGCCGCTTTTCAGAAATTGAGTACGAAGGACTACTCCGCACATCCTTACGCTATGCGACCCTTTCTTTTCCTAGAATTTACTCATTTTTACATGCCATTGGCCCTTTAATTATAAGATTTCATGACCAAAATCTCGTTTTCGTACGCAGCTTCACCCAACCACGCATTAATCCGCCCGGGCTTCGAGATTCTTCACTAGGGGCCGGCCAGCCGTCGACGCCTGAGAGAATGGGTGATATTTCCGGTAAATAGTCTATTTTCGAGCCCCTCCAAAATCTCAGTTTAGCCCGCCGGGGCCTCGCCCAATTTCTGATATTAGCCCAGGAAATTGGGGGTAGGTGGAGCTGTTTCTGGGTATTGGAGCTGTTAATAGCGAGATGTATACCGCCATTTTCTGCACGTTTTTGCTAAACGTACATATCGCGCTTCTAAAATCAGGGGTTTCATTGTGAGGTTTCCAAAAGTTAGTGCTTAATTATATACCTCTGCAAATCGGGATACCACGGGCCCTCGTACATATTAGCTGCTAAAACCTAGGTTCCTTTTTGGGTTTTTTAACATTATCGGGGGGGGGGAAGGGGAGGCAGTGCTAATTTCTTCTGATAGCGCCAGAAACGTTGCTAATGTAATAGTATGTGATAGTCAGTATTTTGATAATGTTTTTAATAAAATTTAGCTATATTTGAGGTAAACATTCACTGAAAAACGCAGAGTCTTGAAATTTTAGTAGAAAATCGGCCATTTCCGTCCGGAAATCGATGTTTTTGTATTTGGGATTAAAAATTTCAAAAGTCTTTACGTTTAGGAGTAGTAAAAACGGATTAGAAACAGTTCAGCTATTTGTATTAGAGAATTGGATCCAAAGCTCCCTCCCTCCCCCGATAATGCAAAAGCCCCCCTTTTTGATACTTCCAAAATTTACGGTTTAAGATGATTATATACATTTGTAAATGGCGAAACTATTGCTACAACAATTATACAGTATCTTTTGCAATAAATCCCTTTATTTGTGCAATGCCCATTCACACTTTCCCCCTAATTGCAACATGTCCAGATTGCAGGGCGTGGTTGATAATTGGAAGCCGCGGGGATTGCGGGTAATTTTGAGGAGTTTCACTGGAATTTTTGATGTCGACGTCGACTTTTGTCTGCGTTTTTCTTGATAGTAGTTGGCAAAAACACGCATTTATTTTATAGGGGGGGATTAGGGGATTACGATAATTGGCGTGACATTTCTGAATACACGCATTCAAAACAACCATCTGATAATCCGAGATTGACGACTTTTGGTTAGTAAAAGAATAAGCAAGAGCTGAAGTTATTACATTTTTTGTTATGACTCACTAATTCGCTTTGTTATTTCGAAGGTCCTTTTGCATTATCGGGGAGGGGGCGGGTAACCGATTTTTTCTATGAGCCGAGAAATAGGTAGTAGCGTACTAGCAAGTTTTTTTGCTAACGTTTCTAGTAAAATTTATCGCTATTTAAAGCGCACGTTCAGGGAGGGGCCGTGTACTCGTCCCAACGTGTACACCCTATGGACGTTGGGACCGCGCGCACTGCCTGCCCGTGCTGTAACAGGCCATTCCCCTCCTTTGCGGCGTGGGGCGCCCCTCACCCCCTCGCCAGGTTGTAGCTGTGGCTGACTGGTATCCATCTGCGCCTCCCAAGCGGGGGGCCCGGGTTCGACCCCCGGCCGCGGCAAAAATCTTTGCTTTTTCCAAAAAAACCTCCCTGAACGTGCCCTTTAAAGCAGAAAAACTATCTAAAAGCGTATATTTTTTAGCAAGTAGAATTTTGATCGAAAATTGCTAATTATTTTTATCGAATTATCGAAAATAAAAGAAATTTGATCATTTTGCTAAGAAAATAGTCGTTTATTGCGTTTTTAAAAAAATTAGCGAAGTCTTTACGTTTAGGGATCTTGAAAACCTGTTTAAAAGCATTTCCTCTATCTATATTAGAAAAATCGAATACTACCCCCCGATAACGCAAAAGCGCCGAAGAAAACACCAACGAACAGTTTGTTGCGTTTTGCCAGCCCTCGTAAAATGCGCCCCCTCGAGAATGGGCCTTAGGCGCTTCTCCAACTTATTCAGAAGCCACTTGCAGGAAGTTCCCAGACGTAAGGGGCTGACGAAAAGAATCCATTCCACCCGTTCCATCGAATCGGCTGCGCTTGGAAATTTTCGTATTAAGATGACGGCATCCTTCTCAACCGCGAAATTTACGAGTATTTTTCCCCCATAAATGCTTGCTCTGCGTTTTGCAGTGTTTTTAATATTAATCGTAGCTGGCGGGAATAATCACCATCGAGCCGGCGGGTGCCATTCATTTTTGGCCTTGGTTATGCGGCAAAATCCAGAGTTTATCGATTGGTTTTGTCAAATTCTTTAATTTAAAATATTTTTAAACATTGCTCTTGCATTGGCAGAATTTTTTACGGCAAACTATAGTTTCTCTACTTATTTATCTTTTTTTAATGCTTAACTAAGATTAGTAAGAAGTTAAGAATGAGCTTCAGCGCGTTAAGAAAATGCATTTTTTGGTTTTAATGATTGTTTTAACTTTCTTTTTGAATAAACGCCTTCTGAATTTTGATATTATAAAATTAAGCCTAAAAAAGTATTAAAATCCCCCATTCAGCGCCCCTTCCGGTGGACCCGCCTAACGACGAAGTGTACTACGAGATGCTCCGGGGTGTACTGTTGATGGCTGTGCTTTGTTTGCTGCAGCTGGCCGTCTTCGCGTGGCCACTCCTCGAGGGTGACTATCAGGATTTCTACGTCCCTTCAAAGGTATCAGAATCTTAGTTATTTCATAAAACGACGCATGTACTTTCAAGCGTACGCAAAAACAAGTTTTAGAATGTGAAATGAACGAAAATAGACGTTATAAAAAACTAAAAATCAAAATTTCAGAGCCGCCGCTCTTTGTTTGGGGAGATGGACGGTCAAGGGGGACAGCAGCACGTCCGACTGCTCAAACATCTGAAGCCCCGATTCGGATAGGGGGGACGAGAAGATGGCCGGCACTCGAAACAATCAATCACTACTACTACTACGATAAAGTGTTTTTCTGTTATCCCCCGGGTACACGGGACGCCGGCAAGGTGTACAGAGGACGCACACGTACGCAGGGATTCATTAGATATAATTAATATGCTCTCTCCATCGACGTGGAGGCTGTTTTTTAGCTACTAGACGCCCTAACCACGTTTTTGAGCTCTTGACCTACCTATCAGATTCTTCAGGTTTCCCGGAAAACCAATTTTTTTCAGCTCCGGGTTGGATTTTTTATATAAACACCGGATATGATTTTAAATTGTTTTTAGCTATTCCTGAGCTCAAAAACTTTATGAATGCCATTAAAAAGGTGTTTTAGGTCGAAAAACAGCTTTTTTCTGGTAAAAAATGAGCAAAAGATCAAACTTTTCAATTTTTTGAAGGTTTTGTTTTGAGGTTTTTTTGTGGTTTGTAACTTTATAGCAATAGGAAGCTGCTAAAACACCATAAAATATTCTATTTTTTTACAATTCCGATTAGTCTGAATATCGGAAGAATAAAAGGGTTTAAAAAGTTAAACCTATCGTTAGAGATTTGGGTTATTAAGCCGATTTCTAAGCTAAAAAGCAAGCTACTTAAAGGGATAGGGGCGGCATAAGTCAATCGATTACGCCCGGGAAAGAAAATGTCTCTGCGCCTCTCCCCTGGGCGCCCTCTCTCGCCGCCGGTCGCGCTGGGACCTGTTGAACCCCCCCTCCCCAAGGGGGGTTCAACAGATGCCGTCCTCATCTCTTTAAGTGGAGTTTCACGTAATTTCCTACCTTTTTAAGCCAGCCGACATGACCCATTTCCCTGGCGAGGTGGTTAGATAAAATCTGCCCTTTTTCGCGCTCCCTCGGCTCTTTTTCGTGGTCTAACGATGGAAAAATCTGGCATATATTTGTTAATTCTATTATTTGAAGCTATTCCAATCCTAGAGGCGGCCAGTTGTAAAAATTGTAAGTTTAATTAAACGCTAAAAAAATTTCGTTTCAGCCCAATATTGCCCCCAGCATTGGCAAGTGTTGAGGAGGGATGATCAGTCGGCGTATACCTGCGATCCGATGAGAGGGCAGACAAAGGTTAGCCAGCCATTTATTAAAAACGGCATTAAACAGAAAAAATTAGTTAAATGTGCCTTGAAAAGGTGTTTTGGTTCTTTTGCATTATCGGGGGGAGGCGACGGGGGAGCTTATCAAGGGGTGTCAGGTCAACCGAATTTTTTTTGTAGATGGCAGAAATGCCTAACAATGTAATAGTAAGTATTTTTACAGTGTATACTTACTTATAATACTGTAAATTATATTTATAATTATATATAATAAGTATATATAATATAATAAATATAATAATATAGTTATATAAGTACAGTATTTTAATTATTAGTCGAATTTAACTCCATTTCAAGGGAAAAACCATTAAAACCGGAGAAAACCTGGAAACTTCGTCGAAAACCCTAGATTTTCGTTTTTATAATATAATTTATTTATCGCACTTAGGTTTACAAGTAAACACTTATTAGTGGAGGTAAGGTTGGAAGTTTGTTGAAGAAAAAGAAAAAAGGGGGGGGTGTAAGGAAGCATTAAGGCGTTAAATGGACATGATTAATTAAAGAATGGATGAAATAGGTACTAATCGAGAAACCTGCTTTTTAAATATTTTAGTTGAAGAACTATCGAAGGCAGATTGGGGCAAAGAATTCCAAAGAGCACATACACGCAATGAAAAGAACGACTTTTGTACAGAGGTTTTTTGACCGAGAATAGGCTTGAGCTTAACGAGCAGACCACGAGTTCGGGATGGAACACATTCGAAAAAGTTTTGAGGGGAAATATTGGAAGCACGTTTGTGTAAATTGTATAGAAACAAAGGTCCATGATGGTTCTCCTAAAGTTCAGCGGTTCAGCGGAGAAATTGGTGAGAGCCGAACTGTAGGAGCCATACGGGACCCGGCAACGATAGCACACTCGACGGAAGAAGTCTTTCTGAATTGATTCTATAGTTATTTGATCTTTTTTAAAGTAAGGTGACGTAACTACTGAGGCATATTCAACTAGTGGGCGAACGTATACTTGAAAAGCTTTAATATATAACGCTGGTATCCTACTGGTAAAAATTTTAAAAATGAGAAAGGAACAGCGAGCTGCCTTTCTCGTCACCTCTAATACATGTGGAGTACAGCTGAAGTCGCTGCTCATCAGGACACCCAGATCACGTATGCAATTTGTCTGCGGTAGAAGAATACCATCAAGAATGTAGTGGTTCTTCGGATTTCTTCTGCCATAATGGACTGTAGAACATTTTGGGCCAGCAAGAGGTAGTTGATTCTCGTGGACCCAGGACTCGAGTTTTTGCAACTGATCGGCCATGTTCGAGGGAATGGTGCTGGAGAAGTGGGACGTCATTTTAAGATCGTCTGCAAAGAGCAGTGCTTGGGGTAAGCATCGGGAATCATTTAAATCGTTGACGTAAAGAATAAAAAGCAGAGGTCCCAATACTGAACCTTGCGGAACACCGGAAAGAACAGGGGCGGGCTCAGAGAGCGAGTCTCCCACTCGAACAGTTTGCTGCCTTCCTAGTAGCCAACTTTGCATCCAACCGAGTAGCGGATCAAAAATGCCATAGGTGCCAAGTTTTTTAAGAAGCCGGGAATGCGGAACCTTGTCAAAGGCCTTTTGGAAGTCTATATAGCAGACGTCCGAGTAGAGGCCCTTTTGATCAGCAAAATTGCAATTTTACATAAAAAATTGTAAAGTTTGTGCGTTTATAAATAGTAAAAACTGCCTTAAAGCAAATAAACTATTTATATTAACAAATTTGGCATTAAAAAAGTGGGTTTCCCACTTGCGAAAAATTAATTTAATTTTTCAGTGCCCAAAACCGTACCAGTGCATTCACTCCAAGTGCGGAATTGCATTCTGCTGCTCTCATCCAGGTACGGTAGCTGGGTCACGATTTAGTCAAGAATTTTGAGGGATGCTCGAGACGTGGCGGCGGGAGAAGGAGCTCGAGGAGGAGATTCTGGAGAATGAGGAGGACGCTGAATTATAAAACGAGATTATGAATAGAAATAAATGATTTGGAAATGCGGGCTTTGCGAAAGAGCTCGAGAGAGAGAGAGAGAGAGAGAGAGAGAGAGAGAGCGAGAGAGAGGGAGTGAGAGAGGGAGTGAGAGAGCGATAGAGAGTGTGCGAGAGAGAGGGTGTGAGCGAGTGAGAGAGAGAAAGAAAGAGAGAAAGAGAGAAAGAGAGAGCACATTTGAGAGGAACACAGAGAAGTTTTTAAGTCCAAGCTTACGCAAGCCTAAGGACGAGCTAAGTCTAAGCCTGAGCCCAACGAAGCCTAAGCCTCGAAAACCTCAAAAACTCCGAGAAGAACTGAAACTCCAAATCTCCTCCCAAAATCTAACCCAACGCCCTGTCCTCTTTTTCCGCGAGAATACTTTTACGCGTGGTTCCCCCATGCGTTTCGGGGTTGTGCTTGGGGATTGCGCGTGCTGTCTATGGATTCTCTATACAATTTACTACTCCATAAAGTACGCTCGATTACTCGACAATTTTGATGATTTATTTATCATCTCAAGTACAGTCTATACCTCGCCAAGGTTTGTATGTTTTCGGGTTTTTTCGTGATAAATTGGTACTAGACTCTTAGCGGGGGAGCGAGGGGCAGCTATTTTGGCTTTTACATCTGCCGATAATCTGTAATGTATCTTTATAATGTTTTTGGCAGTTTTTGATTGGCAAAAACTCTAAAAATATTTGAAATGTTTGAAAATTTAAAAAATTTGGGCCTTTTTTCATGCGGTTTTGTTAGTTTCAAGATTATTTTTTCTAATTTTTGGTTACAGTATCGATTTTATTAACAATTTTCATACGCAATTTTTAGCCCTCGACTATCAATTTTATTTCTATCTCGAAGAGGAATCGTCGAAAACTCGCGAGTTTTACTAGCAGTACAAGAAGAGCACGACTATGAGAGACAAATTCAACTTTTCGCTGGAAAGGCAAGTATTTCTTTTTCATCCCAAAATGCTTTAACGTTTTTAGAAATGAGAAATAAGGATTTTTTTCAGTTTTCATAGGAGTTCTAGCTAATTAATTCCCAGGATTACCTCCCAAATTCCGGAGAACATCTACTTGTCGGCAACGTTCCGCTAGTCGATGCGGAATGTAAGGTATCTCGGAAAGCGATTACAACATGAAAAACGTATCTATCATAGATTACGTTCTCCGTCGAACAACCGAAACCACCGCGGCTGACCGGCGTCATGGGCAGGGTCAAGCTGAGGGTGAGCTGGAGAAGGGCGGCTAGCAGAGATTTTTTTGGGGAATTTATTGAGGGGACTTTTCTAGGCCTCCACCCGTGAGGCTGACCACCTTGAGCACGAGGTGGTCACTTGTTCTGCACCGATCTATGATGGTCGTTTCCCGGAGGCCATCACTGCCATTAGTACAGGTGCGTGAATGCGCTACGGACGCATCGCGGCGAGGTGCTTTGGCGTTATCGGGGGGGGGGGGGGGGGGAGTTTTTTAGGCTACAGGTTGAGTAATACAAACAGCTGACATGTTTTTAGCTTTCTAAACGTAGAAATCACATAAATGTTGCATAAAAAACACAAAAAGATGGATTTTTCCGCCAAAAATCCAAATTTTGAAACCCTTTTCTGGTTATTAAACTGGTTTTCCGCTTGAATTTAGTTAATCGACTAAAAAAACTATTAAAATGTTTGTTATTACGTTAATAGGTATCTGGAACCATACAGAAAATTCTGCTCCCCCCCGATAATGCAAAAGAACTCGCCAAAACGCTCATTCCAGCCATTTCCCACGGCTCATTCGTGCATATTCCACACGGCACCCTCCAAAATGCCTTCCACCGTGTGCTCGTCACCTTTGAAAAGGCTGGCCATCTACGGCTGGCCCCCTGGATTCCACTGGCCACCCTCGGACGCTATGACCCAAATATCGTTGGTTTTATAAGTTTTTTTCGCAATTTTTCACCGTATTTTCAGCTGCTCGACGAATACGGTAGAGAAGCCGCTTTCCTCGACTGTCTCTTGCTCTATAAAACGAGCGCCAGCTTTTTCGTGTTCGCCGACGCCGACGAATTTGTGGTGCCGATCAGGGAACCGAGCTATTTCCTGGAATTAGGGCAGAGATTCAGGTACTGGTATTGTTTTTGTGGGCAAGAGAAAACGCTAAAAATTCGGCAGCCTAAATTCCTTCTGGAAAAACCAGCCGCTTCCAGCGGCTTCGCCGCTGCAAGCGGCTGGACTTCGGCTACCCCTTGTGCGCCCTCTCCCTGGCCGAAACGCGCGCGACCTGGCTCACTAATGTCAGGCAGAACTCCGTCCCCCGCCTTTTCCAGTCCAGTTTGGGGATTTCCGACCACGCTCTATCCGAATCCGAAGAGACCTAAGCTCTAGCTCCTTTCCCCTTCGAGTTGAATCCGGGACATGACAAACAGACGGACAGACACCCCTACCTTTTTATTATAGTTGATACCGGCATCAAAAATTTAAGCAGGCCAAAATCCCGACAGCTCAAGGTTCCGACAGTCTAAATCCCGACAGCAAAAATTCCTACATAAAATAGCTTTGAAAAGGAAGTGGCATTCAATCGTGCGTCAAGAAAATGTCGGTGGGTTTTGGCTGTCGGGATTCTGCCTGTCGGTATTTTTGCTGTCGGTATTTTGGCTGTCGGTATCTTGGCTGTCGGGATTTTAGCTGTCGGTATTCTGCTTGTCGGTATTTTGGCTGTCGGGATTTTGCCTGTCGAAATTTTGCTTGTCGGTATTTTGGCTGTCATTTTCTTTGTCGGTATTTTGGCTGCCGGGATTTATTTTTTGCTTGTCAGGATTGAGAAGCTTAAGCCAGGACTGGGCTTTGGCTTAGGCTTGGCCTACGCCAACTTATGCGCCAACTAGCAAAGATTATTGAGGAAACCAAGCCATTTTTTGCCTTTTTCTAACCCCTTTTTTTAGTAAAACCAACGCCCATCTGCTCATCTACAACCTAAAATCCGCTCGCCCACCTCCAAGAGGTCATAATTGTTTTTCCTCTTAAAGATATACATAAAGATAGAAGTAAACAATTTTTAGACGCCGCGCTGAGCAGCTACAAAGCCTCGGATCTGCTCTCGAAATCAGATTTTTCCGAAAACACCGTAAATCAAACAATTCTCGTGGTAAATGGAGCACGAATTAGGGAGGCTGAGGTAACGAGAAGTTTTCAATTGGAATTCGAGCTTTAGAAAATAAAGCAGTTTAATCCAGAAATTGGAAGAATGTACGATTCGGAGGAGATTCTCAACTTTCGCGAGGAGGGCATCGGATTTGATACGTTGAACAAGGTATTTTTTAATGACCAGGTTATATACATCTTTTTAAGGCGCTTTCCTTTTTCTTACTTCTGCTTTTCTATCGTAAAAATAAAAACATAAATCAGTAAACAATAAAGTTTTGTTAAAAAATTCGAAAATAGCGCTTTTTTAACGAAAAATGGCCGATTTTAGGCGAGATTTAATAGTTCTCCATGTTTTTAGATAGCTTGGCCACGTGAAAAATGGTTAAATGTATCTAAAAATACCATTAAAATATTTATTTTTAGGCTACTAGGCATTTCTGGACTTACAGGATAGAAAAATATAAAAAAACCAGATGGTTACAGTCGCTTCGCGACTGCAACCATCTGGCCTTCGGGCTACCCTGCATGTCCCACTCAACCACATCCCTTCCCACCTCCATCAATACCCCCCCCATGGCTGAAATCCCCTTCAAAAACTACCTAAACACCTTCCCGATGGCTTCAGATACCCCCCATGGCTGAAATCCCCTTCAAAAACAAAAATAACGACCGTCCGGATGGAATGAGAGAAAAAAAGAAATGAAATCCCCCGTGAAAATTTTCATCCACGAAACGCGCGCCACCTGGCTCACTATGTCCAAAATCACCCCAACCTCCATCCCCCGCCCCTTTTACTAAGGAAAAACTTTCAAAGTTAATTTTAATAATTTAAACTAAAACTTTTTCATAATTTTTTTATCAGTTTGGGGGTTTCTGACGGCGCTCTATCCGAATCCGAAGAGACCTAAGCTCTAGCTCCTTTCCCCTTCGAGTTGAATGCGGCTTCAGACACACACACAGACGGACACCACTACTTTTTTATTATAGTTGATAGGGTCGTCAATATCCCACCCCGATAATGCAAAAGAACCACATTTAAGAAAAAATTAAAACAGCTAAATTGGAATCAGAAAGTGATAATAGTACTAAATTTAATCCTAAATTTAAACTATTTAAACCGACTATTAAATTTCAGGTGGAGAGAGCGCTCTGCCAAGTACGCGATGATCCGCTTTTCAGCCACGCCTGGGACATATTAGATGATTACTGCGCGTTTGACAGCTACGCGAAAGGTGGGTGGCTAGCAGAGATATTTAGGGATTTTTACACGATAAAATAATAAACGTTGAAACCGGTTTCAGAGTGGCTGTGCTCGCGTGGGCGTTGCGTGGTGCACCGCGTACGTCGGGAGTCGCTCTACGGCGCATTTTACTACAATATCCACCAGGCTTTCCGGGTCGAGCTAAAGCGCAGTAATTGTTCCGAAGTCGAGGAATAAATGAATAAATTGCTTTTTTAAACTTTTTTTTATAGCTATGTAGAGAATCGAAAGTACTTTCAAGCGCTGGTTTTTAGGTTTTTACACTCTCAAAATGTCAGAAAAAGTTCTTTGGTACTTTGGCATTATCGGGGGTGGCACCAATATTTTGCCAACGTGCAGAACCGCCTATTAACGCAATAGTAAGTATTTTAATAGTTTTTTTTTAGTGAACGTTAGCTATATTTCAGGTCGTAAAACCATTTAAAAAATTGGAAAGTTTTAAAATTTCGAAACCTTTTGTCCAAATCGGTATTTTGTGTATTTGTAAATCAAAATCGTGCGTTTAAAAAAGTCCAAAAATTTTTGAAAACAAAGTTTATGCTCGCAAAATTGGATACTAAAAAAAGTTGGTTAGCGCCCCACCCCGTCCCCCCCCCGATAATGCACATGCTTCTGTTTTTTCCGTAAAGATTCCATAATTTAATTTTACATTTTTTATTCAGCTAAATAACGGGCAAAAAACGGATGCCTTGGCGAGCTTGGCGGCTTTAATAGTTCTTCTTCGGGGCGCAGCAGACGCACTGGGTCTCGGGCTTCGGCATCGTCTAAAAAACGTAAAATTCAGTTTTAAAAGGATGTAATTCAAATTAATTTAATTTAATAGATTTTAACTCGAAATTGGTGGCTTAGAAAATTGAAAAATTAGGAGAAAACCACTCACATCTCCCTTGGTCTCGGGGTCGAAGACAAACAGCGCGCCGGTGATCTCGGTCTGAAAAGAGGTTTTTAAGAGAAAAACGCATATTTCAAGCGTTGCGACGGCGGCACGTCAACTTCAACAAGTTCGCGCAACGCGACCGCTACGCAACAAAACCCCCACACGCTCCAAAAACTCACGGCGGCCGTGTTGGCGTTGCGGGAGGCGATGCGGCAGCACGACTGGCACGTGGCCTGCGAGAAGGTCGCGGTGAAACTGAAAAGAGCAAATAATTTTTATTTTTAAAGTGACTGGAAGGTCTAGAATTGAGGTTAAAGGTTTTGAAAGATAGAAAATTAAAGAATTTTTTGAAATAAAAATTCCTTACCGGCACGAGTGGCGCTCGTAGTAGCGGCGACGGCCGTGGAAGTGGCCCGGGTATCCGCCGTGATGCTGATGGTGGTGGGGGAAGCCGCCGTGCTGGTGGTGATGGTGGTGCTAAAAAGAGAAAATATCGGGTACTGGTCTGTTAACGGGGGGAACCAATTTATCCAGTTATTTTTGGTAAAAAAAGTATAAAAATTGACCCAAAAAGATCAGCAATTCTAATTTTTTATGTTTTCTGTTATTTGCTAGGAATCAAAACCTACTAAAAACGTTGTAAAAATAGACTGTTAATTTTTGACAGGTAAGATAGGCCGAAAATCAGCTGCACCGCTGCCCCCCCCCCCGCTAACAGGCCAGTACCGTGATTCGTATGTCAAGTGGAGCGTAACGTAAGCGTAAGCGTATACATAAGCGTAGGCTTATGCGTTCATTAGGATTATCGTAAGCGTAGGCTTAGGCTTAAGCTTACTAGCTAACTAGCTTAGCGCTTAGGCGGAGCGTGCTTACGCATAACGTAAGCATATGCGTAGGCCTAGGCATAGGCATAGGCGTAGGCATCGCCCAAGCTTAAACCCAAAAATCGACTCACATGTCCGTTGGGGGAGAAGAAGGAGTTGGAGATGGGACCAGCAGGGGCGGCTCCAGTGACGATCACCGGGCTACCGTACACCGGGGCGGGCTGGCCATAGGCGGGCGGGGCGGCGGCTGGGGCACCGTACGCCTGGCGCTTGTAGCGTCCTGGAATTTGGGAGTAGGTTCAGGCTCGAGAGTTAGATAGCTGGGCGAGCGATAGAGACCGAGAGAGAGAGAGAGAGAGAGAGAGAGAGCGAGAGCGAGAGCGAGAACGTTAACATTCTTACCGTGATGTTCCCGGGATCCGCGGTGGTTGCGGCGTCCGAGGCCGACCATCGGGAACGACGCGTGCACCGAGCAGTAGTTCACTAAATCAATTTCGTTATTTAACTATTATATAAAATTTCCTTGTTTAAATTGCAAGATCCACTTACGGTCATAGTTCGGCGGCACGTAGATGGGGCCGAAGAACGGCGGCGGGGGCCCGTACTGGGGCTGAAAAACCAAATTTTAAACTATAATCCATAGAGTTAAAACTGTAAATTGGTACGTATTGGAAAAGTGATTTTTTAAGGCGACTTGTGGCATATAGAAATGAGCTAGATGGTTTTTAGCTTTTCCGAAACGTCAAAATCTTGCTTAAAAATAGTGAAAAAACCGGTAATATCGATTTTTCGGCGAAAAAATAAATTTTTTAGCGGTTGGCTAAACAATGTTGCTAATTTAAATATAGCTAAATTTTACAAAAAAAATTAACTCACAGGCGCATAGGACGGCTCGGCTCCGTAGGACAGCGGCTGGCCGTCTCCGTCGGCCGGCGACGGGGTGGTGGTCGTCGTCGTCGACGAGGGCAGCTGGAAAACGGGTTTTTAATGTAATACTGTAGGATCCCAATTCAAGCTACTAAATTTAATTACTTACATGGGTTACGGCAAGCACTAGAAAGCAAAAAATATTCTAAATATACCTAAAAATTTCGAAGTTGCTTGGAAATATGGTTTTAAAAATTTTTATTTTTAAACCGAATAAACTATCGAACTCTAGGCCAAAAATAATCAAATAATGTTAAAAACTTAAAGATAATTTAAATTAATAATTTAGTCACCACTTAATTGAAAGTTGTAAGAAGGTAAAGAGTTGAAATCCTAAAACGACACCAAATTTCACCTGATCCCTGAACCCCCGCCCAACCTACCGTATCCTGTGCGGCGCAAAGGGCGACGAAAAGGGGCAAGAGGAGTGCTGTGGTCGGGCTCATCTCCTCGAGGCTGAAAGAGGCCATCTCCAGCCCATCTTCACCCTTTTATATCGACGCCCAGGGTCTGTAGGGCGGGCGGTCAGTAGATGTTTCTCGAATTCTCTGATTCCCCGGTTTTCTATCATCGTCCTTTCAACGGTTTGGCTTGAGGGACACGACGGAGCAAAAAGCGGATATGAGGAAATAGGGGTGAAGACGAGGGTTTTATCGATTTTTTCGATATGACGAAGGGTTAAGTCGAAGCCTAGAATTCCTAATCTTAAGCTTAAGCCTAAGCCAAAGCCAAAAATCGAGAGCGCGATGTTGGAACCCACAGGGCCTACTCGTTCTTTGGCGCGTAATGTAGTGACCTACGCTGGACTCCTCCATACACCGGAGTTCTGTGCGCTTTACAGCTGTGCCGGTAGATTCTAGGAGTGTCACTGTCGGTTGAAACTCGTAATTTCCGTCCAATGATCTCTGCTAGCTTGCCCTAGATTTTTGTGGCTTTTACTAAGCCCAAGCCCAAGCCTAAACCTAAGCTTACATTCAAGCCGGAGCCTAAGCTCAATTCTAAGCTTAACCAAACCTAAGCCTAAGCCAAAGGTGAAGCCCAAGCCCTAGTATAAGGCTCGAAGCCCAATCTAGGCCCCAGGCGCAACCTGCGCCTAAGCCTAAGTCTAATCTAGGCTAAGCTTAAGCCAAGTCTAAGTAGCTTTTTCTTGCCCTTTTGGATCTGCAACCTTTTCCATCCCTCTAAAGGCACTCGCAACGCAAAGCTATCCAGTTTTTTGATCACCATTTCATTTCTCGCCCCCAGAATTTTCACCCGTCCCAATTTCCGGGTGATTCACTGATTGAGCCGGCGACGATCCCGACGATCCCCCCGAATTTCACAAGCCGTGTGGGTGGGTGGTGGTGGATGGATTGTAATGTGGGTGTTGAAGGGGGCCCATTCCCATGCCCCCTGGAGCGATGAATATTTTGTCTTGCCACCCGGGTGGAGATTGTCGATAGATAAGCCTCTCGATTCCATCAGCACCCCCTTTCCGGCCCAATCCATTAGCCCGTGATCACCGGGCGGAGAAGCTGTGGAAATCGAGCGGAAATTTTTTGCCAGTTTTGCTGCTTTCTGATGCTACCGTACCGGAAGTCAGGGGGGGTGAAGCGGCCGGGAGGAGGGGTGGGCAGAAAATTGAGGCCAAAATGGGAGAAAAAATTAAAAGGTGGATTTTCGAGTTCAAGAGTAATTTGCGAGGCCTCGATAACATACGTACAAAGACGGCTAGCGTACATTCAGATAGCTACTGAAAAGTAGAGAGGAGAGACAAAGTAAGGACGTACGGCAGAGAGATTTATGGTACGTACACAGTACCATGGCGTACTTAGCCTTGGAAAGTTCGTTCATACGTCTTTAGTATACGTATATAGACACTTAACGCACAAAGTCAGGTGCGTAGTGTACGCAAATCCAACCCGGATGCACGAAACTAGGTGTCTGGTGTACTGGCGTACGTACTTAGGACTTGAGCGTACGCACATACGCGTACTTGAAACGGCCGCTGCGCTAGCTTTGCATTTTACGTAAGTACGTACATACAGGGACGTAGCGTAATACAGGCCCCGGGGCCCGCCCCCCGAAATTTTTTTCTGGCTACTCCCCTGCGTACATAGGCTGGGAACGTACACGGAAGTCCAAAATTTAGTATCACCACGCAGCTACGCGTCACTTCGGAAAACCTCCAGGATTACAAAACGACAAGGTATATAGCGCATTAATAGATCGATTCCTTATGGATTTTTCACTTCAAGGTCTCCTTGATATGCAGTTTTTCCGGTGGGCTATTAAAAAATATTTAAGAATCGCAAAAAGTTTTAAGATTCAGATTTTAAGCGGCAAAAAGGAGATTTATCGTATTTACAGTCTGCGTTCAAGTAGATCGTACTACCGTAGATTTGGATGCTACCGTATTTTCAGCGTGACTTGACAATCCCTTTAAACTTGTTCCGCTCAATACCCCCGCGCAAAGTTGTATTTTCCACCCCAATCCACTACCCGAAATATCGTATCGAAATGGCAGAGGGGTTGGCTGTGGATTGGGCCATCTCTCCCTCCACTGCCCCTCCTCCGATGGGTCGGGTATAAAAGTGTGTGATAGACAGGGAGAAGCCCCACTCTCGGATTCGGCGATGAATCGGACCGCACTGCTCCTGTTCGCCCTTGCGGCTCTTGCCCTCTCCCAGGTCGCCGCTCCCGGAAATGATACGGTAGGTCGCTTCCGCTTACCTGTCTCTTTCAAGCGTTTTTCTAGTATATTTAAACCGTAGCTATCTATTAAAACTGTTTTTCTAGGGTTTCGACCTCACAAAAATCGAAAATCTGCATTTTAGTTCACTCGTTCCAGAGATAATTCATTTTTAATGCTGTTAGAAGGTAAATAGAGTCTTTAGGAACTTTCCGCACCTTTATGCCAAATTCCAACACTTATACTTCCCGTTTAGACGTTATTTACGTTTTATTTGACAATTAAATATTATTAAATTTTTAATAAAAAATAATAGAAATTTTAAAACGCTAATTAGGCTAATTTCCATCATTTTGAAGAAATTGTTTTATTTTAAACGAAGTCTAATACTGGTTTTTTCGTTTTTAATAGCAAAACTTTTTTAATTACGATTTGTAGCATCTACCGCGTGCCTACAAAGTATATATTTATAACGTTCTTGGTATCTTCTGAAAGATGACAGTACTTTAGATTACTATTTACGATCTATTAGGCCCTTCTACAGTACCTTTGCTACAGACTCTGAGGCTTGTTAACAACGTAGACAATCCGGTTTATATTTTTATTGGTAAGAGTGCAGTTTACCCCCCCAGCCCAGCTCCTCAGCCATACGTCCTATTAATGCGCCGAGTATCTCAAAATGTTCGCCGTGGTCGAAAACCTCAGAAAAAGTTGTTTACTTGCGCCAAAAATTGTTAAAAAATTTTTTATAACAATTATAAGTCTGGGTTTTCTTTAGTTAATTTTTGCTGTTCCAAAGTGAGTTTTCGTATCTCGGCTATCTTTTGACGTACAAAGCTGTCAATGGTACCAAAATGTAGCTCTTGCTCTGGAGAATAAGCCTACGGTACGTTTAAGTCGAAAAAAATAGCGGAAAATAAAAATATTTGAGTTTTTGACTTCTGGTACATCGAAGCATAGCGGCTTAATCTTTTCAACTTTCAAAATTTTGTAAAAAATTTTCTAACAATTTTTGGCGCAAGTAAACAAGTTTTCCAGGGGTTTTCGACCACGGCGAACATTTTGAGATACTCGGCGCATTAATAGGACGTATGGCTGAGGAGCTGGGCTGGGGGGGGTAAACTGCACTTAAGCCTTTTTATTTAGAAGTATAGTTCGAAAGTTCATCGAAGTTTTTTTACATAGTTTGGCATTTCTACATTAGTCCAAGCCTCGCGCCAAAATAAAGCCTAATTTGCATGCCCCCGCTTTTTTCCTAGCGCGCCCGTGCCTAGGGTACCCGACTTCCAAGGTCTTCGCTTGTTGCCAAAACCCCGGCTAGATCATTGGGAACGGTAGCCTGGACACTGACGAGGCACAAATATCGTTTTAAAGGGATTGGCAAGGCAGGGCGCCATTTACATTTAACAGTTTCTTTCATTTTTACAGTATATTCTGTTTCTTTTGACGACTAAATTCCAATAAATTACTATTGACGGTCCGAAGTTTAATTCTATCGTATTTCTAAGCTTATTTTAATGCATTTTTACAGTATCTTAAGGTGCTAGCTACCGTAAATTTCAAATTTCTACCGTATTTCCGAGTAGATTTTTTGCATTTTAATAAATCTGAGCGCGTTAAGGTCATATTTCCGTTAATAGTCGTATTGACACAGTAACTATAGGATATTTTCCGTAGTTTTTCATGGCTTCCAGTACATTTTAAAGGTATTTAAGGTACTACTTTTGATCCTGCAGTAACCACTGTATATTGTTCTAGCTTATGTTGGATGCCAGTACATTAAGTCAAGCCTACCGTACTAAGCCTAAGCCTAAGCTAAGACCAAGCTAGGCTAAGCTAAGCTAAGCCTAATAAGCCCCATAAGTTTATGCAAATCATTTCAGGAAACCAGCTCTCCGCTGAAGGACGACGCCGAGGGCCGAGGGGGCCGACATCACGACCGATCAGGTCGGCACCTTTTTCTGCTTATTGATATTACAAGATACTATAATCCATATTACCTGATTTCAGACAGCCGCGAGCACCACTACCGCCGCCACCATCACCATCACGGACACCAGGACTACGGCTTCGGACCCCAGTTCTACCAGTCCGAAATCCATGATCGTGAGTTACTATTCAAAAATCTAGGCTGTCTAATTGACCTAAATATCTATCTATTAAACAATTGGATTGCAGGCCACGTGTGCGACCTGGACGCCTCGGTCTTGTTGGTGCTCTCCCGCTCCCATGGAGCCCTCCACCGTGCCCACCGCGTCAGGTATGGCAGTTTAGGTCTGAACCTAAGCCAGAGCTCAAGCCTACCGTAAGCTTAAGCCTATCGAAAGCTTAAGCGATCGTAAGCTTAAGCCTCTTGTAAACCTAGGCCTATCGTAAGCTTAGCCACTTAAGCCTAACATGTAGAGGTTCTCAGGTCACAAGCTCCAAACCGGCTCAAAATTGGTGGAAAAATCAAATAAAATACGGGGAACACGATGCGATAAAAATTATCTGCTAATGGGCACTTTTGTTTAATAAACTTTTAATTTTAAGTAAGAAAAATGAAGGTAAAATGGACTTTCAGCGGATTAACCGGGCTTTCCGTCCCGGAATAAATGTTTCGATCAAATTGTGACGGAAAGTACGACACTAGGTACCTTCCCACACCCGGAAAAAAATTTGCTTTGAAAAAATTTTTCCACGAAAATGTTGACGACCTATGGCATAGCTTTGGCCGCTAGGTGGGTTAGCAGCTGCTTAAAATAGTTAGTTCTGACCCCAGGTGTTTAAAATCAGAGCCCAGAGATTCCAGATTCCGATAATGACTGCCTCTCTACAATACCTGTACAAAAAGTAATCTGTATTAACTATCCTGTCGATTTTTATGGAGTCGGAATAGGTAGGTAGGCCCTTTTTTGCAAAAACTTCCAAAATTTTGTAATTTATTTTTTTTTGTCGGGGCTGCCGCTACTGATTAATAGGACCGAAAAACATTATAAAAACTATTCTAGACGCGCTCCCTACAAACTAAAAGCAAAAACGGCAAAAAGCAAAAAAAATAAAAATGCGGAAATCGAACCCGTGACGTTTGGCCTATTACTCCCCGCACCCTACCCCCCACACCACCGGGCTGACGGGGAGGGGCCCTTGGGGAGGCTTCAAGAGCTCGCGCCTGCCCGCCCCGGTTCTGGCCAGGCTCGCTGCGATTCTAAGTGGGTTTTCCATACAAAATCTTAAAATTAAAAGTTTATTAAACAAAAGTGCCCATTAGCAGATAATTTTTATAGCATCGTGTTCCCCGTATTTTATTTGATTTTTCCACCAATTTTCAGCCGGTTTGGAGCTTGTGACCTGACAACCTCTACATGTAAGCCCAAGCGATGCTCAAGCCTAAACCTAAGCCTAGACTTGAGCTTAGCCAAAACCCAAGCCTACGCTCAAGCTTAAGCCGAAGCCTAAACCTAAGCCTAAGCCCAAAGCTAAGCAAAAGCATAAGCCTAACATCCTAAGATTTCAGATGCTCCGACGTGGCCGCCGCCGACGAGGACTCGTGCAACATCTGCTGCCAGAACGCCGCGCGCCGTGATTTGACGCTCAAGAATGTAAGTTTTCAAGTCTTTCAAAGGCATAGTGAGAGAGAGAAAGAGTGAGAGCAAGATCTCGGAGCGAAAGAGAGGTTTCATTTCCAGGAGAACATCTACGGCGTGCTGATCGACACCGACGGCATCGACTCGAAGCACCGCCACGACAACTCCAAGGAGCACGGCGTGGGTTTAAAGGGACGGTGACAGAAATTTCCTCCTCTTAGCGCTACAAGCGTAGCCACGACGACCGCAGCGACGAGCTGACCCGTGACGGTCTCCGTGACACCTTCCCTAACGCCGACCACTTCCCCTGGAAGTACAGCAAGCCGAACGTGGGTTTTTTGGGAGTGGGAGGCGTTGAGCGCGTACGGCTTCTGGCGCGCGATACCGACGCGTAGGGTATGCGTCGGGTACGACTAAATTCAGATTTTTCTAAATTTATATGTTTCAGTTCTTCAAGAACGTGAAGTGCCTGTGCTGCGCCCCTCGCCGCCACTACAACGGACCCCAGGTGAGCGTTTTGAAGGACCGCTGTAGGCACGATTTGACCCCGAATCTTGGATTAGATTTCCGCGTAGCTACTCTAGACTAAAAGCCGGAAAAGCGGAATATGTTATACAATCCAAATACACCTTTTCAGGCCCCCGTCCAGGTGGCCACCGTCCAGGTCCCCCAGTACAGCCAGCCCCAGCCCATCTACCAGGTAGCTTGCTTATGCTAATTTTGAGGGCAAAATTGCCAGTTTTTAGGCTAAGCTAGCTAAGCCTACCCTAGCAGTATTTTAAAATCTCTTTTTAGCCCGTGGCCCAGGCCCCGCCGCAGTACCAGCAGCCCCAGTACCCTCAGGTGAGAAAGAGGGAGAGAGAGAGAGAGAGAGAGAGAGAGAGAGAGAGAGAGAGAGAGAGAGAGAGAGAGAGAGAGAGAGAGAGAGAGAGAGAGAGAGAGAGAGAGAGAGAGCTAGAGAGAACGAGTGTCAGATGGAGAAGGAGGAAGCGAAAGAACGAGAAAGAACGAACGCTGATAAAATCCATAAAACTGACTTTTTAGCCGGTCGCCGCCGCCCCGCCCCAGCCCACCTACCAGCAGCCCACTTACCAGCAGCCCAGCTACGGCCAGGTAAGCCGGGTTCTGCCTTCAATGGCCTTTTAAAACTAGTTTATTGAGTTTGGCTAAAACTAAAAATACGACGGCGCTTTCCGCCTTCAACGCTCCTCTAAACGCCAAAATGATTTTTATTTCTATTCTCTAGTATTTTTCTAATTTGATTTATCCTTTTTTTTAGCCCGCCGCCCAGCAGCCCCAGCCCACCTACCAGGCGCCCAGCTACGGACAGGTTAGCCCTATAGATTTTTGCCTTTAATGTTCCTTTAAAATAACGTTGAAGATTGTGGATTTGCCTTCAGTAGCCCTTTAATTTAACTTTAAACCCTCAATTGATGATATATTGAGGTGAAAATTCGCAGATCCGTCGAGGTTTGCCTTCAATGTTCCTTTAAAAACAATTGAGAAAGTCTGGAAAAGGAAATTTCATGACTCGTAAAAACAGATGTAAAACGTAAAAACACGTAACGTAAAAACACATAGTAAACTAGTGTGTAGAAACAGATCGTTCGTAGGTTTATGCCTTCAATGGGCCTTTAAAACAGGCTAAACGATTTTTTTTGCTGAATAGACATAGCTAACCCAATTAAATAGCTTCAAAATGGCTTGAAAGCTGGTTTTTTATTTAGTTTAAATAGGTATATAACGTAGAGTTTTGTCTTTATTGCCCCCCTAAAAGAGATTTTTTCTAGGCCGCCGCCCCGCCTCAGCAGCAGTACTGAGCACGACCGCCGCGGGACCCTCTCCAATTTTCCAATTTCCACCCACCCCCTCGTCTAGTTGGCCTTTTCGAATAAATTGTGAAAAATAATGAGCGTAGTAAAGCTTTATGCAAAGTTGAGCACAAAATATAGTATCACAAACCACACGAAAATGCTTCGAAATGACTAGAGCAACGGGTGTATACAGAAGACGGAGCGGAAAATGTCCACCCGGGTCAAGGAGCATGAGGAAAGCGCTGGGGGGGAGAAAACAAGCTGATGGGCTCGTTTTAATGGATAAATAGTCTCGCGGCCGGGAGATCGGAGTCTCACAAAACATGAGAAAATGAAGGGGATGGCTCGGAGTTGAGCACGAGTCGGGTTTTGGAAAGAGCACGAGTCGGGTTTTGGCCTAAGCCTAAGCTTAAGAATAAGCCCAACTTATTTTTATGTCAGAGGAAGGCAGGCTGGCCGAGATTCTTGTGTTTACTTTGGGCAGGCTAGCAAAGATCCTTAAGGACTCCGAATGCCATAAAATATGTCGTAATTCTATTTTTAAAAAGGGCAGGAGGCTAGCAGAGATTCTTTAGGAACACAATTCTAAGGTTTTGGGGCGCAAATTAGCAAGCCTAGCATCGAAAAACTAGAATTTTAGTAAACTCTATACAGACAGATTCGGACTAGAAGATGAACGATGGATTCTCGCAGCCGCCGCTTCTTCCTCTTGCTCGTCCTCCCGCACCGTCGTGCTCCTCTCCCTGACCGGCCTCTCAACTGTCTCGGCCCTCCTCGCCTCGGCCAGCTCCTTGGCCAACTTCCGGTCGGTGAGCGTCTTCTCGTTGTCGCTGCTGCCCTCCTCGTCGAGTTGGGTGGAGTAGCCGAACCTGGAATAAGAAATTTTAAGGTCTTCTTACAGATTTTGCCGAATTTATGGTTCTGTAATATCTGCGAAAAACGAAAGTCGTCTGTTGTAAAACGTACTGTTCATGTGCGGTCACCCGGCTGATGACGTTGTCGAGCTCGTGCTCGAGCGTGGAGATGACCATCGAGGGCCACGACTGCTCCTCCCTGGGCGGCATTTTTGCATCCTTTTCATCGTCCGTCGAGAGGCCGACCGTCGGCTCGACAACTGAAATTTTAGCGATTATTTATCGCCCAGTCTACCGTAACCCCCAAAAAATTTCCGGAATTTTTGCCCAGACGAACGCGATAACATTTGCTAGCCCCGGTCCATCATCATTTTTTTGCCTGATAAAAACGGGTTATTATGGCAGATTGGTGGGGCGAGTGGAGGATGATGTTTGTCGATCTAGAGAGGGGGGGGGCACAATATAGCGAGTGATGGGGAGGGGGAACCCGTTTTCTTTGTTTTTTGGTCCGCCTCAGGGGGATAGGAACGGGTGAGACGGGTGTGAAAACTGACAAGAGCTGAGGCGTTAGGTGACGTGAGACGGTAAAGCTCGATATCTCTTTCTCTCTCGCTCTCTCTCGCTCTCTCTCTCCCTCTCTCTATCTCAGTCGCTCTCTCGTTCTCTCTCTCTCGCTCTATCTCTTACTCTCTCTGTTTCTCTCTTTGTGTTATACAAGCTAGAGCTCTCTTTAAAACAGCTCGAAAACCCACCAGCCGCCGTCTCAATGTCGGCCACCGTATCCCGGCGGCACAAATTGACGAGCCGCCGAATCGGGCTCTGCTGTCCGGGTTTCCGGGGCAACACAACGAACAGCATCACCTGCGCCAGCGCCAAGACTGACCCAATTCCGTTTGGCGTCTAAAAATGGGTTTTTGATTAGGCAAAAAGGATCAAAGGCGATATTACATCAAGGCTATAAAAATCCATTAAAATCCAAGCTCCCAGAACCTTTTAGCGTCCATTTAGAGTTATCAAGTGCATGACTACACTGCTGTACGCCTTCAAATTGCTTACAATCAGGTAGAAGTCCCAGACGAGGAGCCCGTAGACGAACCACTCCGTCGAGACGAGGAAGTTGGCGATGCACAGGGGTAGTGGGAGAGTTGATGTGGCCCCGCGGCGGATGACGGTTTTCTAGAATTTGGGATGCAATAAATATACATTAAGGTAAGCTTAGTTTAAGCGTCGTCTAAGCTAAGACTGCGCCTAGCTAAAGCCGAAGCCTATCCCAATCAGGATACTAAGATTAAAGGAAAATTCAAGAAATCCCAAAATTTTCACCCACCAGCCCAGCGAGTGGTGCTGCAAAGTCGGCGGCGTTCAACGTCATGCACAGCCAGCCGAGCGGGTGGAACACCTGGAAAGGATACGGTAGATAGGGCGCCTAGTAAAGCGCACTTACCGCCATCCGGAAGTGATAGGAAGAGGCGGCGATGCTCGTCGAGAGGATGACGATGAAGAGAACTTTGAGGGTGATCCCAAACTGAAAAAAGTTGTGTAAACGATAGAGAAAGAGAGAGAGAGAGAGAGAGAGAGAGAGAGAGAGAGAGAGTGAGAGAGACTTCTGAACATACCTTGTCCTTTGTCATAAACCAATAAAATAGCGTATAGGAGGTGTAGAGAATGATTTGCGTTCCGGTCACGTACATTACGGTATGGTCACCTTTTAGGTAACCGTATGACATCCAGCAGGTTCCGCTAAAAATTTAATTTTGTAAGTTAATTTATCTTTTCAGCGAGCTTTGGAATTTTAATGTTTTGATTAATAAAATAATTTAAAATTGAATTTAGACAAAATTTTTAGAATAATTTTGTCTATTGCAGCTAGGATGCTACCGTATCCCCTGAAATACTCACCCCAAAATTCCCATCAAAAACGGGGCGGCGGCGATCTCCTTGGTGTCCTTGCGCTTCAGGATTTGTCGGCAGATCGGGCTAAAAATGGATTATTTTTAACTACAGTACGGTACAGTACTCTACAGTACGCTGCATTAGAGTACAGTACTCTAGCGTAATCCGTCAAAATCCAACAAATAGTATTCCCTTACATTCCGCAAAAGAACAGCCCGACGGTGGTGATGAAGGCGATGATGGAGAGCAGGTTGAGAAAGGTGAAGCCATGCGTGAAAATTTCGAACATTTTCGGGCCGTCGTCAAAGTGGTGTCAAATGTACAGTTGTGTAGCCCCGGAGGTGGGGTCGCTGGAAATGGGGTGTAAAATGGGTTTCGACAGTTTCTACAGTAAGCAAATAAATTTCACTTTAGAGGACATGGAAATGAGATATATAATTATAGAAATGTAAGGCGATCAAAATTTTTTTAGAATTTGGGATTATGTTATACAGTAAGAAAATTGACATAAAATAAATTATCGTAATTTTCAGTGAGAATTACGGTTATTTTTGCTAATAAGAACACAAAAACCAAGGTCGGAATTATTACGGTAGGAAAATCCTTAGATAGGATAAAGTTAAACAAAATTTGAAGCATTACTGTAAGAAAATCACTGATAGAAAAAAATGGAACTACAGTGTGAAACCAAGCTGGAGAACCCAAGATCTGACTCGACCATGCCGAGCATGAGCCTTTCTACCCCCTCGCCGCCCCCACAAAGAGTCCCGGAACGAAGGAGGCGTGTCTACAACGATACGGTAGTGGGCGAACAGAGCGGAGTGTCTCGTAGTGAGGCCGACGACCAAAAAAGGGGGCAGACGCTCGGCTGCTAGAGGACGGTCTCATTTGCCGAATGGATGAGAGGTGACAATGATAGCCATCAACCACTGAAATAACTCCACGTGAATACCATTTGGATTAGCGGCCGGGATGGGGGGGGGGAAGTTTCTTTGCTCAGTCAATGCTCTGGCTAGTTTTATCTCGTTCTCTCTCTCTCTCTCTCTCTCTCTCTCTCTCTCTCTCTTTCTCTGGCGATGTCTCTCTCATTCTCTCGCATGCTTTCTCACTCCCTCTCGCTCTCACTTTCTCTGGCTACCTCTCTTTCTTTCTCACTCTCTCTCTATCTCTCTCTCTCGCGCTCTCGATTTAAAAAGATACAGGGATCGCTTACATGTTTTAAGCTAATTTAAAAAAGATAAAGACAGGCCATCGAAAATCCTTAAAGGGGTGACTTTTTGCTTATTTTCCTTAAAACTATACGATTTTTCGATACAAAAAGATATTAAATACAAAAAAATACAGAAATCTAAACACATACGGGTATAAAATCATAACATTAGGACGCCTAAAGTTCTCACTGCCCCGCCCAGCCTTCCCAGTCCCTTTAAAGGATACTGTAGGGCCAAAAAACATTTTTTAAAATACGGCAACCAACGACAAATTCTGCTTGCTTTCTGCAGGTACGCAGAAGAACTTTGAACGCCCAATTTCTCAAGGTCTCAGGGTGAATAGCCCCTGGTTTTCCGTACTTTTCTCGCCAAAGGGCATTTGGTATGATAAACAGAGATGTCATGGCGTTTGTAGACAGTTGACCTTCCACAATTACAGGTATTTTTATCCGTATTATTATTCGGGCTGGAAATCAGCAACATCGGTACACCTAGGTGCACGTGAACGCCATGATACTATGAACATAGCGGTGGAAAACGTTATTTTTCCATTAGGAGATGATACGGGCGTTAGGCATGCTGGCAGAGGTTATTTGAGACGGCTAGTTTTAACAAATGGGTAAACGGCGAAGTAGCGGAGACCATTTGGTAAATTCTCTCTGCCTCACTCTCTCACTTACCCACTCTCTCTCGATTTCTATCTATATCTCTCTCTCTCTCTCTGTCTCTCTCGCGTTCTATCTCTATCTCTCGCACTCTCTCTCTCTCTCGCTTTCTATCTCTATCTCTCTCGCGCGCGCGCTCTCTCTCTCTCTCTCTCTCTCTCTCTCTCTCTCTCTAATTCACCATATCTTGCTATCGCGCTAGGAAAACGTCATTTACGAAGTATGGCAAGCTAGTTGAGATCTTTCAAGTTTTTGGATTAGCGAAAGGGATTGATAGCGAGCTAGCGGAAGTCATTTGGGAAATTCTCTTGTAATAAGACGTCAGAGCTGCTGAGAGAGGAGAGAGCGAGAGAGAGTGAGAGAGAGAGCGGGAGAGAGAGAGAAAGCTAGCTGCTCCCTGTCCCGGAAATCATTGGGCGGACACGGAAAACGGATAGACCGTCGAGGTCAGGTACCACCGAAACGGTCGAAGTTTGGCCAGTTGATCCGGTATCACCGGAAAAAGACGGAAGAGAAAAATACATTGATATCAGATTCGACCGCCAAAGCTAACATACGCTTGAACTAAAAAGAAAACGGAACCCACAGTTACATCTGAAGTTAATGTCGGGGATTTTTCGCTAGATAAAGTCAAGATAAGTCAAGGTATATAATTTCTAAAGCAGAGAGAGACAGAGAGAGGGAGAGAGACAGACAGAGGTAGAGAGAGCGAGAAAGAACAAGCAAGAGGGCAGATAATACCTCAGAAAGCCGAATATTTGATCTGTCCCCGGCCGACCCGAGATGTTTTGCGGTCACGCAAAATAATCAGAAGCGCCCCCGGAATCATAACAGACATATAAAGGGCAGCAGTACGGGAAAATAAACAAGTGATGGAGTATCCAGATTACAGTAGTATCAGAAAATTGCCTGGGGGCCTCGAGTTCGAGCAGAAATCCAAGGAGAAATCCGTGATTTTGAATGGTCAGCGTAAGAATTCTTTTTTGCACTTTAATCTCATTTTTCCTGATAAAATTGTGATAAACTTCGAAAGTTAAGGGTGAAGATGTTTTTTAGAAGCATAGGCCATGCAAATATTGGTCTCGGGGGGTGGCAACGAAAAATAGATTGAAGAAAGGGCGTAATTTGGGATGTGTCTCTCTCTCACTCGCTCTCACTTTCTCTCTCTCTCTCGCTTCTGACTCTCGCTCTCCCTCACTCTCCTTTCTAGAATAAAAGCTAAAAGACAGTAAACGAAGTCGAACAAAAGTAACTGCGACATCTTACGTGACTTGCTTACGATTTCCCGGTTTTATACTCCACGAGTTTGTGGTTGTTGCCGCTCAAGCTGGGGCTCGTGATCTTCCGGGTCAGGTGGTCTGAGGCCCTCATGGCAGTATCAACCCCCAAGGTATCCACTAGGTCACCTAACTCCGAAAGATGTAAATTAGGAGGGCGAGAGACAGAGATAAAGAGCGCAAGAGAAAGATAGCTGAATAGAGAGAGAGAGCGATAGACAGAGACAGAGAGAGGCAACCTACCGTAACCCTCGAATAGAGTTAATGTAGCTACGGTAAGTGTGTATGCCTTGCCATGCTAACCGCCTTTATACCTATAGTCCCCGGCCCTGGAATTTGCGGTCTTTGCTGCATAACCATAATTTTTATTTTGTTTTGACTCCGTTCTGACGTTGGAATTCTCAAAAAATCAAGAAATTTTTGAAAATCACCGCATTTTTACATATTTTGTCTGCGGGGATTTTTCATTTTTGATGCCCAATTTTTGAAGATCATTCCCGTGATTTTTGGAAATCAACATTTTCTCAATATTTTTTGGTGAGTAACCCCCAATTTTCGTCGGGGGGATTCCCCGGGCACGTGAATGCCAGGCGGGAGCAATTTTTCACGCGGGCAGGGCGGAAATTCCGTACTTTACCCCCGGGACGAACAGTTGTGTCTGTCGCAGTTGATTTGGCGATTAGCTGGTTGATCGGATCGAAAACAATAAGGAACGACGAAACTTGAGTTTTCGCCGAAATATCTGCATTTTTACAAAGAGACAGCATAGGTTTTCGTGAACTCAATAAACTGAAAGACAAAAAAAAGACGCAAAAATGAATCCTGTTCTCAATTCAGGCTTGAATTTTCGTTTTTCAAAAACTTTGAGCTAATAAGGTAACTTTTTTTAGTGTCCAGAGCATTTGGAGATGGAACCAAGCCGATTTTGTGTAGAATTTTCGCTGGCTAAAACGTACTTTTTATTTCAGAATTTGCGAAACGAGCATATTTCAAAAGTTATGAAGATTTAAAGTGTAGAAAATGCCCAAAATGGCCAACTTTCGCCGATTCTGGCCCTGTAAAACGCTATGATTTTCTTATTTTAGTCGTTTCGCAGCTTCCAAAAAATTAGGAACCAAAATTCTGCACAAACTTCCAAAACTCCGTGGACACAAAAAAAAACCTCCTGGTAAGAAGCCCATTCGATGGTAAAAATTTTTCTGAATACGATGGCGATATTCGTTTTCAGAAATCGGCCGGGAAAGGCAAAATAAATGACCTTGAAATAATAACTTTCTAAAACGAGCGATTCGACACAAATTGGAGACGGATTTTGAATCAACGAAAACTTCCGCAAAAAACGGGCTACCGAAACGCCCTCTCAACCGTCTCGTGTTAGGGCTTGACAGAGTGTATTGCCAATGTATTTGGAACTTTACCGGGACTTTCGTCTTTATCAACAGAGCGTACAATTAGTCACAATTGAGTTCGAGGCAAAGGACCGATTTAGACAACAAATGGATCAATCACAATTAATGGGAGGTGATTGTTTCATTGGCCCTCGTCGAAGTTCAGCCAGCGGTGCTTCTTACCGTGACGCCGGCGGCGCCACCCGCAACCCGAAAACTCGGAGACATTCCTCATACAAGACGTCTTCGTCTTCGGTGTGCGGGCGGATGGACCCGATCGATGCACCGAGACTCCGCCGAGCGGCGCCTTCCTCACGGAGGTCCCTTGCACTGACGGAGGCTGCCGGTTGTTGAGGGACTCCAGCTCCCGGGCCACCTAGAAAAATTTGCATATACAAACTCGTGGATTTTTCCCCCGCCTGCCCTATCCTATTTTGAGCCAAACTGGCCGAAATCGCTGCTCACCTCCGTCATGCTGTAGCGCCGGTTGGTATCCTTGTCCCAGCAGTGCTGCGTGATGAGGGAGACGATCTCTTGGTTGGCGAGTGAGGGGAATTGTAGTAGCTCGCCGGCGACGATCTTCTGCTTGATCTGCGGGTTCGGCTCGCCGGCGTACGGCTCGTCCCCGTTTGTCATCACCTCCCAGACTAAAAAGACAAATTGGAGGAGTTCAGAGAAGAACAATCCACTTACCGAGTACTCCGTACGCCCAGACGTCACTCTTCGGGGTGTAGGTGAACGTCTGGATAGTCTCGGGGGCCAGCCAGCGGATCGGCACCTTGCCCACCGTCTTCATCACGTACGCGTCGCCCTCGCGCGACAGCCCAAAGTCGGAGATCTTGACGAGGTGCTCATCGTTGACGCGTACGATCAGGCAATTTCGGGCGGCCAAGTCACGGTGGATGATGTGCTTGTGGTGGAGATATTCGATGCCCCACGCCGCGTCCTGAAAATCAAAAAAATACATAAAAGTAAAAACAAGCCCCTCGATAATGCAAAAGCTCCCAAAAAGAGCACACCTGGATGTATAGTAGGCGCTGATCGGGCGGGATTCTGTCAGACTGTGTGCGTAGATGCTTATCGAGCCCTCCTCCATCCACCAACTCCATGACGATCATCAACGGATCCCTCTCCACGACCACTCCGTAGATCTTGACCACATTCGGATGTTCGAAGTCGCGCATCAGCCGAGCTTCCTTCATCACCTCCTTGATCTTCTCCTTCGAGATGATGTCCTCCCGGGCCATCTTGATCGCCACGTCCACCTCGCGGTCGCGCAGCTTCAGTTTGCCCTGGTGAACGTCGCCGAATTCACCTGCAAAAAGCGACTTTTAGGCAAAAAATCCAGATTTTTGACCAAAGTATCTTCATCCCAAAGTTTCCCTTTGGTGACCCCCCTCGCTAAGAGGAAAGTTCCAATTTAACTTTTTGTTGCGTTTCTGGACTAGTAGGAAAAATGAAGGCTGGCACGTACCTTCACCGAGCTTCCTGCCTGTGATGACGTTGTCGGCCCGCAGTTCCCATGAGGGTCTGTTGATGGCGTTGATGAGGATGGTGTTGGGGATCTCCTTCTTGAGCGGCACGCGTCGGGTCTTGTATTCCTGGACGAGCTCGTCGATCGTCGGCTTCGAGATGGTCTTGTCAATCGTGAACAGGTTCGGCGGCTCCTTCTCTTGGGTGATGATGTAATGCCCGCGCTAAATTCGAGTTAAATTAAAGCAATTTGGGCTGCGGTTCAGTTTACCCCCCAGCCCCCCCCCTCCGCCCCCCAGCCGGCCCCCCACCTACTGTATCTCGACAACCCGTTGTTGTAAAGCCCTGTAAGGTATACCAAAATACTCGCCAGAGCAAGGCGAACATTTTGATATACTTGACACACCTGTATATGAACAGGGCACCGAGATACAAAAATAGGAGGCCGGGCTGGGCGGGGGGGGGTTAACTGAACTCTAACCGCAATTTGAATTAGAATGTCACCTTAATTCGATCTCCGCGTGCGTAGGCGATGGAGAGAATCGTACGTCGCTCCACGCTGGCCGGCATTTGGTACGATCGGAGTAGATAGTCGCCCTCGTTCTCGAGCAGCGCCGGCAGCTCTCCTCGCGGTAGCACCCCGTGGTAGTAGTCGAGCGCGTCGAGGCCCGGCACGGCCATCGTGTTCATCGAGTTCATGGGCCCGGCTTTCAGCTTTTCTTATGGTTGGCATCGTATTCAAATTACGCCGGTCAGCGATTCATGCACATGACTATTTTTATTCCAGACAATCATGTAAATTGTGGACGAATTAGTATCGTAGTTGCAATCATATAGCCGAAATCCATCATGTCGAAATTCAAAATGTCGACATTTCAGAACGCCGAAAGTTCAGAATTTCGAAATATCGTAGTACCGGAGTAGTAAAAAATTTATTATTGTTTTCAGTCAAACAGCACTGTGTGGTAAGTGGCACGCCATCAAAAAACCCTTTAAAAAATTTTTATAGAAATTTTGATTGAAAATTGGCCATCTTGGGCTATAAAACTATATTTTTAGTGAATTTTAAAGTGTTAATTCACTATTTTGAAGCGCGCTTTTTTTGGTAGAAATTGTTTAGAAACCCTTTCTCTATTTGTATTGGTAAAGTTGGACCCTTGTGGGTACTGTAGATGCGGTAAATTGTCGTGATTTTCAGGCTTATAGCTTGTTTTTCGGTCCAGCGTGTTTTCAAATGGATTTATTGCTTTAAACGACACATAAAACATCAAAAATAAAAAGAGTTTGGCACTGTGAATCAGGAAAAAATAGTGAAAAATGTGATTTGTGCAGTACATGGGGAGGGGTGTCGACACGTAGCGTTCCGTACCAAGTATCAGAATTGTGGGGTTAGGGGGGGGGGGGGGGCAGAGAAAGAAAAGAGAAAAAGGCTTCAACTTGCTGAAAAAAAACTACGCTAAAAATAAAGTATGCTAGGGTACACTGTACGTTGCAGTATGCCGTACACTAGAGTACTGTACGGTGGCGTGGACTGTAGCTTGGCTTACACCGTACGATAGCCTACACCGTAGCTTCCCGTACAACCGCACGCTACAGTACACCTACGTCACCGTACACTGTAAGCTTCAGTACAGAGTACGCTGCAAAACACCGTACGCTACAGTATGCTGTACGTTAAGTACACTGTACGCCACCGTACGTCAAGCGACTAGCTACGTTTTTGGCGATTCTAGGGGGAATGACTGGCAATAGATAGAATAAATGCATTTCGGGGTGTTGGGCGAGCTAAACTTGGTCTTCAAAATTGAAAAACATCTATTTTAACCCAAAAAAATCATCAATTCTCTTAAATTACACTAATTGAACCCAAATTAGCCCGGCCCATTTGGCTAAAAAGCTGAAAAATCGCACGGCGAGATCTACGGAATATAAAAACGTTTTTAATTATCGATCACGTTAGAGAAAAGAAATTACAAGGCAGGACGATGATTTAGAGCTAGAGCCGGAAATGCTATAATTTAACGTGCTCACTGGGCTGGCTGGGTGGTGGTGTTGTAGGGATGGTCCTGAAACGAGCGTTGAATTTCGGAATCGTGGATTATAAGTCGTAATCGATTAGTTTCTTGTTAAACTTTGATTAAGGGCTGTTTTGGCAGCTAGCAGAGATTATTGCGGAGGCAGGAGTATAATTTAAAAAGGCTCGGAAGGCAAGATGCTAGCCCAGTTGATATATTTTGCCTTGCTGGAGCTAATAAAGTCCCTTAAGCCAATCTTTTCGCTCTTGTTAGGCTTAGGCTTAGCTTAGGCTTGGCTTAGGTTTAGGGCTTAGCGTATGCCTAGTTTGGTTTTAGAGCTTAGCGTATTCTTAGCTTGGCTTAGGTTTGGGCTACGGATCAGCTTAGGCTTGTCTTAGGCATAGGCTTAGTTAAGCTTAGGCTTATCTTTCGCTTGGTTTATGCTTAGGTTTGACTTAAGCACAGCTTAGGCTTGCTTGGCTTATTAGGCTCAGCTTAGGCTTAGACTTAGGCTTAGATTAGGCTTATCTTAAGCTTGGTTTGGGTTTGGCTTAGGCTTAGCTTTGGCATTAGTAAGACGTTCGCAGTACCTGCTCTGTCAAATCAGCGGCCGACGCGCCGGAGCTGCTAGAAGCGCTAGTCGAATGGATGGCCGAGTCGATGGTGTCTGATGGAGAGGTGCGAGTCTGCTTCTCGTCTTTCTCGGTCAGAAGCGGTACCACACTCTCACTGCAACCGCTTCCCGGTTAATAGAGTTTTCCCGTTTATATAATTTTACGTTTTAATAGCTTAAGATATTTTTATAAAGTAAAAATAAAAATTTTAAGCGCTTTAGTTTCGAAATTCAGTAATTTTTGCTATTTTTTAAATACTTAATTTGATATGGAATAGATCAAATATTTCTTAAAATTAGCGAAGAACTGCGAATTTGTAATTTAAATCCAATAAAAATCCCTTAGCATTTAGGCCGATTTAGATTATGGTTTTCTATAGTCCAATGCCAAATTTACAAAGTTTAGCATGAATTTTTCGCCAACTTACTACTACTACTACTTTAAACCCCCGAATTCGGCATTTCTATAATTAAATTAGTAAAATCTAACAATACACTTTTTAAAAATATGTTGTTAACGATAAAAAACAATGTCAAAAATGTTAAGACCAAAAATCCAAAAATGACGAAAGCCAAGGATGAGGCAATTAACATCTAAAAATTATAAAAAAAAACCAACCCCTCGAGCTTCTTCTCCATATCGAGAATCGCTTCGTGCTGTCGTTGCGGAGAGAAGAGCGCCTTTTCGGGGACGATGCCGCCTGGAAAATACGGTAATTAGGGGCGTGACCTAGCTAAATTTGGGGTGCAAGGCGCCAAACAACAGCTGTCCGGAAACCAGGGTTGTGCGTTAAATAATTTCAAAAAATAGCTAAATTAGAGGCAAGACCAACCCTGATTTGTGGAACTAAAATGTATGCGAATCTCGAATAGGATTGAAGGGACTGGAAAGGCAAAGTTTGTTGAAAATCTTAAAAAACCAAAAACGTAGATTTCTGCCTTCCCTGTACATTTAAAGGGCACGTTCAGGAATATTGCTTCCCATTAGGTTCCCTGATCCCTCTCGCTCTCTATTGCTCTCTCTCTCACTCTATCGCTATCTCGATCGCTCTGTTTCTCTCTCTCCCTATCTCGAATTAGCATAAATTAAAGACTAGAACGTGCCCTTTCGAAGCTATTTCGCGATACCCATTAAAATATTGAAGACTTCTGTCGCATCTCTTTTAAAAGAAATGCGGATGCGCTGAAAAATCGACGCTTTTCGTGAAAGTTGTTTTGATTTGATGAAGGATTTGAATACTATTGGTGTGCAGGACCGGCAAGACGGAAATCTCTGAAAAATCCGCTTACCCTTCTCGATGTCGTCGTGGATGGGTTTTTCGGGTGCTTGGATGCATGGGCAACATGATTGAAGGGGAGCACGACCGCCCGGCTTCATCGGGAAGATGAGGAACAGGGTGAGCTGGATTAGAGACAGGATCACGCCGCAGAGATTTGGGCTCTGAAAGTTATCGTTAGAAAGTATAGGTTTCGAATTTGTTGATTTTAGCCGTTCCAAGGCCTTTAAAATCCCACAAAAACGTACGATGACGTAGATGTCGTTAATTAGGGTCCCGTAGAGCATCCACTGGGAAGATACGGCCAGGTTGGCGACGCACATCGGCAGGGGCAGCGTGTCACAACACCTTGTACGCAACACGACTTTCTGAAGACGACGGAGTCAGTGAATTCCTCAAAGATTCCCTGCTAGCCTGCCCTATTCCAATTCCTCAAAGAATCTCTGCTAGCTTGCCCTATTCCAATCCTCAAAGAATCTCTGCTAGCCTGCCCTCTTCTAATTCCTCAAAGAATCTGTGCTAGCATGCCTCGAAAAACTTACCATTCCAGCCAACGGTGCCGCAAAGCATCCAATATTAAACGTCATACAGGCGAAGCCGAGCACATCGGCCGTTTTTATGCCGTACTGCATGACGAGGAAGACCATGAGAGAGATGAGAGACACAGTGAAAAGGAGCATGATTCCAAAGGATTTCTAAAGCCGTTGCAACACCTATAACCAGAAAATTACCTTTGGCTGGCTCATAAACAAATAAAAAATCGAATAGATTGTAAAGAGCGACACGCCGACGACGTTCACAGTAATCATCGTACTGTCGGACCGGAGGAAGCCGTAGCGCAGCCAGAATGATGCTCTGAATTTGAAGATAGAAATATGTAATAAAATTAGAGTAAATAAATATAGGTGAAACTAGTAGATCAGGGCATTAAATTTTCGAAAGTTTTCGTAAAAAATATAAAAATATCGATTTTGCGATTTTCATAATTAAAAATCATTATTTTGTTAATTTATACAATAATAAATGAGGGTACAATAAAATAGTTTCCCACCCGACAAGTCCCATGATAAACGGCATTCCGCTGATGTCCTTGGTCCCGCCGCGCTTCCAGATTTCCCAGCAAATCGGGCTGAAAACGAGAAATATTTCGGGGATTATGGTAAAATTCGATATTACGATATTAAGTTCTACGTACTACGGTATTCCGGAAAATCCAACTTACAATCCGGTGAAGAACAGCGAAATTGTGGAGATGATGGCCGTAATCGAGAGCACGGGGAGAATCTGCTCGGCCTCCATTTTTTTCTGAAATCCAAAAATTAGAATAGGCATTTTAAAGGAGCATTGAAGGCAAGAAAGAGCGAAAATTAGCTGTTATTGAAGCTATCGCATTAAACCCATCAATTTTTTCAAATGTTTTAAATTAAAAAACTGGATTTTCACAATTTTTAACGGCACGCTGAAGGCTAAATTGCAAATAACCGTTCTTAAAAATGAAATCTTCTTTTTCAAGGGCCATGGAAGGCTAGAATATAGGCGTAGAATAGTGGAGGATGTGAAAAATCGTTTTTTTACGCTACTATCCTCATTAAAAATTAGCAAAAATGGTAGAATTTTGACCGTTTAAAGGTGAGTGAAAAGTGAGTGGTAATTCGTCACTTTTTCATTGAAAACTGTCTTTAATGAGCCGTTGAAGGCAAGAAAATAGCGAAAAACTAATCAAGTTACCGCTACACGCCGATCCGTTATAAATTTGTAAAGAAACGTTGAAGCCCAACTGGCAATTTTCCAAAAATTTCCGAGCAACAACAATTCCGCCCGTTCGCCGGACCATCCAAAAAGATAATTGCCGATTGTCAGGCAACAGCTAACTGGAACGGGGGGATCAATTCTCCCCCCCCATTTTGATGGCTATAAAGTGGGGAGGTGAGGAAATGGAAGGAGGTGTCTTTCGTAGTCTCCTACGCGAGATTCGCGCTCAATTTACTGGGGAGCGGAGCGCAACTAGCGAGCCAGCAGTGGGAATTTGAGGACGTGGGGGAGGGGCCGGTCCATCTGGGAGATCCATGCTCCTCCTCCTCCTCCTTCCGTTCATTCAGATCATCTCCTATCGGGTGCACCCCAGTTATACGGTAGTTTTGATGAATTATAGTGGGTTGGTGGGGTTGAACGCGGTGATTTTTCGGTTTTTCTACGCGTTCATCATAACCAAAAAGCCGTCTATCGTTCTGGTTTGAGCACGAGCACAGTCATGCTCACTTTAAAATGGGAAAGATATTTTCATAATTTTTTTTGCTAGTTTGCCTGTTTTTTTCTCGCGCAACTGGGCTAAAAAGCAGTTTTTGGGCTTACAAAATGTCAGGCTCAGGAATTCCTAAAGAATCCCTGCCAGCTTGCCTCATTTAACCAAGATTTTAGACAAATTCCGAAATGACCTCTGTTAGCTTCCCCCGTGTAAAATTATCCACGCCGGCAAAATCACTAAAAATCCTGAAAAATCTCTGCTGGTTTGCCCACCTGGCGCGAAAGCTTAGGGGTAACTTCCCCAATGGCCTCTGCTAGTACGCCCCTACCGAAAAACCACAAAAAACGGGGAAAATATCGAGGAATTTATGTAAAATACTTTAAAAGAGAACTTTTCAAACCTACGAATTTCCAAAGAATCCCTGCTAGCCTGCTTCCTTACCAGGAAATGCCAAGAATCGGGAAAAATTCCCCAAATGATCTCTGCCAGCCTACCCTGTCACATTTTGCGAAATCCTCACAAAAATAATTTATTAAATTAATCGTTTTCCCCGTGAAAACAGCTTTTTTATGCAAACAATCCTAAATTTCCTCTGCTAGCCTGCCTGACCTTCAGAATCTTTCAAAATCACCCCATCCCCAGGTATCAGCCTCCGAATCTCGGCCCGACACGATCAAAAAATAGCGACAACCAGGGGGGAGGGAGGTGTGTAGATCTGGAAGATTAGGCTATTTGGGCCCCCCGAACAGGGCATCCGTTTCGACAAAAATAAATCAAAAAGCAAAAAATGGTGTTCTTGCGAGGTAAATATTTATGCGAGGTGAAAGGTCAAGGTGAAAAGGTGGAAATTCCAAAAAATATTAGTTACAGTACCGGAAGGTCGCGTATTTTGTAGCTTTTCCGAATTAAGTTTGCAAGTTATGCTACACAAAATATAAGTTAAAATTTAGATAAAACTAAACCATTGAAGCTCTATTTATAGTATCCGGGAAAATAGCGTAATTTCTTAACTTTCGGGATCCAAAAACGTCAAAGAAGCGATAGAAATAAAAATTGCTAGCTATAGTGTTCGAAAAGTCGTGTAAAATGCGAAAAATCTCCAAAATTCAAAAAAATGGTTTTGAGAAGTCTTAGAAATAAAAAATTCCATATTACTACTCGCAAAAAACGATGTAAATTCGGAGCATCGCGGAATCCCCAAAAAACGAAAGCACCGTAAAATTACGCCCGCTCCGCGCCCCTTATTACGCTTTGGGGTAGGCTAGGTGATATCGATAAGATATCCCAGAGCTCCTCAGCTGATCGCCGCGGCGAGCTGGTTTTTAAAGGGACCGGAAGGGCATCGAGGGGGGGGGGGCAAAGAAGCGGGCTTGAGTGGCTTGTTGTCGCTCCATCCCCCACCCTAGCCTTCTTCACCTTATCGACTACGCGTCACTCCGTCCGTACACACCCGATACACTCGGTGAGGTCGACAAAAATACGAAGGGCACCTATGGACGGGGGTTGGGTACAGGGTTAGGCAAAGATCGGGACGGTACGGAGGCTTGTGAAATTTGTCTGGCTTTTTGGAGTGGCTAGAAAGGGCTAGGCTTAGGCTTGGGCTTAGGCTTATGACTTCGGCTTAAGCTTAGGCTTAGGCTTAGGACTTCGGCTTAAGCTTAGGCTTAGATTTAGGCTTAGGTGAGGCTTAGGCGAAGGTCAGGCTCAAGTTCGCGCTCAGAATTATTAGGCCTGGGATTCAGCGGCTTAGGCTTAACTTTGAAGCTTAACTTTGGGCTTCAATATCTAGTATTACCTGCTTACTTCCCGGATCAAAGATCCCTTGAGCTTAACAGTAAATGCTTGGTCACAAGAAAAACGGATCGCCGGGGGTCTCGAGCGGGAAATTGATGGGATGAACGGGGGCCACCGTCTGGATCCGGGTCACTTTGGACACTCGCTTTTTGATTTCTGGTCGTAATCGGTGAATACGGTAGTGTAATTCTAGGTTTTGGAAATTTAGCTTACAAAATACTGCAAATTACAGTACTGCTATGTGTAAAAGGAAAAAGGAAAGTTTGTGAAAATCGTCAAAATGCGCTACGTTAGGAAATATTTGCTTCCAAGTTCTACTGATCTATACGACGTACACCAAGTTACACGTAAAAAAATGGGGAAGAGTAAATTAACAAATTTACCGTAGCTATAGAGAAAAACGGTTAGGTGTGTATTTCTACGTAAGACTCCAAATTACGGTCGTTAAATATGGGGGAAAATAAGCTATAAAAATACACTACAAAAATTACATATGCTTCGGTCACCCAATAAACACTAGACATAGGCTTAGGATTAGGCTTAGGCTTCGGCATGAGCTTAGGCATGGGCTTAGGTTTGGGCTTAGGCTCGGGCTTAGGTTTGGGCTTAGGTTCGAGCTTAGGCTTGGGCTGTAGCTTGGGCTTCGCTTAGGATCCGGTTGGGCTTACGTTGAAGTTTAAAAAGAGTAGAAAGCCAAAGAAATAGCTCCTAGCACGATGAAAAATGAGTTGATTCTTTGCGATAGCCCGAGGCTATATACCCGAGAGTCCGATGGGGGTTGACCGTCTCGAGGCGCTTTACGGAACACATGTGCCCTGCCGTTGTCCACGTGTTAAGCAGGGGGCTACCCCCATCAACTGCCCTCAAAACATTCCTGCCCCCCCTTCTTCGCCGGCCCATTGACCAAAAGATGTGTATTTTTGAAGATTGGCTATAATCTGATAGCCAGCCACAAAAAGTCATGTGTTTTTCGGGGTTTTTCCATAGTGCCCTTTCCGGCCAATATGATAGGAGGGTGGAAGAAGCTGATAGGGGAGGGATCACAAATCAACAGCTGAGTGGGTTTAAAGGGGCTTTGAAGAGAGAGTGAGAGAGAGAGGAGAAAGAAAGCGTGAGAGCAATATTTTGAGAGAGAGAGGGAGAGATAGTGAGAGAAAGAGGGAGGTAAAGGGAAATCGAAAAAGCACGGGGGAGTGAGAGAGAGAGCGAGTGAGAGAGAGAGAGAGAGAGTGAAAGTGAGAGTGTGAGAGTGAGTGAGAGCGCGAGAGAGTCGGAGAGAGTGAAAGTGAGAGTGTGAGAGTGAGTGAGAGTGGGGAATAAGAGAAATTGAAAAAGCACGAGAGAGAAAGAGAAAGTGAGAGAGTAGGTGAGCGAGAGACAGACAGAGACCGAGAGCGATTTTCCAGCCATTCAGCCATTTTTTGAGACAAAATGCTTTTAAAAAAGACTCTTTCGAAATCCCTTCAGAAAAATGATAAGACAACCGGCCGGGCGGAACTTCCGGCGCTTTTTAAAGATCAACACGTTCACCGGGGTGGGACAGCTGTGGTGGCTGCCCGGTGTCGTATCTCTCATGTTTTTCCAGTCTAGCCCACAAACGCGTCACACAAAACACAGCCCGCCATCCGTCAAAAATATGATGTGCTAAGCCTAAAAGACAATCTGTTGAAAGTCCGTCGGTCAGATGAAAGTAAGATACAAAACTCATATTACTCTCCCTTTAAAAAGATTGTGAAGGCAATCTGTATTTTTTAGTCGCTAAGATCTGGGCAAGCTAGAGAGATCGTTGAGGAACGGCGCCACCAAGAAAAGTTACGTTTCCATGCTAATGTCGGTGCTTCTGGCAAGCTAGCAGAGATAACTTAGGAACTCTCGGACTCTGCAAAACTGTAATATTAACTCCCTAAGAAACCTAGACGAGGTGTTGATGGAATTTTCTACTAAGCTAGAGCTACGTGCAATACTAATGGCGCTCTAATGCCCTCTAAGTCGAATTCACATTTTCTGATCATGCAGTTGCCGGCAAGCTAGCAGAGATCCCAGCGGAATCATCTATCTAGCCAAAGTTACGTTTCCATACTAATCACACTTCCAGACACTGAAGCTGGTTTCAAAGCATGCTAGCAGAGATCGTTGAGGAATTTTCAAACTTGCTAGCACCTGCACTAACGTACTATTTTCGCCCTAAAATATGCCCTCCCACCTGCCGCCCTGGCCCCCAAGGCCACAAAAACAGAACGGCTGCGTTAGCTGCCTTTTTGGCTTTTCTTTCGCATACTCAGCCGGCACCTCCGCCTTTTCGTCAACACCTTTATGAGCCTGGGGGGCAGCAGAAGGGAGGGGCTGTTTTCGGAAAATTGACGTGGTTTAGGGCAGAGCTGTCAAGAGTATGGGATGGGAACGCGCACGAAATTTACAGTAGCCGGTGTGATTTCGTCAAGGGGAGGAGGAGTCATTGTGGGCAGGAAAAATGGAACGAGGAAAGTATCGGATGCTACGCATAGTAAATTAATGTTTTATCTAGATTTGCGCCGAGGGTTGGTTTAGGCTTAGGTTAAGGCTTAGGCTTTGGCTTAGGCTTTGGCTAATGCTTAGATTCAAGCTTAGGCTTCGTCTTGGCTTAGGCTTAGGCTTAGGCTTAACTTAGGTTTAGGCTAGCTTAGGCTTGGGCTAAAGTTTTGGCTTAAGCTCGATTCAGGCTTAGCTTTAGGCTTGAGCTTAGGCTTGTCTTAAGAACGCAGCTTTTAGAAAACCGAGAAAAATCGAGCTCTGTCTGATCCCGTTGGCCCGGCCTTTCCTAGCCACAATGTATCACTGTTTCCTAGACGACCCGACTGCCCAAAAAAGTTTCTCATGATTTTCCTAGGGGTAATTTCCGTCAAAAATACGCGTATTAAAATCAGAAGCACCACATCAGTACAAATAAAGCGTGAAAACTAAAATCTCACTAAAAATTTCGGAAAAACGACAAAATAGCAAGCGAAAAAATCCCTAGATAAATTAGCATACAAGATTCACTTAGGCTAAAAAGACAATTTTTAGGTATTAATTTTAACAATTTAAACGTATTAATAGAATTCTTTTAACATAATTTATTTTAGAATTAATCGTAGAGGAAAAATCCGAGAGAAATGCCCTCGAGGTGGTATATAAAACCCGGAAACAGAGAGCGCGAAAATGGTGGAGAGGCCAGGAGAAGCCGAGGAAAGGGATGGAAAGTTCCAGATATCAATGTGGGCCAGCCGAGCACAAAGCTTTGAGAGAGCAGGAAATTGGAGAGACGCAGACGGCCAAGGGCCCTGAGAGGGCCCAGGGCCCAGCTAGACAACGGCGGATTTTTAGAGAGCACACACACATATGGAAAGAGAGAGAGCCGGGATTTCAGGCTGAAAACGTGAAATTCGAAAATACGAAGTGAAGGCAAAAATACGCAGAAAGACTGGGACTTCCAGGATGAACTTCCTGGTATATGGGTTATTTTAATGGGAATTAAGAACAATCTTATACATTTTTAGTAGCATAAAATGATTGTATTCACATTTTTAATCGGATACGACCAAAAAATACGCAAAAATTTAAAAATTTCACGACATTTTCTGAATCCGGTGATTTGGCCATTAGCTATATGTAAATTAGGAGGGAAAACAGCTAGCTGCTAGCTCTGTGCTGATCCTCAAAAATCTCTGCTAGCTTGCCAAAAAATCCGGAAATGTGGAATTTTAGACGCAGGACCTTTAAATGGAGAAATTTGAAACTACAGCTACAGACGCCCTATCTCTCTCCCTCTCTCTCTCTCTCTCGTCTCTCTCCCTCCCTCTCTCTCTCTCTCTCTCTCTCTCTCTCTCTCTCTCCCTCTCTCTCCCTCTCTCTCTATTTTTATAGCTTGAACGATTCACATAGCAATGTTTGGTATATGGGAAATGCCCAAAAAACTTCTCCTAGGCTACCGCTAGTCAAGAAATTTTTAACATTAATAAATTATAGTGACTAAAAATTCCTATAGGATAATGCAAGCCAGATTGCATAAGGGAGCTACGGGCTTAAGGCATATATACGAGCCGCCGGCGGTCTGTGTAAAAAACAGGGGCCCTAAAGGGCCCAAAGTCCAGTCGCCCTTATGGGGGACGGGGACCCTCCAGTAGTGAGTGTCGAAATAATACACTCTGACCCTCTCCCCCTCCCTCCCTATCGCTCTCTCTCTCTCTCTCTCTCTCTCTCGCCACCCTCAAAAAAGAGGGCACCGCAAATTTCCGCGAGGCTACTGCTGCCGGCGACGCGCGGATATACAAAGACACACAAACACGTAAACAACCCCCTCCAAATGGACCGGGGGCACAAATAGTGTCTAGTCAGCGGGTACACACCAATTTTCCCTTCTCTCCCCCCGCGCTAGCCAAAACAGAAGACGTGTGCCCTTCTCGCGGAATTTGTGCCCATCCTTTTGAGAAAAGGGCAGATGCCCTCCGGCCGGCAGATGGAGGGCAATATTTGGACTCGACGAGGTCGCAGAGACGAATTCAGATGGCGCGGAGATCTCGGAGACGTCGAAAGGGACGTGGGGTTAGAATGGAGTTTCTTAAGGTTGTGGTTCTTGTGCATTTACGGGGGAGGGCGGGTGAACAAATTTTTTTTGGCGGGCGCCCAGAATACCTGATGAATGGCTGATGAGTTATTACATTGTTTTTGACTGTTCTTCAGCATACAAACGCTGCAAATTTGCCACAGAAATTGAAATTTAGGTCGTGAAATAGTCTTTTTGGGACCAAGAACTACCAAAACCTGAATTTTTTGAAGCTTATTTGAAATTCCTTGTTAGAATACACCTAAAACTTACTAAAAACCGTTTACAAAGTCTTGATATTTGTCTATTAGGCCAAACTAGACCCAAAGGAGACTTAAGGAACCTGGAAAACAAGAGATACTTTTTCGACCGCGTTAGAAAGTTCTAAAAAAATTAATAAACCGTTCCTTGTATTCTTCCGTAATTACGCCTCTGAAATTTTACGGGGAGGCTGGGTGCAGAAGCTCGGCTGCTTCAACTTTTGGACTTTTGCCAATCGAAATCGAAAATTTTCCGCGATACGAGGTGCCATGGTGAAAAAAATAGCTGGAATAAATAGGTTTTACTGCCATCTTGCATTAGCTTTAAGAGAATCACGACGCGTCATCGAGCAGTGCGGGCGTTCGGAAAGTCGCAAAGCTTGATAACTTACGTGAAATGATCAGCAGTAGCTTTGAGTCGAATTTCACGTCAAAAATCGAGTCAAATCGAGATCTGGGTCGATCGAGTCTAAGGCCACCACTCGGCCGTTCGCCAAAATTTTGAAGCGAATAGTCTGAATCCCAAAATGCCTGAAATCTCTCAACTTTCGCAACACTGCCTCGTATACACCCTGTATGTAATCCGACCCCCGTTGTTGCCCCCCACCCATCTCTCATCCAACAAAAATCATCCTGGCCCAGAAAGAACGTCACAAAAAGAACGTGAAAAAGTGCATGCCGAGGGCCAGTTTAATGTGGGCCCAGCTTGGCTTGAGACTTCTTTGTTTTTCTGCCCCCTAAAGAAATCGAGCCCCGCGATGGGCACTTCAAAAAGTCCTCAAAAACGCCCAAATATTTGGGCGTTCCTGGCAGGGTAGACGGCGGTTGACAGCTAGGGAACGCTAGCTTCGAAACACTAGAAAAAGCGGGCATTTGGGAATTTGCGAAACCAGGTGGCAGGCTAGCAGAGAGCATTGGGGATACGACAAGGTAGTAGATAGAAGCTGGAAGCCTATCCTAAGCCTAAGCCTAAGCTCAAGCTTAAGCTCAAGCCAAAGCCTAGACCTTGGCTTAAGCCTAAGCCTAAGCCTAACCTTAAGCCTCAGTAACGTTAATAAAAGTTAAAAATAATGATTTTTACGATTTCCACCGCATAATAAATTTTTTCGAATTTTTCCGGCCCTAAACCCAAAAAATCACGAATTTCCGATTCCAACAACCCTCCGCCCATGCGAAAACATCCATTCATTCCGCCCGGTGGAGCGTGTCGTGATTCCGGATCAGATGTCACTTCCGGATATTCCGCAACTGTACTTTTTACGATTTTTTTTGATCAAAAACGATTTATCAGGGTACAGTAGTCTTTTGGATCACAAAAACACGCATGAAAAAGGGTACGTCAATTGGCCAGGGATGTACAGAAATCGTCGGGGAGTACGGTAGAAATACGGATAGTCAAAAAGGGTACGGTAGAACACGAAAAAAGCTGTTTTACAGCAAAAAAATGTATGGTGATTAGAGGAAAATTGTCGAATTCTCGGCTAGCAGCCTTTCGGGTGGATTGAATCGGTATTTGGTGGAGATGGTAATTTTTTCGAAAATGTACGCTACGTTACAGTATGTCAAATTACGGTACGTAAATACTTAATTACAGTACGAACAAGTGCCATGATTCTGAGCCAAATAAATAAAGGGGCTTCCGGGGGAAATTTTAGCAAATTCCAAGTGAAAAGGCGGTAAGTGGGTGGAAGGTCATAGATAAATAATTAGATTTAATTCGAAAATTTGAGGATTATGGTAGAAAAATGAGCGTACGGTAGCTAACGTTTTTAAAGGGACGGCTACTGGTCGAAAACTAGGATTTTCGGTATCAAAAACCAAAGCTAAACCAAGCCAAGCTAAGCCTAAGCGCGACTTAAGCTAAGATTAAGCTTAGCTTAAGCAAAGCCTAAGCTGATACTAAGCCCTAAGCCAGTTTTCTTTGTTCGACAAATCCATAACCATGCCTTTCCCGTCCCTTTAGAGGCTTTTCTGCAGCTTTCGCACGCACATTAATGGCTATTCGAGCTGGGCTCGCATCTGTGTGGCTGTGTGCCGGTGATAGCCGTGTTCAAGGTCGACACTAGCTGCGTCTTCAGCTCCTTGTTCTTGGTGACGGCCCGGATGTGGCGGAAGAAGTCCTCGCGTAGCTAGAAGGTAAAAATATACGATTCCATATCACCAAAATCATACATCCCTGACCTCTAGGTACTGGACCCTTACCTGATGCTGCAGATTCGGAGGTGGTATCTGCTTGATCGTCTCCGCCGTCTCGATCACCAGTCTATTCGCCTCATCCCGATCCGGGTCCCCGAGCCTTGGGTGCGTCACCTTGAAGGTGAGAGCCGCGTAGAAGGCCTCTAGACACGCCGCGTACAGCTCGCCGGTCACCGGGTGGAAATAGCCGGTGAACGCGACGCGGATCTGGCAAAAAATTATTCGCTTTGAAGTGATTTTGAAGTCAAGAATTCGGTACTCTAGATTTTTCGAAAACCGTACATACCTGACTCCACATCTGGTAGTGCAACTTTGTGGGCGGAGGGTTATAGCGTGGATGTGCTGGCGGGCCCTGGCCTTGTGGATACTGTGTCAGCGGAAAAAGCTGGGCCAATCTAAAAAACCCCGTTGAACCTGAAGCCTCGCACTCACTCTCGACTGTTCAGCGCCAGCTTGTGCAGCACATAGGGCGAGGGAACGGTGCGGGCGGCCAGGCGGTAGAAGGCCACCGAGAACGAAGCGTTCGGGCTTCGGGTTTTCATGTCGAGCTCGCGGGCAATGCCGGAGAGGAGCATCACCTCATCGCCCATCATGGAGTTCTGGAAGGGACCGTTCTCTCTTCATTCAATTTCTATCCCTTTCTCTCTCTCTCTCTCTCTCTCTCTCTCTCTCTCTCGCTCTCGCTCTCTCACCTTCGCATATTTCAACGGATTCCTCATATCATCCTGACACCTCCGCTTCCCCATCGCCTCCAACGCCTTGATCCCGGTAGTAAACGCAGCCTCGAGCCGTTCGGGTGTCCGATCCCCGGGATACGGTGGTGGTGGGGGATGAAGGGCAAATTGTTGGGGTGGATCATGAGGTTGCGGTGGATGAGGTGGAGCTGTCAGTTGGCAGGGCAGCAGCGAGGGTGCCGAGTGGCTCTGGTGGATCGGAGCTCGAGAGTTGTCGCTCGGGCCGGCAGGTCTGGAATCGTGGGGATGAATAGATTTTTGCAGACTGAGCCTAAGCATGGCCTAAGCCTAAACTCAAGCCTCGAAGCCTAAAACTCACGGGTACACCTGGGGCAGCTGTTGAGGCTGCAGATACACGGTGTGGGGCCGATGCTGATGCGCCGCACCCAAAAATTGCTGCGGCGGCAGCGGGGGCGGCAAGTTCGGGTGGAAGAAGGCGGGTAGTTGGTGGGCCGGCTAAAAATTTGGCGGTAATTTGCATATTTGGTCAATTTATAAGGTCTAGTATCTTAAAAACCTTGTAACTGACCATATACCCCAGCGGGAGCGGCCCGCCAAACCCTGGCGCGTTGAAGGGCGGCATCGGGAATTGGGGCATGGTTGTCGGGGGTCGTGGTGGGGGATGCTGTTGGTTCCGGGGTACGGTATTTGAGGCAATGTTTAGCATACCTGGTTGGAGGTGGATGGGCCTTGTCTCGGGGGTTCGGCTTGTTGGTGGAGGTAATACCAGTGGTTTGAGACGGTGAAAAGGACTTCTGGGGGGACACCTTCGGAAGCGGAAGCAGCCGCCTGGAATGGGAGAGATGAGAGAGATAGAGAGACAAAGAGTGAGAGAGAGGGTGAGCCAGAGAGTGAGAGAGAGCGAGAGAGAGTTAGAGAGAGCGGGGATACGGCGAGTGAAACAGAGACAAAGAGAGAGAGAGAGAGAGAGAGAGATCCATAGAGACAGCGATAGACAGAGAGTGAGAGAGACATGCAGAAAGTACAAGAGATAGAGAGAGGGAGAGTGAGCAAGAAAGCTAGTGTGCAATAGAGTGAGAGTGCGAAAGAGAGCGATAGAAAGAGGGAGAGCGAGAGGCTGAGACCGAGAAATAGAGAAATCTAGCCTTTAAAACTCCACAAACCTGTTCCACAGCCCGGCATGCCATCTCCAAAAGTTGCGGTGAATGCTCCTTGCATTGCAGTAAGGCCTTCACACACAGATCTCTTGGGAGAGCAAACGCATCAGACAGTGCCGACATTGCCAGTTCAGCGCCATGCGACACTGTTTGAGCATCACGGCTGTTGCTCGCCTGACTCGCGATTATCGCCACTTCCTGCGGGATTAGATGGCGTCGCCAAGTGTCTTTTAGGATTTCCAGGGCGGCCACACCTGAAAATTTAATTTTTTAATTGTTTAAGAATGACTTTTTTACTTTAGAGATTTTTTCAAAACCCAAAACTCACCAATATCCATACTATGGTCGGTCAACCATGACACATGCGTACTGTAGTTCCTCGTCTGCCAATTCGTGTTCACAAACTCGTTGTTCAGCCCCAGCGCGTAGAGGCCGATCAGGAACGAGGCAATGTAGAGCCGTCGATTGTTCGCATGATGATTCGGGTTGTTGGGTTGGTTGGGAGGTAGGTTGAAGTGATCGTTCCGCTGGGATCCGCCCGCCTCGACCAAAACCTTCTTCGCCAATTCCATGTAGAAGTGGACGAGGGCCTCGCTGGGTCGGCCACCGCCTCCACAAAGCGATGCCCATCGTGAGCGCTTTTTGAAGAGTTCGAGTCCGATGGAATCGTCGGTATCGGTAACCTGAAAAGATTAGGTTTTCTGACTTTTTCGTCAAGTGAGCGTCGCCTAGGGCACCGAAGTGAAGTTTAAATTAGGCCTAGCTCAAGCCAACTGAGTAACTCTAACTAAATAAGTCGCCCTAAGCTGAAGCCTAAACCTAAGCCAAGCCTAAGCCAAGCCTAAGCTAAGCCTAAGCCAAGCCTAGCTTTAAAACAAAGAGCATAACAATCTTTACGCAACCCTAGTCCTAAGCCTAAGCCATGTTTTTGTCAAGCCTCTCCAAAGCCGAAGCCAAACGCCTTTCTGAAGCCTATTTTAAGCCAAGCCGGCTAACCCTCAGCCGAAGCTAAACCCAAAGCCAAGCCCACCTCATTACACCCAACCGACAACCCAGCCGACGATACTGACGGCTGCGGGCTATTCCTCTCATTCGAGTCCGAAGATGAAGCCTGTCGTTGCAGGGCCGAAGTTTGTGGGCATCGTGCCATCATCCTGGCCACCAGCTCGACCTCATCCTCCTCAACCGGCTCAGCCGCTTCCGAGCCCGAGCTCTCGGCCGATTGGCAAGAGGCAGAGCGGGATACCAGTACGGTGCCCGGGGTCGACGAATCTTGGGGGGTCTCCAGACGATGGTTCAGGGGGTAGTGAGGTCGTGCGCCTTTCGCGCAATGGCGTACGTACGAAGATTCTTGCTCCAGGAAATAGCACGCGTTCGATTGGTGGCGCCTGAAAAATAGGGGTTGGGAGCTAGGAGCTGATGGAATGATTCCGTAATTCGAAAAATTGGTTCTTTTGCATTATCGGGGGGGGGGTATTAATCCAGGAATGTCTAGTAACTTAATAGGCAGTATTTACATAAAATTTTTAGTAAAACAAAGCTTGATTTTAACTAGAGAACTTAACTAACTACCTTGAAAAAATTTCGAAAATTGGAAATTTTGGTCAAAAACGGTCATTTTTCGTTCAAAAACGATTTTTTTTGTTATTTTTAATTTTAGGTTTTTACATTTAGGAATACAAAATAAATTTTTGGCAATACTTCCGCTATTTCTACTCTGAAAAATTGGTTCCTTAGAAAAAAGATACTTCGCCCCCCCAATAATACGCAAGAACCAAAAAATTGCACGCTTTCTTTGAACCTACATTGGATTATACATCAAATGTATCCTCGGATCCAACAGCTTATCCAGAACATGGCCAATCATCTCATTCGAATCACGATGCCTCGCCAGCAAGGCCATCGTCAGCTCGCCCTTCTGCCGTCGAATCGACTCGGCCAACATCGGACAGTCTTCTTCAGAATATACCTACAACAACCCGCGGCATTAAAGGGACTTGGAAGACAAATCCATAGCCAAGAATCTAGTCATCAATACAGTAATTTTTTAAAAATTACCTGCATACTTCCCAACGCGCTCAACGCCAACTTCATCGCCAGAATGTCGTCGCTGGGCTCGCGGCCGGTATCCTGTGGAGTGCCAAAGCTCGGTCCGTGGGGCCCATTTGGGAAGAGGTTGAACGTGTACGACAGCGAGTCGTAGATGTAGTGGCAGAGGGCCACGGATGGGGGATGGAGCGAGGGTTTGGAGGCTTTGGCATGGAGACGGGTGGCTCGTTCCCGGATTATCGGGAGCTCTTCGCGGCCGATTTGCACGCTGCGCAGGAGGAGCAGCAGCTCGGACTCCTGAAAGTGGGGGTGAATTCGTGATTAAAATGAAAACTTTGAAATGGAAGTATGTGCAAAGATGCTGAGCTTAAGCTAACAAAGTAAGTAATTAGAGCTTAAGTCGAGTTTACGCAAAATCCTAAGCTAAGCCTATGTCAAGCCTAAGAAAAAACCTGGGTTAAACCTAAGTTATACCTAAGCTATGTATAAGTTAAGTCTTACCTAAGCTTAAGCCAAGCCAAAGCCAAGCCAAAGCTAAGCCTGAACTAAGCCTCAGCTAGGCCTAAGCTTAGCCTAATCAAGCCAAGCCCGCTCTCTACCTAAGGACTTACCCATTAATGGCAATTTTTCTTAGCCACTTCCACTTACCAAGTGATAAAATTTGACTTGAAGATGTCGATTGGCCATCGGACACTGCGGCAACTCGAGGATGAACAGCAAAAAGTGGAAGAGCGTCATTTTATTAGCCGGATCGTTGTTCAGGATCTAGACCGAATTTTCGAGCTTTAACAAAAACCAACCTTGGCGAGGAAGAGGGCCCGTTCGAAGGTGCGTATCGTATGCTCGGACACCTCGACTAGCTTGGCGTCCCGGGAGAGGGGGGCAATGTTGACGTGGATAACCAGAGGGGCTGTACTCGCCGTTACTTTACGCTTCTTGCCGTCCTGGAATGTGGAGCATAAGCCTGGTCAGACTACGGAAAAGTCAAGCTCATGCTCGAACTCAAGCCAAAGTGTCCGTTAAAACCAGAGGTACGTCGAGTTCAGCCTAAGCTAAGCTTAAGCCAAGTCAGTCATAAGCCGGAGAAGCTAACAAAAAAAAGTCGTCAAAACCGAAGCTAAGTCTCACCTAAGCCTAGGCTAAGCCTAGGCTAAGCCAAAGTTAACACTAAGCTAAGCCTAAGCTAAACCTAAGCTAAACCTAACTTAAGCCTAAGCTAAGCCTTAGTCATGCCTAGGCCAAGCCTAAGACCAAATAACCTTAACCAACTCACCCATCCAGCCTCCGTCGATATCCGTTTCCCCCTCACCTCCCCGCCACGCCCGACAAAGTTCAGCAACGCAGCCGCGGCAGACAAGTCGGGCGGCGACGAGCTCAAGCAGGCAACCAGCTCGAGCGCTTTGGCCATCGCCTGTCGCTCGTAGCCGTGCCCGTACAGCGCCTCACAACGCGCAAACTTCAGCTCCAGCCCGTCGATCTGTTCGTGGGCAGAGGCGAGCAGCATCTCCACGTCCCCTTGCGGGAATTGGGGCCTGAAAGAGGGCGAAATGGAGCACAAGGGCACTGTACTTACCCTCCCGCTCCTCCGGCCTGAGAGGGGCCAGGTTGTTGATCATCGCTGGCGACGAGGGCAATGTTTGGCGGGAGATCGCTTTCCTGGCCGCTCTCCGTGCTCTCCTCTTCCTGGGGATCGTTGGCGCGGTGGAGGCGGCTGGCTCTAGAACTGAACGGCTCGAAGTTGTTGTCCGGATTTCGTTTGATTAGCGATAGATAGTGACTTGCAAATTTATAGCGGTATAGAAGCCTATAAGGTGCAACGGAGCAATCTATGAAAGAATTCTGAACTGCTTAAACACGCTGTCCTCCAGTGTTTCCGATGCTGAACTGCTCTAACTTTTTGGCTTTCCCTACCTTCTCGCCCCCTGCCTAGCCGCCAACCGCAACGATGGCCCGTCGAAGAACTCGGGCATGTACGCTCTGGGCTGGACCCTTCGGTGGTTCCGTCTCGCCATACCACCACCCAGTTGACGCTTCTGAAATCAAAACGTCTACGTTGATCACTGGAGGTCATCTACCTTCTTCTTTTTCTTCTTCTCCTTCTGGGCATAGTACTCGAACGGGTAGATGCCACCCCCGTAGGCGGATACCGTACACAACGGTGTAACGGGCCGGGGTACGGTGCGTTTCTGGAGGAACGGCAGGTTCGGGAAATCGGCCGGGTCCAACTCGGCTCCCTCGGCGGGTAGGGATGGAGATCGCTGAATTCAGAATTTGACGGTAACTTTCGAGTCTTGATTCTTTTAAGTAACTACATGCTCTTTTAAGGCACTCACGTCGATCATCTGCGGGTGAGCAACATCAACACCGTCAAGTTGCGCATCGGTCCAGATCAACTGGCATCCCTCCAATGCCCCGTAAAACCCGGGGAACAACGTCTTGGTGAAGCGGACGGTGCTGTCGCTCAGCCTCATCCCCCTCTCGTCCATCATCCCGTTGAAGCCGACATGGGGAAGGCTGTCGGCGCTCGTCTTGATCGCCTTCCACACGTTTTCGCAGGCCATCCGGTGGGCGCCTTGCAGGTAGGTGATCAACTGAAATCGGGAGATGAGAGCGAGCTCGAGGTTTGAAACCTACCGCTTGACGTTCGCGCGCCGTGATGGCCGGGTTCAGGGCTGCGCATCGCCAGAGACGGACGATCTCGTCGCAGATCTCCGAGCAGTTGAGGGCTGGGTGTTGGTTGGGGAGGATGGCGGTGCCCTAGAAGTTGTTCTTTTAGCATTTCTGAATAGAACCTATCTCGGTTTCTCTCTCACTCTCGCTCTCTCTCTCGCTCTCTCTCTCTGTGTCATCCTCCCTTTAAAACACACCTTCGCCCCCAGCCATGCCCACTTCCCGGTCTGCGACAGCTTGGTGATGTACCACCACGTCAGCACTTGCGGATGGGATAGGCATTGCTCGGTGATCATGTGCAACAAGTTGGACGCGTTCTCGTCGCGCCGTCTGAACATCTCCCGGGTGATGGAGAGCAGGTTCCAGAGCGCTGAAATGAAATGGCTTTCGCATTCTAGCGTAGTCGTTACCTTCTGGTTCTCGACTCCGGAGTGGTCGGAGGAGGGCCGTCCAGTCGGAGGCGATCGCCGGCTGCTGGTTCGATAGCATTTGGACGTCACTGTAAAGGGGAGCGTATCGTAGTTATGTTGGTATTTTTCGGCACGCCTTGAACTTGTTCAGGTGTCACCCTCCCTTTAAACGTACGCGTCAGACGGTTTTTTAAGTTACCCGGCGTGCAAAGTCAGGAATACTGTATTCTTCATCCGCCATGCGTACGCAACGCATCTCAAAAACTGTCCTGCTCCCCTGAAAACTACCGTACTCACCAATGCACCTGCGGCGCCGGCATGCAAAACTTGTTGATGCTCTTCCGAATGTTCTCCTGCAGTCCTTCCTCGTTGACGGCCCAGATGGCACGCTGAAACAGTACGTTACGCTACGATACCTCACTGACTACAAACTACAACCTCAAACACGTACCCCCTTCAGATTCGAAATCGTTGGATCCGTATAGCCGTACTGCTGGATCTCCTCCTTCTCTTTCAACTTGCCCAGCACGTCGAGAAGTTGTTGGGCGGAGGGAAGGAACTGGAAATAGGAATTTGTTGGAATTTATTAAACTAGCAAAGTCAATAATTAATAATTTTATCACATTAACTTAATACTGGCTAATGAGCCCGACCTGCCGTGGCATCATGTCCAGCAAGTTGCACACAAAAATCTGCAGCTTCTCCTGTGACGCGCTGATGATGGTGTCGCTGAGTGGTGGGCGGTAGGCTACCTAAAAATTCGTCGTTTTTCGACTCTACAGGCATGTCGGCAGCCTGAACTTGCTGAATTTGACGGAAGCGTCTTACTGGACCTTTTTTTTAAATTAAACAAACCCGTTACGATTTGTAAAACATCTTAAAGGGAGAGGGACAGCAAAAAAAAAACTAGTTTCCACTTACCAGCCCGGCCCTTCGCATCCTGTAGAGGCACAGCGCTACCGTATGCTGGCACCATTGCGTCTGCGTGGCACATCGACACTCTAGCTCCACGATACGGCACCTGAAAAATTTATATATTATTTTATTGTTATTTTATTTATTATTATTTACATAAAATTAAATAAATACGTCTCAAAATATTAAAAATTTATATTTAATGGATTATCACTAGATCATCTACATCGTGAAAATCTACAGCGTTTCAGAACCAATAAAATTGATACTAAGGCCGCTCTCGTCCCTTTAAAGGATTCCTTAAGCCCCCAAATCCATACCTATCAATCTTGGCGGACACCTGGAAGATGCCGGGTGGAAACTGGGTGCCCTGCTCGGTGTCGACGCACACCGACCCGTTGACGGTGCCCGTCAGCAGGAACCCGATTTGCACGACGTCCGACACGAACTCCCGCTCCAGCAACATCTCGCCGTAGAGGAACTCGTTGCCGTTGCGCGTGGCCAGACAGCTGGAAGAGGGAGGTGAACAAGGTTTTGAAGGAGTTCAGAAAAAACACTAGAAAACTAGAATACTGCCAATTAATTGCGGGTCATAATCCCGACAGGAAAAATCCTATATACAGAATGCCGACATTTTTCGAAGAAACGACCGGAAAATGTCGAAACGCAGACAGAATACCGACAGAATACCGACAGATTCGTTTCGATATTTTACACAAAAACCCATCTACCTGTACATCCTCATGTTCTCCTCACTTTTCGGGAAACACCGCCGGGTGATGTCGACCAAGATACTCTCCGGAAGTGTGCCCGGCTTGTAGATGGTGTTGGGGTTGTGGATGTTAGTCTCCACGAGATTCTAGAAGTTCAAGGAGGATTGGATTGGCGCCTCAATGAATGGTACCTGATACTGGTCCTGGAGGGAGACATAGGAATGTTGCTCGGCACAGTGCTGGGCACAAAGTGTCTGTAGGGTGAGGACCGGCGAGGCTGGAAAACAAAAATCTAACCGGTTTACTTTCGGCATTGAAATTTCCATTATTTTTATAAATTTCTAGCTTCACGAGCCATTAACTGTCAGAATCGACCCCTGCTTTTGACTAGGTCTCGACAGTTCGGTTTGTAACCAAAAGCACCTCACGTCATCGCCAAGATCCGAAAAATGAGATAAACTGCGTCTTTTGGCCTGTCGGGTAACTGTCAAGACCTAGCCGATGAAAGGGGTCGATTTCAGACATTAGCGCGCTTTTTAAATGGGCCTACAAGCAGATTTACACATTTTTGGCCAAAAATGCTTATGGATTTTGCCATCACCGCCTCCTGCCATGCACCTTTAGGTATCGTAATCAATTACGACATGCAAAGGCTGCGCGTTTTGGACCTTGTCCGGCCCTTTAAAGCTCCTTTAAAGCCTAAAACCGGACTCACCAGCAACGTTGACCACTTGAGAAGTCGACGCTACAGCGGCAGGGTCAGGTCCAGCCTGGGGCTCCACCACCGCTGCAGCCGCCGGTTGCTGCTGCGGCTCCCGCAAAAAGTGCCCGGCGTCATCTGGAAGGTAACTTACTTTAGAGACCTATGTTTGAGCACCAACCATCCGACGCGTCGTCCTGCCAACCGCGCCAATTCTGCGCGCCGACGAGGGATTCCTGCGAGTGCCACGAGCAAATCGAATCGTCCTCGAAGCGCTCCGAGTCCTGAAAAATCGGATTTAGCAGGCTTTCCACAATTTTTTGAGGTTTTTTTCGTGGTAGCGTAGCGACACGCGCCGCATGATCAACGCGTTCACGAGACGCGATACTGTCCATACGCCTTTAAAAGCACTGAAAAATCACCTCAAACGAGTTGCCGTCAGCGTCCTCGAGCAGCTGATCGTGATCCTCCGGGTCGACGTTCCAGCCGTCGTTCATCGGGTCCTAAAAAATTCAAAATAGGGCAGGGATACAGTATCATTTTAAAGGTAGTTTCGTTGCGCTACGCGGGAATCCAAAACCAATAAGATCCTTTCAAAGCACCTGACAGGCAAGTTTCTAACACCCAGCCAAAAAAGGCGAAAATCGCCCAACATCCGAAACTGAGCCTTACTAGGCTATTTACGCGCCTTTTTCGTGCCGTAGAATGCCAATCGTAGCGTATCGTACTGATTACACGCGAAAAACGGTAAAAGGAAGCAGTAGCTAGGTGGAAAATGGGTCTGTGTGGCGATGGGCTGGGATAGAACTGGGTCAATTCTCCCCAGGGTCACCAAACCCACCCAGCAGACCCCACCGGGTACCCTCCATGGCCTTTTCGAAAAGCGCCATTGGGCCGTAAATTTATGGAATTTAGAAAGTACAATTAAAACTACGAAACACACCTTCGAACGGCGACCTGACTTTCTATGCTTTTTAAACGATCCGTGCGGCCAAAACACAAATTCCAGAATTTTTCCGCCCTTAAGAAGTCGGGGAAAACTAGAAAACTGAAGAGCGAGAGAGAGAGAGAGAGAGAGAGAGACACTTGCCTTTTGAAAACTTACGTTATTTTCCATGGCCAACCCTTCAGCGATGAGTCATCGTTTTTCGGGAATACGCTGCGTGGGTAGGTCTTCCTGCAAAAAAAAAGGTAATTTCAAGGTGACTCAAGCCGATTGCATTTTCTTTCAAAATCGAAAAAGCGAGCCAGAGGGAAAGAGAGAGTGAGAGAGCGAGAGAGAAAAAGAGAGAGAAAGAGAGCAAGAGAGAGAGATAGTGTGAATTTGAAAGTGAAAGTTTTAAAATTGTACCCATTTAAGATGACAAGCGCCGGTTTAGTTGAGTTTTTCGTACACTTTAACCTTTCAATGCTTTATCACACTTTTTATGACAATTTTTTGGTCTGCTTGTAATTTTTATCGTATACAATCTTTCAAAGATTTTTTTACCATTCAGAATAATATAAAACAGGTCTAACCCAAAGCGGCCAAAAAAAAATGTTTCCCACCGGTCATCCGGGGTGCGCTAAAAGGGCAAAGTGGCCCCGGAAAAAGCACACGGCAAAAGTGACCGGGGCGCTAGATAAAACTATCGATCAGGGATGGCGGCTAGTATGGCACGCTGCAAGGTCAGAACTTTCAAAAAAAATACGGCTTCAAGGACCCGGAAGTTAATTTATTATTAAACAACGTTTTTTTGTATTGAATACGTACTATTAAAGCTATATAATCCTATAATTAAAATTGAAACACATTTCCAATTGCTCAAAAACTTTTGAAATCCATTTTACACAACAATACCAAAAATCCCGGTTTGTATATTGACATTAAAGCGAAAATCGAGTTTCTACAGCTTAACATTTTCAAAACATTTTAGAACGAACGTTTCAATGAAAAAGCATAATTTTCATAGCATAATGTGTTCAAAGTATCGAAACAATCACTAATTAAATAATTTTGATCGTTCTAATGCCGCAAAAATTATTTAAAAAACTCTTCAAAAAATGTAGGTTTCAAACCAAATTCTTTACAAGACATATATATCAAATTATTTAACGTTAAATCAGGTCGAAATTGGCACCGGAAAGCTCATTTTCGAGCGCTTTTGGGCATGAGCCCACAAAATAAGAGTGAATAACGATTTATTATAATCATAATCGTGCATTAGCAATATTTAAAAGGGCTGTATAAATGTATAAATAAAACAAGTATAAAGATATCAATACTAAGAGCATTAATTTATGTAAAACTCGCATCAAATCGCTTGTTTTGCGGTAAATACCTCAAGATCTCCGGAAAAAACACGGCAAAACAAGGGCCGCAAAAGTCCTATCGTCCTGATAATCGTACATTAATGATATGCAAAAAGTCGATATGCAAAACCGGGACAAGAAAAGGTAGAAGAAGGGGGGAGACACGAGAGGCAAAAAGGCCCCGGGGGCACCAGCCGGTGTCGGGTGGTGCTTTTCGGTGTGTGCATGGGGAGGGAAGGGAGAGAGATGGAGAGGCCAGACGGTTAGAGGAGGGAGGGAGAGACGGGAGAGAGACGAGAGGGAGAGAGCGAGAGAGAGAGACGGACAGACACACCCCAACACCAGCCACTAGGCAGACTAAAAAGACCGGGAACACCCCCCGAGGAGGACCAGATCTAGGGCGCCACACCGTTGATATGGTGCCAAAAAAATTGGATTTAAAGGGATTGGCAAGGCAGGGCTATGAATTACTTTCGTTAAGGCCTTCGCTGAAATTCCGTGAATTTTTTCAGCTCTAACCTTTTTACCAACTTTTTAAAGCGGCAGGGAGGTTTAAAAAAATTAAACTTAGTTTTCCGGCTTGCTCGGCCATTGGCGCATTAATATCCAAGACCAGAAAAATTACAATGGCACCAAAAAATCAGGGGCAATTGGAGCATCATGGAATCCCGCTAAAAGTGAAACGGCACAGACGTCTGGACCGGATCTGCCAGGGCAGCGGGGGGAAGAACGGTAACTTCCCTCTCCCAAGTGCTGTATAGATTTCGATCGATAATAGACAGTAATCGTACTAGCAAAATTCCGCCGGGATACGCAGTCCGTAAACTTAAGCCGAAAGCTAAGCCTAATCCGACCTAGGCCCAACGCCAAGCCAAGCCTGTAACGTGAGAGCGTTAAAAGAGATGTTTGAAAGATAAAACTAAGCCAAACCTAATCCTACGCCTAAGCCTAAGTCGTATGCCATAAAGCTACCGCGCACGTTGAAAGCACCTTAGCAATACACTCAGTAAAATAACTATAAAGGCAGTGGTTTTTGTGGAATATCTCGGCGGTTTTTGCAGTTCTCGTGATGCAATTTTCAGAATAGGCTTCTGAAGAGTCACTTGATATCCTGCACAAATCCGAATCCAATCCGTTCGTGGAAAGTCCGATTTTTGGCAAATCACGTTTCCGGAATTGTAAAAAAACTATAAAGGCAGTCGAAAGAAATTCATTCAAAAATTCCCAAATTAGTTTCTTTGCAAATTTACAATACCATCATGGTTGCTAGAACGTTTTCTATTAAAAATAGTCTTCTAGCATTAATCGTAGCCCATTTTTTGTGATTCGACCCGATATTGTCAGGCCAGTCGATGCCTCCCACCTTGTAGGTCCTCTAAAAAATTTTCCTTCGTCGGAGCGCTATTCCGGCCGTCTGCTTAGCTTGGTCCGGGGCTCTGGTATTGTGGAACAATTGGAAACTGCACCGAAAGCAGCCCAGGCGCTCCCATGGACAATAAGTAACTCTATTTGTGACGGCGAAATTCGAACCCGAGCCTTAATTTCGCAACGGCTTCGACAAGCGGGCTATACTTTTGTTTGTAGGGGGAACTAAATGCTGGTCGAAACCTGCCTGTTACTATATTTGCTCTTTAAAACGCCTTGCTGTTGCGGAAATTAACGTCCAAGGCGTCTGAAGCTCAACATTATCGAGGGTCGCACCATCGACAGCTCGCATTAAGCTTAATTTATGCCACTATGCCTCCCGGCCTGATCAAAAGCCGCACTAAGGTTAATAAACACGTACTCCACGATTTAATCGTAATTAGGGCCGTAGGTTCGGCCGATCGGACGCTCCGTGGCGCGCCTTGATAAACCCCCGATATGGGCTGGACATTCTCGGGTCTCTAATTTTCGTCTGAGAGGAGATGCTAACTTAGAAACAATGTGTTGAGGTGCACACGTTCACGGTAAAGCCGTGTCCAAGCCGCCTAAGTCATCCTGCACGAAAATCGGGAATTCAGCCGTGACGTAGGCAACTTCTGGTCGCTTCTGCCCCTGCGCTAGCATACTGTAGAGAATTGCTCGCGCCTTCCTGACGTTCAAAATAGCGTTTCTAATTGGTTTACAATACTAGAGCCCCGGGCCAAGCTAAGTAGATAGTCAGAATGGTGCCCCGACGAAGAAAAATTTTTTACAGAATGTTACAAGAAGGGAGGCATCGGCTGGCCTGACCATGGCGGGTCGAATCACAAAAAATGGGCTACCATTAATGCAGAAGACTATTTTCAATAGAAAACGCTTTAAAAACATGATTACATTGTGTATTTCCACAAAACATAATTTAAGAATTTTTTGAATGAATTTCTTTAGACTGCCTTTATAGTTTTTTTACAGTTTGGAAAACGTCATTTGCCAAAAATCGGACTTTCCACGAACGGATTTGATTCGGTTTTTTATGGGATATCAAGTGACTCGTTAGAAGCCTATCCTGTAAGTTGCATCTCAATAAGTGCAAAAACCGCCTAGATATTCGACAAAAACCACTGCCTTTATAGTTATTTTACTGAGTGTACCTTATGCCCATAAAAGCAGTTGCTGACTACGCGGAAGTACAATGGACGAGCGGAGAACAGCTCTATGGACAAGAGGTCATTTGCCTGCCCCGGGGCCCATTGATTAACCCCTGGGGCACCAAAATCCGTGCGCAGTCTGTTTCGTCGACCGCCAGTTAGTTGGGACTTCCGGGATGATAACTTAACTATGCAAAATTCTAGGTCTAAGCCCAAGCCTAAGCCTAAGCCTAAGCCTAAGCTTCAATCCGACCCTTAAGGCAGCCGGAAACATATTTTAATGAGCTTTAAGCAGAAATTCATTTAAAAGTTAATAATTTAAGTAATTGAATTTAAACTAAATCCTATTTATAATGGGAAAAATCCTAATTGATTAATGTAGCATTTCCATTTTCGAAAGACCTTGCAAAAGAACGATTAATCCCAGCCGTAAAAACGCCAGAAAGCCAGGTGTTTTAGTGGCGGGGATGCCCAAGAGGGGGATGAGGGTTTTTCGAGCCGAGAGAGAGAGAGAGAGATAGAGAGAGAGAGCCATAGGCAATGTCCAGCTGTGGTGCCGGCCTGGACCCCGGATCAACATCATCCCCCTGGCCCGAAAAACTCGTCTATTTTTGGGTCTTTTAGTTGTGTGCTATTTTTATGCTATCGTAAATGGTTGTAAAATTTATCCAAAAAAATTTAGAGCACCGTAGCAAGGCGAAATGCGGATGAAAAATCAGGGTACCGGGGGCATATCACAAATTGTTGTTTGGGGGTACAAGAACATCTTTGGTGTGACGTTTAAATGCGGAAGATTGGGCAAGAGAGAGAGCGAGAGAGAGCGAGAGAGAGAGAGGGAGAGAGAGTGAATGAGCGAGGGAGTGCGAGGGAAATGCAGAAAAAGATAAAATTCAGCGATAGCACATCTATAAATGGGCCGTAGATGCCACCCAAAGCGTCTTCCGCTGCTCGTGCTCGACGTGGGCGACCACCTGTTGGCAGACGTGCTTCACCAAAGTACGCACAGCATGCTAAAATTTAAATTTACATAGATAAGCCGATGCGCCACCCTTCAAACTTCAGACTACAAACTACACCTACATGCGGAGACACTAAAACGGTGGATAGATGACAGTCCAGGGAGTCGAGCAGCTTCTCCTCAGCTACCGCCCGCTCCAGCCACTCCTTGGCCGTCTTGGAGGGGATTTTCTCGCCGCTCTCCTCGCACAACTCCTTGATCTGCAACAGGGAACGGAATATCGCTCTCTCTCTCTCTCTCTCTCTCTCTCTCTCTCTCTCTCTCTCACCTGCTTCGAGTTCTTGAACTTGATTTGGACGACGATAGGATATATTCGGAGTGCGTGAAGTCGAGTAATAGCCTGCGGCGACACGTCCACCAAACAGTGAAGTCTAAATTTGCGTATCTCGTTATTTTTGTCTCTATGTCTCTCTCTCTCTCTCTCTCTCTTTCTTTCTCGCTCTCCTCTTACCCCCGGTCGATCAACTGCTGGAGGGCACTGAGGGAGACGACGTCGAAAAGCTGGTCTCGCCGACGCGCCTCTGAATTTTAGGTATTTTTGCGGTATTACGAGACCAGAAAACTCCATTTTGTGCTACAACGTACCGATAATTTCCCCGGCCCCCAACATCCGCTCGACCTCGTGCTGAGAGAGAGCGCGACACTCGGCCACGCATTGGGTGAACCTGAAAATGGAGACGATTTTAGAGAAACATTGAAGTCTCGGCACCGGCACTGTTGGACATGTACAGAGCTCCGCCAAACTTGCCGCCAGTTTTCTGGAGAGGGGAAAGCTGGAGAAAATTGGTGAGATTAGGATGGCGAGAGAGAGAGCGAGAGAGAGAGAAAACCAATCCCAGCAAATTCGAGCAGTTCAACCCACTTATTCGGCGCATCGTCGAGCAGCGTCTGCGTAAACGGAGCCGTATATGGCCCGACCAGCAGAATTGGACGCTTTTCCGCAGCAGCGACCCGCTCGACGCGTTCATAAACCGCCCGAGCAGAGCCCAGGATTGAAGGTGTGCCCCGGGTCAGCTCAATGGGTTGATTAGCGTTTTCGGCTCAAGACGTTCGGCTTAAACTCACCTTTGTTCCGTGCCTGCCCCTCCTTCCTCGGTCCTTTTCGACGAGTTCAGCCGAGGGGATGATGCCGCATTGGCGTTGTCGGCCTTCTCTAAAAATGGTATTACTTTGTTTCCATCTCTCTCTATCTCTCTCTCTCTCTCTCTCTCTCTCTCTCTCTTTCAAAAACTGACCTATCGACCTTCCAAGCCCTCCATCTTCCTTTCTCGCCCATAAACAGCGTACTGTCCACGTACACAATTTCACCCTAAATTCCTCTTCAATTCCACTACGCGCCTACTTACAGCCTTCACATCCAGCTCGTCTCCATTCTCACCGATCCGGTCAACATTAATGCGCACATAGAAGCTGAAAGGAAACTTAGTGAAGAAGCTAAACCTAGGTCTGGCCTAAGCTAAGCCTAAGCCGAATATAGGCTCAAAACAAGCCAGGCCTAAGCTGGAGCCAGACACTGACTTACCCGTCTCCATCTGTCCCAGCCTTGATCTTCTCCAACCTCTCACCACCCCCATCAACAAACAAATCGACCAACTCGGCGTCTCCTAAATTATGCCCTCTCTACCGTAACACAAGACATACCTTCAGCCAAATACCCGGAAGCCAGCTCCAGGGTGGCCGACCGAACATCCCGCCCATCAATCTCAAGGATCAGGTCACCTGCCTAAAAAGGTTTCAATTACTCCATGAAAATTGCCAAAACATACGTAAAGTGTATTCTTAGTCCCATCAGGGCAGAGAACGGTAGCCTCCGCAACGATGCCGCAGACGTTTCCGCCGCAAAGGCGAACGTTTCGACGCGGAACCTAAGAAACTAGGTGTATTCGATTTTCGATCGTTTATAGCACAGATACGTACTTGCAAAGGTGATGCATGTGAAAGCACCATAAAGCCTCGCACCCACCTGTATCCATCGTGGATGTTGAGCCCCAACCGGAAACACATCATCCCCAACGTCGTCTTCCAGCTTTTCCCGAGTCCCTCGAAACACCACTTCCGCTTCTGCTCCCCTCCCCTTTCCCGGGTGGTAGACGTGGGAATGCCTTTCCAAGGACAGTTCACCTAAATGCTTCTCTGAAGACGATTGGCATAAATACCTGAAGGCCCAAAATCCGAGCCGTCCCGACTTCTGGCGAGTCGACGTACAATTTCGGAAGCAGTTTCAGACAGTACGGTCTCGCTTGGGGCTAGAAAAGCATAAAAATAAGATAAGATTTCCAACTTACAATTGTTCATCGGAAAGTTGACTGATGATGTGGAGGGGTGTGGCGGCATCGAATTTGTAGATGATACGACCGATGAGAGCGAGTTGTCCAGGCGACGTCCCGGATACGGTGGGGGTTGACGATGGGTGCTAAAGGAAAAGGTAGGTTGGCAGGTAAGCCTCGTAAGCCTAAGCCAAAGCAGAAGTAGCGTAGGCTCAAGCTCATGCTCAAGCTCAAACCGAGCTCAAACTCAAGTCTAAGCCGACATCCATGCTCAAACTCCAGCCAAGTCTTACCCAAAGGTCGTGCTAATCCGATGCCCGCTCGGCCTCGGTGTCGACGAGGCCATGATCGGTGAATCAATCGAGTCAGATGATGCCGGAAACGGGGACGGAGATGTGCACGCGCAGGATTGGCAGCTAAATATGGCATAAAAGTGTAATTTGCACTTTGGCGTACTTTTGCTTGTTCGTCAACGCCGGGCTGGTGGGGGGCGGGAAGACCGGGAAAACGCTGGGCCGCGTCGGTGGACGGCGACGGGGGACGACGCCCGAGATCGGCTAGAAGTTCAGGATTTAGCTTTAGTTCTAGCTTCTTAACTTATTTAATAGTTTAATTTATTTCTTAAAACATTTTGCAATTTATACCTCAGTCAATTTTGGCCACGTCGAACCGGTCGGTTCCCTTGAATTCGACCCGATTGGCGTGGAAGTAACCGAATGACGGAAATGGTCCATTTTTGAGGCCAAATCCTTGTTGATTGTTCCACCAGGCGGTCCGCTATAAGAATAATACTTTACGCACTTTTAATAATATACCGCAAGGACCCGGTCCTGATCAGCTGCTGCTGCCGGGGCGAGGCGGCGGGGACGCGCAGCGAGCCGTGACGCATGAAATCGGTGGGCTAAATTGAAAAATTGAAAGAAAATAAAAAATCTCGAAAATCATGAATGTTTGCAAAAAATCATATGAGACATTGAAAAACTCACCGCATCCGGATCGATGTTCGCCGACGCGATGACGTCCCGGTTTTTTGAAGGCGTCCGGGCTCCGAAGAGTTTTTCGTGCATCTGAATGCGCAAAATTTTTCGTTGTTGAATTGGCGGTCACACACCCTTTAAAACCGAACTTTTCAGAAACCGGCTGAACGCGTAGCGGATGCGTCGCGTTTATCCAAACCGGGAAGTTTCCCACTTACCTTCGAAAACACCGATTTTGACGTCTTCTCCGTCGAGTTTGTAGACCTGCTCATCTCCCGGCTTCTCCCGGTCAGGATCCCGAGACGAACAACTCCAGAGGATCCTGAAAATTCGGATTGTATACTTTTTGCCATAGATAACGATACCTTTAGCCAAATCCTCGGCCTGTTTCGCATCGCCCACCGGAATGCCATTCACAAATATCACGCGGTCACCGATCATCAGTCTAAAATTAAGGATTCCTGATCCTCATCGATCATCAGCACTATTTTTTAAAGGGACTGGTCAGGCATGCAATGGATTTTTTGGCTATGGATTACAACTAAATACGAACTAGGATAATTCAATGCAAAAAAATCCATAGCCCTGTCTTGCCGGTTCCTTTAAATCCGATAAATCCATACCTAGCCCGCTCGGCGGCTCCTCCAGGCTCCACACGATTCACAAATACCCCGTTCGCCAGCTCTAGGCCCATTTCTAAAGATTACGGTAGTTGAGACACCACCTAGCGAATGACATACCTGGATGTGCCGCCACAACAACCTCCTGAATGCTATGCATATTGGCGCGTCGGCGGATGACCATTTTCAGGTGGTGGCTAAAGGAGTTTAATGGAAATTTGGCAAATACCATACCTATTCCGTAGTATATCGTACACAGATCGCATGTCCATATCCGAGACGTCGATGTCGTTGACCAGGACGATTTGGTCGAAACGTCTGAGGATAGTGTTGTATGGGTTACTGTAGTAAATTTTGAACTGCTCGATGATCTCGGCTGGTTTGCCTCGACTTTTAAAGGCACAACAACGTCAAAACCTGCGCTGTTGCGCTGATCTAACAGAGTTTAAATCCGAGTAAACTAGCTAAATAGGTAATTCCCTCAATGGTTTCGGCTAGTTTGCCCTCTAACTCGCAAAAAGTGGATAAAACAGCTGAAAATTTTAACTCGACATCTAACACTGCGACAATATCAGCATGTTGATAGGAGCAGCGCGTTGTACGGACTCGACTACGCTATGCTCCTATGGGCACGGTTAATTTGTGCGTATATTTCCTATATCTTTGCCTTACGTATTGTTATCCTCTCCTTCATGCGCCAATTTAGCTACTGACTAGCAAAATAAACTGCGCAATATGTGTACAGGAACCGCGCGTAGTCTCGACTTGAGTACGCTTAGCCCCAATAAACACGCTAATTTAGCGCCTTCATTTCATTTTTGGATACCCTCTCCTTGATGCCCCTACCTACCTGATCGAATGCTCCAAAGGCGACCCATTTAACACGTCTTTTACGTATATTGGCGAGCTGATCGGCCCAACCTCACCTCGACCTCCAGCCAGCACCAGGCCGAGATTCGACTTTGGGAATGGCTGAAAGTAAGGTAACAAGAATTCTTATGGCCTGCACGAGTTATTTAAAGTGCCCGTAAGACCGCTAATATCCCTTACCATCGTGATATCAACCGCATGACTCGTCCATATATCCGAAATGCTCTCCCGCTGATTCTCGGCGATCATAATCCGTTGGCAAAGCTCCTCTTTTTCCTGAAAATCATCGTTTTTTGAATAAATATAGCTACTTTACGTAATTAGCCTTCATTTAATTGATGCTTTAACTCAGTTCAAAGGCCCAGCCAACTCACAATTGTCATGGATTCAACGCGTCGCCTCAGCCGATTCACCTCCTCCATCGTCTCGAGGCGCTTCACCTTGGCTGCCTCGTTCTCCTGCATGTTCACTGAAAATGGAGGTATGGATGCCTAAAAAATCGATGCTAGCCTCTTTAAAAATGATTTTGTACGCAAAAGCAAAAATTTTGCATCGCCGGGGATCGAACTCGCACCATACACAGGGTAAGCAGACACACTACCAATACACCACCTTACTCTAGCTAATTACGCCCCGTTAAGGTCAATAGTTTCGGATTTTTGGCGGCGAATTCTCAAGAATCTTTGCTACACTGCCCTAATTTTCGATTGGTTTGGTTTCCAAGCAAAAGGCAAAAATTTCAGCCTCGGCCGGGATCGAACCCGGGTGTCACGCTTGGCAGACTAAAAATTTACCAGTACACCACAGCGACGTTTAAATCTTTCACAAATTTGGAATAAATCCCCCGTAATCCGAACGTACTCTGCAACATCCGACGCGTATTCTCGAGCTTGCTCTGCAGCTGCTGGATCTGCGAGTCATTTTTGGAGTAGCTCTGCGCTTGCAGACTGGCCGAAAGGCTTTTGATATTCTGCTTCAACCGCTCGCGTTCTTCGGAGAGTCGATTGTTCTCTTCGAGGACCTAAAAGGTCACTTTCCTAAAACGCGCACTAGCGATTACCGTACCTGGCTCCGCTCCAGCATTGTCTCATCGTAATCTCGGGCGAGGGCATCGTACTGGGACTCGAGCCGCTGTTTGGAATCTTCGGCCTCAATTCGGTGGGCCATGGCGCTGAAAATTTAGGGTTTAATGGGATTTAGGCTTAGGTATAGGCTCAGGCTTAGCTTAGGCTTAGCTAGACTTAGCTTAGGCTTAGCTCAGGCTTAGCTTAGGTTAAACTTACCGATTAGCATCGGCTCTTGCATTATCAGCCTGCTCCTCCAAAATCATTGCTTTTTGTTTCAATAAATCGCGCTCCTCCATCGCCACTAAAAATACATACTTTAATTAATTACATTTTAGTCCACGTGAGCCATTTCTATAGCTTATGCCCTTAAAACCACGTATTAAAACCACGTAAAAACCACGCATTAATGACCCGCCCTTCAATTTCTGGATCCAAATATCCTCAGCAAGTGCTGTCTCTCTTGAAATCTCCTCCTGCGCCTCGAATTGTATGCGCCGCTTCTCCTCGCGCTCGATTCGGAGCTGCTCCTCCATTCGCGACATCTGAAACTCGACTTATTTTGAGTCCCAGCCTATTGTCGAGGCGCAGAAGGCATTTTCGACGGATCTGCCGTGTCACAGCCCCTTTAAAACAAACCTCATTTTCCAATGCCTCAATATGGCGATGTGCCATTCGATCGGGCGCGTATTCCGGTGGCTCATCGCTCACGTGAAAGTCGTCGTGATCGCCGACATGATGATGGTGATGATCATGGTGATTCGAGCCACCGCCGCCGTTTTGCAGCTTTTGCGGCACTTCCGGTGGGGTCGGAGGCCGATCCTCCTCGTGCTCCACCATCCACGATCAACCGGGCACTGCAAGGGGGCCTTGATTGGTATCAGGAGGAGTCACTTGAGAAAATAGAAGACTTGAGAGCCACTATCTCGGCACTCTATGCAGGAAATTTAAAGGGCAGGGAAAGGTTGAGCGTGAGGAGAAAGCCTAAGCCTAACCGAAGCCTGACCTAAACCAAGCAAGGATTGAGTCAAAGCCTAAGCCTAAGCCTAAGTTGAAGCCTAAACCTAAGCCTAAACCTAAGCCTAACCTAGCATATTGAAAGTTAGATAGTTCTTTTTTGGTCGCAAAATGAGGGGTGGACCACCCGGGACCCCGGCGGCCATAAGCACAAAATTAGGGCAAACCCCCCTCTGCCCCCAGAAAATCGCATTTGGTTGCTGTCCCCTGGAAAAGAGGAGGGTCCGATGTTGGACCAGTAAGAATCAAAAAAAATATACGACCCTTTGAGCGCTTTTTTAGAATATCGTAAGGAAATTGAGAGAGATATACAGAGGGAGAGCAAGCAAGAGCGAGAGAGAGAGACAGAGACAGAGAGAAAGAGCAAGCCCCAAGACTGCAATCACAACTTGTGCCTCTACGAAAATTGGGGCTGTTTTAGGGGGCGAGCGAAATGCGTGTGTATTCGTGACCTTGTCCGACCCCTCAAATCCACACTTTAGCCAGCGCGCCGGAATCGCCCCCCCCCTCCGAAACGCTACGACACATTCCGCTAGCCGAACGGCCTCTCGAAGCGGGCTCCGTTTATGGACTGTTGACAAGTGGGGGTGTCTCGGAATATTGGTACAAGGTGGTCACCACGACCTGAAGTTTTTTATGCCTTTTGCTAGCGTGTCTTTGCGCTTCTAGGGCCAAAAAAATATCCAAACTATGTTAATTTTTCTATTTTAATAATCTAAAACAAAGCGGTAGAGCTGTAAGGAACTATAAATCGCTCATAAGCTTTTTACTGGCTTAGAGCAGAGAGCTGGCTGGGAAGGGGCGAGAAAACTGAAAATGAGAACATCGAAATGCGGCGCCCATATACGATATTTTGACATGGTTTTGACGGTAATTTTCAAGGCGAAAGAGCTCTGATTGATGGCCATAACCCGATTTTGGCGACGCCTTGAAGATCTAATTTTCTTTATCATTGGTCGGTTGCCAATTTTGGTTGAACTTTGCCCGGCTCTCTCTCTCTCTCTCTCTCTCTTTCTCTCTCTCTCTCTTTCTCTCTCTCTCTCTTTCTCTTTCTTTCTTCCTAACCGCCAACACAAACAAACCCGCTTCAGATAAGGATTAGGCGTTGAAATTCCATGGAAAACTGAGCAGTCACGAATATAGGAGGTAGCTTCGAAAATTATGGGAACCGTAGTATTTGCAATCCTTTCAGTGCTGGTTGCCCTATTTTTATCGAAAAAGTCGGGGAAACCGGGCGGTTCTGGAAGGTCAAAGCGGGTCGAAAAGTTCGAAAGCCGATGATCGAATTAGGTGCGAAGGGGAGGCGTTGCGTAGAAATGGGATTTTAAAGGGATGGTGACAGACACAAAAAATACAAAAAATCGGGACACCATATTCATAAACACATAAATTTGATTATTACCGAAAAGCTAAAAATCTCGGCACGAAAATACTGTAAAAAGTCACCCAAAAAATAAAATCATGGATATCAAATGCGTTTTTATGCCAAAACAGCGTTCGCGTAATTAAAAATACGTTAAAAACGCTTCAAAAACATAATAGCAAAATTTTACAAGGCTGAAAGTAGGGCATGGATCGAGGATACGGAACGCGCGCTAGGAGAACATCCATCACCTGTACGGAGGGGGGCGGAGAGAAAGAGAAAGAGGAGGAGGAGGAATGGGGAGTTGCGGACAGTTCCACGGGTAGTCTCGTCCTCTCTCTCTCTCTCTCTCTCTCTCTCTCTCTCTCTCTTTCTCGCTCTCTCTCTCTCTCTGCCCCTCTCCCCATCGCCCTATCTCTCGAATCAATGGCTGAAGGACAGTCCCCCCACAGCAGTCGGTCAGTGTTTGCCAGTCTTGCTCTCTCTCACCCTCTAGGTCTCTCTCACTCTCTCCAGCTCTCGTGCTCTCTCACCGTCCACTAGAAGCAACACACAACGCCCACAACAATCGGTCCTGCACGCGGAACAGCTGATTGCGTGTGGGTGAATCGAGAAGGGGCGAATTTCGGGTTGTTTAAAGGGGCAGAAAAGAGATAGTTGCCGCGACCGTGACACGCAACGCGATCGTCCGACGCAAGTAATCGATTACGCAACAATATGGTGTTTTGTAATACAATATACAGGGTGTCCCAATAAAAAGGGTCACGCTGGCATTTTGCTATTTCAATCCGATTGAGTTGAATTTTGAACAGAGCCGCCGAAGGAAATTCAGAATGTTCACAGAAACTTTCAGCCCGATCGGTACAGTAGTTTTCGGGTTATTGTAAAATACTGTTTTCCCACACTTTAGCTTCATTTTTTCGGCTATCTTTTTGGACTTTGCATCAATTAACATAAATTTCCGGTTCTAAATCCCGCATTCTTCTAAACATCGGGGTTGCAAAAACCTTGTTAAAGTTACTTAAATAACCTATTTCCAAGCCGAATTTTACGAATAAAAAATTTCCTATCATAAAAAAGGGTCGGGGGTTCATTTTCACCGGACATTCCAAGGCTCAATTCCGGCGAAATCCAGGTTAAAAACGTAAATTAAAGTTTGTTTTTGCCATAACTCCAAAACTATTGTACCGATTGGGCTGAAAGTTTCTGTGATCATTTTGAATTCCCTTCCGCAGCTCTGTTCCAAATTTCAGGTCGATCCGATTTGAAATGACAAAATGCCAGCGTGACCTTTTTTATTGGGACACCCTGTACAATAGAGCTTTCAAATCTGAGGTCTTAGAAGAGAGTACAGGGAAATCATGAAAATTCTGCAAAAAAAACCCTACCCCCAAATTAGACAATCGCGGCGCCGCAGAGTCGTCGTGTGAATCATGCAGAAAGCATTAGAAGGAAAAGGCATGCCCATGCTTTTTGCTTTTGGCGACTACTTCCACACCACTACTCAGAACGAGCCGTGTGGATAGTATGGACGCGGAACTGGTTCTCCCAGCCATGCCTGTTGGGTGCTTTATGACATCTAGTGGATACGCGGGAGGACTATGAACAACTTGCCGGGTTTGGGAGGACTATGGTATACTTGGTAGGAAATTACGGAAGTAGGGTAGATTTTAGGAAAATCCAGATGAAGAGAGAGACGGAGAGAAAGAGAGAGAGAGATTGAGAGAGAGAGAGAGAGATCCATAAAAATTAATGCGCAGCCATTAATACCAGACTACCAAGCTTCAAATCCAAAATGGAATATCACCTAGTTTTCAGCCGATCCGAGTCACTCGAGTCGAGTCAACTGGAATGGAACGCACTCTCTCACTCTGGCTCTCTTGCCCTCTCTCTCCCTCGCTCTCTCTCACTCTCTCGCCCTCCAGGGTTTGGCCACAGTTTGAAGGAGCGGATATTTGTTCTCCATTGGAGACTGAGACCCGCCACATACTGCAGATATTTGCCACACCTCTCAAATCACATCCCCCCCACCTTGGAATCGCACAGTTCGGCGGTTGTGCCAAAGAAAAAAGTGTCCGATTCGATGAGAGGTATCCGAGAAGGGTAATCGAGAACGGCTGGCCCACGCATGGTTAAAGGGACTTGAAAGCAGGGTATTATCCTAGCGTCACGTGCACGTTGCGTGTGTCTACTCGGTTAGTCTTCTCTAGCGCGATGCCACGTATCTTCTGACAGATGAAGTGTATACCGGAAGTGAAAAAACGCTTTTATTTTGAGGAAAATCGCATCGCCAAATGCCAATTAGCAAAACCTTTCGATCCGTTAATCCGTAAAAAAACCATATTTTTCAGGTTTTCATGGGGCTCTATCGCAGGATTGGCGGGCCGCGGCAAGCGAAAATCTATAGCCCCACAAAAATCCAGAGCCCGGCCTTGCCCATCCCTTTAAAATCTACCGTAACCCAGTAACAATACACTTTTTTGTTAAAACAAGCAATGCCCTTCCACTCCTTCAACCCAATAATCACTGCTCGTTTGCCCTTCCAATAGTGCCTAGTTTTCCCATCATCGTTCATTTTTGTTAATAAGAAAATCAGATTTTTTTTCAGACCAGAAATTGTGATTACCACCTTTTAATTTTAATAAGCAATGTTTTGCTCCAAAAATATACCCAAAAACCCCACCGGTTTTGAACCAGCCCTCCCTGCCGGCTAATTCCGCATTGGCCCCATTTCCGATGAGAGCCGAAAGGGTGGGTGGTGGAGGCTGAAGCCCCCATTCCAATACCCTGCCCTTCCCCCTCCCCAAATATTTCGACGGGCCGCCAGGGCCCTGAGGCGTGGCGGTCGCGTTGCGGCCAGGGGCCCATAGGGCCCCAAAAGGAGGCCGAGGATGGGAAAACCAGCGTTTTTCTTAGTTTTATTGTTGTTTTTATAGAAATCAATTAGTGAATTCCGTGGATTTAGAAGAATGGAAGAAGACCGGTTGGGGATGAAGATCAGCTCCGAAGTGGTGGAGATTCTGAAGGATGCAAAGGGGCTGTTGGGTGTTTCGATAGGTAAGAGAACTTCTACTATAGGGTTTGATGGAGAATTATAGGTGGTGGTCACCCGAATTGTCCTTGCGTCTACGTCGTCCAGCTGTTCGATGGCTCGCCAGCACATGAGGATGGGAGAATACGTGCTGGTGATGAGGTGAGGGTTCTCCCTTAAGCCTTCGTATTCGTTCGTTACATGAAAATCAATCCGTTACGTGCTCTAAATGAACCTGTTGAATTTCTGGCGGACGGCGCGTAGCTGAACGTAAATGCACTAGGGGCATTAAGCTGATCGCAAACTGCTCGAGCTCCGCGCCTTGGACGCCGCTTGAAAAATTGATCAATTACGCGCTATAAATTTGGAATGGCCTTCTTCACTTTGTTGCGTTCAGCAGCATCGCTAGCTTGTTGCCGTGAGCCACATCAAAACCGTTCAATTACGCCTTATTAACCACAACCTTGAACTTCTTGCAGTCGGTGCGGTCAACGGCTTAAAATGAAAAGCAATCTATTAAGTGCATCTATACACCTGTAGATTAACAGGGAGCCGAGATACAAAAGTTGGGTGCCGGCTGGGGGGGTTATCTGGAGTCTTACCAGTGCTCTACATAAATCCTTGAACATCTCCACGTCGTCGTTTTCGACGCCTAGTAAAATCAATCGATTACGCCAGTAAAACTAAGCCTTGGATTGCTTCAGGTCGTTGCGGTGAACGGTGTCAACGTGAAGGGGGATAAGAAAACGCACGTCGCTCAGTTGATCCAGACAAGTGGAAACCCGGTGAAGGTAAGGCTCAAAATATGACATTTGAATTCGAGCTCCAGATGACCATCAACCACCTCGACGCCGACACGACGAAGGGCAAAACGGCAGATATCGTCGTGAAGAAGATTAAGCATAAGGTATCGGAATCAGATTTTTAATGCTTTTGTACAAAAGTACGCTGTACACTACAGTACGCAGAAAAAACTTAATGCTTTTAAGATATTTTACTTTATTCAGATGGTCGAATTCATGGAAGCCGATACCGCCGACGCGCTAGGACTATCAAGAGCCATTTTATGCAACGATCCGCTCCTCAAAAAGATGAGGGTAAGTTAACTTTAACAAAAACTGACCAAAAATTAGAAACTCACGAAAAATTCGTTTTCAGGTACTCGAAGAAAACGCGGACTTCTACCGTACCCTCATCGCCTACTTCAACGAACTGCTCGAGGCTCAGGAAGGCATTAATAAGTATCAGAAAAGTGAGTATACGGTAGAAGTGCAGCTGTCATTTTTGTTTTTTTAGTGTTCGGGGACGCGTTCTGCGAACTGGCCGCTCATGAGAGCCAGGCAAATGCGTCGCTGGCGTTTACGGTATTTGGCGAGGTGGGTACGGTAGTTTTCAGGTTTTTAACTAGGAAATGTTCGTTTCATTCAAAAAGCATAAATTCCCAAATTTCCTCAGCAGCTCTTTTGCTAATCGCTGAACTCGAGCTTCCAGGCCCACCGCGCCCTCGACAAGCGGCAAGCCGACATGGTCAAGGCCGTCCGGCCGCTGATCAACGACTTGGTGACATACGTCGACAAGGCCATTCCCGACACTGAGCTCACCATGAAAAAGTCGGAATTTTCAAATAAAGAACGATCAGAAAATATTAATTTCAGATACCTTGACGTGAAATATGAGTACCTGTCGTACTGCCTGAAGTTGAAGGAGATGGACGACGAGGAGGTGGAGTTCCACTCGTTACAGGAGAGCCTCTACAGGGTAGAGACCGGGAACTACGAGTATCGGTAAGTAGCAGTTATAGTTTTTTTCTCCCTCTCTCTCTCTCTCTCTCTCTCTCTCTCTCTTTCTCTCTCGCTCTCTCTCTTACTCTCTCTCCTCAATTCCAGATTAATGCTTCGTTGTCGTCAGGAAACACGTCAGCGCTTCGTCCGCATGCGCAACGACGTCATGGTCAAGATCGAGCTCCTCGATCAGAAACACGGTATCAGCTTCATCTGATGTCACCACCCCTTTAGTCCGGGACATCGCCCAACAGCTGACAAACCTTGTGGGTGTGCTACGGGACTGCCAGTCCGATTGTTCCAAGGCGCTCCTAAATACGCCTATGGCGGTGCCAGTCGAGATTGATATTATTCAGGTGGGTGTGGAAAGAGAGGTGAAACTTCGCATGGTTAGGTTAGGGTTAGGCTTAAGCTTAAGGAAACCGCAAATCTAATTTTGAAAAATTCAACTTACCAGATTTTATTTTTTTGCAAATTTCTACCCTCCTATAGCATAATTTCTATAGAAATCCCACAAATTTGACCAACGAGCGAGCACAAGCAGCCAACCGGAAGAGGAAGCTGAAGTTGTTGCTCAACAAGCTGAAGATCAGGTAAGGATTCAAATTTGAAAGGTAAGCCAATTTTAGCCCGATCTTCTGAACCTTTCTGACGCGTTTGAGCCGCTGCGACTTGAAGAAAACGGAAATGCCGCTGGGGAGTTGATAGCTCTAGATTATGTGAGTTTTTCTTCATATCCAGCGCAAACGACATGCGCATAATTTGCAGTTTCGCGTAGCTGTCGAGACCTAGTCAACCGAAGGGTGGATTCTCGTGCTCCAGCGTCCCTTTAATGGGATGGTAAAAGCAAGGTTTTTCAGGAACCTCTTCCAAACCCCGTCCGCCCAACCCAAAATGATCCACCACCTCCACCAGTCGACGATCAAACCGAAAATTTATTGCTTTTCTGACTGTGATACATGCGATAAAGCTTTGCTAACCCATCCACAATTTTTACGGAAATTTACGAATCCCGTATCAGGAATTGCCAGCCGAACCCGATCGATAATCTCCTGAAGACGGGTGGCAAGAGAATCACTAATGCATTTCCACAGGCCAAGATCCCGAGGCATTGGCTGTATGGTGCATAAATTGGCGCGCCGACCGCCGGGCCAAATCGATCGTAGCCGAGGGTGATTCAAAAAAAGCGTGAGGCTAGCTAGAACCGACACTTTTTTCACCCGGGTTTATCCCCCATTAAAAAGTGCGCCTCGATATTTTTGCGCTCTTTTCGGCATTTGATCTTTTGAAAGTTCCGGCTAAATTCGCAAATAAGGGTTCTAAGTCGGTTCTTGTGCATTATCGGGGGAACCATCTTTTCTGAGGACCCAAGTTTTAGGATATTAATAGAGGAACAGTTTTTAAACAGTTTTTGCTATTCCTACACGTAAAAACTTTACAAATTTTGATGAAAAATGAAAAAATCCCGATTTTTTACCCAAATTCGCCGATTTTCGACCAAATTTCAACTAAAAAAAGCAACATTTTTTTTCTCAGTTTTATTTTTTGTTTTCCAATATTGCTAAATTTTACGAAAAATTTTTATACGATTTAATATCGTAGTAGCCCACCACAAATTACCGCTGGGACATCTAGCCAAAATTATATATTTTGCACAAACCGAGAAATACCATCTGACGCCTAATTACGGCCCATGTTTTGTGAAAAACAATTTCACCATTAATTCGGCGCGCCTCTATCTCTCTCTCCCTCTCGCTCTCTCTCTCTCGCTCTCTCTCTCACTCTCTCTCCTCTCCATCTCCCCGACAACCCATTAGCTTAAAATTAGTGTCCAGCCCGGCCCGGGCCACACCGATTTTTTTCATTCCGAAAATGAACCCCGCCCTGCAACTGGCCCACGACCTTTTAAGGGTAGGTTACTACAGAAATACGTAATACAGCCGGATTACGGTAATAAGGTTATTATTTAGTCGGTGATCGCCTTCAACAGCTTCGTCGCCTCGCGGTACACGCTGAGGACCAGCTGGACGGCCTCGTCGGCGCTTCAGATTTTTGATAAGGTTTGGTAACTCCCCCATAATGCAAAGGATCCGAGTATCGCTTTAGAAATCGCACTATGGCGATGAATTGGCGGTGATGCGCTTTGACCATCCCCATCTTGACCACCACGAGTACGCCCATATCAACCTCGAGCCACGGTATGCCGGCAGGGAGCGTGATCCGCATTATTGGCTACCGCCGGGCAGCGCTTATGTGAGTGCAATGGTTAATTTAGCTTACTTTCTCCATTTATTAGCGCTGTTAAATCTGTATATTCGTGACTACAAATTCAAACCGGCAAAGCTATAGAAGTTGTAAAAACTAAAACCTGTACGGTGCAAGCCTATGGCCAAATGCTACCAATGATTAACTGATAAAAAACTCCTCAATTAACAACTTTCAGCTGGCGGCTCTATTGGGCGGCTTGATTAAATTCTTTTACAAATACCTGCGATGGACCAGCCACGGATTCGCGATCGTATTCTTGGGAATTGCAATTTGGGTATGTAGAATGTACTTTGTAGAGTTTTGGATCTTTAAAGGCGCTATCCCACGGCATTCCATGGAGGCACGGATAGGACCCCCCGGGGCCGCGGCGCAATCGGTTAGCGCCGATCCCAAATCTCGAACAGAGGGTCCGGGTTCGACCCCCGGGACCAACGTGCAACCGCTATTTCTCCCCAAAACCTTTGCCAAGCTTTTGCGTTTTGCTTAAAAACTGTGCTCCAGCCATTGAAAACGGCTAAAACAATCAGGATCTGGAAAAATTAACCCGATCAAAAAGAGACGGTTGATCCACTGGCGTACATTTTCGTAAAACAGTCATTTGGAGCCATTTTAAGCGTCGATTTCACGCACTGGGGGGTAATCAACCTTGATTTTACTAAATCTAGGCTCAGATTTCAGCGACAATGCTTGGTTTCTGCGCTATTTAAAACCGCACAAAATCCTGAACTGAACTTCAAAAGACCATCACAAAAAAGTACCAGAATAGATTTTCGATAGTTGGTTCTCAAAATCTGCGCCTTGGGGTCTAGAATATTTAAATCTAATTGAGTTTCTAATTTTTCGATTAAAATTTCGAGAAAAATCCAGTTTTGTCCAAAAGTTTGTTCATTTTCGAACAAAAACGTAGCGAGCGCGCTGTCCCCTTGTGCAAGGGAGCCTGCCGTAGCCCAAAAGCTATCCGTGCCTGCCTGTTAAAGTCTGGAATGGCGTGATCCAGGTCTTTTATCATCGAAATATTCTAAAATGCTCCCTTAAAACAAACGTTTTTTAGCATGATACCAATCCGCTATCTTACCATCACACGCTGAACTTTCTGATCCGCCTCACCGCACTCCACTTTGTTCCGGGAATTGGTAAACCCTAAAACCGTAGTTATAAGTTAAATGACTATTTCATGATTTTAGTTTTATTTTTAATCTTTCCAGCTGCAAAAGCCGTGTCGTGGATTGGCACGAGTGTTATGCCGGTATTGGGCACAGCTTTGTACGGCCTTCTCGGTGCCCTTTTTACCGGTGTATTGATCAACATCGCCGCCAGGGAATTCGAGGTATCAACGCTTTAAAAACGTCCTGGAGCCTTAGCGGGGGGGGGGGGGATAAACGAAATTTTTCGTAGGCCCCTGGCATTTCGAACTATGAAAACTAGACGTCGTGAATAGAATTCGGCACCTTGCTCATAAAAAATGTTACATTGTCTAAAAAATTTGGCGTTTTCGTCAAAAATCCTGAAAAAATTTAAGTTTCCGTTGCATTTCGATATTTGCTATAAAATTCTTTCTATAAAATTTTAGTAGCCAGAAACGGCTAAAAAATCATAAAAATCGTCTGTCTTTTCTACAATTGGGGTTATGCTGAATAAAGAAATCCGCCCTCTGTTAATGAACCAGCCCCTAACGTACAAACACGAAAACCACTGCCAGAACGGCTACACCCTCCACTGGGACAACCATTACCTCTTCGTCGGGCTGGTTGTTCTTGGCATCTACGTAGCAACCTGGATCGGTCAGTTTTCAAGCTTATTAGTACGGCTTTAACTTTTAAAAAAGCGTTAAAATGCGTAGATTATCATCCAGTTTCAGCTGCCAAAATCGGCTCGTCGTTGGGTGAATGCTTTGCCCCGGGAATCGGCACGTTCTTGTTGGGCGCAGTGGCGAGCGCGGGACCACTGGCACTGCTATGGATCTGGAAACCTGAATCGATGATGAATTCTGGGCAATAAATAACTTATTTCATAAAACAACTACGCCTCTACGCTCAAAGTTGACCAATTCGCGCCAGAGAGCAACAGATTTTAACAAAGCTACTAGGAAACAAACCTAAAATATAACTAAGAGTATAAACTACAATTCAAAGTTAAAAAGCAACAGATACACGCCAGTAAGAAACAGATTTTAAAGGGATGCCGACGGCATAGACAATCGGTTACGCGCGGAAAAGAAAATGTCTCTGCGCCTCTCCCCTGGGCGCGCTCTCTCCCCTCTTGGCTACTTGCCAATTTGTTGATGAGGGGGGATCGACACATGCCGTCGGCAGCCCTTTAACAAACTTTGTGAGCAATGAACCATAAATAGTACTGTACTTTTGCGCACTTATTTTCTGGAAAGGCTACTGTAACTCATCCAGGGACGTAGCGTAATACCGGCCCCGGGGGCCCGGGGCCCCCCCCGAAATCCGCCGGGGCCCGAAAATTTCATAAGGGGGGACCCTTATGATTTTCATTTTCTCAAAAATTTTGCTGCCTGCGGCGCTATTTTTTCACGTTTTTACGGCTATTTGTAGAGCTATGTAACCTCTTTTTCAAAAATTTTTGCCTGCGGCGCTGTTTTCTCGTTCATCTTTTGAGTTTTTTGGAAAAATTTTTTGGGGGCCCCCCCCGAAATTTTTTTCTGGCTACGCCCCTGAACTCATCCCGTAACAAGTGAAAATTTTCATCTCTACAATATAAATAGAGAGTACCCGGCGACGCGGCAAAATTTTCACCTTTAGAAAAAAAGTCGACACTCAAGCGACTTTCACGATAGATTATACACTTCTAAGCGTTTTTTTTCAAACTTCTGTGCAGGAAATTATCCTGTTTACCTTTCTTATTTCTATTTTTATTGACTATTACTATTCTATTGTTATACTAAATTTTTTTTCAGATTAGAAAATGCCAGACGCCGCTGCCACCGCTGCTGCCACTGCTGCCGTCGCCTCAACGGTCCTGCCTGTGGTCACCGTCGGCGCGCTCGCGGTGAATGTTATTCAGGTACATCTCGGTCGTGTTTTTATTTTCATTTTTAGGAAGCTGCGCATGGCAAGGACATCGTCACCGCGATCGCCAACGGTGCGGTCAACACCGCCAAGGTGTGCGGTGGTAAGCGAATTTTTTGCCGGTTCTGCATGTTGAAAAATAGCGGAAATGTCGAAAAACAGTTTAACAGCCGGATTTTCAAGGCATATTCTTGTTCTGTAGCTAATTTAGATGATAATAATTTGCCCAAATATCTTCGTACTCTCACAATTAGTTTTATTTCTCCCTCGGGTCGCTCTGAAACAGTCGAAACTCCCCTTGTTCCAGCTTAAACTTTTCATTTCAGGCGCGCAAGCTGGTGCCCTCATTGGCTCGATGATCGTCCCCGGCGTCGGCACCGCGGTCGGAGGCATCATCGGAAGCGTTGTCGGAATCCTGGCGTCCCGATGAAGCGCCTCCAGCGAATTTCTAACAACCTTGCTGCTTATTTCCGGTATAACCGTTCGGCCTTTCCCCTCTGTTACGATTTGTACATACGTTGCTAATTTGATAAATTTGTTGCATCTATGTTGTGTGGGATGAGACATGGTACAGCAAGCCAATGGTTTTTCTGCGATTAGCTTCACTAGAACATGGGTTACGTGGGCTTACAAGTTGTGACCAGACTACGCGCTTGCTGAGCGATTGATTGCACTGGGAAACGGGTCAAAAGGCGAAAAAATTGTAAGCATACGTATGCGTTTCCGCATAAGATAAGATAGCGACTGAAGCCATGGGTCCAGTTATTTACGTGAAAACTGTTTCTCTATCCTTTGCGCCTTTTCGGGGCTAGGATTCGAGCAACAAAAAATTTTTAGGCACTTCAATGTCAGACGTGAGCCCAGATGAAGCAGAGCGTCGCTACAACTTCGGCTTTTCAGTGCCAGAAGAAGAAAAGCTGTACAAAATCAATGCCCTTTGCAAAGTAAACCTTTTTATTCGATTAATAACCATTCAAATAGGGATTGACCACGTATCGCTTCACACAGGGCTGCTACTATGCCTTGAAAACCAGCTCCACTTCATCGTCGGCCGTTCAGCTGTATGATAAGGTTATAATTACGGCGTTGATGTTATATTTTTTGCATAATTCGAAATTTTTGATACAAAAGTTTTTCAGCGACTCAAGAATGTGATGGCATTGCTTCGAATCGATTGGGCGCACAAGCCCGGAGGATACTGCCATATAAACCTCAATCCGAAGCCAGCCGGCCTGAAGAGGGACCCACATCTATGGGTTCCATACGGGACACCATGGGTAATCTCGTCAGATTGATGCATATTTGCTTTTTTTGCAGGTGTCGAAGCGAGTAGCCGATGCCGCCAAGACGCTCAATGACTGGCTACCTCTGATCACCACCTCAATTATGGCATATTATACGGCACGAGCGATACAGGTTGCTGCTTTTTTTGCTCGCTTAACTTTGGCTCTAGAAAGACTACGAAGACGGCACTTACGAAAACACAGCAACGTACGCCGCGCGCACCGCTGGAACGTATACTGGAGCCGCTTTCGGTCGGCCGCTACAATATTCAGTTGCAATGCGCAATTTTAGGAGGCAAAGCGGGTTCAATTGCTGGCTCAGCCGTCTTGCCGGGCGTCGGAACCGCAGTTGGAGGTCTTGTTGGTTCCCTCGCCGGTGCCTGGTATGGCGACGATGTGGTGGCCCAATGCGCTGCGGACCCCGAATTCAAGAAGAAAGCTGGAGAGACGATCGGCTCGGTCTACACCGGCGTCGCCCAGACTGCAGGCCCCGCCATGACTTCCATCTACAATGGAGCCGGAGATTTGGCCTCCGGCTGCACAGCGACCGTCGGATCTGTAGCCGGGAAAGCCGCCCAATATGCCGCGGACTCGAATCTGCCCGGAAAGGCCGGTGCAGCGTACACGGCTGTCACTCAAAGCACTGGCCAAGCGATCGGTGCCATCTACAATGGCATCGGCCAGAATGCTGGCCCTGCCGCTTCTTCCATCTACCACGGAGCTGGAAATCTTGCCTCGAGCTGCTCAGCGGCTGTCGGATCAGTTGCCGGAAAAGCTGCACAATATACGGGAGTCGCTCAAAATGCCGGACAGACAATCGGTTCGGCTTATCAAAGCACGAGCGACTTCATTTCCGGTTACTTCTACGGCCCGAAAAAATGAAAATGAACTTATGTACGTATTTGCCAAATTGTTACTACTCGTACCTTGAAACTTGTGATAAATAATTTATTAAAACAACATCATACTGAGAGTCAATGTCCGCACCAAACAGCCATTATTGATCCTACAAGTCCCTTCGAACGCTTGCGCTTTTCCAAGAAGTTCCCCTTGACGGTTAGCCTGCACGGGAAAAAACGTCGCTGGTTTTGCCTAGTGATCTGTCCGTTCTTCCGCGTTTCGATGGAAAAGTATTCTGAATCACCAGCTTGTTTTTAGGTAGTGTACAGCCACACCAGACGAAGATGGATCCGGATATGCTCGGTCTGCATGATTTTCTACGGGTGATTATTATCACTTTTCCGTGGCGTCTTCGTCTGAAAGTAAAGCGTTTTACTCAAAATTTCAGTCACTGTCAGCATTCGACTACTTCGTTGCTTCCGAATTCTCGATGAAGACTAGTTGGACAGCTGCTTCTGCAGTTAAGATATTTCACATGGTGCGTTATCGTCACGTAACTGGTGTATTTTTCGTTATTTTGAACATTTCAGAGGTACGGCGAGCGTGACGGTGTCGTGTTGCGCGTCGACCATCCGCACGCTTACGGGGCCAACTACGCCCACGTCAATCTCGACTCGGAGTATGCAGGTCTTGACAAGGACCCGCACTTTTGGATCCCTCCTGGCAGCCCTTATGTAAGATGGATTCATATTTTAATCAGGGTTATTGAGAATGAAAACATACGAGCTAGATAGACCCCAGGTGGCTATAATATTTCTTTAGCTGGCTGCCTTAGTCGGATCTATTGGTCGCTTTCTCTACCGCTGGTCACTCAGGGCGAGCACCTGCTTCGCGATCTATGGTCTCGGCGCAGCATTAGTGGTGAGATTTGAGACGGTTATCAAACATGTTTTTAGAGGGATTTCGATTACTATGATGGGCACACAGTATCGTACATCGGTCGATTTGTTGCGTTATATTTTGTCCCAGGATTTGGTGAGCCCTTATGCCTTCGAATTAAATATATCTTAAGCTGCAACCGTCGTCTCTTGGATTGGAACGCGCGTGATGCCCGTCTTGGGCACAACTTCCTACGGCTTTATCGGGGCTTGCCTTGGTTGTGGAGCCCTTTCCGGTGAACTGTCTCATGTTGGGCCCCTCATGTGGGTGGGAGCGTACTTTTTTTCCTGGATCGGTGAGTTCAGAATTTTAGTCAGCCTGCGGGCATTGACTAGTTAAGGTTCCGATTGCGGCACAATCGTCGTTGTCGGGGTTTTTTGTTTGCTAATAAAATAGACTTTCGGCACTGAATCAGCCAGTTGAGATTAATTTGCACGTGATTTGGGAGATCGTCATGGACCCTCCTTTTCTATTGTACCCCAAATAATTATTCTCAGGTGCGATCGTCGGCTCGTGGATCGGCGGGTGCCTCTTTCCGGGCATTGGCACGTTATTCTGCGGCGTGACGGGATCATTGATGGGTGGCTGTCTATTGATTGAATAATCATATGAATTGTTCCATGCATTCAGTTTGTTATGTTGTTGAAAATTTGCCTAATAAATATCTTGTTCATACGTCTTTATGTGTGTTTTGCCTGATGTGGGGCTCCATATCTTGACGTGGTCCCGGCGTGTACGCTACTCTTCCGAAGCAAAATTTCATCATGCTGACCCTTTAGAATACTGGAAAGAAGCGCGTCTGGTTGATTCATTGGGGTTGGGGGCAGTCGTTGTGCGGGTTAGTATGCATCGTCTGCTCCCTCCACATCCCGTCGCTCCTTCGGCTCCACCCCTTCGCCCCTCTTCGGCTGTCAGTTGTGGGGCAAAAAGCCCGGCCTCCATCCCACTTTTCCAGGCGGAGACCCACATTTCTTGGCTCGGCACCCGCTCGATTGCCCTCTGACACTCGCATGCACATCCCCGTAACCTGATCGATCAGTTCAGGACACCGGGTGCAGTCATCCGGAAATGCCGAAAATGTCGATTTTTGCAGAAAGTTTCGCAGGTTGCCGGCCTAAATTTTCCGGGGGATTTTGATTTTTGCTGGAAACATGGGCAGTTTTTGGCCTGAATGTCGACTTTTTCAAAAACCTTGAAATTTTTTAGCTAATTTTTCTAGTTTTATTTTACTAAAAATACCGATAAATTTCTTCTTTTTGATTTGCTAGTCATCTCTACCCTTGCCTCAAAAAGTTAGCCCCCCCCCCCCGATAATGCGAAAGAACCCTTCTTTCAATGACCTTGTTCGCGTCTAGCATTTTTCAATGCGATTCCATGCGATTTTCCAGAGCCATGGCGGCCTCAGAAGAGGAGAAGGGCGCCCTCGTCGAGACCGGGCAGGCCAAGTTCGAGAAGGTTTGTCACTGGATCCGGGCTGGATTTCGGCTTTAGGAAACCGACACCGTCGTCGTTGGCGGCTCCAAGATTGTTGGGCTGACGAAGGAGCAGCTCGAGCAGTACAAGAATGACCCCTTCTGGAAGCCGTTCCGGTAATAGTTTTTAGGTCAAATTCGTACTTTATGATTTAGCTACATCCTCTTCGGGCTGTTCTGGCTGGCCTGGTTGGCCATGTTTATTGGTAAGTTGGAAATTTTAATAAATTTATTGAAACCTAACAATGTTCGTTAAAATTTTCATTAAATTAGCCTGAAACTAATTTATTCTTCGCTGTAAATTTTATTAAATTTTGTGAAATTAATTCTTAGTAGAAACTTTTATTAGTTTAATTTTAAAATGAGGTTTCTTTTAAAAACCGTTTTTAGGCGCCATCCTCATCGTTCTGCTGTCCCCGAAATGCGCGGCGAAGCAGGAGCCCGATTGGTGGCAGACCAAGGTTTCCTACCAGGTGAGTATATTTTTTGGCTCATCGTCTCAAAAACAGTAACCGAGCCATTTGTGGCCAGACTTTTGACGAGATTCCAATCATCACCCCCCTACCCGAATAGGATCGTACAGCAGCTGTCGCTTTTTTGACACTTTCACGACCCGCGCCCTTTGTTGTGTCTGAGCAATATGGGGGGATGTGCAACGCCTCGGGCGGGCTGTCGAGATGGCGCGATAAGATAGGGGGCACGGCTGACCCAGAATCGCACCTTTCAGGCCATCCCAGGGCAATAATTCATTAGCCAAATATTTGGGGTGATGAGGCGGAAAAGCGTGTTTTGTGAGATAATCCCGTTTATCTGGAGAGGTGTGCGTCAAGAAGAAACTTTAGGCATTATTTAAAGCGCATGTTTCCTATTTTTAAAAAGACGAAATTGAGCTATTTTACTGCTAAAAGTGTCAGTTTTATCAAAATTCGCGACTTACGCTCGGAAAAATACCAAGTTTCCGATACTTCTAATTTTGTTTTCATCTTTTGTTCTATTAGATACAGCTAAAAATACTTGAAAACGTCACTGAAAGCTTAAAAACCGTTTCATTACCAGGCATAGCTAGCCTTAAAAGAAAACGTTTCGATACTCCCCCCCGAAAATGGCAAAGTACCCAAGCCTTATTAAATCCCAATCCAGGAACGAAATTAGTCATATCCGTCACCCAGGCAATAGCCTTATGCACCCGTGGAGTGTAAGGGCCCAACAAGTTGTCACTCATCACCCCCTCACCCATCCGAGACCCACTTGGCAACTCGGCTTAATTCCCGGACATGTGCTTATGGCATTGCCCCCTGCGAGGGGTCCAGCTGACCGGGGCTGTAATTAACGTTCACGCCTCGCCGCCAGATTAGGGACCACTAGTAGAAGCCGGGGCCGGCTTTTAGTGGACTGTACCCCCCAAGGGGATCTGCCTAATGGACATCGAGGCTCTTATTAGGGACCCGTGCCAGCCGACGGGGTACTGGATATCAGAATAATTTGGGTCGCGGGTGGAAGGTTTAGCGTTAAAGGGAAAATGCTTTCCAAAATGAATAAGATCAAAGTAAGAAAAACGCATTAATGCCGAATTAACTAAAATAAATCGATTTTCTAAATGCCGAATGATTAGAAAACGACTTTTCAAAATGCCGTAATAGTAAAAAACCGTAATATATTAGTACGATCTTTCGGCGTTATGAAACTGTTGAAATTCGTCTGCATTGCAAACTACCTTTTTTCATTGCTTTTCGCCTCTAATTATAGCATCACGACGCTTTTCCAAACGCTACTCACCCGATATCCCCCAATCGATGCGCATCGAAGCGCAATATTTACGGCTTTAGCCCGAGCGATGCCACTGTGGCTGGAGGTCCTCGCTGTGGGCCTTATTTGTCGAATACTTATAGCGCGGTGGGTGTTTGGCCGAGGCCAAGCCCGGGGGTGTGAGTGCGGGTAAATATGATAGAAGGGGACGGTCAACGGAAATCGTCACAGCTGCGCCCACAATACGGGTCGGGGAATCGGATACCGGGTACGCTAATGGGCCGGGAATCAAGGCGAATTTTAGTTTGGGGTAAAGCTAAATTGGAAAAATCATGCGTTAAAAATTGTTAATTGAAGCCGATATTATTATTCCATTTAGTTGCTCACCCCAACTTTCTACGACTCGAACGGCGATGGCGTCGGCGACTTCCTGGGCATCAAGGAGAAGCTGGACAACCTGCGCAAGCTCGGCGTCACCACGATCTACCCGACGCCGGTGATCACGACGGACAAGGTTTGTATAAAACAATTTTTTTCCTATTGTTAGTAAAATCTGCCTGGTTTTCAAGCGGAAAGCTAACTAGGAAACTGAAAAAAGTGTGAAACTTTGAAATTTTGTGCGAAATTTGACCATTTTCGGCCGAACAAGCAAGATTTTTGCAAGTTTTAAATTTAAAGAGATTAGATCCTAAAGAAAAAATTAAATCTGCTCGAAGAAAATAAAAAAAAAACCGTTTTATAAACATGTTTTCTTACAGGATGAGCTCTACAGCGAATACGACGTTATCGACCACATGAAGGTAGACCCCCGATTTGGCTCTGAAGAAGACTTCCAAGCCCTGAGCAACGCCGTGCACGATCGAGGTGGGATAATATTTTTACACCTTTCTTTTTTCTATACTTGAAATTCTTCGAAAATTATGAATTTTTTAGATATGTACCTCGTCATCGACCTACCAATCTCGTGCGTCTCCGTCAAGCACCCCTGGTTCAAGAACTCGTTGAAAAGCGACTTCTTCGTCTGGGCCAGCCCCAACGAGCCGAGCTTCAAGTCGCCCCGGTTCCTCGACAGCCCGTGGCACAAGCCGAAGAAGTAAGCTATTTTAGCTTTTTTGAAACTGTATTTCTCAGATATCTCACTTGCAACGTGGGCAACGCCAGGAACTCAAAGAATGCTGTGCTAAACTGGAAGAATCCAAAGGTAGCTTATAACCTTTGTCCAATCTATCAGCATATTTTAGGTACAAGCCTACTTCAAGGAGGTCATCGAAAAATATCTGAAAATGGGCGTCGATGGATTCCACATTGACCACGTCTCGCTGCTCGCCACGAAGCCCGACGGGTCTTCTGACGTAAGGAAAATTGCATTTAAAATTTAGACGCTTTTAGCATGACGCCGCGATTGAAATCTTGAAGAAACTGGGCGGCGATGTCGTGTCTTTTGCTGAACAAAGCGATGCCGTATCAAATAAGAAAATGTAAGTTTTAAAAAAAGCTATTAATAATGCTCATCTTCAGTGTTCTCTTCTCCTCACTGCGCGACGTTGAAGAGCTCCACGTCAAGGCCCAAGAATCCGGAGCCCTCCACCACGTCATCGACACCAGCTTCTCGGCCCTCAACTCGAGCTCGTGCTCAGATGGGGTGGCCCAATGCGTGCACAAAGCCCTTGATGATTCCTATGCCCGCCACTCCTCCGACAACTTCACCCCCTTCTGGCAGTTCTCCAACCCGCACTCTGCTCGACTGGCCTCCAGGTTTGACCAGGAGACGGCCAACCTCCTCACCTTCGCTCAGCTCACATTGCCGGGAGCAATTTCGGTGTATTATGGCCAGGTTGGTGAACTTGTCGAAGACTCTTGACATCAATTTTTATTCACTAAAAAACCCACGCCCCTTCCAGGAAATTGGCTTGGAAAATGTGGCCGGGGCGAGCAACGGCCAGCGTGGTGTCATGCAGTGGAAACCCAAGGGAGAGGACCATCACGGATTTGTTAATGGAGAAGCTATCAAGGACATATTCTACCCGGAACAAAAAACTGATAAGGAGGCCGACAACTTCGAGGTGGGTGATGTAGCTATGACAGCAAAGCGCCCCCATGAAAAGCGACATCCAAACAAAATTAATACCAAGCGAAAATTTAGGCGCAGTACAGCAACCCGAACTCGGCGCTGAAAGTTTTCCAAAAGCTCGCAAAGCTGCGCCAACGCGATGAAGCGCTGATCCTTGGAGTCACGGTATGTACAAACGCGACGCGACAAAACAAATGAAAAGAAAACTAGAGAAAGCTAGAGCTAGAGAAAAACTTTCAGGTTCGCCATGCCCTCATTGGAGACGTCATCAGCTATTCGCGTTATGTGCGTGGCGAAAATGGAACCGCCACTGGATCGGCTTACTTGGCCGTCCTCAACTTTGGTAATACCGAGGCTGAGGTCGACTGCACCAAGCTCGAGGCCGAGGGCATCATTCCCACCAATAAGAAGCTCGACGCGGCTGAGGTAAGCCCTAGAATCAAGAAAATAATCAAAAGCTTTAGGTTTCTGCCGTGAGTGCCGGCGTCACGGGCTACACACCTCGCCAGAAGCTGGACGCGAGCGCCGAGAAGCTCAAGCTGCCCGCCAAGCAAGCCATTCTGCTGAAACTTTGAGGAAGCTATGCAAAAAACGGCACATGTGGCTGGAATAAATTGTTGTTGGAATTTGATCGAAATACAATACATGGCTCAAAAATACCCGCCAGGAAAAGCTATAATTCAGCGTAAGAGCCACAGTTTCAGCGCTCAAATTTTCCCCAAACTGGCAGATTCTATAGAGTATAGGTCAAATCTAGTTTGCAAACCCCAAATCTTAAAGTCTATAGGTTTTGCAAATTAAATTTTTTATATTATCGAGAAATCCAGACGTGCATTTTCTGACTTTAGAGACCCTTTAGCCGTTTCCCTTCTCTTTTGGCCTCTTTCCCCTCAAAAGTTTGCTCAAAGGCCTCGTGTCGATAGGAGCTAAGTGTTGCTTCCCATCGCATTACGCTTTTTATATTTATAGTTTTACTTTTTACTTCTCCCCTTTCTAAATTCGTTCCAAATAAAACCAATATAAAACCCTCATTTCCAGATGTTACGAAGCAACTGCTCCGGGCTTCTCCAGCAGGCCCATCGTCTCGTCCGTACGGGCCCCGTCCACACCACGACGCCAATGCCCGACAAACTCTTCAAAAGCATCGAGCTCGAGCTGCGCGGCCACGACCCCGCCGTCATACGCTCCTACCTCACCTTCATGAAGAGCGTCTGCGGGCACCTGGAGATTACGCAAGGCCGAATGCAGGTGCTGCCGTACGTTCGATGGGTGCAATGGGCGCTGCGTTCCAAGTTCGTCGCCAAGAAGTACAAGCTGCACTACGAGACGCGCACCCACATCAGCAAGTTTGAAGTCAAGCATTTGACGGGCAACACGGCTTCCGCGTTCTTGGAATACGTGCAACGGAATATCCCGGAAGGAGTTGCGATGCGGGTCGGCTACGAAGAAATTCGACCTCTTCCCGGTACTATTCCTGTGGAGAAGAAAGCAGAATTTGTTGCGGGTTCGGCCAAGTGATCATCTTTATTTTATATTCAGAATATTCACGCTTTTATATTATCCAAAGTTTGCCATGTGTCCCGATTTTAGCTGGGAATCCCATTTCTTTCTAGATTCCCGCTGATTGATTCCCCTCGTGCTACTGAAACAGCAACTAGTTTTCCCCTACTCTCGAGCTTTCAGACCTTATGGTAGTCGTTGGTTTTGGAGAAGCTATCATCGTTCTGTTGATTTTTTTTTGCTTTTTACAGAGATATTCGATATGTCCGTTTCAATAAACTATTTCAGGTAATGGACTGCTCTACAAGCTCATCCTCTACATTTCCAGCCGACGAGTGGAACGAGATCGTCGTCAAGTTAGTGGCAGTCACATTTCCTAGAGATTTTCTTTAGGGTCCTGAATGTTTGGAGCGGCTATCAGCTTGGAGTTCACATTGAAGCAGGCGGACCAGAAACTCGGACAAAACACGAGGTTTTTTATTAGTTTTCTTTTTACCTATCTTTTTACTTTTAGTGGTTCGCCAACGTGCTGGCTGAACACATTCGCGAGACCAAGGGCCTGAAAGCGGACAGCTTGGAGGAATGGATGGAGAGTATCCTGTACAGCGACTTTGATTTGGTTAGGGCCATTTAAACGTATTTTTTTCATTTACGTAATTTAGGTTTTGGAGGACGACAGCACCTATCCCACCGCGCGTCTTTTGCTAGAACTCTATGGGTAGTTTATTTTGTAGGATAACAACCGGATTTTAGTTACCTAAAGAACAACAATCGTGCTTCCCTCCAAAAGCTGTTGGCGACGCTCCCATCTGAAGAATCGATTCGGTCTGCGCAACAGGTTTGAGAATTTTTATTTTTGTAGTGATTCACGATTTCTTAGGCAGCGCGTGCTGAGGGTGGCGATGGAGAAAGCACTAGCGGGGATGATGACGATGATGAAGGGTATTTTTTCAATTACGTAACACTTATTCTGACATCAGATTACCCGAGGAGGACGAGGAAATGATGGATGATGGGCAAGCGGCACAAAATGGGCAGCAAGGTGCGTTTTTTCTTGGTTGTGGTTTTTACTTTTATCAAATGTAAACTTCCTGGATTAAAACCACTTTTTCTGAATTGCACTTACAGCACCAGACTTTCGTAATGACACTGGGTCGGAAAAAGTCGGTTCAACACCAATTTGTCCTTCATGGAGCCACGCAATTAGTATGCCTAGTCGACACAAAGAAGTGGGAATCCCCCCTGCTAGGTTCCATTGCTCGTCTGGGCTGTCCCGTGGGGACTTCTTGGCCGCCTATGCCTTCGTTGGGCCCTAATTGACTCTATCGCCTGGGGTAGCGCTGGCGTTTTTCATCTACTCTCGTGTTTATCGCAACCGCCCCTTTTTTAAAGCTAAGCTCGCCAAAAAAATATTGTCTGATCAAATTTTGACGTCAATCCTTTTCAGCTGCTCGCCCTCCCCGTGAACGACAGCCGAAAACCGTGACTGATGACGATGGGTGGACCACGATTGTGAAGCGCAACTAAGATCCACTTTTCTTGTCATTTTTGATCGCCTCGCCCCTATTTTGCCCCGCGCTCGTTTTCCGGTCTTCCTGGTGTATCCCCAAGACTTTGTTACTCTCTGGTCGGTGAGTCATACTTCTTTCCCGGAGCTGCATCATTTCTTCCTGCTCTCCTTCTTGTTTTTTGGTGTTAGGCCCACGTTGTTGAATTTCCTTTATCTTGGTTGTTGTACTGCGTTTGAAAGTTTAATAAAAACCTTATCGCAAACCCCGTTCGGTGATTCATGACTAGGCCACTGTTCCTGGAATACCTGTGCCTATTTAGTTCGCGGTTTTGTAAATTAGCACCTGCCGGAGTGATATGGTTGTGCGAGTCTGGGGAGAACTAATGGTTGCGAGTGGCAACCACATGCTGATAGAGAGGAGGGTTGGTTGGGCATAGGCCCCCTTTAATCCCCCGACATCACGCCCCGCAAAAAATAAAATTGATCCAAGGTGATATTTGGTGTCCTTTTGGTCAGTTTTCGGGTTCGGATGGTTGCCAATGATTCTTTATAACGCTTCGAACAAAATTAAGCCTGTCTTTTCCCTCAATGTCACATAATTTTTCGTAGATCCCTGTCCGCTCTTTAGTGCCCCCACAACGAACCAACTGCCGGAAACGCAAGGTGACTAATCCTAGGAACCCATCTCCTCGGCCTAGCCCCGGATTTTAAGACATGATGACTTTTCGGATTTTGGACTAACCCCCTGTCCCAGCCCCGTTATGAGCCCACAGCCCTTGCACGGGTCACCTAAAATGATGTACGATGCGCGTCAGCAATTCGCGACCAATATTCCACTGCCCGTTTCCCAGAACATGACCTATATTGATTGTTGCCCGAACCCGGATGAAATTTGGGCTCGACCTTGGTGGGTGACATTTTTCTGACTCCTTGCTCTCCGCTCGGGCGGCTGAGTGCGCTGGGCTCGGGCAGATGATTGATCATTGAAGCGGCGTATATTTTGATTAGCGCGTTTTACGGCACTTTCTATAAAGGAGGTTCTCCTTCGTGTTCTTGGCTTCCACCTTCTACTTTAACAAATATCAATAGGGACCAGATGCTGGCCTCCGGCTCGGGCGTGAATTGCCCAGAAGATTTGCGCACGGCCATATCACAGGCGGTGAAAGATGCACAGCAGTTATGGGAAGAGAACCGCGATTTACAGGTGAGAGACAAAAGATGTAAAATATGCTGCTGAAGCTTCATCTAAACTCCGAGCTGATATCAAGCCACAACGTTTAGGGTCGTTTCGTGAATGACATTGGTGAACTCCAGCGAATCCAGATGGCCATTCGACAGCTCGAAAATGACCCCAACAATTCACAGCTCGCGCAGGTTAGTGGCTATAAAATGACGATGACAACTGAATGGCTAGGCGCGACAGTCCCTGACGGATATGCAGCGCCGTGCCTCGCAGGTCTACGAGATGCTGGCGAACAAGCGGGGCGAGCTGACGAATCGCCTGAATAATGGCATGAGCTGCGTTGCCATGCTACAGGCGAGGAGAAGCAGCAAAAACGAAAATAAACGAAAAAATTTTAGAACTATCTAATCAGTGAGCGGCTGTTCAGCTGGAAGAATCAGCAGAAATTGGCGCAAGTCGGGTTCCCGTTTGAGAATCGGGACACCTGTCTGGATGAGATTCAAAAAGAGTAAGTGTCTTCCACATTTTAGGAATATAATCTTTTAGATTCGAATTTCTGGCCGAGCAGACGTGGCAACTCCGGACATTTGCCTGCTATCAGCTGGACTTCGTCAAGAGGTGGGTCCAATAGAAACGATATCAAGAGCTACGTAGAGCGCCTAGCTTAAACGACAACAACTCGGTGCTGTGCGGCCAGAACTTGTCAGCGATCACGGATCAACTGTCCAAGCTGTTATGCATGCTCGTCTCTCAGTCGTTTGTCGTCACCGTTCAACCGGATCCGGTGCTCAAGACGCAACATAAATTTGTTACGGAGGTTGGTGTCAAGTTTAGCTCTTTTTATTACTACTCTAAGCTTTATAATTTTATTTAAGACTATTGTTGAATATTATTAACAACTCTAGGTTCGTCTTCTCATCGGCGATTCTTTGGGAATTCGCCAAAACCTCGTCAACACAAACGTGACAGTGAAAATCATCGCCGAAGAGGATGCGAAGCTCCTCTCAAATGCTCAACTCTCTGAGAAGGATATGTGAGTTCACAAAATAGATCAAAACCGCAACTTTGCAGAAAAACCGTCGGCTCAATCTCGAACGATTTCGAAAAGATGATGATGGACGAGAAGGGGCACATGGCGGCTAAATTTAACAATTCAGTTAGTTGGAAAAAAAAAGTTGATGGTTTAATTACAGAAATTAACCCGAATCGCCCACCGGAAACAGCCACCCCGCAGCGCCGCCGACCAGCGCAACAATCCCGTCTGCGCGGCCACCGATCAAAAATACGCGCTGCTGTTTCATATCAGCCCCTTTCAGTTGGGCAATTTGGGCAAGGTGGGTTGAAGAAATTTTTAAAAATGAAGAAAAATCTGTAGTTTGATGTCTGGACGATGTCGCTTCCGCTGATGGTCACCGTGCACGGATCCCAGGATTGTGATGCTCAGGGTGCCATCCTGTGGCAGCGCGCCTTCAATTCTGTGGTATAGTTGATACCCTGACTTGATATATGTTTTCAGAATCGCGCTCAAGGCGCCTGCGACATCCAGCATGTTGCGTGGCAAGATTTGGCGGAGGTGCTGAAGCACAAGTTCGTCTTGTTCACAGGTGTGTATCGAAATGTTTCTTTTTCTAGATTGTGGAATGCTTTTTATTGCTTTACCTTTTTTACTAGAATCTTTTTATTACCTGTTAACGCTCTATTATTTCAGGATCCCGGCGTACGCTCTCCGATTCCGACCTGAACTATCTGTACGAAAAGTTCTACGTGCCAAATTCGCAGGACAATAAGCCGCTAACGTTTGGGCGATTTGCAAAGGTAATTTTGAGAATAATCGTAGCGGTTTATCGCCCCAAATACGATAAAAAAAATTTGATTTAGGAGCGGCTACGCGACGACGTGAACTTCTCGTTCTGGGAGTGGCTGTTCTCCATCATGCAGTTGATCAAGCAGAAGCTGCTCAAGTTCTGGGACGAGGGCTGGTGCATCGGGTTCATCTCGAAGCAGGACGCTTCGGAAGCCATGCACTCCTCGCCGGAGCCGACGTTTTTGCTGAGGTAGGCCGGGGAATTTTAGTTGGTTTTTTTATTATTTTATTGTCAAGTTAATTTATAGTTTCTCTGAACTATTCCATCTAACGGATCCATTTTAGATTCTCCGATACTCAAACGGGTGCTGTGAGCATCGGGTTTGTTTGTGAGGGCGTGCCGTTCCACCTGGCGCCCTTTTCCATCAAGGATCTCGAGCAGCTGTCGCTCGCGCAGCGTATCGTATCGTGTCCTCAACTCAAAGATATTCGGTGGGTCAGAGTGCAATGGTGTCGTCAATGGTGTGCAACCGTAAAAAACAACGCTAAAATAAAAATAAAAACGAGCCGTTGATCGTACCTTACCGCCATCTTGCTTACCAAAAACCTCCCAGATGCATGTACGGCAAAAACGGAAATGCCGACAAAGAAGAAATTCTGAAGTACTTCGAGACGGAGGAGCGCAACAAACAGGGCAGCGACAGCCCCACCGGCTACATCCTCAGCGAGATCATCATGGTCGCCAAACCGGCATCTGGGTATTCCCATACTTTTCTGACCTCTTTACACTATCCCGTCTATAGTCGCTTCTCGTCCTCTTTTGGCAACGACTCCCCGTCGCCCCTGTCGACAAACTCCCGCCTCGACTGGTCTCCAGGCGAGGTGATCCAGCCGATGAATTCTATGGATATGTGGGTCGTGTTTCGTTGTTTTCGCTTGGAGTGCAGCGCTTGTTGACGATTTCTATTTGACACTTTTCAGCGGCGACTACCCAATGGGCGGTTTTGACGGGAATGTGGAGGCGCTGCTCGGAGGCGGCTTCACGGCGCGGCTACCTGATCAGCCGCTGCAGCCCGTCGACTTCTCGCTGTTCGACAACTTCCAGCATCAGCAGAATTTTACGAATCAACAGCCATACCATTACAATGATCAGCACCACCCACAGCAACAGCAGCCCTATCAGTGAGTTGGGGGAGCTGCTGATTTTTAAGGTAATTCTTGGGGCTCTGGTTCATTAGCGGGGGGTGGGGGATTCGCTTTCTTTTTTTAAACTGACCTCTATTGTCATAAAATATACTATTTATAAGGTCTTTATAAGTTTCCGATTTTTAAAAAGTGAGAAAAGTTTCAAAAATTAAAAATTATGGAAATCTTTTATACCTTTTCGAAAATTTTAATGGTTTTTAGAAACTTTTTTTTTTGCATCTATAGTGTCTACGGGAAATGGTTACATTTAGTTCTCTCCGTTAAAGCCCCCCCCCGCTAATGAAGCAGAACCTTTCTGGATTGTCGATATTTTTGCACCTTACTATACCAAAATAACAATATGCATTTCTTACAGTCGTGTATTTGAGACCGATTCAGATTCTATTGTTCTTATCCCGCATTCTTTATCTAGTTTGTTTATTCCCCTTTTTTCTGTTTACGGAGAACCCTTACCATCCATATTCTTATTCCATATCAACGAAAAACTACAGAAACTTCTAAGTTTTATTAGCAATTTTTTACATCTTTCGTGCCCAAATTGTGATTTCGCCTCGGATACCCAGCCGGGGGTCCCGCGCCATTTCCCTCGCTGCACCCGCAGAATTGGATCTCTAGTCCACATTGCCCAGCCCAAAAATATACCCTAGAGAGTGCTATTCTTCGCCCCTCATATCGCCATAAACAAAACGAATTTTACATATTCTTTTATTTTCATCTTTTTCTCTGTGTTGTCACGATTAATAAAGCAGATTTTGATTTTATCAGCCTGTTTAAGCACATTTAAAAAATGTAAAACAACAGTTAGCGAATTTATTTTGACTTGAAACATCAAAGCAAAACGCAATCAAAATATTATGTGAAGCAAAATAAAAGGCACTTCTTGAGCAACTATAAATATACGCGATTTTCACGATCTCTAGCTGAACTCTTCAAAAAAAAAAAAAACCAGAAAAAATTCCTGAGTTAGGGCCGGTATGTCATAACGGAGTGTGGAGTCGAGTGCAGAAGAATGGGTTGACGAGATGCGGTAGATGAGCGTGATCTTCGGGGTATTTAGTGGCGGAAGCGGAAACGTCTCCGCCTCCTCCGATCCGGGCACAGCCCCGACTGCACGTGGATATTGTCAAGGGCCACCGTCTTCGACACGGGCGAAGCGTTGTTGAACAGTAGGAAAATCTATATGCTATTCCATAGTTTCAAAAAATCTAAAATCTTTAGGCCCCATATTAATTTTTAAAGATCCATATTTTAGGCTTTAAATTTAAATTTAAATACGTTTTCAAACGGAAAACTGTTAAATCTTCAATATAAACCACTTTAGATCATAGAAATAGCTTTTTCAACCTCAAAATACTCCAACCTTATCTGACCTAGTCACTCAAAAGGTTTTTCTACTTCGATATTGTCGTTTTTACAACGTACCTTGTCGGTCCTGGTGACTTTAATACGAGCCGTCACCCGATTCCACGCCCTCCCCGCCACCATCTGGTTCTGGCACCGTGACAGCGAATCCACGCAGATGCGTACCTGATAAAAAATTTTTCGGTTATGCATTAATATTAATCAATATACTGTATAATTTTCAAAGTTCGATTTTTTAGATCATACTCCTGACCCTACCTGCAATTCGTGTGATGGGAAAACGTCTACAGACAATGTTATCGGCCCATCGGTCCATCCCTTTTTCACCAGCCCAGAATAGGACCGCGGCTGCATCCGCGTCAATGCGTAGCGGTTTTCTGAAATTCGTCGGAAATTAAGAGTACGTTAAGCTTCTAATAACACTGCCAGATCCTGATTTTTTAACATGTTTTACTCAAATCCAAACCCACCGTCGTCCTGCTTGCTGGCGATGCTGATGTTGTTGAACTCGGTGCTGCTGGCATGCAGATCGGCCCAACCGCAAGGCTACAAATTTTCTGTATCTCAAGCCAAAGTTGAGGCCCAACCTTTCCACGCTCAAAATCGCACGAGCTGTGGCTGCACACGATGCAACGGCAGTAGGGGCGCGAGCCGCCGGTGCAAGAGCCAGTGCTGTAAAAAAGAAGTAGAGATTAGGATCTAAACTGTATGCTTTAAATGATATAGAAAGAGAGAGAGAGAGAGAGAGAGAGAGAGAGAGAGAGAGAGCAATACAGACGTAAATAGGAGTGAACGTAGTAAACTAAAGCCGCTACCCGAATCCGAAGTTCAATTTAATATTTCTTAACCTACCCATTCGCCGAATGTACATCACAATACTGCTGACAGCCGGTGGTCCCTTCTTGCACGCAAACCTCCTCGGCGGTGAGTAGCCGTGGGGGGAGTCGTGGAGACGGCTCGTCACTTACCTGGTTTGTCTGAAAATATTTTTCCAAATTGCTGTTTTTAAAACCTAGTAAATAGCCTTTCAAGACCTACTTCCAGGTCTTGCTCCAAAAACCGTTCATTCGGCATCCCGTTGCCCTCGACCAAATTCTCAGCGGCCTCAAGGTGGGCCGTGGGTGCGCGATGGGGCTAAAACTGGACGGTTTTAGCCTAAAAATGCAATTTTCACCTGGCACACACAGCGTTTTGTAAACGGATAGTCGCGTTGGCGAATGCATCGTGCTGAGGAGCTGAATTTTTGGCACGTATAGAAATTTTTGTACACTCACCTATCCTGCCCATCCTTTCGGCACTTTGCCTGGCACTTGTACTGCGCGGCTCTGCCCAAGCAGGTCGGATCAAGCAGCGCAGAGCTGGCGGTCGAGCAGTTGCCTGAAAGCAAGAAAAATTACCACTAAGCTCGCTAAAAAAGATACGTTACCTCCAACACACAGCCGCGACTCTCCCCAACGATTGTACGAGGTGCTGCCAGAGATCATCGGACCTGAAATTTTGGTGTTTTTCGGTCCAAAAAAGCTTTCGCAAGTTTTTCCGGAACTTACCCGGACGATCGAATCCATCTGGATTGCTCTGTTCTCTCTGTTCTCTCGATGGAACGGCAGCGCGCGGGATGCTGATTTCGGTACGGCTGAGCTTCTAAATTTAACCCCTTGTTTTTGAGATCACAGATTCACAAACAAAATTAGCAACTCCAAAATTGTGCACCAACCGGCGGATCGCAAGCCTGGTACTCCAGCCGGATGTCATCCACAAACACCACGTCCGTAGCCGTCATATTCGAGAAGCGGAGTTGCACCTGGGGACCAGTAATTGATGCAAAAACCCAAGGACACCTACCGCAAATTTATCGGTTTGTGGCAGCACCTCGCTCACCGGCTTTCCGTTGCTGACGAGAATCGGCGCGCAAAGCATCGAATCGTTGTCTCTAAATTTGCAAATTGGCGAATACGATTGCGGGCCCACCTAAAGCACAGTTCCGCCGTAATCCAAGGGGCTCTCCAGACGCGCAGCCCCATTTTCACCTCGCCCTTTGAGCACAGATTGGAGCACGTCTCCAGGCTGAGCTTTCCGGGGCCCTGTAGGGGTTGCGTGGCCACGAGGTATTGACCACCTGAATTTACAAAATGACGTTGCGAATGTAAGCAGTGACGTCTCGTATCTTTATACTCACCTGGGGCCTCTCCGGGCGCAAACGGAAGTTGGCCCTTCGGCGTGGCGGCGTACCAGACACCGGCCGGGCGTGCCCAGCCACAATCCGAGGGCGTGAACGAGTCGATGCAAGTGGTTGGTCGTCCGGGTTGACAGTTCACCTACATAGATTAGGATAAAAACTCGTCGTCGGCCGCAGATATCATTCGTAAAAAGGCAGATATTTCTCACCCTTTCTGGCAAAATCCTGATCATCGAATGCTCCTGGATTGCCTGAATCGAGAATGCTCGCCGCGTCGGATCAATTCCTAAAACCGCAATTTCAAATCCTGATCACGTCCGCAAACCTGCCAAATTTGGATCACAAAACGACGCTGGCAGCTCGCAGCGACAAATGAACGAGCGGATCCCGAAGAATGAAAGCAGGGTCCCTAATAACACAAACTTACAAAATGCGCGTTGCTAACCGTGGTTCCGTAGGAAGCATCCGGAGCCGATACGCATCGGGTGATCTCTCAAACATTTCGCCTCGCAGTCGGCATCAAAACCCTCGTGCTGGGGGCAGACATCTTCGCGGACTTCTAAATTTGTTCTTTAGACTCTTTCTCTTTAAACCTCTCTGCGAAATTATCGAATGACAGTTAGTTAGAGCTGAATTCAATCAAGCTCCTAACTGCCTGATTCAAGTTCCATTTCCCCCAAGGTTGCGCCGCCAATCGAAAGCGACGGCATCGAGATTTGCTTCTTCAGAGCGGGATGTTCCCGAAATACCAGTTTCAGCGATGAAAGGCACAGCCATCCCCCTGGCAGATTTCTATCTAGCTCTTGACCATGAGCAAATCTCAAGCTGCCTTTTGCCCTCAACGAGAAGTTACTGGGAGTGAAGATATTTCTAGAAAACGGGATCCGACCAATCAAAATGACTGGATTTCCGAGGCACCTGCGCGCACTGTTTAGGGTCACTAATTGCCGGTGGGAACTCGATTTTTGGGAAAACCCCGGAGAGCTAGCAAAAAGAAGGAAAGACTAAATAATTTTGAAAATTAGAATAGCCGGTTTTCTCCCGTCCGAGAGCTTTTTTATAAAGGACCCTGAACATCGTCTTATAAGCAAGCATCTTACGAGCCGCTAAAAGTGCTGTTTTTTTCCTAATTAGGCCCGAGCAGACCGGCCAATTTTCGCTGGCGAGAATCTCGAAAAAAAAGTTCCACCGAATTTAATTTCCCCCCAAATTGCTTGTCTAGCCTGCCCTCCCACCGATCGGGATGCCCGTTATACAACGAAAAACTAGTTCTCCCCCGCTAGCCGGCCATATCCACCGCTTGTTTGCATATCGAGCCCCGAGGGCACTGTCGAGCTCCCCGCGCCCCCGGGGAGGTAGAGGGGATTTCGGGAAACTTGTTTTCCTCCCTCTTTCCTCCCACTGTGGCTTAACCCTCCCCAACACAGGCCCCCGTTCACAGAAATCCCCCGCTCCGTCCGGCCGGGCCGAACGGAATGAGGCTCGAGATACGGGTCACCGGATAGAAAACGGCCCAACGCGCACCGGTGGGCAAAAAGTACACGAGGCGTCTTTTCAGTTTTCCCCCGCGCCCTCCCACCCACCCCTGTGAAATTTTTGGAAACAAGATGCCCAGTGAAAGGGGGAAGAACACACACATACCCACACACCCACTCTCATAAGCCGCTCGCCACCTAACCGCCCCCCAGCCGCAATGGGTTAGATCCACCCGCCAGATTGGGCTTTTTTACGAAGCGAGACCGTACAAGCCGGTGGATCGAATTTCTGGCGCCTTTCACCTCCTTCTTTTTCTAACCTTTTTCAGGGGGTAAGTGGGGGGATTAACGGGATTCCGCATCAGCTGTTTGGGAGGGTCCGAAACAGCCGGCAAAGACCGTCCAGGTACGGTGATAAGATTAGCAAAAAAGAGAAAATCGTCTCAGGCACAACTCGCGATAGTGCAAAGATTCTTAAATTTGGGACCAACCGTGGATGCACTGGGCCGGTCTTGGCTGAATCTGCTGCTGTAGTTGGGCAAGGGTGGCGCGAAAAAATATAAAGCAAAAAATTCCGCACGCGACCCACGTCATCGGACCCTAGGCGGACCGGCGCAAATTCCTGGAAATTTGCAGGGTATTGGGGAAATCGAATAAATAGAATTGAGGCAGAGAGATCCAAGATAAAATTACTGAATTTCGGAGTTTTAAAGGGACCTGTACGACCTGTCTGTGGATTTTGTTGGCTGTGAAATGTGAATTTCGAAATGCCACTGAATTTTGTGGCCGCGACACGCCACGCTTGGCTCGAATTACGCATCGCAAAGGAGAGCGTGGGCGTTGCGCGTCACGATCGGGCAAAATTCATAGAATCGTGCCTTGTCACTTCCCTAAAATCGTACCTTCAGGGAGTTGGGCCTATACGTCTATTTATGCAGGCGCCATGAGCAAAAAAAAAGCTGCAGTTTTTCAAGGGTGTATACGTCGAATTGTCTGAGCCTGTGGCAATACAGGCATCCATAAAGCCAAATAAAGACACTACTAGTTAGACTACGAGCTAGCCGAGACTACGACTACTGGATTACTAGTTACGATCAATCGATATCAACAGTCAGACACACAAAAAAACTACGTGAAAACGGTGGTAAAGCGATGGGTGTGACGGCGGGTGGGCCAGCGAAGCGCCCTCCGAGGGCGGCAACCACCACCAGCGGCGGGTCGGCCCGATTTCCAGGGGGGATTATTCGTCGGACGGCTTTGTGGGAGGAGGAACATCCAGCCCTTTCCCTTCCCTCAATCCCCCTTCGAGCCATACGGTCAATGTCTGAACCCCCAATCCTTTCAAAAGGATGTCAGAAACAAAATATCAGTGGACTAGTAGAATAAAGAAAAATAAGGATAACATATTGCCTTAGTAGGCGGATATTTTGAGATTTGCAGGTCTTGCTAAAAGACTCAAATCTGCGCAATGCGATTAGGTTAGACCCGCCCCGCTCCTTCTGGGTGATTTGCCTAAAACGACATTTTTATGTGGGTGGAACTTTTCCCCCGATGGCAACAGCCTGCAGGGTAGCCAGGGGCTGGTTGACGCTTTATGCCCACCCATTGCCACCAGCAAATGACCGTATGCAGCCGCACCACTCGCATTTTTTACGGGGAAAACGGGATCGGGATTATTGGGGACCGCGATCACGAAGATGAACTGTAAAAAAGCTCTTGCAGGGGCGGCAAATGAGGAATATCTCGATTTCTAACACTTCAAAAAGAATCTATATGATGGAAAAACATAAAACCAAGCAAGGCCTAATTCAAAAATTCTTTCCGAGAAAACGCGTTCCTTTCCATTATATGAACGGCCAATCGCATATTGTATCGGGGCGGAACTACGAAATGCACCTGTGTACGCCGGATACCGTAGGCGCTGCGGTTCTGGGACGATTTGCGCTTTTCAATCAAGCAATTCTCGAAATCCACAACAAAAAATTGAACGCACTCGGTTTTTTTTTAAAATTCCCTTTCAAATATTTTTTCCCTTCCATCGAATTTTGCTTTCCTGACATTTCCAGTTTTTTTTTTTGCGACGTACTGTTCAGTCGGATTTCAGGTATGTCGCTCCCGCGCCTCGCCTATTTTAGCCGTTCCATGGCACTGACCGCGCAAAGGAACAGCTCTGGGCCGTTCTATGCGTCGAACAACGTCGAAGGTTTCCGACAGTCGTTTGGCCATCAGCTCAAGACCGCCGATGGTAACGCTTTCTTCCAATCCTCGATTTCTTCCCAGGTACTTGGCAGACATGGCGCAAGATCTTCTACGTAGCAGCCGTACCCTGCATGCTCATGACCATGTAAACCCAGTATTCACGCCGTATTTACCGCCTTTAGGTATGCTGCCATGGTCGATCACAAGAAGCACCATGACAAGCCGCGCGGCGAATACAAGGAATACGCCTATCTCAACGTCCGCAACAGGCCCTTCCCTTGGGGCGATGGCAACCACTCCCTCTTCCACAACCCGTCGGAGCAATGGGTTCCCGGCAAGGGCTACGAGAAGGATCGCCATCACTAGAAATCATTTTGTTTATCTCTGAAACGACTAGTATAATCGCTGCTGCCATGATCAGAACTTTAAACCAGATACGATATCGGTGTGTAAATAAATATTGGAAATATGCCTTGAACGAAAGATGATATGTTGATGCTGGCGAACTCTATACTTGCTGTTGTTTTCCTATCGGAATTCGACTCGAATTGGTTTTTAGATTTGAGACATCCATAGTATATGCCTGACCTGAACGGATGGAAAAATACCTCAACAGTGAGCCACCAGCCCTGACCACTTACAAAAAAATCGCGCCCTGCACTTCCCTGTAATTTTTTATTTTTGATATTAGGATCGGTGTTTTTTAAGCCATTCCCTACGGCTTAATTTAATTTTTGTTTCGGGGCCATGATTAATGTGCATTTTACAGGGGTCCGCAACAAGTTATGGTACCAGCTCCACGTACGAAAACATCGGGACCCCTGATAGCGAAGAAAATTGGCGGACGACTCTGGGCCAATCAGGCAACAACCATGGAAGCTGGAGACACGGTCTATGTACGCGCAAACTGTCTGCGGTCGGCTTAGCTTGATTATAATAAACGTTAATTTAGAGAGCAATCGGTCTTCCCCAGCACGACTATGCCTAAGACCGAGGTGCAAATCGATTGGGAGACGGCACCGGCCCATGAGGGACACGCGTTGGATGCAGCACCGGCTTTTCCTTCAGATGGTCGACAACAGTGTACATATAGTGGTTTCGGCCAGACTTTTACACCAAGGTTTTATCTTTGCATATGCGGGAAATCCTTTTAGGATTGACGTTGAAGTGAGCGAAAATAATCAATCGAGATCGGGCGTGTCTTTTTGTACGGACGATAACGTGAACTTCCCACTTCAGAATCGAAGCAGTCAACGAAGAATAGTGGCTGTCGTCGAGCCCGATAGTGATTTGGAGTGAGTTTGTTTCTATGACAGAAGTTGTATGTATATTTCGTGCCCTAATAACGTTCAAATTTAGCGAGCAGGCCGCGAAGTACTGGATTGAGCCTAAGGAACGCAACGGAGCGGACGCCGTTTCTACGCACGCATTCCAAGAGCAGCAACATTTGCAAATCTCACCAACGGCGCCGGCTGTTCCTCCGGAGAATAGGTTTCAACAGTCGTTCAACGTCTTTGCGGCGGAACCTCAGCAGAGGTCAGTATCCTTGGCAAATGTTACGTGATCTAGTGTGGATGCAAGGTCTTCTGCTCGTGGCGGCCAGCCGTCGTCGCAAGTTCCCTTTTCGGGAGGCGAGAACCCACCAACAGCTACTCCAAACTGGTTACAATGCGTTGAGCAGGAAACTCGGTGGGAAGATTCTGCGGTTCAGAAGGATTTTTTAGGGCGGGTGTGGCTGAAGGAGTGCAAGCTCAAATTCCAATGTTGCCAAACAGACCTTCCCTACACGCTGAAATAGCGATTGGCGTTGACATGAGTGCAACGTCCTTCGTGTAAGTTTCGTGATAAAATTTATATTTTTTTCATAGATCTGAAATACAACCGCTAGCTGAGGCGCGACAAAACGCCGGAGAAAACACCTTTGGCGAGTCTACACTTGACGACCACGTCAACATTCACGAAGTGTAGGATCCTTTTGACATGGTTTTAATTGTTTTGCTTTCAGTTCGTTGCAACCAACATCGCCTATGCGACCTTGCACAACATCAACTCCGGATGGACAAGATCTCGAGGCTGCGCTGAGTTCGCCGTTGGAGCCGTAATTTTCGTATTTCTTGCCCAACGCTGCGCAGGAACATCAGGCCGGAAGTGAAGTCTTGGATGCAGTTCGTGCCGCCGAAGCTAAGGCCCGAGGATCGCGTCTTTTTGTCGGCTGAGGAGTATGGAGCGGTGCCTGAAGAGATACTCGCCGGTCACCTGACTAATTATAAAAGGTGAGTTCTGATAATGTTTTATCGTATTCGATTGCTTCAGAAAATCGCCGGAGTTCGAGAACCAGAACGTCCCTTCGGTTGAGCTTTCTTCGAAGAACCTTACAACCCTCGATGACGTCCTAAATGCTGCGGTACGAAACTCTGGTGACGGCGCAAGACTGTAGGCCATAGCTTCCATCTTTTAATTTGTTCAGTCACTCCTTCGCCGACTGCGGTAACATGGGCAAAGCATTTTGGAACCATCTTCGCCAATATTCCCATGACCCATCACCAACTGATGTTCAAAAGTTGTCTTATCCGGTTCTAAAAGGTCCGTTATTTAGGCGCATATTATGTTTTTTTTAGAGAAGCGAAGCGCCTGCATTTGTGCTCCGATTTGTAGTGGGAAGACTGTCGGCGTGTTGCTCCCGATCCTGGAGGCAATAGCTAATCACGTGCCAAACCCGATGGTATTTAATTTTCTGGATCAACACGTTTTTAGAAAAATCCGTTGTGTATTTTTCTCGTGGATACGTGCGACCATGGCGAGAGGTTGCTCAAGATTCTCAAGGACATAATCAAGAATTTCGAAACTGGTTTGTTGATTGGACACGAACACATCTTTGTTAGAAAAAGCTCCGCTCTCGATTGGCTACTTCATCGGAGACGAGAGTCACTCGGATGCAGCACAACAGGTTCTTGCCTGGTGATATTGTAGTAATAAGATTTGCAGCTCGAAGAACGGATCGCTTGCGACATTGCCTTGATTTCGCCAGAGAAGCTATTCAACATTTTCGAAGGACGCGCTACGGTATTACTTGCATTTTCGCCCATATTCAAATTAGATGGATCTCATCGATCTTCAATACATCGTGTTGGATGAAGCAGACGAGGTAAGAAAATGTGTGAGCTTTTCTATTATTTTGATAGTTTTTCTCGATGGGGCATCACGTGGAAGAGATGGGCCTCCTCAACAAAGAGCTCCAGCGCTGCCGGCAGCTCAAGGTTTCTTATAGCCAAGCAGCTAAAATAATTTTTAGGGTGATAACTACCTGCCTTGCCTTGCCCTTACGACTACCACGCCCTGTAAGGCTGACAACGATCTTCGTAGGGCGTGCATTAGGATGTTTCAAGAATTCGATCTCTTGACGGTGAGCATGAGTTTCCTTCTTGAATTTGGATTTAGATGGCATTCATTGAATGCGACAGTCAAGCGCCGATCGCGCCACACTTCGTATACCCCGTTCCGGAACCGCACCAACAGCTTTCCCTACTTTTACATCTGCTTCAGCGTAACCTTCAGCGTGAGAAAACAACCGATGGGTCAATCGTGCATAGTAAGATTTCCGGATTTAGGCACATCTTTTCGTAGATTTTCTGTTCCCGACTTTCATTTTTTGCCAGCGAGATGCGACCGCCGCCCAAATAACAACTTTTTTGCTAGGGTTTCGATTACGCACTATCCTTCATACAAGGTACTTTTTTAACAATAAAGAAGTCTGTTTAGCTCTTGCCCTGATGAACAGCGGGACCGAAATTTGCGGTTGATTGCTTCCGCCGAGGTTGCGGTCATCGTCTCGACGTATTCAATGGCCCGCGGGATTGAAAGTGCCCGTTTCAACCACGTACGTGTGCTCCAAGCTATAGTGATATTTTTGTAGGTGATCCTCTATGATGAGCCAGACTGCCATTGGAACTCCTACAACCATCTCTTGAAGGCGTTTGGAAGTTGCGACACCACCGGAAGAGTGTCCATTTTTTACGATCCATCGGGCGATGACGGCCTAGGAAAATGGAAAATGCTTTACCGGGTATGCGCCTTAATATTTTCTTTTATTTCTCGTTTAGAAGTTATGTACATATGGCCAAAAAGTTCCACGGGTCCTCCACGAGCGCTATTTTGAACCGAAATTTGAGGTAAAATTTTGCATTTTGTAACCGTTTTTTTTCTTAATCAAAAGCTATTATCTTTTTGTAGATGGCCGAAGAACAGCAGAAACCGAGGCGCGCCAACGATCCGGATCAAATAACAGAAGACGAGGCCGATTATTCGGAATCTAGCAACGAACTGAATTAATGGCAAGACAGTTTTCTGATTTAGACCTTTAATATTGCTTTTCTTTGCATTTTACTTGCATTTCATGTATTATTACTGGGAAGACTTTTTTGTTGCTGATAAACCTTGCTGAGAAGAATTGCGCAGTAAGGAAGACGTTGCACGACACTACTATTTACACTGTGGCTGTGTGGTTGGCCCAGATTCGGTTTTCGTTAATTTCGGTTGAGGGCTTGAAAATCTTGGAGAACTCGAGTTAACGTTGGATTAGTGAGTAAATCGTAAAGTTTATTTTACAGCTCGGACTTTAACTGGAAAATGGGCGAGACGACTATACTCGACTCGGCAAGAAGCCGTGCTCCGGTTGACCACCAAATACTGGCGTCTCTGCGCGAAGCTATGGAAAAATTCAGCGAACCGTCGGAGGTCCGTGGTTTCCATTTTATTATCGAGCTTTGCTTTTAGGCTGGTTATATAAACGATGGAGATATGCAACCACGAAAGCATCCGGACGCTCAATTAGAAAAGTAAAACTTTTCATTGGATACTAGTTTCTTACAGGTACTTCCACTATGTTACCGTCTATGGAAAGCCTTGTCTCGAATGGGAATTGGTACGCCCGGTGTTTTTGTGGAAGTTAAAGGTAAGGGTTACGGCTTGTTTCTGATTCTCTTTAGCATGTGCTGAAGGAAATGGTGCGCATTGACCATCTGGTCTGCGATCAGTCGAACGCACGGGCCAAGCAAGAGGATTCTAAAGAGGGTGCCGTGGACAATGTTCATAAAACGGTGCTCATTTTCCATGGAGAAATTATTCTATTTTAGCAAACCGTAAATGGCGTGAAGCGAGAGATCTGTCCAAAGAAATCTCTGCCGAAAGTAAAAGCCGATTTCGAAGACAGTAAGGTAAATCTTTGTGTCATTACCTGATGGCTCGATTTCGCTACGAAAGGTTGTATTTAGGGCGAGCTACGTGTACTGTATGATTTGATCATCGACACTGCCGAGAAGTTGGAGGGATTCCCGTTCACATTTCAGCGGTTTTTTAGCGCCTGCACGGCAATATGTATTTTTATAGAATTTGTGAACTGATGAAAGATCCCGTCCAACTATATCAAAGGGCCGAAAAGTTTTTCCGCGCGATCGACAAGTGTATCAATGTTGTGACAAAGGTACTAAGAGACATTTTGGTGGAAACAGTGTTTTAGATAACTCCGAATGGACAAAGAATTACTGGCATCGAGGAGCCGTTTGTGGGAATCGAGGAAAATGGGCGAATCGAGCAAACCTTCTTTGGCAAAGTTGTAAGGGATTACTCTGATTTCAGCTTTTTTCCGCTAGCGAGAGGTTGACCAGCCATTCAGTGCTTTTCTCGGCGACCAACACTTTTCAGGATGAGGTTGACGACGGTGCCTGGGGCCCAGTCGCTGTTGCCTCGGTGGCCAGCCAAGTAAAGCTCTTTGAAAAATTGTTTACTTGATTTCTAGAACGCTGATGATAAACCGTTGGACATGAGCAAGAAAGAACCGGCTCGAATCGAGGCAGCTGAAGCGGAACCGAAGATTGAGCCCATTACGGCGTCATTGAATGGGGCTGGTGATGCTCCTGTCGAGAAGAAGCAAAAGCTGGACGGCACAGATACGGTAGCTTATTTTTAATTGCAATGACCTTTCCCATAGGCGATGGAACACGACGGGGCTCTCGATGCCACGCCAGCGAGCGCTGAAGTGACGATGGAAACAAATTGATTCCGCGTATTGAGCAAGCATCTCATCACAAAACAAATATCGTATTGACCGAATCTAGCTTTACTCAATCATTTTCGATCTACCCTTACGAGTCCGATTTATGGCCACTTTTATTGTGTTTAATTAAATGAATAAATTTATCCATGTATCTGTGGGAGTTCGGTTTTCCGTAGATTTAATTTCGGACGGCTACTTGTTGACAACCTACGACACTGGTTTTAAGACATATTTTAGTTATAGGCTCGATGAGGTTGTTATTTCCGAGAGCTCTCGGCGGGGCGGGGCGCTGGCTGGGAATGAAGCGGGCGATGGTATACCCTTATTTGAGTAGCAATTCTGGGTTTAGAGCTTACATAGATGTACCACAGCAAGGTCGCTCGATTATACTCAAAAGCGGTCGATCATTTTCAAAATGGGCAATGAGACGCCTGCAAGAGTCACTGGATATTATGTTGTGTAGGTTGTTGGTATTTTTCTGTCAATTCGTTTCCAGTTTTCCGTATATCCCAGAAGATTCGATGGAAAACAACCCGTATATGAGGAACATTGCTAAAAATGAAGACTGGCCCCTGTTAGCAACAGCTTCTCCAAGGGATATGTGAGTTTTGGCAGCTCGTTAGCAAAACTGGGTCCTATAGGTATGAAGGCACCATCAAAATGTTCATGGATTATGCCGCGACCAGCCTCGAGCATATGGAGCATCTTGAACAGAGTAACTTTATCTGAAGTGTTCCGTATATATATTTGTTGCAGCGAAAGGCGAGACACGCACCTTCGAAAATACCGTCGAGCCGCTGTTGCATGATGAATATGAAGTATAGTTTTGTCAATGTCATATGCAATTTATAGGTGAACTATGCCTTCCAAACGCTGTTGCTGAAGATGGTGACGGACTGGTCAGATACGCATAATAATATGATCAACGCCGACATGCACCACGTTAGAAAAGTTTTATCCGCCCAAAAAACTGGTTTAGGTAACGATCATGTGGGCTAGAGACATGTTTGAGAAGCTTACCGCGCCCGCTTTTCAAGCAGCGATAAAGGTTGCACGAGAATTTTATCGAACTACCATATATTTAGGAAATGTATGATAAGAAGGACGGTCTGGATGAATGGCAGCTACGACTGTTGGAATGGTACATTTTGGAGGTAAACATATCATCACAATTCCATACCTTTCGCATCGTTTAGCTCAAAGCCAACGGCCACGATCGTCAAGATGAGAAAACACGTAAAATCTTGGGCAGCTGGAACCGCTTCATTGATCAGTACAGGAGCAAATATATGTTGGTTTTTGACGTTGACCTAACGTTTATTTTTAGCACTAACGTGATGGCCACAAATGACCAACACAAATTCGTGCTACAAGACAAGTCTGCGCTTGCCGATGCCCCGCCTCATATCCTGCAGACATTGGCAGCTGACCAGTAAACTTTAGAATCTCTTTCCCCTACGAATTTTTAGAAGTAAATGGGAAACCGGACCCTGGGTCGGTTACATGGCACCACGTCGTATCTTTGCCTTGATGCAATACTGTGGGGATCGACAGGTGAATTTGTCAAAGAAGCGCAAAACTGGAAAATTCAGATCCGGGCCGGCGCTTGGGAAAAATGGATCAGCAAGGCGTCATTTGAACACGATTTTTACAACAACTCCATCAACATTGAAGAATTGCGTCACAATAAGTATAGGATCCATAATAACGGTGGATTCGAGTATTCTTTAGTGAGGGAATGGCCAAGGTACTTGGCTACACTTCAACTTCTGAACACCGTCTGGCGAATAAGATGGCGACGAGCCCGGAGACCGTTCGATCCATGATTCAAGCGTAGGCTTATCTAATTCTACTGGGTGTCCCAAAAAAAAAGCACCCCCATCTAGCGGTCCGTGGTAAGCTCAGATCAGGATGATTTTTATACCATTCGAAAGCCCGCGAAAAGGCGAGAAAACAAGCGGGCTTCATTTTCTAAGATTTTTTTCTGATTCGTCCGATATTCAGCGTTTTTCTAAAAAACAGGTATCTTTTCAATAGGAATTTCGCAATTAGCATGCGGATCTCGCGTAAATCTGCCGTTTTCATGGAATTTGGAGGTAAAATTCGCCAATAAAAATACATAATAAAGAAAATGAACCCTCCATGTTTTCTCGGCTTTTCGAGAGCTTTCGATAGATACCTAAACGGCGTGAATCGGACACGTCTACGCGCCGCTAGAGGGGGGTGCTTTTTTTTTGGGACACCCTGTATAACTAATCTGTTTTAGTTTGGAACGACGGGTCCGCCCCGTTTTCATGGACCGCATGGACGCGTGGCGAAACTATGTGCATAATAATCATCTGATGTCCGGAGATCTTTACGTAACGAGATTTCTTGCTGATAGAATTATTTATTTTAGCCTCACGATCTGTTCTACGTTTGCAGAAAAGAAGCTTTTGCCCATTACGAGTTTGTCTTTTTTTAATTTAGCAAATCATTCTGTGTTTCAGCGTCAATCATCTGGATCTCATGAACTACTTCCCATTCTGGCCAACTTTTGAAAATGTCACCTCCGTGATTGGCCAGCTCTTCAACCTTACATTTAAGGTATTGTCGACCCGTTTTTAAATTAAAGTATTTTTAGGATATTACGAACACCAACTTGGAACGGGCGCACCCTGACGCAAAAATCTTTGCCGTGGCCGACACTAGCTCAGGTAAACTGGCATTTTATCGTTTAATATTTGTAGGCCATCATCTGGGTCGTCTATACGTAGATCCTTACGATCGGCAAAACAAATTGTGCGACTGGACGACACTGCTTGGAAGAAGTGAGGTTGCGAAGTATGAGTTTTATTTTGATTTCAGCTGAGTCAAAGGAACGAGGCCTTGATAAGTTGGTCTACCTGGTTGGCGCTGCGAGCGCCCCGGCCAACGGCCAGCCGTCGTTGCTGCATTATGAGCAGCTTCAACGGCTGCTGTTTCACGTATGTACTTTTGCCTACAATTTTTAGAAGTTCTTTAGGTTGGCCGTTCGGTGCAGATGCTGCTTTCGCGAGCGCCGTACCGTGACATTGCTGTGCCCTGGGCTCCATTCCACGCATCCGATTGGGATTCGCTCGATATGTTCCCTACTTTCTGCCAATTCTTCCTCAACAAGCCGAATCTGCTACAAGCGATTGCTTCTCCACACATTGTAGGATTTTTCCACACAGTACTAGTATTCTTTCAGAAAACCGGTGCTCAGCTACATGATGACACGGCCGAATCAACATCTTTGGCCCTATCTCGCGCGAGCCTCTTCGAGACATACCGTACGCTATTCTGGTCCGATTTCGACCTGACGCTATTCGAAATGGAGGATCGCCGGTATCCAGACACTTTTGGAGTCAATTCGTTTTAGACAAAAATTCTGGCTTGATCTGTACCGTGAACTGCACAAGGAGTATTTCCCTTGGCGGCTACAGCGGAATGACTACCAGCCTTGCTCGTTCATGCCGATTTTCTCGCGAGTTCCGCACTATTCGGGATATTACAGCAAACTTTGGTCTGAGGTAGCTATTTCAGTTCATGAAGTGTTCTAACTCATAATTTAGATGCTTGCGCTGGATATACACGAGACATTCCGTCTCGAGGGTGACGAGTCCAAGACTGGCGAACGTCTAAAGACACTTCTGCTCAACAAGGGCGCCGGAGATGTGGCCAAGGAGTTGTACCGCCGCTTCCAGGTGGGCTCCTTGTTACTTCGAATTATTAGCTGAGAAGGTCGTAAAAAGCCCTTTCAAAAATATCCCCGAAATGCCGCTGCTATTTACCCATTTCAGGGCCGCGATCCCTCTGTTGGACCGATCTGTGACTTTTACGACCCACCGCCGTTCGAGGAGCACCAACGCCTGGAAGAGAACTTCAGCTAGAAACACGCCCTCGTTCCGATTGTTTTATCAGTTTCTTGTTTGTTAGGATACCTAGTCTAGTCCCACGCACGCACACCTCTGAAGCGATGTTATTTATTGCAGTGGTAGTCTAGATCCAGATTTCTGTATAAAGGCTACCTTTCTGAAGACGGGCAGTAATTTTCTTTGTCTTATCGTTGTTTGAGTTTTGTTGTATACAAGGTGATAAATGTATCTCTTGTGTTCTTAATGTTTTGGGTTACAGGAAGTTTGAGACTTTTCGATCCTTTTTATCCGGTGTTTTGACTTTTGACGCATTTTTAGAGACGCCAAATGGCCACGGTAGCCAATGGTGCTGGAGATGAGGGAAAGGACACGGTTAGATTTATAATTAACTAGCAATACAGGATTTTTAGGTCGTAAAAGAAATCCCGCCCGCTCTCGACAAATTGTTACTGTTGATGGTGAAGAATTTCTATTCCGCTGAGCAGTGCCTACTGGTTTACTACATCATGCGCGCCGTCTGTATAAAGGAGGAGAAGCTTCGCGAGCGCGTGCAATTTGAACACAAACAAATGCGAGAAGTAAATTAAGCTACGCTCTCGCTTACGTGGTTTAGTGGATGGCACAGCTCAAGAAGGATAAAGTCGTCCGTGAACGCCTAATCACGCAGAAGAACGAAAACAACCGCAGCATTAACATGATTTTCTACTTTATCAACTACCGGGCGTTGGCTAATGTGTTGACATTTAAAATCGATCATATGAGGTGGTTTTGTCTTTGTCAAATTCATTTATTTTTGTAGGCAACGACTAGAGGCCAGAGAAAAAGACACCGTACAGAAGGCCCACTACAAATGCACCAAATGCAGCATGCAATACGAAACGATCGACATGGACCGGATTTTTGATCCGTTTACGCAGAGTACGAGCGCCTTGACCGTTTTTATGGCGTTTAGCATTGGTCTGCTGGCGGTGCAAAGGCGAGGTCGAATTGGATGAAAGTGCAGGCCCGACAAATGAAACACGGTACATTTTTTGTAACCGTTTGTGTTTTATATGTTCATAGTTCTCTGTTGGCCCGCTTCAATGAACAAATGTTGCCGATGTTCACCGTTATCCGCGAGCTGGCAGGCATTCAACTGGCCCCTCATCTGTACGAGCCCGACATCAACAAGTACATTGATGACCCGGCAGGCAAGTTGACAAGGATGTTGGATAGACGCGATTTTTTCGATGTTGTCTAAATTGGTTTTTAGCGCAGCAGCCGCAGGTGCAGCAGCACGTCGACTTCTCGCAACCTGCCAGTCGCGCCCAGCTGGGCGGTGTCGCGTTCAAGGTAACATTGCTTTTGGCAAAGAAAAATCCTTTCTTCAGCGCGAAATGGCCAACAAATCCGCGTTGCTCAACACGGAACAGATCACCGTCGAAATCAACAGTGGACCAAATATGTAGGCGAATGTTTTGAATCTATGAACATTCATGTGTAGTGCGATCGAAGAACAGAAGGAAGTACCTGCATGGTTGGCACAGCCGGGGATGGCCGGCACATCAGCTACATCGGGCGGGTACGAAAAGTGAGGATTTCCTTTGTTTTTTTTTGAAGCTTCTGTTGTTCTAGTGACCCACTTTCGCCTACCGGCAAACAAGCGCCAACTGTCGATCTGTCGATGTTGGCTGAGTTGGAAGGGTAAGTTTTTATGTACTTTTCGCATCGTGATGTTTAGTTTGAACGAAGAGACAGAGCCGGAAACGACCGAGCAGCCCAGCAGCGCAACGGTATGCTGTATACATTTAATATGGCGCTCCTTATTTCCCTTGATATAACCCAGGGATTCTAACATTTCAGTCGCCCCGCAAAAGGCATGGTGGAGGGCAGCTTGTTTTCCGAATATTTCACTTGAAAATGCTTAAAGGGGCTACGAAGTGCCAAAAATTGAGTGACGGCCCGAAAATCGGAGCCCTGTACGTGGGAGGCCTTTGTACACCTGGGGGCGCGGGAAGCACGCAAATTTGAAATGGCCTGTGGTCACCTCGAAATCACGTTTTCGGCTGTTTCTGGGCCAAATTTGATGATTAAAACACCAAAATTATTTCAAATTGAGTGAGGATTTCAAAAATGGGCTCAGAATGCGCAAATTATTGTGTTTGCCCAAAGAAACCGGGCAAAAACAACTTCGCGCAAAAATCGAAAGAGTGAGGGCTCTTGTCCCGCAGCGCCCGCTGGCAATTTGCCAGAAATCAAAGAGGCCTCCCAAAAGGGCTTTGATTTGGCAGTTCGGAGCCCCTTTAAAACGACCCATACGATCACCGTGCAAAGTTAAAACAGCAGCTTTTTCAATGTTATTTTGAAACCAAAAAATCTGGGGTGCATTTTAACGGAAAGGTTTTTGGTGTCTTCGGTTTGTTCGCAATCTTTTCGTATTTTAGGCCGACGAGGCTCCAGATACCGCGGCCGCCGAGGCTGATGGTAGCGTCGACAACGAAGAGGATGAATGGGAAGACGAGCCCATGGTCACAGTACAAGGAGAAAGCGTAATTTTTTTAACGGAACTAGTGTTATCCAAATTTAGCATCCCATCAGCCAAGTGATCAACCAGCCCGAACTGGTCGAACAGATGACCGACGCCGAAAAGGAAGCGTATATCAGCGCGTACGAGGCATACTCGGAAATGTGATCTCTTGTTTTTTTCGAGCAACTTTCGTTCCAAATAAATTATTACTACCGGTTTGTACTGTTGTGATCTGTGGCTTTCTCATTGTACATTATACAGACGAACACACAAATGTACCAAGCTTTCCTATACAGTGGCGATGTCGCGCAACCCGACGGCGACGTTGCTGTTGGCGGCACCGCTCACCAATTCCATGTTCTCGTCGTGAGTTTTCACCTTTAGAGATTTCAGCTAAAGCCGTTCTTCAGTGAGTGGCGCTATGAGGAATCGGAATCTTGTGTACAAAGCACGTCATCTTTGATGGAAACGGTTGATGTCTGCACGAAGCTTCTGAATTCACGATTGGGAGATGATGTGAAAAAAGTGGTCGTGGTAAGTTTTCCGTTTAGTGTTTCTAAGCAAAATCTAGATGTCCCTGCCCTTCGAACAGAAAGAGAAGGATAACCTTACTGTCGAAACTAAGGTCCCCCGCTGGAGGCCGTCACGGGTGCCCGGCAGCATCCAGAGCTATGTTTTGGCGATTGAAAAGGAGGATGTGCTTTTGCGGTTAGCTTACCTGTTCTGAACATGTGGTTGTTAGACTGAAATTGTGGAACGACCGTACGTTTGATGTGCCAAACATAGCACCACTATCTGGTCTGCTGACGCATCTGAAGGGGCTTGCTGCACCCCCGGAGGCCGTTCTGCTCTTTATCGATATGCCATCTATGATAGTGGTGCGCTTTTGCTAGTCCTTTTTTATTGAATACGTCAGGTTTTCTTTTTGGCTTTCCTGACCATTCCCGCAGATAAACAAATCTAATCTCAGGCGGGCACTGGCCACCACCTCTGTGAAATTGCCGGCGCCTGCAAAGCCTTGCGCATAATCATATGGAGCAGCGATGTTCGCAAAGACCATGCCACCATCCAAACCCTGATGGGAGACGTGTTTTCTCGTCTTGACGAGCAGACGGATGTGTCTCTTTTGTTCAGGTACGCCGGTTAGTTTGTCCATTTTTAATCACTTAATTACAGTTCCATGTACGCGAATCGTCAGAATTTGGCGGATTCCATTGAGAACAGCTTATCGCTTTGTGAGAAAAAGGCAACCCAGCTGATTTGTGGCAACATTCAGTCTTTCATTCGGGTATGTTTTTATCTCGAACTTTAAGCGTTTTAGTTGCGGAATACGCCCGGCACTACGCCAGCCATTTTTCATTCGATTGAAGTGGTCGGCTCTAATGAGGTAATGATACTTTGCGGTTATAAGGTACCGATTAAGGTACGACCGGAAGACCTGATGTGCGGAAAATTGGCGCTGACTGGGGAAAATTACGTGGTCTCAGCGATGGGTGGGTTTCTTAGACACTACGCTTCTAGAATATATGTATCCGTTTCCAGGGTCCAACTTTGAGGACAGTTACGCCCTTCTCAATCTCATCTCTCAATCGATCGAGAGTAGTCGTACGAATACCAACACTGTACTACTCTGCAAAGTCGCGCGAATCTTCGACTCGAAGAAGGAAAAGGATAGCGAGGCATGCGTTGTCGTTCTTGGTTGTTAATTTGGTTTTTAGAATAACAACGTCAGCGCGACTGGGCCGAGAAGAAGGGCAGCCAATTTCTATGATCAACCGGAAGAGGGGGTATGCAATTGCGAGAAATTTTTGCTATATAACTTTATTTAAGTGCGAATCGTTGGATGACTATGAGATGGCTATAATCTATTCAATGCCCTCATCTCGAAAAGCAAAAAGTTTGCCTGGGGACTATATACCTTAAAAAATCGTTGTAGAAGTGGTCGCCCTATCGATGATCCAACCTGGCCATCATTCGCTAAACGATGGATGTTTGTTTAAGGAATTGGTGGGGTATTTAGATTCTCTTCTAAAGGCCATCTCAGAAATTTGCGCCATCGCTGACCCCGAAAGCTACATTAATTAACGAAGGACTCATCTCGGTGGGCTTTGTTTTTTGTTGGCTTATTTTGTATTTAGGATATGAAGAAGCGTGTTAAGCGCTGCCTGAACGCTGATAGTGAAACGGGGCAGAAGGAGCTTCTAGAGGTAAGTTTTTTCCGTGCTGATGATTTGGGTTAATTTAGCTGTTGCGATTCTATTCGACGTACTTTCAAGCGACCGGCTACGATCCGGCAAAGGTACTGAGAAGTGTGCTGCTCGTCGAGATCGATGATTTCAAGAAATCGGTTGGTTATTTTTGTTAGAGACGCCTTAACAGACTTATTGCTATAAAACGTGGTCACCCACCCATTTTAGACGTGCACACAAAAGTCCGGCTACCTTCGTATCTGGGCTATTTTTACCGGAAACGCGGATTCGTGGGTCGTCCTGTCGTAATGATAATGTTGCGCCGCATCCTTTGATTTTGTTTGTTGTTCTGCGTTCAATGTATTGCAAAATTTTGCACAATGATAAACAGTTACTCCATGATTTTGGGCAGCCTTCCACACCGGTGCTATTTGCGACCGTTTCCTATCTCCCTTCCCCGATCTGGTGCGGCTGAATATTTTTTTAAGGATTTATATTGTGTAATCGACCATATTTTGTGCACACAGTTAATTTCAGTACGTTTAGCATGGAAACATCGCAACAACGTACCTTTCCAAAAAAGAAAAACGCAGCCGGGACGAGGAAAGGAAAAAAGAAAGGCGCGGAAACCTCGGTGAGCCGCACCTTTCCAGCACAGAAAAATGGTGTAGAAATGAAGAAGCGGGTCTGAATTTTAAGGTAATTTATATTTCTTTGTAGCGTCGCTACGAAAAGCCGACCCCGATGGTAGTGGAGCGCCCGAAAAAGAAAAATAAGTAGGTATTCTTTTTTTATTTTATTCTTTTCAGGATTTCAAAAAAGAAGCGAGCAAAGAAGAGGGACGTGTTTGCACAGAAATTGACAGAGAAGTATGATGGGAGCGCACCTGTTGAGGGTAGCTATAGAATAAGCTATCAAAAAAAATATGTTTAGTTGATCTTGCCGATGATAGTGACGACGGCGTTCCGCAGGGATCACAAGACCCGGTTAGTGCCACGGTTCCAATGCTGAATACTCGAAAAACGATGCGTCCGATTTCGTCGGTAGAGCTGCAGGACGAGTTCGCTCAGTATGGATATGCGAATAAGGTACTTGTTGTAATTTTGGTTTTTATATTTCAAAAAATTAGCCGGTTCCTGAGATGCCAAGAAAAGTCGGCAAGCAACGAGTGGAGGAAGTTGAATTATCCGAAGAGGAGCCAGAAATGGAAGCTGATATGGACGGGTTGCAAGACGATGAACAGGAGGGCGACGATGCCGAAGATGTCCAGGAGTTAAATCAAGATGACGCGGAGGAGGACGATCAGGACATTCTCACCGACATCTCCTTTTCCGAGCCTGATGAGGAAGAAGTTGTTACCAGAGATTTGCGACAAGGTAAATACTTCTCAGACTTAACAAGCTTTTTAGACATGTCGAATCTGCCATTGGGAAAGCTGCTCGAATTGAAGAACAAGATCGGCATAAAACTGTTTAACAAGACGTTTTATGGCAAAGATAATGAGGCGGCGACCCCCGTCGAGCCCACCGAAGAGAAGGCAAAAAAGTTTAGGGTATGGGATTAGGCGTGGGTAATAACTATTTTTCCCTAGCGTGACAATCCGAAAAGGCCCCGGGAAATCACATCCAAGAGGCCGGTCTCTCGATTCCGCGACATTTATGCGAACGAGTCCAAAGGACGACAGCCAGGGTAGGTTTTGTGTTGTTGTTAAAGCTTTCTTTGTAGCTTTGATCCTCGCTTTGATGAAAGATGCGGAGAATACAACGAAAAATTCTTTGAAAGGAGCTACGGACACATCGAGACGATTCGCGCGAAGGAGCTTTTGGTCCGTGCGCCTTTAGATTTTTCAATCAAAAAAAAATCACTTTTAGGATATGAAGGGAGAGCTTGTCAAGGCTAAGGCCAATGGGGACGCTAGGAGAATCGCTGAGATCAAGGAAACGATAAAGCGAGCGGCAGACCGAGCTAGGACCAAAAAGTATCTTTTCGATCTTATATGATTTTTAGCGATTATCGAGTCATTACAAAGTATTGTTTCCAGGGACCGTGCGCTCAAACGTGACGTCGTCGTCAACCTGAAGGAGGAGAACATCCAACGACTCAAGGAGGGCTTGAAGCCAGTATTCAAAACCAAGGGTACTTTTACGTCGCGCCCACTATTTACTCGTTTTTTAGGCGAGGTTCGTCGGCTGCAGAAGGAACGCCAGCAGGAGATGCTCAAGAAGGAGGGTAGGCTCGACAAGAATATGGAACGGCGGGAGAAGAAGCAAAAGCGAAAGGAGCGTGTGCTTCGTCAGAAGCTCGAGGATCACGCCCCCGTTCGACGTTGATTAGGATCATGTTTTATTTGTTACGTTTATTTGTTGAGTTTTTACCTTGTTACGCGGATTTAATGAAATTTATTGTTTTAACGTGAATACTCGGAAATTGCAAGTACACTGACATTTATTGCAATTAAGAATTGGTTATTTACAGAATAGGGCTTTGCTTGGTGCGGAGAAGAACGACATCAAAGGCGGCTGTGGACCCGGCCCTGCGGTTTGACACTGGAGAACCTACGGTAGCCTGGCCAACGTATGTTCGAGAGTGCCAAGCCGAAAAGAGGTCCCGCGGAGGTGCGTGGTTTTTTTCAAGCTGTTTCTGGTGCGTAAACCATGCCTGTTGAGGTGTTGTACAGTTAAATAGGGCTCACAACGCACACCTGAACGAACTGAGGGCAATTTGTAGAGTCCGATCTCGCACCCATCTTGCATCTTGCAGAGTGTTGGCAGGATAGACTCATTTAGTCTGTTTTGTAACTCTTAGTTTAACGCATTGGAACGTCTAATAAGCAAAATAGACATGCAAGGACAGCTTATAATTTTTTACCATATTAAATACACTTAATTTAATAACTTTGAAGGTGAACCCATTATTTAGCTCTGTCATCCCTTATTCACGATGCATAAGGCCATTATCTTCGTTTTTGCATTTTCTATTTCCTCAATGGGCTGCTAAAACTATACTAGAACCGTGATAGGTTCTCTTACTAGGATTTTTTATCGTTACTAGAACTTTACTAGATTTATTCCAACGTTCAAACTATACAGGTTTCCGTCGGATCACCCACTGACGGCTATTCCACGCCGTTTCCGCCAGTCATTTTCTCAGCTGGACCCCCGTGAGACGCCGGCGATTATCAGGCAGATAATCGTCGGGGGATTCCCAGCAGCGTGTCGGCACCCCCGAGCGTATGTGCTGAAGGGGGGCCATCTGTGCTCTTCATGCGAAATGTGCACTTTGATGAGACTGAGGCGAGGAGGAGGAGAAGGACACACCTGTCCTTCAGCCCCGGCACCTCTCAACGCGCCATCCTTGGCTGGACAATGGCCATTCCTTGACCCCCACCCATACACCCAATTCAACCGTACCCCCTCCCCCCTGCCCCCTGAGGGATCGTCGTCGGCCCACTTCAAAATCTTCGCTTTGGTCGATACACAATACTAATAATGGGCGCGCGACGGCGCGACTCAAACAGAGCGCCTCCTCAATGCACCCCAAACGTGTGCGTATCGTCACGTATTATTTCGATTGACGGTGGTCAAAGAGCCTCACTGGCTAGGGGGCAGCGCGGCACCTCAAACGCGTAGCTTGGGAAATTACGTACTTTGGTTTTCCTCGGCTACTGTACAGAAAATTGCTTGAAAACTTGAATTTTGGTCGAAATCGAGAATTTGTGAGCAAAAATCTTTATTTTTGGATTCGTAATAGATTATTTGTATGTATGTATGTATGTATTTGTATATAATTTCGTACGTATGTGCGTTTGGGAATTATCAGAAGGGCAGTATAAAAACACTTCCTCTGACTATATTTCAAAGCTAGGATCCTGCCCTCGGCAAACACTAAAGAGCCGGCAATTGTTCTTTTTCGCACTGAATCAAATTCCCAAGACTTTCGATGTCCAATTTTGGGTCAGGTGGAACATATTCACTAATCCTTAGCGCAATTTTGATTACGCAATGCGTTGCATAATTCGTCGCGCGGGCTCGCAACCCTCAAAACTAAAATAGGCAAATGGTACTGTTATTATGGTGTTGCGGGTAGCCGAAGTGGCGTACGGTCCTAATGAGGCGAAAACTGTGATTTTGTAGCTTTATCGCGCTGGTGTTCTGTAGGTATAGACCGTAGCTAGATTTTTAATTAGTAAAAGTCCGGTAGCAAATTAACGAATTAAACATTTTTAACAACCTCAAAAAGTCTAACACGCAGAATTTTAAAATTCCAGTCGTTACTCATGATTGTCCGCTAACAGTCTTAATTTAATTTTTACAGAATAGCGTAGGTATGTCATTGATCTATTAAACTGTCTTGTTGGCTTTGCTTTCCTAAGTATTAATGTAACCCCAAGCAAAATCGCAACGCTACGCTGACGCTCGGTCCCTCAAAGTCGAACCCATGCTCACCCTCGACCCGGGGGGAGTTTGAGGTTGAATCGGAGGCAAATCCTCCTAGCCGGGTTCCGTTTGTGTGCATCGGCCGGCCGGTGGGGTCGCGGGCCGAGCGGAGGCTAATCCGACGGGAGGCCGGACGGTCCTCCCCGCTTGGGGAGCCTCACTGTGCCCCATTACGGGTAATTGGCGGTGAGGTGAGAGAGAGAGAGAGAGAGAGAGAGAGAGAGAGAGAGAGAGAGAGGGAGAGAGAGAGTGAGAGGGAGACAGTGTCGAGGCGGACAGTCTAGAAAAGTTGTGCGTGTGTGGGGTAGGGGCTGACCTTGCCGAGCGCCCCGCCGTGAGCTGGGCGCCCCGCCACACAATGCCTCGGCCCTTGGCCTCTGTCGCTTCGACCACAGTATCCACGGCCGTCCATTCATCGGCTCCTCGAATCGTCGGCCATGATGCTGCCCAGGGGATAAGTCGTCCCGGCCGCGTTTTTGGGCGGGAAAATGAACACGCATATTGGCGGTATTTTACTTATAAGGAATGGTTTTTAGGTAACACTAGAGGTTTAAGATATTAAATGGCTTATTCGGTATTCTGAATAGATCCCATCTACCGAAAGTTGCTGAACTACATCGGTAGATTTCTCAAATTTCAGTCTTTTGATAAGCGGGGCCAAAATCAAAATCGGCCCTTTCAGAGCGAATTTTCTCAAAAACCGTAGTTGTCGAGTTGTTTTTGAAAGATGTGACTTGTTCAGCATTTCAAGCTCTATCGAAACAGCTATGTCAAATGTCATGTTTCGATATCACCTAAAACACTTCTTGTAAGAAGCAGGAGATGATCTTGAGAGCTGAGAGCACGAGCATTGAGCATGAGAACGCCCAGAGAATGAACTCTATCAGTCGCGCTTAAAACTATGGAGCTCTAGATCGAAAAACCGCCTGGCCTCGGCGTTCAACCCCCGGTCAAAAACGAGTATCCTTCACCCCCGTTGCGCCGGTTTTCGTGAAAAAAACCCATACTCGGCGGGGCCACGTCAACCCCTGCCCTCCTCCTCCGCCTCCTTTCTACCGCCCCGACTGTGCTTCCCGCCCTGCTCTCCGGTGTCAGCGAACAAACAAAAATCTGTTGTGTTGCCGCCATGTCGCGACCATGGGTTTTTATGGCCGCCATGGCCATTGCCTGCTACAGGTTTCGCAGCGCGCGGCTTCTATGCGCATTTCTGGGGGGCCCGCTGCTTTTGGTTGGAGGGTTGGGGGCGAATAGCATATTAGCGGGGTGGTAGTGGGGTATTTGGAGTTTTGTATTTTATAGTTGTGGTCCTAATGGTCGACGATAAGTTAGGCGAATTTTGGTCATAATCCCGACAGCTAAAAAGGCGAGAGACGAAATCCCGACTAGCCATGATCCAGACAACCCTAATCCAGAAATACCGACAAGCCAAAATAGCGGTTTAAAAGAAAGCGGCGTTGAAACCAACAGTAGAAGGACCTAATTCGGGTTTTTGGCCTGTCGGGATTTTGGTATGTCGGGATTTTATCCTGTCGGTATTTTGGCATTCGGACTTTGATGTCGTAGTTTTTGTTTTTTGAAAAGAACCCCATGGGCCTGATACTCGTCTCCCGCCAAAGAATGTTCACCGAAACGCGACGCGTTGGTCTTTGTCGGCAACGTCTAGTAGATTGTCTACCCGATGCCACAAGGCCAACCAGACGTTCTCTGTCTGTCTGCCTGTGTGTGTGTGCATGTGTTTGTGAGTGAGTCCTTGTCCCGTCAAGGGCCCCGGCTGTGGCCCCCGGTAAGGACAACGGGTGATTTGGGCAGCGGAGGGCAGCCCTTTCGCGTCATTCTGTGCCCCGGAAAAACGGCCTCCTACGGTCCGGGGCATGGACTGCGCGCAGAGTTGTTTGAATGGCTCATGGCTCTCAGAGCCTCGCCTCGCTCTCCCCCCTCACCTCCCAATCCATCCGACCTTCCCTAGGGCTACGGTAGCCGGAGTGCAGCCTAGGGAAATGTATTTTCATGGTTTTTTGAAAAGGAGATGTTGGGACTGGATTTGGCGAGTTTTTTTGGGCTTATTTGGATAAAAAATGGGAAATTTTTAGGTGATGCTGCTCAGAAGTTCAAGCTCTATCGAATGCGCTAGGTCTCATCTTAAAAACGATTCAATATAACAAAAAAAAAACTACTTGTAGGGCGCACTTTTAAAAGATCGATAGGATTTCAAGGACGTAGCTATCAAAATTCTACGCTTTTTGCATATAAAAGCACTCGACGCGGACATTAAAAATTTATGTATAACAGATGCGCAAAAATTGCAAAAACAGAATTCGAGGTTACTAAAAACTTGCAAAGAAAACTATCGTACTCCCCAACTATCGAGCCACCCTAAAGAGCACCACCGTTTTTCTCTACCCCTAGCCCTAGAGATCGTCTGAGTTGCAAAATACCCCCCGTTTTTCGAAAAGCATCGACGGCGGGGAAGGAAAACTGGCGGGAAACTGAGGTCCCCAACCGGCGCGGACACCTCCAAATTAGCCGCGATCGCTCGGCGCGCCATACAGCAGTCCATGCTCCCCTCCCCTGGCCAGCAGACCAATTATTCATATCAGCATCTGGCATCTAGTGGCGCGGGTTATCGCGCTACGATTGCTAATTGACAGGCAGGTGACGAGAGTCGGTTTATTATCAAGGTTTGACACGAGCGTTCTCGATTGAAAAACGTGTGTTCACCAAATTTACCCAATACGCAGCAAAAGGTCGTTGCAGCCGTGACGCAGTTTTGGCGCTACGTCTGGGCAGAAAAGAAGCGAAGCGTAGATTCTACGCAGTGAACTTTCTTGAGTTTCCTTAATTTCCCGCCCCTTAACAACAAAAATATTGGAGTAAGATTGACGCTATTTTAGGCCTACCGAAATCTACAATTAGGTCACAGTTTTCAGTACAAGTCGGTTATTCTACAGCCTGGTTTTACGGTTAGGGGTCGGGTTAATTTATGGGAACCTACAGTGCACAACGTAAACCATATTTACAACCTTTTGAATTTTATTAAGCTAGTTTCGACTAAATTTCATCTAAAACCCCACTTTTTCGATTTTCGCGCGAGATCACGTTACGTGAAACCAGCTACAGTCGGTCCATGGGCACACAACATCGAACATCCGGCATGCCCGAGATGGTACCGAGAGTTCACGGCTGCCGATTTGCGCGACGCGATGGCCGGGTTTTCGCCGTGAATTCAGCAGTGCCATTCCGAGCACGGGACGGTGCGTTTGGGGGTCGGGGGAAAACGCCTCTTACCTGCATATTTGGGGGAATCGATGGGGAGTTGGGTAGTAGTGGCAATGGAAGTACCAGCAGCAGCAGCAATCGGTAGACCCGGGGAAATGGAGCAGCGTGTGTTTGTGGGTGAGGGTGAGGGTGAGCCCGGGCCCGGGCCGAGGACGAACTGTGTTGAGGAGGGGTGGCGGTGGTGGTTGTCGAAATGAGGGAGGGGGCACACCAGGGGTTGACGGTCCAGGCTCCGCCCCTACCTATTTCGCGCGCACACCTCACCCCCCGTAGAGCCTCGGGTGGATTGAGGGACGATTGGCAGGTGGGGCTGGGAAACCCCTGGGAAAACGGCTGGTATTCTGGGGGGATCGGTGAACGCCATCGGGGTGACAAGTGCCAGGTGCAGGGTGTTAGAGATCAAAGGCTTGGTTAGCGGATAATTGTTCTGACGTCAATTACATATCGGTATTTGTTGGTAAGTGACCCATACGGTAGAGAGCTAGACGGCAGATACAAGCGAGTTCTATCCAGATTTAGAGGATGGTTGATCCAATTTTTCAAATCAAGACCAGGGTTGAAAAGCCGCTTCGCGGCTTTTCAACCCTGGCCCCGTCTGACCTTATTTTATGCTTCACTTTGCATACTTGTCCTGAATTCAGATGGCAAAAAATGAAAAACCACTTCTTCTGCCGCTTTATATAGTCGCGTCCCCACTTCCGGTCTGTGCTAATTGTTTTTAACAAAGAAAAGCTTTCACAAAAACTTAAATTTAATGTCGAAAATCGATAATTTTGTAAAATCTGTTAGGCGTGCAGTCATCCCAAGACCATTGCGCACCTAATGACGTATCATACGTACTTTCAAATCCATTCTCTATCAAGATATCCTCCGGACAGACAGACGGAAGTGGATGCAAAGTGGCACACACACACACACACACACAAACACTATTTTTTTATATATAGTAGGATAGTAGGATATTGGGAAGTGGGTCCAACTGGTTTTTTACTATTCGCAAACGAGAAAACTTTAAAAATGTTATTAAAATGTCAACAATATCGATCTTTCGACCAAGAATGGCTGATTTTTTACCATAAATTTCCATTTTTAAAAGTCCTTTATTTATTTCTAGACTCACAAAAATGTCCCCCCCCCCGATAATGCATAAGAGCTGAGAATTCGCACTAAACGCGCGAATTATACATACTTTCCGGCTCACCTTCAGTAAGTTTTTCAGAATTTGAACCTCTATAAAAGTCCAATAAATGCCATTATTATCTCAAAACCACTGCTTGTAAGTAGAAAGGCAAGATACCCTGGTTACTAGCGATCGCTGTAAGAATCTGCCATGTTTCGTAGGGAAATACATCGGTTCCAAACCACCTTGTCCAGGTATCTACCTGATTTTAGGCGCTGCAAAGCTACTAGTCCAAAACACCATGTTCATCTACAGGAAATCACCACTTACAGACCACGGTAGTCACGACATCGACAATGCAATGCCCCTAATTAGAACCCAAAAACCGACCTCAACGCCCTCCCGCTGCTGCAACTGCTGCGGGCCGAATCGCCGGATGCGAGAATGTACTAATGAATGCGAGGTGCATCCCGGGCCCCCAGATCCCCCAGGATGAGAGCCGGGTCCCAAGATACCACGGGTACCAAGGCAACAGCCTCACGTTTGATAAGGGAAATGGATGAGGGTGGTGAGTGTGGCCGGCGGACGACCCTATCCATCGCTTCTCATCTAATCCCCTATATCCGGATCAGTCCCTATGGATACAAGAAGCCCTGGGCGGTGGAATGGCAGACATAGTCACACACACAGACAGACAGACACCACTCAATGGCTTAACCCATTCGACCATAACCACTAGTACGAATTAATCCGGCCACCGCCCTCCTCGCCAGCAAAAAGACAAAGGCCAATTCGATTAAAGCAGCCATTCGAAGAATGAAGGCCCGGATTAAAGCGGACCTGGAACCCAGAAAACTGTTTCGATAGGTAGTGCGGCGCAGCATGTGGAAATGAATTGTACAAACCACTTTATCGTTGAAAATCAAAATAGAAATGTCAAACGGAATAAATACTACACCTGACAATGAGATACATTTGACCGGTAAATCGTTTTTGAAGACCCTGCAGCGTTTAGGCATCATCCGGCGGTATCCACAGGTTCTAAAAATATACGTAAAATATGGGAAAGTCGCGATCTAACTAAAAACGACAAAAAACGTACCAATTTCGTGCAGGCCGTTGCCATGAGGAAGAAGCGAGGGTTGAAAGAAATCTGAAAGAATATTATTTGTGCGATTAGAGTTGTCACACCTGTTGAATCAACCCTTGATGGTCGGTTTTGATCTCGCCCTGGTGCATCCCGTTCTCCACGCTCCACAGATTGATCAAACTAAAAATATGAATAAAATCCCGTTCGGAAACAATTTATATACCCGTTGGAGCTGCCACAAAGTACGAATTGCGAGTCTGGCGTGAAGGTGGCTTCGAGTGGCAGGCGCTAAAGAGTGGTTGAAATTAGCCAAAAAGTTTACCTTTGCATTCTGATGACCCCGTAATGTATGGGTGAGTACACCCTTGAACGCATCAATAATCTTGATCACCTCGCCGTTCGTCGTCAGCATGATGTGCTTGCCTAAATGACCCTCATCATCACGCCAGAAAGCTGAAAACTTACCATCCGGTGAAAATTTCATGCCGGTCCAGTCGCAATGCGGCTCCTGCTCAAATTGCCACGTCATGAAGGGGCCCTTATCGAAGGAGCGCAGATCGTAGAGCTTCACGCACTGGCTGTTGATGCCCGCGCCGAAGATGAGGCCATCGGGGTCAAAGGCGGCGACGGCTCGCGACGCCACTTGCATGACACCCTAAAACTCGTTGATTTTACTAAAAGAAAACCGCAAACCTGGCAATTTGGCGTCTTTAGATCCCATAGTCTGATCGTCTTGTCCTCGCTGCCACTCAGAAACATATCATCTTGTGGCGACATGCAAAGCGTTAGCACCCTAGAAAAAAAGATAATTAGATTTCGAAACTATGACCAACTTTTTCGTATGTCCAGGGAAATAGCGAATGTATTTGTTGTCGTGTAGTGACAGGTATCGAATTGTGTCTAAAAATAAAATACAACAAAAGCGTATATTTTCTTACCATCGATCTTTGTCGAACAATGAATGCCATTATTAGAGTTGTGCGTGAAGCGGATGAGGTCGACGCCATATTTTTTGCTGTTTACCTAAAAAGGCAGGATCAGAAGAGAAAAGTGAAAAACCCCACCGCCCGGTTCTTCGTGCCCGTGTTGCAATTGTAGATGACGATTTGATCATCGTCACTTGACGTCAACATAGTCTGCCCGTCGGCCGTGAAGTCGATCGAATTGATGCGTTGCTCATTCTCGTTGAAGGACTTCGTACAGATGCTGCGTGTCAACTGGAAAAAAATCTTACATTCATCACGTATTCCTTACCAAATCCGCATTCAGCTTTACTTGCCCCGTCAGTGGCGGTTGAGTCATACCTGCAAAAAAATGTATATTCCCTTCATAAACTCTGAGACTAGACAAAAGAACGAGAGCAAATAAATACAGAAAACAATGAGCAGCAGCACACAATCAAACTAAAATCAATCATTCTTCTTGGAACCATCTTCTAGCTGCCGCTGTTCCTTCATCTCCCCTATCCGCAGCACTTTCTCTTTTACTTCTTCCCAGCTAGCCGTCGGCCCCCAAAGTTTCTTCACGAGATCCTCGTCAGAGCCGGTCACGTCGAATATTCCAAGTGTCAGCGGGTTCTCGTCCAGTGTATCGGCAGAGCGTAATAAATTCAACGCGCGTCCATATTCGGCGTCCGTCACGATCATATCGTCTGGGGGGTAAAGGGCCGCCGCGACACATCTGAAAATCATAATTAAAACGAATCCAAGGCAAAATCTCACCGGCCCTCCGCGTTGAGAAAGTTGAACGTCGCGATAGCATCCTCGGTGTCCATAATTTCCAAGCCAATCTTGTGTTCGCGCAAAAAGCCGGCCACTTGTTTCCGTACCATGTCGACGTTCTTCTTATCCCCGGCACCGATCACCAGCACGTCAATCTTCGGCTCGAGGCACGCGAAAAGCGACAATGATTCCGGTGTGATCTCGGTCGGTGTGAGCACACGCCACGACAACGCCGTCTTCGGGAACAGCGCCACGGGCCCGTAGAGAAAACTGCCGTCGATCATTCGGAATCCAAGGCAGGAGAGCCCGCGCACGCCCGTCATCTTGGCCTCACGCATCTCCGTCGAGAGGTAGGAGACTCGAGTGCGCTGCGGCATGTCCGAATCGCCGAGGGGTGTGTGGTGGTAGCCGCCGAGCACGCCGGTGTCGGGTCGTGGAGGAGGTTCTTTGCCCTTGGAGCCGCTAGCAAAATGTCTTCGGATGAGGGTGTGCAACAAGCGGGCCCTGCAGCCCGGAAGGTATGACATCTAAAATAGGAGTTGGAAATACAGCGCAAAAGAGGGCTGAAACGTAAGAGAAGTAACAAGAAAGGAAGTTTCGTCCAGACACCCCAAATTGATTTCTTCAGAGCTATTTTTCTCGAGCCAAATGTACTTTGTCTGTACTTTAAAGAACAATGCGAACATTTTCGTATACTTTACAGCCCTGTAAAGGAAAGTAGAACCGAGATTCAAATGTTCAGGGTCTGCCGGCGGGTAAAATCGTGTCTCCCAGACAGTTTCATGTTCAATTTTCAAAAGAAAGCAGAAAAGAATATAGCTACGTTTACTGGCTGCGATTTTCAGCGAAAAAAGTGACGTTTTTAAAAGTCTTCCCAATTTTTTGTCGTCTTCAAAATTTTTATGCCGACCCCGGTTCGAGCACCCTTTACGTCGGAATACTCCTGTCGTCATGCGCTGCACCCTCTCGTACTGCAACACTATCTCGCGCGCTTTTTGGCACCGGGCCACCCCGATGCGCACGTTTCGTCCGCTACGGTGTCTGGTAGCCGAGCTTTTCTCGTTTGAATTAGACTCCATAAGCGTTGCGCGCCTTTATAAATTGAAAAACTTGAAGCGCTTATTATGGGGATCGCGCTAAAAGTTTAAAACATTACGCGAGGCCATCTGTCGATCCAGGTTGCCCCGGATTTGTATAGGCTGTTCAGGGCTTTCGGAGCAAAATATTATCGTTTTTTGGGCTGCTTTTTGATGTACGCCTAACGCGCACTAGTGCAGCGCAACGCACAACGTTTTATTGACACAAGTATCCTAGTAGTTCTACGACATAAATTACCTCATTTATGCTTGAACTCCCACAGAGATTAAATTCATTGGATGGTATTGTAGTAAATACTTATTTCGTAACGAGATTTACTCGCCCGATCTACATTTCTCTTCTATTGTTTAATTCTAAACAGCAAAACACGAATTCCAGACCAATCAAATGACCTACGTGGGTGGTGCACCGCCCCAGGAGGGCTATCAGGACGATGGCCAGCAATACCATCAAAACCAACAGGATATGGGCTACCAACAGGACATCCCCGTCTATCAATACGAGCAAGACGGCCAGTTTCCCGTCTATCAACAGGTAACTGCCATCGAGTGACAAAATTAAAGTTCTCCAGGATTTTGTCGAGGCACCCGTGGAAGAGCATGTTATCGAGGAATCGGGCGGCTACATGGATTCGAATGCGCCAAAAACGACTGTCAAGTGGAAAAAAGTACAAAATACCTCCGGACCGACCCCGAGGTTTGTAAATTAGGTTTCGACCATCACGCTATCGATTTCCAGACCCCGCCATGGCCATCGCGCTGTCGCCATCAAGGACCTGATGATCGTATTTGGAGGCGGAAACGAGGGAATTGTGGATGAAATGCATGTCTATAACACTAGTAAGCCGATAACTTTGGGCTAAGATTTTGTTCAGCCACCAACCAATGGTTCGTGCCGTCAGTACGTGGTGACGTGCCGCAGGGCAGCGCCGCTTTTGGCATCGTCTGCAACGCCAACCAGATTTTCATTTTCGGTGGAATGGTCGAGTATGGGAAGTAGGGCGCATTGCTGTTGCGTAAAAAGATGACGTTTAGGTATTCGGCTGAACTTTACGAGCTCCAGGCGAACCGCTGGGAATGGAGAAGGCTTCGCCCGAGAGCCCCGCGCGCAAGCGAGCCGCCATGCGCTCGACTTGGCCATTCGTTTACGATCACCTCACAGCAGGTACATTCTTGGTGAAAAGTTTTTTCGGCTGATTTCACTCCATATTCTAGCAAGCGTTATTCGATCCGTTTCAGGTCGCATATGTGTTTGGTGGTCTGGCCAACGACTCCGCTGATCCGAAGACAAACGTCCCACGATATCTGAACGATCTGTTTTCGATTGACCTGCGACAGGCCTCTGGTCAACTTCTCCAATGGGAGACACCCCAGGTAAAGAAAATTCCGAAAGTTGTTTTGTCATTTTTATTTTTTAGCTGTTATAATTTTTGAGGTTAGGAATTTTGCTCCGACGAACTCACAATACTTTCTTAGACTTACGGCACGCTGCCCGAGCCGCGTGAATCCCATGCGGCCGTCATCTCTGAGGGCACCGGCCACCGACGGCTCCTGATTTTCGGTGGTATGAACGGAGTTCGTCTCGGTGATCTCTGGATGCTTGACCTTGATACGATGTCTTGGGATTCGCCTCAAATGGATGGCCCCGTACCACTGGTTCGTTTTTCTTGGCTTCTCATACGAGATTTTTTATTTGGCACCGATTTATCTGCCTTTTTAGCCCCGCTCTCTTCATACGGCTTGTCTCATCGGACCAAAGATGTTCATCTTCGGCGGATGGGTAAAATTTTAATTTGTTTTTAATAACTAAATTAAGGTCCCGATGCTCTCCGAAGATGCGATTAACTTCAACAACAAGGAGTGGAAATGCACCAACACTTTGGCTTGCCTCAACATCGACACGTATTGCTGGGAACATTTGTCGCTGGATGATGCTCAAGGTATAAAAAAAAAGATTTTGGTCAAGGCGCTGTTTTTCAACATATTAAAAGTGCAACCATATATAGTGTACGGTCCCGACAATTGACAAGGTTTTCAGCAAGAAATTTTTCAGTTTCCGAAACTTCCGACATGGTCCCACGTGCACGCGCCGGCCACAGCGCCGTCGTCATCAACAACCGAATGTTCGTCTGGTCGGGCAGGGACGGCTACCGCAAAGCCTGGAACAACCAGGTTAGCTCGATTTCACCATCGGTCACCATCTTGTCAGATCTATATCATGCCAATAGAAGGATATCCGGAGACCTTTGAGGTTCATTTTAGAGCCGCGTTTTGATTGTGATTTTTTTGAGCTGGTCGTCTAGGTCCCCCTCCCCATTAGCATGCTTTTTATATGTGTGATTTTAGGAGAGTTTTGTGTTTTAAGACCCAAAAGACTTGTATCCATCCATCCAAAACTATATTCCAGGTGTGCTGTAAAGACATGTGGTACCTGGAGACGGAGCGGCCCGCGCAGACGGGCAAAGTGCAGCTCGTGCGGGCGAGCCTCGGATCGCTCGAGGTCTGCTGGCCGTCGGTGCCCAACGCCGAGGCCTACATCCTCCAGATCCAGAAGGTCGAGAAGGGCGCCATTGAGGAGGCTATTCAGAATCGTAAGTTTTTTTTTGTGCTTGATAAGATTATTAATCATTTTTCGGAATTGAGTATTTAGAAAAATTTGCATTGATTTTTCAGACTCTTTTTGGCTTTCCCAATTCGTTTCAGGACGCAAAAATTTTCCGCAGCACTTTTGAAAATGCCATTTTCGAAAATGTGTATTGGATTCGATGCGGCTATTTCATTAATTAATTTTGTTTCAGCGGCCGGCACGATGCCTATGACGCGTCCAATGGTGCAAGGCGGCATTCAGGTTTACAGGTTTAAAAAATGTTAATGCTGATTTAGGCTCGTCTGCCCATCGCCCGCGGCAACATTGTCGGCACCAACTCGCAGAAAGTCATCATGCACCGAACTCCGCAAGGCCAGATCATGAAGGTGCGTCTCGTGCTTGTTGCACAGTTTAAACAACGTTTTGCAGATTGTACGCCCAGCTGGGGCCACGATGATCCCTGCCGGCGGGGGCCAACAAGTCGTCCGCGTCGTCAAGCAGAATATGGGTGGCGCCCCAGTTGGCGCTCAAATGCAGCGTCCTGGCATCAAACCCACCTTTGTCATCAAGTCCCAGGGCCAGATGGCGATGCCCAGCCAGCAGCAAAAGTACGGTTCCTTTTGGTTATGGCTAGGCCTTACAGAGACATGTGGGAAAGGATGTTATGTTATGTGAAAACTATGTTCTTTGAAAATTTATCGTGAGTTGGCCATGCAGCTTCGCCATTTTTCTAGCAGCTTGAAATTCTCCAGTTTTTTTTGGTGACTGTACTGATGTCAGAAAACAATGAGGATTTTTAGCCGTGTCGTCTACGTCTCTCAGACCGGAGTGCCGCAGCAGCAGCAGCTTCTGCAAGCCGAACCGCAAACCGTCCACATCTCTCAGCCTGGCCCCGGAATTTCGACGCAAGGCACCACCTACACCCAGCCGCAGATGACCCAAGATGATGTTTGTTTCGCATTGACTTATTTTATTCTTTCATTTTCAGGGTGGTCTGCCTCATGATTTGCTCGACGAGGCGGCGGAAGCGGCCGATATCCCTTGCCCTTCGCCACCCAAGGACGCGAAACCGCTTGCCGGTGAATCGATGGAGATACCACGCTCTAACGGAGATGAGAATGCAGCGGGCGAGGAGAATGTTGGTGGAGGGGTTTGTACAGCTGCCTATCTAGCATTTCTTTTTTAGACAAACGCTGCTGAAAATGCCGAAGTTCCTACCCTTGTCGAACAGTCCCAGACCGCGATGCCGGAAGCACAAGGATCCGCGGAGGGTGCTGACGTAGCGCCAGTAGAACAGTAGGAGCCTTGCGAAATATTATCCATTATGCTCTACAGGTTCGACGCCGCGGCAGCGGATGCGCAACCGCAGCAGCACGAGCAACCGGTGGAACCCGTTCCGGCAGAGGCTGACGTTCCTCAGGCTAGCGCGGTACGTTTATTCGCTGAGATATTGGGATGAGGTTTGCGACCCCTACGCTCCGCCTTTTTTGGTTACGCAGCTTCCCTTTTTATCCATGTCGAATGCATATGTTGAAAAAGCAGTAACTTCGCGTTTCAGGGGCCCGCCGAGCCGGCTCCTGCCGATGAACCGATGCCCGAACACTACGATCCCGATGAATCTGACCCATCGTTCGGCCTGATCCCCACCAGCACCACCGATTCTTCCAACAGCAATGTTGATCTGCCAGGGGCTCAAGCCAGTATGGCCTGCGAAAATCTCAGCGAGTTGAACACCGACTATCCAGCGCCCACGCCGGCACAGATCAAGGCCGAATTCGATCATCAGGTGCGTTTCGAGCTTGCCGGAATTGACGCTCCTCCCGTTTAGGCTTCCGTCCATCGGCAATACGAGGCCTCCGAGCACAAACCATCGAACTATTCGAGCAGCCAGTCACAATCTGATACCACTCTCCCGGATGAGAAAAATATTGGTGCGCAATAGTTCTTTCTTTTTGTATTCTTGTTTCAGATACCAAAAACGAATGGTTGGACGTTGGAATGATCAAGGGCAACCAGTGCAACGTCACCCACTTCTTCTTGCCCTCCGAGGCCTCGCTGGAGGAACGCTACGGGGTAAATTACCGCATTTTGTGTGCAAATCCGCTTTCAGAACGATTTTGACACGGGGCTTCCGGCTGGTCTCAATCTGCGCAAAGGCGCTCTTGAGTCCGGCACCGCATACCGCTTCCGCGTCGCCGCCTTGAATTCCGTGGGTCGGGGTGAATGGAGCGAAATTACGGCATTCAAGGTGAGTGAATAGCGCGTATGCTAGGTATTCTTGTTTAGACTTGCCTGCCTGGTTTCCCTGGCGCTCCTTCATCGATCAAGATTGCAAAGGGCATTGATGGCGCTCATCTCACGTGGGAGCCCCCGGCGAACGCAGCTAGTTTGTTTTTTGCTACATTCAAAAGAAATTGTAATAGTACTATGATTAGAGTAAAATATATTAAGAAAAATAACGGTAGATTGTTTGAATGAGCTCTTATGATAAAAGTAAAATAGTTTCTTTTTAGTTAGATGGTAAAAAGTAAATTGTCGTTTTTAGTTAGCGGCCGTATCATCGAGTACTCTGTCTATCTGGCCGTCCGCAACCAGGCCAACACCGGCGAGTCGCATCTGGCCTTCATGAGAGTGTAGGTCGCATTGACATTTTCACGATTTCTGTTGTTTTTTAGTTACATGGGCTCCGAACCGAATTGTGTCGTCAACCAGGCCAGCCTCAGCTCTGCTTGCGTTGACACATCTACCAAGCCCGCCATCATCTTCCGCATAGCCGCAAAAAATGACAAGGCACGGGCTTCCTCTAGCTTAAATTATAATAATTTCAGGGATACGGCCCGGCCACGCAGGTCAGATGGTTGCAGGAGCAGCGTATGGCCCCCAACGTTGCCAATAGGTAAATTCGCGCTAACCACCTGGATTCTCTTTCTTTCCAGGTATCCGGTCAGCAGTGTTCCCGCCCAACCCGCCGGCTCCTACTATCCCCCGAAGAGGGTACGAATGGACTAGAAAGGAAATATTTACCCCCTGTTCATTGTTTTTCGGATCTCACCCCTGCTTCCTATTGATTTTCCAAATTCTCACATTGATAATTTCGACCGGCTATCCCCCTTTGAACCACGGATTCAAAATTTTGTCTATAATAAATTCGTTATCCGTACCCTCCTCGCCTTCATCCAAGTGCTATCTCTGCATATAAATATTTGTTCACTGTTGTATCGTCGGACGTTGTCACGGGAACCAGCGGGGACGGGGGGCTTTGCAGGCACAGAACGCGCTAATTAATTGGGCATTGGTGTTGCGAGGTGTAGTGCGCCACTTCCAGGCCTCTGAATGCCGCTCACCACTGCTATCGTCTCGTCATGGTCGGCAAAATCGGATACAGAACTGATTGGCGAGCTAGCGAAGCAAAATGATGATCTCGCCCAGCGGTCACAATTCTCGGAATTGGATGCAGATTTGCGAAAAGTACATTCAACCGTCCCGAAATAAGTATTCAGCTTCTAGGAGTTACAAGAGTTCTTGGCAGAACGTCCAGAAAGCTCCACACCAGAAGTTTCGACCGAGATACTGCGTATGCTTCGGATATTGGCCCGCGACCAAGGATTGATAGATGGGTTACTGAATGAGGCAAAGTACGACTTGGTGATAATGTGGTATTTTTAGAAGATTTGTAACTTCATCATCGAAAACAGTGGGCTGCACCGGGGCAAACCGACCCGAAGCTATTCGTGTAAGACATCCATTTGCGCTTCGCAGCTTTTCTTAGGTCTTGACGAGGCGGAAAAGTGCTTAATTAACACGCTGCATCACTCGTCTAAAGCACGAGCTATTTTCGAGTATGTTTTTATCATTCATACACTAGCAATTCTTCAGGAAAGTTGCCCTCGAGCGACTTATTGAACGGCTTGGCCAGTTTCGAAGTGGATCCAGTGTTTCTGTGGTCAGACATAAATTGCAGTTTTTGAAACATGTATTTAGGACGGACTAACGCAACCTCTGAGCGCCAAGCAGGCGGAAGATATTTGGTTCTACGATTTGCGGATCTCTTTCGTTTCTTCTGCCCATCTGCCATCAATTCAGGTTTGACGAGTCGGAGGAATAAAAAGGATTTTTTAGAAAACATGGCGTGAAAATCCAGCCGTAGCCGGTGTATTTATTGAAACGGCTCAGGAGATGCTCGAGAAGAAAGCGTGGGTTTTGCCGCGCTTTTGCGACGTATTCGTTTTTAGAGACGAGAATTTCGGCGACGCACCCAGCGCAGTCAAAAACCGTGCCTCTGAAGCTCTGAAAATCCTGTACAACTTGATTTGCCGTTGCCCTAACACTGGTTTCCCCACCGTGAGTCTATGAATAATTTTGAGGAATTGGATTTTAGAACTTTCCGGCGAAGCGGCTTACCGAATTGGCTTGCGATTTCGTGCGAGTCGGGCTGCTCTTCGGACAGGATCTCCTGCAACATGGCGTCAATCTGTTGACAGCCGTTCCGCGTAGCCTGGAACTTATTGAGATTGCGTGCCCAAAGGTTTTTGAAACATTATTCGTCTAATGTGGCGTTTCCGGTGGAACCGAGTTTCGAAGGAAAGCAGCATGAAGGTCGGGATATGACGATACCGGACGTGCTCGTGACAATTCTCGGGAACCTGCTCGATGAGAAGGTTGGCTTTTTGCTCTCTATCCCTGGCGTTTTCTCAATTTTGGAATATTTTTATTTGTTTTACCTCAATTTATTCCGCCTTGAACATAATTTTATTTAAATTTATTCAACCTGAAACTTTATTCGGCCTATTTCAATCAAAACCGGATGATGGAACATAAGATGCAGATATCATAGCAAAGATATCACGTTCCAGAAAATTCAATTCCAGAAAACCGCTTCCGAACGGGATCTCCTGAACACCTACTTTGCCGTGTTGCTGAACATTTGCTCAGAATGCGCCGAGGCTAGACGCTACTGCAGGCTGATGGTCTTTTTTTTGAAATTCGGGTTCTAATTTTAGTCAAATCCAGATCCTACCACCACTACGAGCCTCCGACGTTGCTCGTCGACCCGATGAAGGGGATACGCTGCGCAACCGCATGGTGCGCGCCATTCACGCGACGGTCAGCCGCGACCTGGCCGCCGAGTTTCTGTTTGTACTGTGCAAGCGATCAGGTTTTTCTTCATCAAGTCTTCTGATTTCAACTTCTTTAGTGCCGCGGATGATAAAGTACACCGGTTTCGGCCATGCGGCCGGTCTCTTCGCGGATCGCGGGCTGCTGGGCAAGATCAGCGAGCGCAAGGACGGCGACAGCGAGGATTCCGACACGGAAGAATACAACGACGTTCGCGACAAGTGAGAAATAGCCTCAAATGCCTAAAACTGGGATTAAGTGTGAACCCGGTGTCCGGCTACGTGCAGCCTCGAGGCGAGAACCCCCTGGCCGACATGTCCGACGAGCAGAAGGAGTACGAGGCCATGAAGCTGGTGAATGCTATTGATCAGGTACGTTTGTCGACAGCCAAAATTATCGAATCTTACTTGTAGATGATGCGCAGTGGCGGGATTCGGCCGGCAACTATCGGGCCAGATGGTCGTCCCCGTGAAGTGTCCCACGTACTGGAACTTGCCAAGGATGCGCCCGCTGACGAGATGAACTCGGACAGCGATTGATATTGTAGAAAGTTTGTGTAAACTGTGTATGTATTTTGTACTTTGTAATCCGCCCCCACTTGCAACAGTTTGATCTCTAAAAGCCTAGTCCCACATAAATGTAATTTGCGCATGATAAAAACGTTATCCACCATGCTCATCACCTTTATAGGCAAATTATACACAAATGATAGAAAATAACAATACACGCGTTACCGAAATAGCGCAAGGTTAGTGTGGATATGAAAACATGTACATAATTTGGGGAAAGAGCGCACCAAGTATCACGATCACGATTCTGGGGGACGAGAGGTAAATGACGAGGCCACAAATATCACAGGCAGAGTACGGGAACCGGCGGGAGAGATTTTGTTTTTAAAAGGAAGTATGCCTGCTGGGACCCGGTGCTGCACCATCAGTCATCGGCGAAAAGAAGAAGTCACGGAGAAGCGCCACGCGTTTGTTCTCGGCTCTGAATTTTAACGATTAGTAAAGCGTAGTAAGGAAGAAGTTATCAAGTTCGCAGAATACAAATTCCGCCTAAAAACGTAAACGTAATTTACCTATGCATTGACGCTTCCAATGCTCCGCGATCGGCCGTATCGGCACGTTCCACGGCCCATGCCAGATCCTCAACCTCGCGCTCGAGCACGCCTTGCTGGAACTCGAACTAAAAGAGGATCATCAATGATAGCTAGACAGTACCAAGTCCTTGCGAGCCGACTTCTCCAAATAGTAGGCGAACGGGTAGGTGTACTGCAGGGTGTAACGGCAGCTATAAATCGCGTAAGGACATTATAATAGGAAATTACCGCGTCAGCAACGAGGCAGCCGTGTGCAGGTGTTGCCAATCTATCCACGTACCCTCGTGTTCGTTCACCTAAAAAAGTTTAGAAACCGCCGAGTTATTCACCTTGGTGTCAATCTTTCGCTTAATCTTCTGCCGCAGTTCCTCCTCCATCTTGAGCGATTTGTTGTGATTTTCATATCTGCAAGAGGTTCAAGTTAACCGGGTATGTTTATCGTACCTTTCAAAATAGTGCAAATATTTCTCCAGGGCCCTGCGCGCCTTCACGTGGTTTGCTTCGGCGGCAACGCTGGGATTTTCCTTGTATCGGCTGCAGACGTAGTACTCGGTGCCGTGACTTTTCCAATCTAAAAAAACGACGTTTGCGATACATTGAAGAGAAATTGACCTCCAAAGCACATCCAACAAAAATGGTGCTTGCACTTGACACATTGCATATGGTTGCAGCCGCCATTTTTCTCGATGCAAGCATGGCACTGCGGGCAGTCTTTTGTGTGGGCGCTGAAAAAGCAGGGACTACAGCGAGGCGGGATGTTTTACCTGATATAATTTGCCGTTTCGCTATCGTCCGCGCATTTCAGCATCCATTTCTTGATGACGTCGCAAGAGGTGGGCGCATGGTAGTCGATGCCGCAGAGAACGCTAAACAAAACATCAGCGAATTAGCTGGAAAACGCACCAAAACGAGACTTCGCATTTGCCGCAGGTTACTCGTTTGGGTTGGGTCTCTTTGGAGCGGATGATGGCCTAAACAAGCCGACATACAAATAGAAAAAATGCCATGGTACCGAGCAATCCTTTCCAACGCAAAATCGAAGCTCTGGGTGGGCAATGACGTAGTCTCGATACAAGAAACGCTCATATCTAGAAAAATGAGCCAATCTTAATAGGCCTCTAAACTTACTTTGCTCGCAACGATGCTTTGTCCAAGAGCTTGAGCACAAATTCTGGCGGCGCCACTACAGCGCATTTTGTAGACATGCATAGGATCCGCGTTGCATTGCCTTCCAATAACCTATAAACCTATGTATACAACAATTAGATAAGCCAAACCTCGTCTCAAAGTAGGTCCCCCAACAGTGAGAACAGAACCCGTGTCTGCAGCAGAGCGACCGTAGGTCGTCATCTGAAAATCAATCAATTCATATTACCTAGAAAATCTCAATTACCTGTATTATAACACACTAGACACAGCTGGCCCTTCTCTTCTCGATGACTGGTAGCTGGCTTTACGCCGCAACTAACCAGTGTACCTTCCATATCTGTCGCCAACAGTTGGCGGACCTGGAAGAATCGGGTGGAGCGGTTAGCCGGAAATACCTTTGTAACATCCCAATTGTGTGCGTGAAGGAGTATCTTGGCTAGAGAAGGAGTCACGTAGCCACCGACCACCGACGCCAAGTTTTCGTTCAGCAAACACTCGACCTTGAAGCAGAAGTTCAGATAGGTTTCTCATCCTTACCTGGAAATGGTCAAGGCATTCAGCTTTTGCCTCTTCCGCTTCCGGGTCCCATTTATCCTCGTCGGGTATCTCGTTCATATATGTGTCCTCATCATTGTAATAATCTAAGCGCGAATGTTTTGTAAGTTTAAACGGCAGACCACAGTCGTCCATGTAGTCGTCGTCATCGGAATTGTAGCACTGCTCATCATCGGCCATTGAGTGGTTTAGGGTGATGAGGTGCGTGCTGTAAAAGAAGGTTAACTAGCTCAAGGGACGGTAATCGAATCAATAGAAAACAAGGTTGAAAGCATCAAGTCGTTAGTGTCTGGGTAACAGCTGATGTCTCAGACGGGCAGCGAGAGCACAGACAACAGGGAAGCGCGTCGAGACTCAATAACTTGTCTCAAGGGAAATATGGCAATGAGCAAATGTCGCACGGTTCGCACGGGAGCATTTACTAAGTAAACGTTGTATAGTAATCATTAGCTTGTATAATACTTATCGTGCATTATTACAAGTGTGTGAATTATGCGACCTCGGCTAATTTCCCGAAATATACCGAATCCGCCCATTTGTGTTGTAGACACCTGATAAAATACATTAAATATAATGTTCGCGACTGGTACGATTGCCATATTTCAAAATCCGACACAAATCGGGGAAACTAGTTTATTAGTAACAACAGCGTTAGATACGAGCAAAGGCCGGAACAGGCGACAAAATCACAGTGAAAACATCAATCAACAACTGAAAAGGGCTGCAACAAAAATGTTTAAGATTCACAGGTAAATACTAAGATATCGACAAAACAAAGATCATAACAAAGCGATTAGTCGTTGGGGAACAGGGCAGCGGGCTGGACGAGGGCTTCGGCTAGATCAGCGAATCCGATGATGAGAAGGGGCTGCTTGAGGTCGGTCGATGTCTGAAAAAGAGATTTTTTCGGTTCTTGACTGTTAACGGGGGTACGGCGCCAATAATCAAATACGCACGATTTCGACAGCTTTCAATGCAGCATAAAAAGTTCATAAAAACTTTGTAAAACGGGCACAATTTTGAATTTTGGTCGAACATGTATGAAACTCGTCAATTCCAGATTTGAAAAATTACAATTTTTAGGATTGTTTAGAAAGCAAAAATTGCCGAAAAATGATGATTTCACCCCAAAAATGTATTAGGTAAGTTTTCCACCCCCGCTAATAGTCCAGTACCATTTTTTTCGATGAATGCATAACCATTAATATACCTGGACCGTAAAAACGCTGTCGAGACGCACGAGGGCATTCATCACATCATCGGCCTTCTGCTTGCACATCTTCAGTTCGCTCGCCTGGCTTTGTCGCTGCAGCTGCTAAAATTCGAAGAAAGTTGCCTCAAACTGGAGAAACCACCTTGCAAAGCCCTGTATCGAAGCCCAGCAAGTTGCGCAGCAGCGCCGACGACACGGCGCACCTCACGTCGGTCGCGCTCTCGTCAGTCACCAGCAGCTGAACTGAGACATAAGTGCCAAAAGAAGAAGAGTCACCTCTAGATCCCATTTGTCTTCACGACCGCGCAGTTGGTAACACAACGAACTCATTAGCGGCTAAACGTATCCTTCGAGGATTTCTTCTTATAAGCTATTTTCGAAGTCATATTTTTCAAAAATACTTTTTGAAAAAGATGTGGGTACATGATTTTTCAAAATGTGCGTGGTGATTAATCGTTAGCTCAGCAAATTTGGAAAAAAACGCATACAATGATTAGGAATTGCCGGCTAAACGGCCATGTCCGGCGTCCCGCGATGATGTCGGCGAGAAGCATGCGGTCTCTGTAGAGGTCTTGCGTTTTCTGAAGATCAAAATTGGGGGCTGAGGCTTGAAAAAACCTTTTCCACGACAGGATCTCGGGTCTTTGGTGGTCGAGGCGGAGATTTGGCAGAAACGTAGTCGTCGACAAAAAGGTCCTTAAAACCTTTTTCGAAGAGTCGCGCTCCCAAACCTGCGTGTCAAAGCCGCCACCCTCATTGTCGTCCGTTAATAATTCCCACTAAACAAAAAAAAATCTACTAGAAACAAAATGTCCAACCACAACAGAATCGCCGGCTCCATTTTCACGGTTGTTCCGGGGCCGTTGACTTGGAGAAGCCGGTGGATCATCGGCGAAGCGGATCCGACGGACACGAGGAGGACTTTTCTGAATTCTGGACAGGAAATTAAAAACAATTTTGAAAAGCAACCTGTCAACGCTGATTACGCACCGCCGATCGATGAGGGACTTCTCCAAGGGTGGTGACTCGCTCGACAAGAAGTCATCAAACGCTTGCGATGGTCCACCAAAAAGGCCACCACATGGTTTCTTGGGCGTCGGTTCCGGCGGAGTAGGAGATGTGCCTCTGTCTGATAAAAAACTAAAATCTGACAAGATATATCCCACCGACGGTTTTCGACAGCCGTCGTCTAGGCGGAAAGCCCATCTTTACCAGCGTTGGGGTCGTGCCGACGGCGGCATCTAAAAAACACAAAATAAATTCACGAGTTGCCGACAAATTCCAACCCATCAGTTGTTTCTGCTGACCATGAGCTGCTTGACGTCGAGGCAGAACTGCGGCAACTCCTTCTAAAATTTAGCTACATTATTGGCCAAATCTTGTACCTCTCTCGCCCTGTGCAACTGATGAAATTTTCGGCCTTTTCGGTTCGGTGTCGACCGTCGCGGGCACGCTTTCTCCATCAATCGGGTTCACCCTCGTGACTGTAGGCTTAACATCCCCCTAAAATTTGATTTTGTAATATTGAACAAGCAAACTTTTCGCTCAGCTTTGGTTAGGCATGCAAATAACGATCGACGCGTTGCACCGGCGCTACCGGCCAGATCATCGTCGACAACTCTTCTTTGCGCGGCGTCTGGCCCATGCGTTTCGTTGCTTACAACCTAAAGAAGTAAATAAATATCACAATAGTACTCACAAAATCCGTTATAGATCGCGTCCCAACGGCTGCCTTCCTGAAAAATATACACATTTAATTGGATAGCTAAAAACGCACTCGAGCTCCCGTGCAGCACGCTTTTTCGATGGCTGGAGGTTGAAGCCCTGGAATATATTCATAATGCCGAAACTCGAAATGAGTAAATCAGAACGCATAAAATGAAATAGTGATCTCCAATTTTGAAAATACAAAAACTAAAATTTGCTATATCGAGAATATATCTCATTTCTATTAGGAACTTTAGGAAATTCGACTGTAATTGGAATTTACAAAATAAGGCAACGGACCATCAATGAGACGTTAGCGAGCGGGGCAGCCTTCGTTGTGATCGGCTTCGTCTCATCTTCACCCGAGCGACTGCCGGATGCGACGGGTCCCACGATGGCTAGCCGAGGCACGATGATCGACGGTGAGTCTCCGGCCTGGAGCATCAATAGAGTCAGAATAAAAAAGCTTACCGCTGCTAGCATGCTCGTATCCGGTTCGCGCTTCAGCTTTTGCGGAGTAATTGGTCGTTCGTAGGTCTGAAATGAAATAAAATAAGGAGAAAAAAAGAGGATCTACCTGATTCACTGCCTTTGCCGGAGGGACTTCTTGCAGGATGTCAGCCTAAAAAGGAGTGGTTTTTGAAGGTGACAATAGTTCGAAACGTGGCGTAGCCTAACCGATCAGGCTTGAAATTTTTGAGGGAGTCGCAGCTTTCCAAAGAGCTGAACGATAACAGTAGCCTAGCAAATTTGCTTTTTTTTCATTTTTCCGCTCGCTACTAGATCCAGACTTTTATAACTTTTTCGCGTCGGCTCTTATCAATCGGACTTTTTTGAAAAATGGGCTCGGCTCAGAAATTGACGCTCTATCGAATGAGCTAAGTCACGACGCGAAACAACATTATCACCAACAGCCAAGTGTCCAATTATAAAGCGCGACCATTCTTACCATTTCATGATTCGCATATGGGACCGATTCACGTGCTTTCGGTGGGCGCGATTCGTTGTTGTTCGGCTCGACGAGCGGCCTAAAAATCGATATTTTAGTTGAATGCAAGAAGAAGCTCTACTTTATCCGTCGTGAATCCGGAGAGGCCGGCCGTTTTTGTTGGAAATTGGAGACGGGGCGAATAGTGGCGATGTTGGGCTTCTCGGCAGCGACCCGGAGAGCATCGTGGTCGATCACGGGTAGTGGAGGAAGTTGGCTAAAATCGCAGATTAAAACTACACCAACTACGATATACCGTTTTTTTAGGCTCGCCGCCTGATTATTTGAGGCTGGCGGTTGAGGATTCATCGATACAACGTGCGTTGGGTGACTTGGGCTAAAAAAATGATCAGATAAGTCAGAAACCAATACCTTTTCTTCTCAGGTTCGCTGACGACGGCAGTCACCGAAAGGTTCGCTATCTTCCGCTGCGTGGCCGGCTTGACAAAAACTTGCATCGGGGTGCATTCGATCTTGTCGGCGGATCTAATGCGAGATGAAAGTAAGAAAATCGAACTGACAGATCCCGTGTTGCAACTGGCGTGTCCAATAAGGTGATTTCCTCTATTACCCGTGGCGGCGGAGCTTCTGATTTGACTTGAGGCTGGTTCGCTAAAACAAAAAAAGATGCATGGCGCATATTCTTACCGGCCGGCTTTTCCTTTGGTTTCAGGAACGGAGTGATCGTTTTGCTAAATTTGTCTATGGAAAAAGGATATGCTGCTACTGCTTACTTTCCTTCCTTTGTCCGATGCACATCAGGCACTGTAAGTGGAATCTTTCTAAACGAGGTACACTAAATAAGGAAAGCTCAACTAACGGCTTGATCTTCAGCTTTTCCTCCAAGAGCTTGATGCGATCCTTGTAAACCGCCGGACACTCGCCTCCAAGAACCTGAAAAAGGTAAAAGCCTAAAATCAATCCTACTTGGCAGTTATCATTGCTCAGCCAAAGCACTCCATCTCTGCACTTCACTCGACCACGCGTCAGCAACTAAAACGAGTAAATCTGGGTGGTAAAACAAACCTTGGTACCCGGCGGTGTTCGTTCGTCAATATCATCGAGTCCCCCATAAATGACCGCTGCCAATTCCACAACACCATCAGTGAGGGTGAGACGCAGCATCGAATTGGCCCGCTCCCGTCCCTCGCCAGCTGAAGCTCCCTAAAATGCTGAATTGCCTTGCTCAAAAAAACCCTGTACCTCCTCCGCTTCGGAGCCTAGGAACCAGGAAAGATCTTCATCCTTCTTCCGCGTTAATTCCTGGTATTGTTGATACAGTGGCCGGGAAATGTCGAACACAGAGATGACCTAAAGCAAAAATTAAATTTACAGCTCTTTGAACCCGCCTGGAAGAAGTGCTGCTTGACGAGGAAAAGTTGGCGTGCCTTGGCGGGTAGGCGAAGCGGCGGCTCGTAGCTGTCGACAAGGTTAGAGTAGAGAAACTGCTCAACAAGCCGCGCCAGGTGCTCATCACCACTACTTCGGAGTTCTTCAGCGGCCGTATGTTCGATGGCTGCCCGCAACCAGGGTCCCTAAGAAGAGAATGAATAAAAGTGAGGAGGCACAAACCTTGACTTGAATATGGTGTCTGAGGAGGGCGGTCCGCAGATCCGGTTCATCCATCCAACACGAAAGCGTCGGGCGCAAAATAACAAATAAATCTGGCTCTGAAAAAGTTAAATATAACGATTGAAAAAAAAAGAACTTTAAAGAACAAACAGCTAGGTAACAGGTAAAAAAATAAAGTGCTCGTAATTTTGTCAGAAAAAGAAAACTTCTTATTGAGAGTTCCCCTACGCGAGGCTACAATACACGCATCACCGGCCGTTGTGAGTCGCATGGAGTCTAGTTTTATAAAACAGCCTCTTTATAAATAAGTTTTAATAAAAACTCAATTCCACTTTCGTGCGCAATGCGAGCCATTTTTTCCTGTCAGAATAATGCCAAATATAATTTTGTGCCTAGATCCGTTCCTGAATAGCTGATCATCAACAGAATAGCCTGTTTTCACGCTGCAACTTTGAAATATTGCACTTTTTGCGGTTACACCGTAAGAGCAGATAAAAAAAGACCAAGAAAAGAATGAAATCCTTTTATTATAGGACACAGGTTTCAAATAAGCGATAAGTTGATTGCGCAGTCGTCGGCATCCACGGTTTAGCCTTGCGTATCTTCCGTGGTTCCGCTGGAGTTTGCTGCAAAAGCATAGAACTAGGTTTTCCAGTCAGCTCACTAACAAGCGCACTCACCCTTCTTTTTCTTGCTGACCTTCATGTTCTTGTTGCTCACGCGATTTTCTGAAAATTAGACGTTTTTGAGCGGTTTTTTTAGCGTTCTAGTGGTGTGTACTATTTTTACTTGTTAAAGCTAAGCCTTAGCTTCTCTCACCGGGCGAGCCCCGGACGTTGCCCGTTGATTCACGGGAGGCCGCCTCGATTGGCTGCGGCGAGCCGCCTTTCCCTGGCCTATCGTTGAGCAGCGGCTGGGCGGCCTCCAGATCTTTCGGGTTGCGGGAGCGCTTCTCGCTCGGCTTGGGCGGCTTCTTCTTCCCCAGCCGGCCGACCACCTTGTCCTTGATGCCGCCGAGAGTGGCGAGGAAGCCCTGGAAAATGCAAAAAAAAACTCGTAATCTGTCTTTTCGGCAAACCGTGTTTGAGGGTTGGTTGTTCTCGAGGGGTGGGGTGCGGGCCTTTTTCGGGCTTCGGTCCTTGTTCTTGCTGAAAGCCGATGCAGTAGTTGCAGGATTTAGCTGTAAAACGCTATAATCTCAAACCTCTCGGCCTTGTCCTGTCGCTCGTGCGCCGTCACCTCCATTCTGGCGGGGGTTTCGGAGCCGCGGGTGGACGGCTTCAGCTCGGCCATCGTCTGCTTGGAGGCCTCGCGGCCCTCCTTGAACAGCCGGTCGGCCGCGTGCATTTCGCGGAAGCCATGGCGGCAACACTAGAGAAAAAATTTCGAAAAGTTGGTAAGCTCCACCTGCTCGTGCACACGCCGGGCTTCATCGACCAGGGCCGCGGATGGCGGGTGATTGCTGCAAAAAGTCCGCCAATACCTTAGAAGGAATCCTTTGTAAAAGTTAATAAAAAAAACGCCGTAGTTATTTAAAGGGCTGCCGACGGCATGTGTCGATCCCCCCTCATCAACAAATTGGCAAGTAGCCAACAGGGGAGAGAGGGCCCCCAGGGGAGAGGCGCAGAGACATTTTCTTTTCCGCGCGTAACCGATTGTCTATGCCGTCGGCATCCCTTTAACCCTGCATTTTATTTGGTTGCTTTCTGGGCAAATGGAAAGTTTGAGCCTAGAAATATAAAAGCCTAAAACGCACAAAAGGCTGTGCTCGTTCATCATGTCGTAGGCGGTGTCGACTTGCAGGCGCAGGCGTTGCACGTCATCCACACAGGTCGACGGCATCCGTTCTTGATTGAGATGTTAGAGGTATTAAAAGAGAGGTAGACTTTCCATAAGAATCCATGCCCTTTTCCTCAATACTATCATAATGTCGAAAATCTCCTTTTTGAGATTTCAAAATGTCGAAATGATGCCGAAATTTGTCGAGCTTTTCAAGAACAAAACCACGCAAAAACCTCCAAATACGATGCCAAAAATGCCGAAAGCTCAAAATGCCGATATTCTAAAATTCGGTAAGGTGGTTTGCGACAAAATGAAATATCGACATCATGAAAATGCGCAGTTTGCCTCACCTAGCGCGGCAATTTTCTTCTCGTGCTCGTCGGTGCGTTCCGCCCACCATTCGGCGTTCGTTTTCTGGAAGAGAAACTCGTGATGTAGGGTCAAAATTTTAGAATTTTCAGGACTAAAAAATATTTCTGTAAGTTTCTAGCAATCAAAAACTTGTAAAAACGTCATTAAGACATTGATACTATTAACAGGTATGCGTAAAATTTATTCCCCCGCTAACAATCCAGTACCCATATTTTATCCTCCTAAATAACACCTGCAGTTCGCCAGCCTCGATGACGAGATCATGGCTGGGATTTGGTGCACCGGCAACAGTGGCCATCGTTAGAGAATCGGGATTTTTTCAATTTCTTCGTAGTTTCAGTTCCCGAATTTTCAAGTTTATTATGCAAATTTATGCAAATTGCCTCCTTGCGGCCGAAGAGCATAATAAACGCCCTATAAGGAAGGGTATGGTTTTCGAGGGGCGTGGGTTCGTGCCCTGGGACGGGGGGGACCGGAATGGGTTCGATGCGCCGGGGGAAAAGCCAATGGGTATGCCCGGGATCGAGCGCCGTCTTGAAGTGCCACTCCCTGTATATAACTGCTCCTCGGAGGTAGTGGCTTGCAAATTTCGCCCATTGTGAATTTGTTCTCGCCACCCGGCTGGTATTTGCAGCAAATACTGCTTAGGCCGGATAGGCTTAGCTTAGACTTAGCTTAGATTTAGCTCAGGCTTAGCTGAGGCTTAGCTTAGGCTTAGCGTAGTCTTAGCGTAGGCCGAGCGTAGGCTTAGCTTAGGTCTAGCGTAGGCTTGGCTTAGGTTTAGCTTAGACATAGCTCAGGCTTAGCTTAGGCTTACCTTAGGCTTAGCTTACGTTTTGAAGTAGGCTTCGGCTTAGGGCAGTGTTGCTTTCAATTTCAGCTTGCCTAATTTCCCTGAATTCCCTTCCTTTCCCCCCGACTGCTTAGCCGATCAGCGCCCAGCGGGACGCCGAAGCCTAACTGGTTTCAGTCTGCCCCTGGGTTAGGTGGATTGTCCTTTTGCCGGTGGCCAGGTAACGATCGGATGGACCACCAGAAATTTTTTGTGATCCATTTTTTGTGATCGTTTTCCGATCTTTTCATAGGTCTTCTCGAAGTAACTGATTTTTAAAACCTTGCCTAGATCGACTTCGGACTTTTCTAAGGCTAAGCACCTCAGTCTAGGCCTAAGCCAAAGCGAAAGCTTAAGCCAAAGCTAAAGCCTAAGCCTCAGCCTAAACCTCGGCCAAGCCATTCACATTGTGCAATCAAATTTGATGAATGTTGGCAGGGCATATCATGGGTTCGTTTTTTCCGGGATCCGCCCGGCTGATGTCGAAAGGGAAAAGCCGGGATGGATCTCGAGAGAGAGAGAGAGCCGGAAAAAGGGGAGCACTAACCGGGCAGAAGCCAGGCAGGCTCTGAGTACTCAACCACACGAATACCAGCCATTTTCGGTCCATCCCGCCCATCGGGGGGTTAGTCTCGACCCGTTCTTGACCATCATAGCAATCACTAGCCCTCTCTCGGTCTCTCTCTCTTTCGGTCTCTCTCTCTCTCTTGCCTCCATCACTGTTATCCGATTGTGCAATGGCCGACGGGAGCTTGAATCCAGATGGATGCTTCTTCTTATTCACTGCCCACTTCCCCCCGCCGCCCTCCAACATTCCGATCCACTTTATCAGCCCCCGGGCCCGGGAATCTGCCCTTTATGCCCTCGCCGTCGTGTTTTCTGATGCTCAGCTGATTTTTGAGGGATTGTTATAGTAGCCACGGCCACGCTTAAACCCAATTCCAAGACTTAATCAAAGCTCATTCCTCAGTTCAAGCCGAGAGTAAGCACAAGCTAAGCTAACTAAGCCTGACTTGTGGCCTAAGCCTAAGTCTACCCTACTATAAGCTCACTTATGCTGAAGCCCAAGCCCAGCGCAAGCCGGTATGCGAAGCCTCGCCGGAGTTTCGGGAAGAGCCGGAACCTGACTCTAAGTCAGGCTTGAGCCTTGAGCTGAGACCATCTCCTTGTAAGCCTGAGCCTAATCCAAGCCTAATTAAAGGGCTGCGGACGGCATGTGTCGACCCCCCCTCATCAACAAATTGGCAAGTAGCCAACAGGGGAGAGAGCGCGCCCAGGGGAGAGGCGCAGAGACATTTTCTTTTCCGCGCGTAACCGATTGACTATGCCGTCGGCATCCCTTTAAAGCTGAAGCTCAAGTCCAGGAGTCAATTTTCCGTCTCGCTACTCTAGCAGACACTACATACCGTATCCGGAACTTGATGGAATATGGACACATTTTAGCGTCTCGCCTTTTTTGCTAAAACCCCATGATTAGGGTTTCAGGTTTCCGATCAGCTTTTACTTTGCATTCCCCCTCATGCTCCCCGGAATACCCGGTATTGAGCATCAGTTCCGCTTGACCTAATTAGTTGCGTTTTCCCCCATCGCCCGACCCGGTGAAAAAAGGGAGATCCCGCTTTTCCTTTCCACCCGACCCTTTTTTGCTGATTTTTTTTGATCATCGAAAGTTTGCATTATATTTATCATTTCGCTATCGTTAAATTCTACGATTTTTAAGCGTGTTTTTGCTGGATGTACGCTGGAGTATGCTGGACCCGCCGGTGAAGATATTCAGCTGCTTTTTACTAATTTTATTCGCCAAATTCAATGATGGAGCCGAGGTGGCAGGTGGGTGAAAAATGGATTTTGCTTACTGTATTTATAGCTTTAAAGTGGAAATCTAATAGTTAAGCATAAGGAAAAGTTTCAAGTTACAGTACTCCATAGTTCCGTACCTTCCTATCAACGTTTGCTTTTTCTAAATAGTGCACAAAATGATGTAAAATGCTCAAAAACAGTAGTATACTTTGTAGCAATTATTAAAACCATGCTACGGTATTTTATTATTTTTTGAATATACCGTAATTCGTGTTTCCGTATTTTCCCCTGGACGTCTTATTTTGAAGTTGCAAAATTCCAAAAAAATGACGGAAAATGAAGTGCATAAGCTGTACAGGAGTTATTCAAACGACAGTCTTCCGACGATCTCCTAGCAGATTTCCCAATTTTCGACTCAAATTTCAAGAAGTTTTTACAGTTTTTTTTAGACGATTTCTCTCCTTGAAATATGGCCAAATTTTATTAAAAATTATTAAGTTACTAGGAATTTTAGGACTTGTGCGCCCCCCGATAAGGCGAAAGAACCCCTTTTAGAAATCATCGGCTGCAAGTTCTCCTCCCCGTCGGGGGCTCGATTTATCTCGTTGACCTCCCCGGTGTCGGCGTTCAGCGACATTTTCGAGGCGACCGTAACCCCGGCGGATGCGAGCATCGTACTCGCATCCGTACGGAGCAGTAATATTGAACAGGTACGTGGAGTTAGTGAAGCCTAAGCCTAAGCCCAAGCGACAGCCTAAGCCGAACCCGAAGCCTAAACACCATTCATTTCCAGGCCAACTTCACAAGCAGATTCCGGCTAGAGGGACCGGACGCGGATGGCCATTTTACGATCAGCAATACGCAAATTTTGCGTCTACCACCGTACCCGTTCCAGTACACCGAGTAAGTCAAAGCGTGCTGGGTTCAGCGCACCGTTAAATTGCCTATTTGCGCTGTTTTTTACCTTTAAAGGGAGGGTGACAGTGTTAAAAAGTTGCCTTTATCGTGTAAAATGAAAGAAAAGGTTTAATAACTTTTGTTGAAAGGCTAGAAAGCTTACATCCAAAATTACAGTACCCTCCTCTACGCGACCGTCGTCTGCAATGGGGAAGCCTACCCTCTGGTCACGATCCGAGTGAAAACATCCGATTCGCATGCCCCATATTTCTACCAAACACCGTACCACGTTAGCTTGTCAGAGGTACGGTAGCTTGCGTGTCTTTTAGATAAAATAAGTGTTTAGGCAGTGCCGCTGGGAACGGAGATCGATACACCCATTTTGGCCATCGACTGGGACCCGGCGCATGATTATCCGATTACGTTTTCGATTGAGGTAGATTTTGCTAAAGCTTGAGCTTGATCCTAAGTTTAAGCCTAAGCCAAAACTAAGCTAAAGCTAAGCCTAAGCCTAAGCGAAGCCTAACTCAAACCAAAACCTACGTCAAAGCTCTGAAAATTCCGTAATACACCTAACTCCAGGACAACGATTCCCCCTTCTCGCTCGCGGACCCGATCTCAGTTCATGGCACTGATTTTTTGCCCCCAGAAGCCGTGCCCCGCTGGAGTCCCGAGCAACTACCGACTGTAGTCAGACTACGGTAGCTTGGAGTGCCCTTTAGAAATTCATTTTTAGCGTCGATGAACCGCTCGACTTTGACACGCAACCGAACAGTTATGTGTTGACGATCGTGGCCAAGGTGAGAGAGAGAGAGAGAGAGCGAGGGAGAGAAAGAGAGCGAGAGAGAGATAGAAAAATAATTTTCAAAGTTCAGGACAATGCCGAACCCCCAAACACTAACCGCACCCGACTCGTCGTTCACCTCCTTGATGCCGATGATCAACAGCCCCGCTTCACCAGCGAGGAGTACTTGGCGCTGATCCCGAAGGTAAGTTGCCGATGCTTTGAAGTATGTGTTGCAAGCTTCACTGTACCTTTAAATTTGTAATTTTCTCAGAAATGGTCAATTGGGTCGTCCTTGACGGTGACGCCGCCACTGCACGCATTCGATGGTGATCTCGGCATCAACAAGTCGATCATATACAGCATTGATGCGAATGCGATGGGTGAGTCCCTTGGCAGTCCGTTTAAAGCGAAATCTTGACTTCAGATGCGCTCACGATTGATGCTCAAAGCGGCGAGATCACGCTCATTGACGAAGGAGCCGCAATTCCGGATACGATTGTTGTAAAGGTTTGAAATTAGCGTGATTTTTTATAGAACTGGGTTTCTCGGCTAACAAGCCTAAGCCTAAGCCCGACCTAGGCCTAAGTCTAAGCCTAAGCATAAACCTACGTCAAAGCGTTACCTAAACATAAGCCTAGTCCTAATCCCAACCTAGGTCTAGTCCTAAGTCTAAGCCTAAGCCTAAGCCTAAGCATGAGCAACATTTTGTGAAGGGATCGTCTTCATTGGTTCCTATAATTCCAGGCCACCCAATCGGACCACGAGTCCCGTTTCGCCACAGCTCGCCTGCGGGTCGTCTCCGATCTGCCGCAAGCGACCTTCGACAAATGCGAGGTGTACGGTAAGGTTCAAAAAACTTCAAATTTTGGATTAAATTTAGCCTCACTCCTCGAGAACACGGCCCCAGGGACGCCGGTCGTTGAGATTAGCGTATTGCACAGGACGGAGGTATCGGGATTTTTTGTTAAGGCGAGAGAGTGAGAGAGAGACAGAAAGAAAGAGAGCGATAGAGAGTGAGAGAGAGAGAAAGAGAGAGATAGAGAGAGAGCAAGAGAAAGAGAAAGAGAGAGAAAGAGAGAGAAAGAGAGAGAGAGCGAGAGAGAGAGAGAGTGAGAGAGATAACGATACCCAATTTCATTATTTAGAAGTCCCACGTCAAGCTTATCGACCCCGATGGAACGTTCGCTCTAAAAGTTGACCCGACCGCCCCCTCCAAATTGCAAGTGATCGTGAAGAACTCACGTCTACTCGATCGAGAGCTTTTCTCGACAATTGAGGCTGTGCTTCAGCTTGAGGTGATTTTTTCGAAATCGCTCCTAAAGATGGTTTAGGACTCAACTCCTTCGGTTCCGCAGGAGAACTCGTGCCAGAAGGTGAAAATCCGTGTTGATTTGGTGGACGAGAACGACAATGCGCCCGTGTTTGAGCGGGATGTGTTGAGATATTGGGTTGGGGATCAGACGCACGACGGGGATATCCTGGCAACACTCCGAGCTTCGGACAAGGATCAGGTAAAAGCTTGACATCGCCGGGAATCGAACTCAAGGCAATTCTTCGATCCCAACCGCGTGAATTTCGACGCAAAGTTAGGAGCTGCCGGTAGAGATACATGGCGCGCCAAATCGCGTCAAAATGTCTAATATTTTGGTGTGTCGCGTAGTTGTCAGCACCTAAGTGGTCGATTATGACTTCCCAGTTCCTTGAATGGACTAGAAAAGGCCAGAATTGACCCTTCCATGCTCTAGATGTTGCCATCTATATTTGCAAGATTTCTAAAGCTCCTCCGGGCGTGAGGTTAAATTTGCACTTTCGCTCGGTTAGTGGTTGCCGACACCCAGTCGTTGACTTCACAATCCCTTTAATGGCGCTATAAAACGCGAGAATCTACCCTTGACCCCATGGCTTTCGACGCCCAATTGATCCTGACTTCTCAGCACCTTTAAAACCAAAATTCCAGGGCCCGAACGGTGACGTCTCCTATTCCCTAATCGACCCCGCCGGCCAAAAGCTGCCCCTCGAGATCCAGCAGGCAAACGGGGCTGCCAGTCTGGTTTGCTAAAAACCGGAGGTCTTACCGTATCACATTTAGTTGTACGTGGCAGCCCTCGACAAGGGGGAGCGACAGCTGAATGGTGCGCTGCGAGCCCGAGACCATGGACAACCGGAAAAGTATGTATTTATGATAACTTTTTGTATCCTTAAAATTTTTTAGGTACAGCGAGATTCCGGTGGAGATCTATCGGCGGAAGTCGGCGGCGAATCCGTTGAAGGATGGGTTGGCAAAAGGGAAAGTAACAGCAGGTGTGTTTTGGCATACATAGACGAGTACTGTAGCGTATATAGCGTATTCTAGCGTATCGTCACGCCATACAGCGTAATTGCACGTACTGTAGCGTATTCTAGCGTATTCTAGCGCTTCATGACGCGATTTAACGTAGTTTAACGTACTGTAGCGTGCTCTAGCGTATTATAGCTCATTCTAGCGTATCCCGACGCCATCTGACGTATTTAACGTACACTAGCGCACTGTAGCGTATTCTAGCGTACTCCAGCACATTACCAAGGCGTGATTAAATGTAGTAATTTTTCAGCATCCACCACGCGCCAGCGTCCTACCGTAACCCATTCACAGCCAAAAACAACTACCACCGAAGCCCCACGAACTACAAATTATCGTACCACAGCAGAGACGACGACTTGGACCCCAACCGCACCCGAGCCGACGACGACTTCAAGGAGTTCGGACGCCCCAGAAGAGCCCCAAGCCGAAGAAGCCCCGACGTCATCCGAGTTCCTTTGGCGCCAGATCGAGTTCTTGCGCCAGAACGGCATCATCGCGCCTACGGATGTGCCGTCGGAGGCCGAGATGACGTTCTTTAGGAAACACAGCATCTTGCCGGGAGAGCTTTCCGGAACCACTATGACTGCAGCGGAGCCCAGCACGTCGCCCAGGTCTTCAAGCCGGAATCCAACAACGTCACCGAGCCGTTCAGAAGATGTAGAATCTGCTCAAAGTTCTCAAACGATGTCAGCGAGCCGTTCAGAAAACTTAGAATCGTACGCAACGACAACAGCTAGCCGTTCAGAAGATGTGGAATCTTCTAGGGAACGTGAATTTTTGCGGAAACACGGCATGCTTGGAGTTTCTCTAGTTCCGCATAGTGTCAATGCGGAAAGTAGCGAAACTACGGTAGAGTTTGAGGCATCTACGCAAGCTACGGAAGCTACGGAAGCTACGGTAGATCCAGAAACTACTGTAAAGCCAAGCCCTCGCCCGGAATTCAGACCTCAGACTACAAAACAAACCGAGAAACCGATGACTAAATTCAATGATGCTAAGATTGAACAATTAAAGAAGAAGGAGAAGGCTACGGTAGCCCACGCGGCGCCGACCAAGACCGCAGTTGAAGGGAACTCGCTGCAGGATCTGGATGGGCAGATAGAGAAAGAGGAAGATGGGGCGAGGGAGTTGGACGAGTCTGTGGAAGTGGTCGCCCTGGAAGATACCGTAGACGAACATCCGCCGGAGAGCTCGTTGGAGGAGGGTAAGGATTGTATGAGGCTTTGAAAGGGATTAAGGCAAGAGAGAGAGAGAGAGAGAGAGAGAGAGAGAGAGAGAGAGAGAGAGAGAGCGAGAAAGCGAGAGCGAGGGAGAGCGAGAGAGAAATTTCTAAGCTTCAAAATGCTGTTTTTTTCAGCCGAAACAATGCCCCCACAATTCCAATTCCACGAGGACAACTACAAACTACAGCTTTTCGGACCTGTCGTCCCAGGAGAGGTTGGATCCCAGAGAAAACCTCAAAAACCATCATTTTTCAGGGTGTTGGTAGAGTGGCTGCAGGACCCGGTGTAGAAGCGTATGGAATCGATAGACGAGTTTTCGGGCAGTTTACAGTAAGATTTCGAGGTGATTGAGAAGAAGAACTAAACCGTTAGATCGACTTTGACGGAGGTCTGATATCAGTCGACGAGAAGGCCGAGGCGCTTTTCAAGCAGCCGGGTACCTTCCGGTTCCACGTCTCGGCCACGGATGGTGTGAAAACGGTGGGTTAAAGGGGTCTGGCCGGACATTAGACAAAATAATCATATTTTAACATTGTAAACGACATTGCGAATCGCGGAATTTTACTCTCTCTCGCTCTCTCTCTCTCTCTCTCTCTCTCTCTCTCTTTCTCTCTCTCCCTTTCTGCATATAATTGTGGCCCTTTTGACCCCGGGTTCACCGCATAATTACCTGGAGCACCGGGCCATCCGCCGCCTCCATATTTTCGGGGGTTGGCCCCCCACCCACCCCGGGCCATCAAATATTGTGCGTCCAGCCGTGAAAGTGGAGTTTATGGGCCGGCTGGCACTTGGTATAGCAGAGATTTTGAGGAATTTAGTTTTAAGACGAAAACTGCCCTCCGTATTAGCCACTTTTTTTGCTTAAAGTAATGCAACGTTGTGTTACCGAGCGCAACGTAGCTTTACGTACCTTACGTACGTACCGTAGCGTAACGCAACGGCTCGTAGCCTAACCAAGCGTAGTCTAACAAAAAGTAGTCCTGCGTAGCGTTTCCCAGCGTATCGTAGCATTACGCATCGTAGTGTTGTGTAGCGTAGTGAAATACTAGACGTAAAAACGGACATTTGCGTAAGGGGCCACGCGAAAACACGAAATAAGAATTTTGACTTTCCAGTTCCTTTAAAACTTACAAGGATACCTCCCCAGCTCGAAGTTCAACTTCGGTTAGCTAGATAGCGTATCAGATGCAGTTTTTCGCGCTGATCACGATCCCGATATTTATTTTTGCCCAAATCCATAGCAACACCATGAAAAATCATTTTAAACATTGTGTATTTTTTTGCCTAGCTGGGCGTGATCCGCCCTACGGCTTCAAAGCCTCTTTCCAGAGGGAGGCATCCATCGGTGGCATGGTGTAGTCGGCAAGTACTTGGTTAACCAATCTAGGGGTCATTAGTTCGAGTCTTGCCGCTGACTGCTTTTTTGCTTTTTGGATAAAACTTGCTGTGAAGGCCATATGGACGCCCAGTAAAAAAATTTTATCGGTTTTGCATCGGTTGGTCGGTTCGCTTGGGATTTTACGTTTAGTTTTACTCTTTCTGGTGAACGAAATTTCGAATTATCGAGGTGTCAATCATCATGTCAATCATCATCATTAATTGTAGTGCTTGCTCAAAAATGTTTTGAGTTTCCGACAAGGAAATATTAGACTTTGGTTACGCTCGATTTTTATGTAGCTTTATCGCTCCGGGGTAGGAAGGAGAATTTCTAATGGTACAATTACTGATAATCATTATGAGATTAATGCTGTGTTGTTGCCAAATTACTTCAATTGGCGACAAATGGGCCAAAAAGAACTAGAAAATTTTTTACTGGGCGTCCATATGGCCTTAACAGCAAGTTTTATCCAAAAAGCAAAAAAGCCGTCAGCGGCAAGACTCGAACTAATGACCCCTAGATTGGTAAACCAAGTACTTGCCGACTACACCATGCCACCGATGGATGGCTCACTCTGGAAAGAGGCTTTGAAGCCCGTGGGGCGGATCATGCCCAGCTAGGCAAAAAAAATACACAGTGTTTAAAATGATTTTTCATGGTGTTCCTATGGATTTGGGCAAAAATAAATATTGGGATCGTGATCAGCGCGAAAAACTGCATCTGATACGCTATCTAGCTAACCGAAGTTGAACTTCGAGCTGGGGAGGTATCCTTGTTAGATCCCCGGGCATCGATACCCTTTCCAACCCTCATTCCCGATATTTGAGCGATGGCTGTCGACCGAAATCCACCATTTCTCGACATTTGCATCGCGGGCTCGACCCCCTCAAAAACGGGTTCATCATTGCCCGAGAAACAGGCTGCTGTTCTCTTCCTAAATGAAGAGATCTACCTCCCCAGGGGGTGTCCGAGCACCCTCTACGATCGCTTGCCGCGAGAAAAATGGTGTCTCATCCCCCCGGGAATCGCATTGAAAGGGAGATTAGCGGAGGGGGTGATCTGAGCGTGATAGGTATTGGGTAAAGGGGGAGAAAACACCGAAATACCAGCAGCCGAATTCCCGTGTCGGTATTTTGGCCTGTGAGTAATGTTTTTCGTTGTCGGGGTTTCGAATTTCACCTTAGCCGGTCGGCACTGTGACTGTCGGGATTTTGTTCTGATGGGATTATGGTCGAGATTTAGCCGTCGATATTGTGAATTTTATCTTTGGCTATCACGATTTTGGCCTGTCGGGATTGGGGATGTCGGGATTTTGTCCTCTCAGGATTTTTAATGTCGGAATTCCGGGGTCGAGAGACTTTAATGCCTCCAAAAAGTTGGTTTTTAAGTATCAGAGCCGAAAGATATACCTAAAATTCTGAAAAAAACTTAACTTACCACTTACTTACCAAAAATTTAACATTTTACGAATTCATTTTAACGATTTTTGGCGTTTTGATGCTAGTTTACTTTTGTTAAAGCAAATGAAGTATCTAAAAATCAAATTTGGCCGATTTTAGTGCTTATTAACTTTTGTCGAGCATCTACGTCCCCAAAAATTACCCCCTTCAGCCCTACAAATAATCCCTGCGGAATCCAATATATTTCCTTTGCCGGTGACCCCATGTGGGGTGTGGACCCCGGAATTAGTCCTCTTTCTCCCCCACCTAGTAGGGGTAGGGCGGCAGCATTTCCGGGGGCTGGAACACCTGTCGTCGTTGTCAACCTGTTTGGCCCCTCCGGGTTCCAGAAAAGAAACCACACAAAAATGGGCACGCCACCCCAACAAGACTCCTCAAAATAAAATATTTTTGGGCTTCGAGATATCAGAAAAATACTGGGATCCGCGGATGATTTCCTAAATCCTCTCTGCTAGCCTGCCTTTGACTGTCCTGTTGGGCTCGGAAATCAGAAAAAGGGAATTTATTGACCCCTTGAAAACCTAGGTAATTAGGGTTTGCTTCAAAAATGGCATCATTCATAGTGTCGCAAAAAACTAAAGTAAATGTAACAAAAAAATACAAAAATTCTCCAGGTTTTTCGAAAAAATGACGATTTTAAATTCAAGATTGAAATTGTCCATGGTATCCTTCCCCCCCCCCCCCCGATAATGCACAAGCACCTCGTTTATTCTGCGCTTTAGCGCTCATGTGCATAAATTTTACATACCAAATTTGAAAATTGGGGGCTTGGATGATTCGTAAGCCCTCCCCCCCGATAATGCAAAAGCACCCCTTTAAAGTCCCAAATCCCGGCAGGAACTCTCGATTTTGTCGTTTTTGCCCTCCATTGGAAAGCGAGGGTTGACTTCCGCCCCAGAGGCCTCTGGCTGGCTGGCTGGGTGGGGGGGACTCACTTTCCAACAGGAAAGGCTTGGATAATTGGGCGGTGTGTTGGGGGAAGCGTAAGGTGTATGCGAGTGTAGTTGTAGGGCAATCCCGTCTCTTGCCTGTGGTGGAGCTCTGCTACGGGAAGTAAGAACTGTTCCTCCCCTGGGGGCGATTACACGAAACCCTCGACCCCCTCCTGTCACTCGACTAACAACTACCAACTCTGGCCCGGTCAAAAGAACTGCCCCTCCAAGTTAGTGCTCCGCTCGGTGACTAAGCCAAATCCGGGCGGAATCTGGAAGAAGAGCGGGATGAACGTAGAAGGAGCAAGAGATGGAGTTAGAGATCGAGTTCAGAGTGCAATTGTACGGGGAGTTGGCATACAGCCAAGACGGTAAAACGCCGCTCTCGTCTCGCTCCCTCTCGCTCTCTCTCTCGCGCTCTCTATTGAACTCTCTGTAAAATATCAGGATTTACGGTATCTGTAAGGAAAATACTCGAGCAGGTCGATGCACCACGACTTTGAAAACAGATTTTCAGCTTCAAAACGAGCGAGTGCAGGAGAGAAAGAGCGAGAGAGAGAGCGAGAGAGAGAGAGAAAGAGAGAGAGAGAGAGAGAGAGAGAGAGAGAGAGAGAGAGAGAGGGGAGAGATATGAGTCCGAGCTAGGGAGAACGAGCGATAGGGAGCATGAGGCCAAGGTAAAACAGGGAAAGAGAGAAGGTACGAGGCAGAAGAAGCAAGATATCAAACCAGAGAGAGAGACAGAGGGAGAGAGAGAAAGCTATACAGAAAGAGCTTGGAAGACCTTATTCCTCTACAACGTCAAATCCTAAACGCTACTAGCTATCCCCTGCCATCCCGTGCTTGGCATACATCAAAATGGCCCCCAGGAAAAGCTTTTAGTGCCCTCCCTCCCTCTTCAACGTTCAGGTCATTTTCTTGGCTTCCGGGGGTGCAGGTGCGCCCCCCCGCGCCTCCCAAAATTCGGCCCGCCCCTTCCCCCCTTCCGCTCTCTCTGGTTTGGGGCTTGTTGCCAAGGCTTCTCTTCGGCTTCTCCTTACCATCCACTAATTCTATATTCAAAAAGATCACTGGATTTCGTCATATATTCCGAGACTTTGCGCCTGTAATGCGATGAATGGCCACCTCATCTTCATACTCGTATATACGGCTTCGTTCGCTGGGACAGCCGACGGGCGCCCAAAATTGCCGGTGCGCATTGATACTATAAAAAGTTGCTGATTTAATCGGCAGTTCATGCCGGATTTATTAATTTTATTACCAGTGAAATATTGGCAAGATCCTAATTGAGCTGTCGCTGGCCCTTTAACGGAATGGGCGGGCAAAATTTTAGCTTTTCCACGAGCGTTGCGTGTTGCGTATTGCCCATGTAAAGGGATGGGAACGCCAGACAACAGCGAAATTCAAGTTGACTTTTGCCATTTTCTTAACTGGAGCGTTATGGGCTCTCGCTTTCTTTTCAAGTTTTCCGCGCCAACGCCAATCCGAGAAGTTTCGCTTAAGGTATGTAGCCAGAAACCACTTCTCAATCGAAAGCGTGGTCCAAAAATGGCGAGAAAATTCACTTTTACGCGAACTATTTCGAAAACTAAAATTTTTTTCGGATCGTCATTATGAAAATCGATAGTTTGGAGATATTGGAGGATAAATTGGGCCCGTTAATTTGCGTTCTTAATATTTAATATCTATGCTTTTTGTTTATAGTCGTTTTAATTTCCCATTCTATCGTAGATTTTCCCATTCCCATCATCCTGAATGCCCTCAAGGCACGCAAAAAATCGGTTCCCTCCGCGCTGCCAATCTACAGCGGGTGGAAACTAGGTCGGCAGTGGGGGTAGAGGGGGAGGAAAGTATTATATGCATCATCATCATATTGCAAGAATACAGTAGTAAACCTAAAATGGCAACAAACAGCAAGGCGAGACAAGTCCACCTTTCCATTGCGTAATACCTTACTACCTCTTTACGTAGGCTGCGTAGCATGTCGTTTCCTGAGCGCGGAAAGTCTTAAGAGATCGATAGCCACCTGTAATTAGTGTAGGAAAAGACAATAACGTCGTTATTGAAAGTCTACAACACCCTAACCTTAAATTTCAGGCTCAATCCTGGGTCTCCGTTCAGGTCGACCCCACGAAGAGCATTTTTGCGGCGGCTCCGCGGTTTGATCAGGTTTACTAAAAAATTTCCGATCATAAAACACCACCAAATTTAGTCAAGCTATGAAATCTTTGTGACCGAGAATCAACCGCCGGCCGTCATCAGCACACTAAGGGTAAGTTAAGGCAAAAATTATGATTAAATTGGTTTTTATAATTTAAATTGTCTGTATTTCATTTATCTTTATATCGTTAGCTATTTTAATAGGTGTTTTATAAAATGCCGAGAACAGAATTAAAATCTCGACATAACCCAATACTTTTAGGCTTTCCACCGCTCCGAAGCACTACACCAGGACCGGCTTGTCTACTCGATTCTTACCTCGGATAAGGATTTGCCATTCTCCGTCGAGGTTGCCTTCAATGGTCCTTTAAAACGCATATTTTTTAGGCAAACACCGGACAACTGGCGGTGCTCAACGAGTTGGACAGGGAGAATGGGGAGCGCTATGACTTCCAGGTGAGGTTTGAAGCGTTTTAAGGTCACAGCTCAGCTTTACGACAATTTTTACAACCTAACCAGATTACCGTACCCAAAACGGTGATTTTCCCACATAAATCACGTTTTCCAGGTGCGAGCTTGCCTTTCCGAGCACAGAGGTGTCTGCGGAGTCGCGTCGGTCTCGATTTTGGTCAACGATCTGAACGACAACACCCCGAAATTCCCGTCGAATACGTACCATATCGTGGTGCCGAACGATTTGCCGAAGGTGAGAGAGAGAGCGAGAGAAAGAGAGAGAGAAAGAAAGAGAGAGAGATAGATAGAGAACGATAGAGAGAAATGATCACGCTAATTTGCTATTTTTAGGGTGCCGAAGTCGTTCAGCTGGCCGCTAGGGATATGGATGCCGGAAGTAATGGAGTCGTCAGCTACGTTTTGAATCCGCCCAGTGGTTGGTTGATAAAACTTTTATTATCACATTGTCGTATATTTCTGTCGCGCTCCCGTTAGAGCTCTCTCTCACCCCCCTCACTCTGCCTTTCTCTCTCTCTCTCTCTCTCTCTCTCTCTCTCTCTCTCTCGCTCTCTCTTTCACTCTTTCTCAACCAAATTCCGCCTTTCCAGAAACCTTTGCCATCGACCACCACACAGGCCAGATCTCGATTCTGCGTACCCCAGAAAAATCTCGCTACTCGCTCATCATCGAGGCTTTTGATCACGGAATTCCCAGGAGGTAAGTAACATCTATAGTAATCTACATTAAAAATACAAAAATTATATAGCTCAACAAAAAGAATTATTACAAAATTCTAGGACGACCCACACGGAGCTGCGCATAAATGTGGAGGGCAGCAACCCGAGTGCACCGCAATTTGATCAGGTAGGAAAAGCCAAAAGAAAAAAGGTTCTGTCGCGGCCGGGGATCAAACCTTTGGCCCGAAAATCAAGAACTAGATGGGATAGCCGCTGCGCTATGACCAGTGACTTCAAAACAGCGTAATTTAGTCCGGCTACACTTTGATCGTCGAATCTCCGGTTCGGGTCGGCCAAGTTATCGGAAATGTGCACGCCACGGATCCGGACCCAGGGGAGGATGGAATGGTTAGTTGGTTTTCACTTTATACGGACTGACACGTCATTATGCTAGATTCTACAAGAAGTTCAAGCAGTCCAATTAAGTAAAAGAACCACAAAAAATGAGAAAAAGGAAAGCAGCTAGTTCTCCAAAACAAGTTCAAGGAGGTCAAAAATTATAGGTCTTCGGACTCTAACAAATCGAAAGTTATGCCTGTTTTCCACAACAAGTTCAAGGAGTTCAATAATTTGTAGATCGTCAGACCCTAAGAAAACGAAATTGCTGTCTTTTTTGGCGAGTCGTTTTCGAGTAGTTCAACCGTGCAAGCCTCTGAAGATTGCAGACGCACCCTGAAATTTGGCAACAACTTCAAGGAGTTCAAGCGGGTAATTCCCTGAATTTTTCAGGTCACCTACTCATTCGGCACTTCCCAAGACCCGCGAACCCAAGTGGACCAGCAAAAGTTCTCCATCAACCCGAAGGTAGGTGTTGGCATACGGTAGTAAGGGCACACTTTAGACCGGAGCGGTTTCCGCGCTGACGCCCTTGACATCCCTCGACGGCCCCTTCCACCTCGTCGCCGAGGCGTCCGATCAAAATGCGATTTTCAGGTGCTGTCATTGTCCCTTTAAAATTGGAAAAATGTAAAAAAATAGCGCCTAGTCCTTTAAACTCTAATTTTAGGTGTCACAGTCCTTTAAAATACCATAAACTCAACCATTTTCAGCCGTAAAACCAAGGCCGCCGTACGTGTCGAAATCTCCGGCAGCGCCACCCTGCGCTTCTTCCCCCTCCAGGAAATCGTGTACATCTCCAGCGAGAAGCAGCCGGGCAGCGTGATCTTGCGGTAGGGCAAAGCTCGAAAATCAACCCGATTTAGTGCCTCGGCGCACACCTCCGGCTCGTCGGACATCAACTTCTTGCTCGTCGACGCCCCCGAGGCGTTCGCGATGGACGGTGATTTGTTGAAGGTGGTGCAGCCACTCGCGCCCGGGGAGACGAACTTGACGATAAGGTAGAGTGTGTTTTTTGAGATTTTGAGCATCTTCAGGGCGGAGACCGAGTCGACCCACGTTGAGCATGTCGTACGGGTGGTGGTGATGAACGACCGGGACAAGTACCCGGTCTTCCCGAAGCTGTCCTACGATTTGGAGGTGGGTGTTGGGGGATTAGAGTGTGCTTCTTGAACTTGCGGTAAAATGCCATAGAAAAAAAGAATTGTCATTCAATTCGACAAAAAGCTTTTTCTTAATTTGAGGCTGATTTTGAATTCCCACTTCCTGAACTGCTTGGAATTGAGGTCTTATATGTGGCGGTATATTGGTACTACTGCTACCAGTTTCAAACCCGAACTCCTCAATTTGTCGTCCGAAACCCTCACAATTCCAGATTCCGCTCGAGACCCGTTTCCCGATCCTGCTGCACCGTTTCGCGGCCAACGTCGAGAACGGCACCGTCCAGTTCGCCCTGTATCCACCGAATCGGGTGCCCGGGTTGACGATTGATGAGGATACGGTAGGTTACGGTCGTATCAGTAAAATTTTCAATTTTTAGGGAACACTAATTGCCGGGAAGGACTACATCGATTCCAGGCTAAATCGGGATACTGTATTCGTGGTGGTTCGGGCGACGAATCGAAACTATCCACGATTCTACTCGGATGTTGGGGTGAGAGAAAGAGAGAGAGAGAGAGAGAGAGACAGAGAACCAAAAACAACAACACCTAAAAATGCTCTTCAGGTCTCGATCTCCTTGGTGTCGACGGCTTCTCGTCTGCGCTTCTCCAAACCGCTTTTCAAAGCCACTGTTCGCGAGAATACCAGGGTTGGAAGTGTGCTGGATGTCGGAAAGATTGAGGTTTGTTCGGAAGTTTTGAGCATGAGCCTGAGCATGACCAATTCAATCAAGCCGTTCCAGATGCAATCCGCACCCGCGAACACGGTGTTCACCATCACCCCCGCCAGCCCATTGACCATCCTCCCCAACGGCTCGATCATCGTCAACGACGACGTCGACTTGGAGAAGTTGCCGGTCGATGAGAATGACGATATGCTATTTGTGGTGATTTTCTTTGACAATTTTTACATTCTTTAAAGGGCCCTGGAAGGGCAAAATCATGGCCTGTTAGCTATCGAAACATTTTGGTGTCATACATCACCTTTCGTAATTGATTACCAGACTAACTCACGGATTTCTAGGTGACGGCCAGCGACGGCGAGCAGTCCGTGACGGCCAAGCTGCAGCTGAACATTGAGGACGTGAACGAGTTCTTGCCCCGATTTGACTACCTCCATTATCAGGCCCATATTGGCGAGGGCGCGCTGCCAGGTTGGTTAACTTCGTGATACCAGCGCTCTAGCACGCGCGAGTTGAACGCCTTGGTGGCGGGTTGCGGTCACATGGCGCGCTATTGCAAAATACGCAGCGCGACAGCTACAAGTTCAGCTTGTTCATCTACTTCACCCCTTAAAATTTAGGCACCCCCATCGTGAAGGTCCGTGCCACCGACAAAGACTTCTCGGACACGAAGCTCGAATATCGCATTAATGGCGGATCAGGCGTCAAATTCGTCAAGATCCAGCAGGACGGCACGCTGACCCTGGTCGAGTCGTTGGATCGGGAGAAGATGGCCAAATTTGACGTTGTAGTACGGAACTCCAGTCGATTTTCTAAACTATTGTATTTCAGATTGAAGCCGTGGATTCTGGGGGCAATTCGGCGGAGGCGAAGGTTGATGTGAGTGTTTGGAAATATTAGGATGTTTTGTCATGTGCTTTTGCGTATTCTAGCGTACCGCAACGTACGTTCGTCTACCTCAATGCATCTTGCGTACGTAGATATGCCAGCCTAGAGCTAGCGTATCGTAACGTACTACAACGTGCTGCACTGGACTGTAGCGTACCCTAGCGTACCGTAACCTCCTGTCTCTAGGTCGACGTCCTCGACGCAAATGACAACGCTCCACGCATCCTAAACCAGCCATTGATCTGGAATGTGCCAGAAGGAGAGGCTTCTCTCGGAGCTGCCTTCGAGATTTTGACTTCCGGTAGGAAATTTGCCCGTAGCTTGGGTTTACCTCCCCGTTTTAGACCTCGATGAAGCCGAAAATGCGCAGGTTACCTACGCTCTGTCCGGGGGGAATGAGGGCCGATTTTTCGAGCTGATTCAGAAGTCACCTGTGGCGGTATGTTTCTTTCGTTCTCTCTCTCTCTCTCCCTCTCTCTCCTTCTCTCTCTCTCTCTCTCTCTCTCTCTCTCTCTCTCTCTTTCTCTCTATCTTTCTCTCTCTCTCTCTCTCTTTCTCTCTCTCTCTTACTCTCTCTCTCTTTCTCTCTCTCTTTCTCTCTCTCTCACTCTCTCTCTCTCTCCCTCTCTCCCTCCCTCTCTCTCTTTCTCTCTCTTTCTCTCTCTTTCTTTAAATCGCGAATTTTCTAGGCTGTCTTGAAAATCGTGAAGCCGCTCAACCGAGCCCAGCAGGCGGCTCATGTTTTGTCGATTGAAGGTCAGATTTTTGGGCAGCTTTAAGGGACGTCGATTAGGCTTAGGCTTAAGCTTAGGCTTGGACTTAAGCTTAGGTATAGGCTTAGGCGTGGGCTTAGCCTTACGCTTCGGCTTGGCATACTTTTTCCGTTTCAGTAAAAGACCACGGCCACCCCTCGATGATGTCGGTAGCTACCGTAACCGTGAACGTGAAGAGCGAGGGCCGCAGGTTGCCGCAGTTCCCGTTGAGGGAATACAAACAGGCGGTGGGTGAGAAAGAGAGAGAGAGAGAGAGAGAGAGAGAGAGAGAGAGGGGGAGAGAGAGAACTATCTTACTGTCTCCAGGTCCCCGCCGATATGCCGGCCAACTTCAACATCCTCCAAGTGGCCGCTGAGGACATTGACGTCCCGGTGCAGTACTCGATTAGCGGTGGTGAGGCCTGTCATGCCCTCAAAATTGGACCTAAAGGTTTGATTACCACGAAAAGGTTTAATTCATCGAAATTTAGGCGAAGTCGCCTTTGCCACCAACGAGCGTCCAGAGGATTTGACTCGAATCGAGTGTACGGTAGAAGTGAGCGACGGGTCTCACAGCGATTCTACACGGCTGGTCGTCAACTTGGAGAAGATGTTTGCTGGGTGGGTGGAAAGCGAGAGAGAGAGCGAGAGAGAGAGAGAGAGCACAAGCTCAAAACACCCGCTTTTTAGCAAGCCCAACCGACCAAATCATCCGCCCAAGTTCGCGAAGGGCAACTACGTCTTCCGCGTCAACGTCGCCGGCGCGGCCACCGGACCTGAGGGATTGGTAAGAGCATCTACATTCAGTCTCAAATTTCCCAAATAACCTCTGCTAGCTTGCCACCAAAAACTTCTTTTTAGCTGGTCGGCCAAGTCTCCGCCATCGACAACGACGGCGACCTGTTCAACTACTCGATCGAGCCCGTCGAGTTCCGAAACCTCTTCGAAGTCGACAACCAAGGACAAATCTGGCTGCGCAGCGTGGAGGCGTTGGGGGAGAGCCGCAGCATGTCTTTCCTGGCCGTGGCCACCGACAAGGGCCAGCCCCAGCTCGCCTCGTTCACCAACGTTCGCGTGACCTTCCATCAACTCGAAGGAGTTCAAGTCGAACACGGCTTTTCACGCCGGCCGATGGATCAGATTGTCGATGAGGTACAGTTGGTAGAATGAGAGTGATGAACTGGTGATCAGGAAATGCCCTCTTCTGGGACTCAAGTCACGCGGCTCCCGGATCTGGAGACGACAGTCTTCACCGTATCGGATGAGGTGAAGGACGGAAAATTGGTATCGAGGAGGTGTGAATTCTAGTTTTATGGTTTTAGGCCATGCCACAAACAGTCCAAGCATTCCCGAATACACAGTGGAGTAGCAGTACGGCGCCGTCGAGGTCGAGGAGTACAGCTGCGGAGACAGGTAGGCCATGTCATTCTCACTATCTAGCTCTCTCTCACTCTCTTTCTCTCTTTGTTTCGCTCTCTCGCGCTCACCAGAACCCACCAATTATCCGAACTGCTTGAGGATGATCTCCTAAACCGGTTTTACTTACCTGGCAAGCTTGCAAAAGCCATCTGGGAACCCAAAAACACTTGAAACTCTAGAAATCCCGCATCACATGGCTACCCACCAAGTCGACGCGACGATTCGCCCAACCACAGCCGGCACAACGACAATGTGGTTGGCCACCGACAAGCAGGTCACCGGCAAGGCGACCACCCAATGGACGAGTACGTATCGTAACGGTGTCCTCCCATCAACTTGTGGGAGTTCACCCCCTTTCAACGATCCGATTTTTCATAACATTTCCATTTCCGTTTGCAGAAGTGGAAGGCGGATCCGAGGGTGATAGTGAGGATGAAGCCACCGAAGCCACGACGCTCGATGCCGAGACTTCAGAATCTCAGGACGAAGAAGAGGACACGTCGAGACCGTTCGAGAATGCTGATGGCGATATGTTTGGGTGAGTGGGGGACGAGCTAAAGGGGGCAGGACATCAGGGAGTCTGAAGTTTTGTAGCGCAACGTGTCATTTTAGCGACGATACCACGACTTCTGGCAATTCTGGAGCTGATGAGCTGCACTTCCGACATGCGCTTTACTACGCGTCGATGCCAGAGGGGAGATATAGCAATGGCGCTCTGTTGAATCTGAAGCCAGAGCCGTTGCAGACGAATGGAGAGGTGAGAGAGAGAGAGCGAGAAAACGAGAGAGAGAGAGAGAGAGAGAGAGAGAGAGAAAGAGAGAGAGCGAGAGAGTGAGAGTGAGAGAGAAAACGCGTTATCTAAATCCAACATTTTATCCAAAAACTTAGGAAGTCACCTACACAATCTCTGATTCCCGCCTCCCATTCCACATCCGCGGCGACACCGGAGAACTGGCCATCATGGACGTCGACCGCGAGAAGTCACCCTTCTTCGCTTTCAGAATTACGGTAGAATGATACCTAGAAAAGTGTAACAAATCCCTGTTAGGCTACCGATTCCCGCCGCAGGACGGCAACCACCGTAGTCAACGTGACAATTCTGGATGTGAACGACAATTATCCCCTGTTCGTCTCGCCGCCGCTGTTCGTTGGATTGGTGCGTAATGGCTGGCGTATAGGAAAAAGTTTTTAGCCAACCAACATTGCGCCGAATGTGGCCGTTGATCGGCTACAGGCCATCGACGCTGATGAGGGGCGGAACGCCGAGGTTACCTACGAGTTGGAGGAGAACCCGCTTTTAGCGATTGACGCCAGAAGTACGTTTATCTCTCTCTCTCTTTCTCTCTCTCTCTCGCTCTGTCTCTCTCTCTAACTCTCTCCTATTTTCAGCCGGCTCGATCCGTGTCAAATCCCCCCTCAGCCCATCCCAGCAACCATTCGAAGTGAAGGCCACCGCCAAGGATGGCGGACGACCCGGCCTGAGGACAACGCATACGGTTACCCCCCCAAAGCATCCATTAACACACCTTTTCTCTTAAGATTCGCCTCCGTGTCTTCCCCCCCCGGATTCCAAGCCCCTCCTCCCGACGCAATCCGCCCCGGTCGTGGTCCCCTATCCCGCTAGCCCGAATCACTTTGTCACGCAACTACTTGGTGGACCAACCGCCGGGCAACGGTCTGAAATACAATATCGGCTGGCTGGAGATGAACATGGTGGGTGGAGAAATATTGATGAGAATTGGATGAAGCTTATGAAGCTTACAAAGTTTTACAAAGCTTACAAAGCTTACGGGCTTACAAAGCTCTCAACCTAAACCTAGTCGAAACCTATCACCTAGCCCAAACGCAAGCCTAAGCCAAGCCTAAGCCTAAGCCCAAGCCTAAGCCTCAGCCTCAGCCTAAGCCTAAGCCCAAGCATCTAATTTTTAGGCCTTTTCACAATCGATGAGGAGGGCCGCGTTCTTCTCGCCCGCCAGCCAGCCCCCGCCGACTTGAACAAGTACCACCAGATCAGCGTGAGGGCCGACAACGCCCTGGGAACCGATCAGACTACGGTAAGTGAGCATAGCTTATCTCTACGGTATCTTCAGCTGAACGTCTTCCTGAGCGGAACGGGCGGAGCACCACCCAGGGTCGAGGAGACGAGGCCGAGCTTTGCGGGACCGTGCTCATTCCCGACGAAGCTGTACAATGCCCAGGTTTGTGAAGGGGAACAAGGACGGAAAGGAGGCAAAAAAAGAGGCGCTACGCTTCAACTTACCTGGAAATTGAACCTCTCTAGATCGCCGAAAACCGCGAAGGACGCCACAAGTTGAGCAAGGTCACGTCGGACTGTGAATCGGCTGGCGCCGGATACGAATACACCATTTGGCAAGGAGCTGGTAGGGGAGATTATTGGCTGGCGAGGTCATTGGCGAAATTTCAGATCAATTCGAGGTAGATGAACAAACCGGCGAGGTGTTTGTGAATGGGCCGTTGGATCGGGAGAAGCGCTCTGTGCACTTCATCTTTATTAACGTTACTCGGCCTAATGAGGCGAAGGCGAAGCGGCAGACGGCTGGGAATCCGGTTATCGAATGTGAGTTAGAGAGAGAGAGAAAGAGAGAGAGAGAGAGAGATAGAGAGAGAAATAATCTAAAGTATTTTTTAGACGCCATCTCGAAGCTGTCCGCATGGCAGGCCCTAGTGGTCGTCCGCGTGCTCGACTCCAACGACAATTCCCCCCAATTTGTCCGTCTCACCCCGGAGGGCCAGTATTCCGGCCTTGTGGCCCAACAGGCCCCGCCCCTCACGCCAATTCTACGAATGCAGGTAGTTACCGTTCAGCTTTCAAGGACTTTGACGTTTGGCGGACCGAAAAATTTATGGCTATGTCTTGCAGGTGCCTTTAAAAGAACCTACAAGGCAAAACCCCTGGTTTCCAAAATTTTCTGGAGCAAAAAGCACCCCCATCATTCCAGGCTCAAGATGCCGACGAGAAAACGCAGCTGGTATACGGTATCCAGGGCGGCGATCAGGACGCCTTCCGCTTGAATTCCACGACTGGCATCCTGACGCTGGCCAAGATTATTCACGAGGATTCGAGGTGAGTTGAAAGGCCCAAAAAAACGAAAATAGAGGATCGTACTTATCAATCGATTTAGAACAATCTTCCGAACAACCGGTACCGTATCCGATGGCTCGCATACTGTAGAGATCCCGGTTACGGTAGGAAAAATTTTTTCTAGAGGAATTTTTTGCAGGTTCACAAACTGACGCCAGCTTCAAATTTGGTGTATTTGACTTTGGAGAAGAGGATGGAGGAATTGGATGAAAAGGTATTAATATCTCGCTCTCTCTCTCTCTCTCTCTCTCTCTCTCTCTCTCTCTCTATCATCTTCACACCTCTCTCGCCCTCGCTCGCACGCTCTCTCTCTCGCTCCTCTCCCCTCCCCTGTCTACCGATCCCTTCTAGGAAGTCGAAAAAGCGCTGGCCAGGATCACCAACACCGAGATCCACGTCCTTACCAAGGAGCCGTTCACCAACAGCCAAGGCCAAGTCGACCCCAATCGGTACGCTACACTCCTAACGACACATTCTGTTGCTTCAGAAGTGTCGTCCACATCTACGGGCTGGAGCCGAAGAGCCGGGCGCCAGTGGAGAAGAATCGGCTGAAGGGGCTGCTCGACAAGGTTTATGGGGCGTTGCAGGCCTCGGAGGCTAGGTGAGCACGACCTTTGAGCAAAGCCCAATCCTAACAATGCAATTCCAGGGTCTCATCAATCTCCCTGGCACCCTCTTCCTCCCCATCATTATCCACTGTCGATGCTTTCCTCCTCTTCATCTGCCTCGTCCTCGTCGTCATCGCCCTTGTTGTCTGCTGCCTCGTGGCCAGCCTGTGCAAGCGGTAAATGGGCTATACCGAACTTGACTACGAGATACTCCTATAGACGTGATGCCGTCGATGGAAAGGATTATATGCGGAGTTCATCCTTGGATGGGCCACGTCCGTATGATGTCTCGGTGATTCCGAGGGCAACTGCTCAGGCGGTGTTGGCTGGACGTCCACTTCCGGATCCGATGCAATTTAGGTAGGGATAGCGAGAGAGAGAGAGAGAGAGAGAGAGAGAGAGAGAGAGAGAGAGCGCGCGCGAGAGCGAGAGTGAGAGAGAGACAAGGTGGAGCTAGGCAATACAGAGCACCAGAGAGACAGAGAGGTTGAGTTTGCCAGCGAACGAGCGGCGCAAGAGAGATAGAGAGGGAGAGAGAGCGAGAGCGAGAGCGGGAGAGAGAGATAGAGAGAGCGAAAGATAGAGAAAATATCAAAATTTTTAGCGAAAACAAGCAGCACTCCCCGTCCAGGATCTCGGCTGATGATCTTCGATCGACAAACCGTTCCGATGAGCTTCTCGTTTTTGCCAATTCCGTCAGGTAAAAATGATGCCAATTAATACGAACTTTAATTTAAAGTTAGCTAATATTTAAGGTACATCAATTCACAGTTAAAGTCTCGTTAAAACCCACCCCCTTCAGAGACACGAAAAGCCGGGCGAGCGCCGTCTCCGACGAGTCCGGCTCGGATCGAGGGGCGGCTGAGCGGGTTTGTGCACCAATTAAGAGCCAAAATCAAAATTTCAGGAACCCGTCGAGCGCACCACCGCCACGCTGATGCCCCGAAAGTAGATGTACAAAATGGAGTTTTTCCTGACCAAATCGTGCCTTTCCCGTTTTCCATTCCACGCAATTCCTATCTACACATATCGCCCTATTCCGTGTTGAGGGTCGTGTCTTTCTTACTATAAAATTTGAGGGTTATTCAAACTGGGAGCTGGGAGCAAAAGAAACTCCTAGCTCCTTGCTCCTTTTCTTTATTTTGCTTACTTCTTCCTCGTTTTGCTCTCGTGCTCAAGCTAGATTAAATTTTCCCAAGTCCTTTCACTCAAAATTCCATTTCTATCCACTTGGTGCTCAACTATCCCAGTCATTTCCCAGTGTCTTCCACTATTTATCACTTCTAATTTTTTGTGCGTTTGTTTGATTCGGATTCCTACGTCGCTTCCACTTTGCTCCGCCCACAGGTCTAATAATAAAGTGCTGACCATGACGGTGTTTGAGAGCGAGCGAGACAGAGACAGAGACAGACAGAGAGATAGCGAGGGAGAGAGAGAGAGAGAGAGAGGAGAGGGAGAGAGAGAGGGAGAGAGCTAGACACTGATTGTTAAACCGCGGTAGTACCAAAAACCCGCTCGAGTGAGTGACGAAAAAGAGAGAGCGTGTTCAGAGGCGAGAGAAAGAGAGAACGGGAGAGAGATAAAGAGAGAGAGAGAGAGAGAGAGAGAGAGAGAGAGAGAGAGGGGCGCGCGATAGAGCAGTGAGAAGCTGACCGGAAGTGAACGGAAGCTAGAGAAGTGCGAGAGCGAGAGAGAGCGTGAGAGAGAGTGCGATAGTGTGACAAAGTTTCATGCAGTGAACATACATATCACAACCTCACATTGCGCAAACCGATTTATTCACTCAGTGGTGCATCGCGTTTACGTGTGCATGCAATATCGGTGAATAGCACTGTAGAGATAGGCGAATTTTCGGGGGCGTCGAGGAGTTCATGATGAAGGTCGGCTGTTGCGCCGAACGTCATCAAGTTGATGGGGTCGCCGGGTAGGTAGATGAGCTATTCTGAAAATTCTGAAGTTTCAGAAACGGCCTGGTCGGCCCTACGTTTGGCCGATTGCTGCGACTGGGAGGCGTCGGACTCATCGGGGGGCGCCTCGGGGTTAGAGATGGGGGCCACGTCGAGGTCGACGACGGCGGCACCGGCGCCAACGTTCATCTACAAAGGACGTCTCCAAGTCGTCGTTAAGGTAAGATCGAGCTTGACTCCGAAAACACCGACAGGTTCTAACCCGATAATCAGAAACGCGACAATTGCGCGGATTTTCGGTTTTAGACAGTTCGCCGGCTCAACTTCGGCAAGTTTAGAATGGAGGGAAAATCGTTGTTCGAAATTGGGAAAGGAGTTTGGAATATTGAACCCGATTTCGACAAGTTCAGAATCGATCGAAAATGAAAACTTCACAAGTTCGAAGCAAAGGTCGACAACTCCGACACGTTCAAAAGTCGAGAGCCTTAACCGACCATATCGTCGACGACGGGCTTCTTGGAGTTGTTGCCCCTCTTCTTCTTTTTCAGGCAGCAGCACAGCACGATGATGACGACGATGATGATCAGCACCAAGGCTCCGACAAGCGCTGAAATTTTATCGTAGTTGATAGCTTTGCCAAAATCATCCCTTACCAGCCACCAAGACGACCTCATCGCTCATCAGCGTGTCCGGTTCCTTCGTCGTGGTGGGCGTCGTCTTGGCCGTGGTGGTGGTGGTGATCTTCTTCGTGCTGGTCGTCGTGCTCACGTCGGAACAATGATACTGAAGGGGATGAGCCGAGATTTTCTAGCGTTGTGTACCAGTTTTTTGGCCTCGTCGTCGAGGTCGTAGCACGGCTTGTAGACGACGCACGCAATCCCGTCGACTTCCTTGTCGTAGCGAAGCACGTTGTCGCGCCAATCCGGCTATTTTTTGTTTGGTTTTTTATGATTTTTAGTGCTAGGGATAAGGCATGATTAGGAAAAGCATCATCGGGCCACCCACCTCACGAGGGGCCGTGTTGCCACGACAGTTCGGAATCGGGTTGCACGGTGGTGTGAGGGCCCACGGGTCCTTCAGCCTCGAGTTCTCCTCGCTGCACCAGTCGAGTTTTGCCTGAAAAATTAAGCGGTTCTTTGGCATTAACGGGGGGGGGGGCTAGTTTGTCACAGGAACCAATTTTTCCCTAATGTTAAATTTTTCCATTACAAAAAAATATTCGCATTCGCAAAAACTTTACAAAGTTTTATTTAACTTTTTCATTTTCTTTTAACTAAATCTTCGTAATTTCGTTGTTTGGATTGATGAGCGTTTTCCCTTTAAATAAAGTTCAAGTTTACTAAAAATACTAGACATTTCCGGACGCAGACAAGAAGTTAGGTTTCCGGGCTGGAACGCGCCCCCCGATAAGGGGAAAGTGCCAAATTTCTAGAATGCGGTTGCGGGGTGGTGGTTTCGAGGTTTTTGGCATCTCCCGCTCTCTCTCACTGTTTCTCTCTGACTTACTCTCTCTCGCTCTGTCGCTCTCCCTCTCTCCCTCTTTGTCTCTCTCTCTCTCTCTCTCTCTCTCTCTTGTCTCTCTCTGCTCACTACTGTCGCTCCCTCGCTTTCCCTCTCTCTCTCTCTCTCTCTCTCTCTCTCTCTCTCTCTCTCGCTTTCTCTCACTATCTCTCGCCCTTTCCCTTACCAAAGTCAAATAAATATTACCGTAACATCAAGGACACCAAAGTAGTCCTTCTGCGGATTGCTGGGAATTGCGCGACAGCTGGGCTCCCGGGTAAGCCCTCGTCCGTTCTCATTCGGAGGGCAAATGTCCATGCACGGGGCGATCATCCCCTGCTCGTTCAGCGGCTTCAGGTATTTCTCGCTGTAATTGGTGGTGGTTAGTGACAGCAATCAGTAGCTGGAACGTACTCATCATGTATTTTCGGCTCGGTGAGCTTGCAGAACGGCGGGATCAAGCAGGGCCAGCTGGCGACGTTCTGCGGCTCGCTAGGGAACGCGTGCGGGTCGGAGCACCACTAAATGGGGTACGTGAGTACGGTAGGTGAAGTGCATAGGAGCTCGTGCTCAAGCGTATTAAGGTATCCTACTATATATAAAAAAATAGTTCCTGTGTGTGTGTGTGTGTTGCATTTGCATGCAACTTCCGTCAGGTTGTTCCAGTGGTATCTCAATAAGGATGGAAGCTAGGGGGATGTTTGATACGTCATTCGGTGCGTAATGGCCTGGGAACGACTGCACACCTATCATATTTTGTAAAATACGGTGTTTTCGACATTAAAATTCGGTTTTTCTAAAATTCTGGGCTTTCCTCTTTGTTAGGAATCAATTACCATACACCGGAAGTGGAGGCGGCTCATAAAAAGGAAGTAAGGGCGCACTCTTCACTTTTTTATGCTGGAATTCGCGAAGAAGCATGCAAATTGAGGATTTTCACAAGGCCTAGACGGGGCCAGGGTTGAAAAGCCGCGAAGCGGTTTTTCAACCCTGGTGAGGTATGAAAAAAATTTAGCCAAAACTAAAAGCCAAAAGTGAAACATGGAGCAACAGCTTCGAGAAACGAGCCGGTCCACCCACCGGTTTGTACATGCCCTTGCCGAGGATGTAGCGCTTCAAGACGGTCGGGTAGCAGATGCGGGTTGCAGATGGATCGGTCTGTAGCTGCCTAACAGACTATTTTTCGAAACCGAAGCCCTATTAGTTACGCGGGAAATTCGTTGCGTTCGCCGCACCATCCCGTCTCGTAGCAGCCAAAGCGCAGATTCATCGATTTCATCGCCAGTTCCATCGGCGTCTGGAAGTTCAGTTCTCTCTACCTCTCTCTCCCTCTCTCTCTGTATCTCTATCTCTCTCACTCTCTCTCACTCTCTCTCTCTCTCTCTCTCTCTCTCGCTAATAAACTGACCTTATCGGGGAAGTGGGTCTCGTTGCAGGTAGGGTTATACGTTGGGTTTGGCGGGTAGAAGATGAAGACTTGCGGGTCCGAGTCCCGTCGGTCGCGCGTACGCAGCCGGACGCGCTTCACCGGGGCTGGCGAAGGAAGAGAAGGTGATGGAGGGACTGGGTTGCGACTGTCGGCTGGTGGCCGCTGCGTCGACGGAGGGTCGATCATCTGGCCTGCGAAGGCCTGCAAAGCTCGTATTGGACGGGAAAGGGGCGTACAGGGTGTCCCAAAAAACGAACCATCTGACATTTCGCCGTGTTACATCCAATCCGTCCCAAATTTGGACCAGATGTGTATCAGACACTAAATAACGTCAATCCTGACTTACAGCCCCATATCTACAGTAATTTTAAAGTTGTAGCGAAAATACTGTTTTTCCCGCAATTCTGAACCGTTGTTTCAGCTATTTTTTTGGACTGTGCATCGATTTGCATCGACTTCCTGCTGCGAATCCTAATTTTGCTTAACAGCTTGGGTAATTTTGCGTTGTAAAAATCGCTTAAATCGAAGCTTATTTGATTAATTTCAGTCCGGAAAAATTGCTTAAGGTAAAGAAGGCTTGCGGAATCCTTTTTGCTTAATGTTTAGGGGGTCTAATTCTACGAAAACCCGATGAAAAAATGGAAAATAAAGTTTGTTTTTGTTGGAACTCGAAAATACTATAACTACTGGGTTATAAATCAGGATCCTACTATATATAAAAAAATAGTGTCTGTGTGTGTGTGTCGATTTGCATGCAACTTCCGTCTCTATGTCCGGAGGATAACTCCATAGGGGATGAATTTTATGGTGCGTATGATACATCATTAGGTGTGTAATGGCTCTGCGATGACTGCACACTTATCAGAATTATGAAAATAAGCTATTTTCGATATTAAAAATAAGTTTTTCTAAAATTTTCGGGCACCCTCTTTGTTAGGAAACAATTAGCATATACCGGAAGTAGAAGAAGCCTATATAAAGGGATGGAAGGAAATCTTTTCATTTTTTGACAGCTTGGTTTAGGCGGAATTATGCCGTTTACAATTTCATTTGTCCAAACGGGGCCAGGGTTGAAAAGTCGCGAAGCGGCTTTTCGACCCTGGTTGTTGTTATTTAGGATCTGATACACCTCTGGTCCAAATTTGGGACCGATTGGATGTAACACGGCGAAGGGCCAGATAGTTCATTTTTGTGGGACACCCTGTATGGCTGAAAAGTTTTGTGGCTGCGGGGTCCCGGAATTGTACTTCTCTTCCCTGTCCATCTGCAGGTGTGTAGTATACGAAAATGTTCGTCTTGCTCTGGCGAGTATTTTGGTATACTTTACACACCTGTAGATGAACAGGGAGCCGAGATACAAAAGTTGGGTGCCGGCTGGGGGGGGTAAACTGCACTCTAACCGGTTCTTTAGGATTTCCGGGGGGGAACCAAGTTTTTTCCTGGTTTTCCCGGCTGACCTAGTAATCAAATATAAAGTGTTTTCACATTGTTTTTAGTAAATTTTAGCTATATTTAAAGTAGAAAAACCTTTCAAAAAAGTTAGAAAAATGTTTGAAAAAGTCGAAAATTTAGTCATTTTGGGTCTTCCTAAAGGTTATATAGGATTTTTCGACCCAAAATTAAATTTTTTAATTAAATGCTCAGGACTAGATAAAAACCATTTAGAAACGCATGCGCTATTTAGAAAAAAAATTTAGGCTTAGGCCGACAAAATTTGGTTCCCCCCCCGGAAATCCTAAAGAACCCTCTAACCTCTCTAGCAGGGCCGATACCGTCCAAAAAACTTGATTGCCCTATCATTTCCGACACCCGAAATGGGCACCCCCGTTCTGAACTCACCCATGTTGGGTGATCCTCGCTGATTCGTGGGTAACCGTTGATGAGGTGGTGGTATCGGCAGTTCGGATTCTCGCGGTCCGAGAAACAGAAGAGCTTGCACGATGGATGCGTCGAACCCTTCTCCCAACATCGTTGACAATCCTGGTGATCCTTCCATTCGGCAAGATCGCAGCGCAGGCACCACGGATCGCTCGCTTTGCACTGGAAGACAGGAAATTGACTACAGTGGTTGGTATATGGCGGTTATGCGGGGCGACAATTTTACGCGGGGGGACGGGACAGGCAGGCTTTTTTGGATGTTTTCGTTATTTCGTCGAAATTTTTGCAACGCCATTCGATAGAGCATCGAAAAATATACTAAGGGTTTATGGTTTAGGTCAAACCAGGGTTGAAAAACCGCTTCGCGGCTTTTCAACCCTGGCCCCGTCTAGGACCGATGAAAGTCTTCAATTTGCATGCTTCTTCCCCGAAATCTATCAGGAAAAAAGTGAAAAACGGCTCCTCTGTCGCTTTATATAGGCTATCCCACTTCCGGCTTATGCTAATTGATCCCTAACAAAGAGGGTGGGCGAGAATTTTACAAAAATTTGTTTTTAATAGCGAAAATAGCAATTTTTCAAAGATTTTATTTGCGTGCAGTCGATTCCGGACCCTTCTTTACCTAATGACGTTTCTGCCCAATCGAAAAAATTCTTCCCTGAGGCTGTAGGTGCGGAACATCCTCACGGAAGTTGCATGCAAATGCACACACACACACAGACACTATTTTTTTATATATAGTAGGATCCTACTATATATAAAAAAATAGTTCCTGTGTGTGTGTGTGTGTATGTATGTGTGTGCATTTGCATGCAACTTCCGACAGCGTGTTCCAGCAGTATCTCAATAAGGGGAGGCGTTAGAGGTATGTTTTATACCTCATTAGGTGCGTAATGGCCTTGGGATGACTGCACACTCATAAAATCTTCAAAAAGTCGCTGTTTTCGACGTTAAAATTAAGTTTTTCTTGTAAAATCGAGAACCCTCTTTGTTAAGAGACAATTAGCATACGCCGGATGTTGTAGGAGCCTCTATAAGGGAAGGGAGGTAGCGTTTCTCATTTTTTGTCGACGAAAAACACGAGAACTATGCAAAGTAACGAATATCAGGGAATCAGACGGGGCCAGGGTTGGAAAGTCGCGAAGCGGCTTTTCAACCCTGGTTAGTGTAATATACAAAAGTTATGGCACATACAAAAATAAGCTTTGTAAATCGGGTTGAGCGGCTGTTTTTCGACATTCGCGCTTTTTTCGACATTTTAAAGATGCCATTCGATAGAGCGTCGAAAAATATACTAAGAGTTTTAATTTTAGCTCAAAATAATGTAATATAAAATAGTTATGACAAAAAAGTATTAAACGTTTCCATGGAGGACATAGAGGAAATCAAGTTTTCGAGATTTTCGACATTTTTACAAAATTTCTTTAGTGCCATTCGACAGAGCGTCGAAAAATATACTAAGAGTTTTGTTTGTAGCAAAAAGAGCGTCGGGCCGGGCAGGGGCTTAAGTGCAGTTTATCCCCCCCCCCCAGCCGACCCCACCTACCGTATCTCGGCTACCTGTTAATGTACAGATGTGTAAAGTATACCAAAATACTCGCCAGAGCAAGACGAACATTTTCGTATACTACACACCTGTACAGGCCCGTACGAGGGGGGGGGGGGGCACCGGGGGCACGGTGCCCCCCCCGAAATCGGTCGAAGTCCGAAAAGTTCATAAGGGGGGACCCTTATGTTTTTTTCGCAACAATTTTTCTGCCTGCGGCGCTGTTTATCACTGTTTCGAAACGATTTTTACTCCTAGAAAACCTATTTTTCTAAAATTTTTTTGCCTGCGGCGCTCGTTTTCATTAGTGCACCATTTTTGCTGAACAAAATTTCGCTTGCGCGCGTCGTTCCCGATGCGTTTTCTCACGAATTTAAGCGTTACGAACGCGGTTTTCTAATTTTTTTCGCCTGCGGCGCTGTTATTTTCGCTATTTTTGAAAGTTTTGAAAGTGGCGACCGGGGGGGAGGTCGCCAAAAATTTTTGGATGGGTGCCCCCCGAAATCTCGGCTCCCGGACGGGCCTGCACCTGTAGATGAACAGGAAGCCGAGATACAAAAGTTGGGTGCCGGCTGGAGATAGGGGCGGGGGGGTGGGGTAAACTGCACTCTAACCCGGACCGGGCCAGGAAAAATCGGGTTTCCGGGCCGGCTTACCAAAACCAGAGTCTTACCAACCTTGCCTTTCTCGTTGCGAGGCCACCTACCTGGCAATCATCGCCCAGGATCCCATCACATGCCGGGCATCTCCCCAACTTGTCATTGATGTCGCCCAAGGGCTTCCACCTACAGTCAGTACAGCACACGCAGTCCACTTCTCTCTGGCCTGGCTCGCACTGAAATGATGGAGCTCATTTTGCATAATCGACATTTGGTAAGTCTCCACACCCCCTCACCCCCAGCCAGCACCCGACTTTTGTATCTCGGCTCCCTGTTCATCTACAGGTGTGAAAATGTTCAACCAAAATCTTCGTATTGCGCTGGCGAGCATTTTGGTATACATACTTTACACACCTGTAGATGAACAGGGAGCCGAGATACGGTAAGTGGGGGTTGGCCGGGGGGGGGGGGGTTATCTGGAGTTCAGCCGAGCCCTCACCTTGCGCGCGTTCGGCTTCAGCGGAAACAAGCCTTTTGGGGGGACGTACGGCGTTGGCTTAGGCGTGGTCGTTGTTGGTGTAGTGGTGGTTGGCGTAGTCGTTGTGGTCGTTGTCGTTGTAGTCGTTGTGGTCGTCGTCGTTGTAGTCGTTGTGGTCGTCGTTGTTGTGGTCGTCGTTGTTGTGGTCGTCGTCTGAAAGTGAAAGTCTGAAAGTCGTTTATCGTGTATTTTTAGTAAAATTTAAGGTACAAGTCTAGTCGAGGGGGAGCTTGAGTTGTCGGCTCCACCTACCGTACCTCGGCTCCCCGTTATCCTACAGGTGTGTAAAGCATACCAAAATACTCGTCAGCGCGAGGCAAACATTTTGATATATTTTGCACGCCTGTAGACCAACAAGGAGCTGAGATACGAAAGTCTGTGCGGACGGGTGGTAACCTGTGCTCCAAACAAGCGTGGTTCCTAGACTCTTACCACCGCTTAGCTCGCTAAAAAGCAGACCGAGGTGGTGGTGGTGGGGTCCGGGGGGACGGCGGTGTGCAGGTATCCGGCCAAACATTTCTTTTCCTTCGGATTGTCCTCCGTGCAACCCTTGGGTGCCACCAGCAGATCGTAGTTGCAGTCCAGCCACAGCGTGCCGTCTTTGATCTGGAGGTACCATAATAGATCATTAAAGGGAATGGTGGTACCTTGATTTGGGAGCGGTTGTCGCACGGCTTGGTAGGGTTCGGGCAGTGGCACAAGTCATTCTGGAATGGTAAAAGTTTGTGGAGCGAGAGACAGAGAGAGACAGAGAGAGAGAGAGCGGGAGAGACTGAAAGCGAGACAGAGAGAGAGAGAGAGAGAGAGAGAGAGAGAGAGAAAGAACGGGAGAGAGCAAGTGAGAGACAGAGATAGAGAAACAGATAACGAGAGATAGCGAGAGAGAGAGAGAGAGATAGAGAGTGAGAGCGAGACAGAGAGAGAGCAAGAGAGAGACACAGAGAGACATGCTATATCCAATACTCACATCCTCCTTCTTCCGAAACTCAGGGTCTTTGACGACGTAGCACGAGAGCGGCTTCATCGGGGTCGCCGGACACTCCTGAAACTGCCACCAATCTACGCATTGATAGCCACGCCCGGGGCCCAAACCGTGAAATTAGCATACCGCGGCGCGAACGTAGGGCAGGTGGACGAGCACGCAGACGAGAAGGTACGCGGCGATGCTGAACACGCCACCCATTCGGGACGCCATTCGAGTTTGACGAAGGAGGCTCGGGATCCAAGAACGCGATCTCTTCATTTAGCAAGCATTAGATGCTAATTTCGAGCACTTCCGGTTGTATTTAGCATCTAAATTTAAAATCTTAGTGCAAATCACAGTTTTCCAGCGGTACTGGGCTGTTAACGGGGGGATTTTTAGCAGGAGAAATTAATTTGTGGTTTTTTCTGCCTTTACCTACCAAATATTAGATAGATTTTTCATACATTTTGACCAAAAAGTCACAAAATTTTTCAAAAATCTTAGTATCGTGGCGCTTTACTGAGAAAACTTTGTCCCCCCCCCCGATAACAGTCCAGTACCGTGCCGCTCCTTTTCCTCAACAATCTTTGCTGACCGGCCAGGCATCAAAAATTCGAATCCGGCTCCTTGCCTAATCCCCCACCAAAAACCGGCCCAAGTTTTGGGGCGATCGAGTTTGTCCTTTTTCTGCCCTCGTCGGCCCGTTCTCGCGGGTCCCGTTGTGACGATATCTTGCCCCTGCATCTACCGCACGCCACCCGAGACGGCGAAGGCGCCCAATTCCGGATGGGGCACATTCCTGGCGGCAAGCAGTGCGGTGGAACTGTGAAGTGCAATAAAATGGCTGAAACTTTTTGGAACCGATCCCTGCTAGGCAACGACAGACGAACTGCTTCAAGTCTTCTACAGCTCGGAACTGCCTCAAGTTGTCGGCAAAAAGCGTAATTAGCAGAACTTTGAAATGCATGAGAAAACAGGGAAACCTGCTGTCACCGTTCCCTGCAAACTTCTTCAAGTCGTCGACAGCTGAACGGCTTTAAGTCGGCGAGAAACAGCGCAAGCAGAACTGGAAACGCATTAAGACGGCTCTGAACTCCTTGGAGTCGCCGGCAAAAACGCGAACTAGCTAGAACTAGCACCTTTTTGAGTCGTTAAAGGTAAGCTAGCAGAGATTCCTCGGGTATGATTGGGTCATGCGTGGCCAGCTTGCAAAGATCCTTTAAGAACGGTGCGTAGGAAAATTTGGTATTCCCCGCCACCCCCCGCCGCGCTAATAGCCCAGTGCAGAGATGATTATGGTAGCTCGCTAAGGCCCTTTAGGAAATAGTCGGGGAATCCTAGCAAATGCTAGTTGGGAATTTCTCAAAGCAAGCTGGCAGAGACACTTTAGGAATCCTCCGCGGCAAACTAACAAATACATTCCCTGCCATCGTACCCGGCCATTTACCCCCTTTCTCCTCCACCTCCTCCTCCTCATCGACCGATTCCCAGCCATGTATGTTCCGATGGATTGGGCGGCTTGATCCTTTGTGAAAGGAGCCCTAAAAAGGGGTCGATGTCCACTCATATCCCATCCTCCTGCTGCCATTCGCCCCCCAGATCGTCCGGAGCCCCCTTTTTTTGACTGCTGCCGGCAGCTCCCGGATTGTCGATTTGGGGCGGCGCCAATTGTTTATCAACGCCTAGGGCTCGTGTGAAAAATAACCTTGAAGGGACGTTAAAGTGGGTAAATCCGTAGGCTAGTTGGCAGAGATTATTAGAGAATTTTTGATTTAAGTTTGGATAGTGCGGGCAGCAGTTTCAAGAGCATTAAAAGGACGAACACCGAGGGCAGGCTAGCCGTGATCACTAGCGAATTTTTTTGAATCGGTCCAAGGCGAGCTAGCAGACTTCGCCAGGAAATTTTTGGATCAACCAAGGCGAGCAAGCCGAAGCCACTCGAAAATTTTTTTGAATAGCGCTAGGGCAAGCTAGCAGTGTTTCTTTGCGGAAAATAACGGCTTTCGGTTGAATTGGAAGCGCAGAAACCATAAGCCGGCTAGCCGCGATCATTTAGGAAATTTTTTCGATCGAACTAGGGCAAGCTAGCATTGGTTTTTGCGGAAAATAGTGGTTTTAGTAGAATTTGAACTTACGAGGCTACTTAGACCTTACTCAGGCTTAGGCTTAAGCTACCCTGCCAGACCCAGACGACAAAAGATCACCCGTGTTTCCGGGTGTATTTCGCCGGCCCCAATCGTGTGAAAGTGAGACAAGATGCTAATCGAAAATGAGTTGAGCTTCACTGCCGAACTTGATCCGTCGATAAGTGTGTAATGGAAAGGGAGAGAGCGAGAGTGAGAGAGATAGGGAGAGAGAGAGGGAGATGGGGAGAGAGCGAGAGAGAGAGAGAGAGATGGAGGGGGAAACGGCGGAACTGAATCGGAAGGTGTTCGGCACTGCCCTCCAAATAGGGGCTATCGTTTGCTAAACTGCGCCCTGTAAAGTGGCTACGCGTCAAGGTTGACGTTAGCGGCAGAACAAAGCCATTGACCGTATGAGTTTTTTTGGGGAATTTACGGCCTGTTGAAGGGTGCTACGGTAGATGAGCAAACTAGAGAGGGCGAGACAGAGAGGGAGAGAGAGCGAGATGGAGAGAGAGCGAGAGTCTGAGTTATGTCGATGCCTAATGCGAAACCCAAGCCAAGCCTAAGCATAAATCTATGGCTAGGCCCAAACCAACCTAAGCTTAGGCTTAAGCCTGTGTTTCCTAAAGCTCAAGCCCAAGATAGAGGCTAAACTAAGCCGAAGCTAAACCAAACTAAACCTAAGCTAAGCCTAAGCTAGGCCTATGCTAAGCCTAAGCTAAGCCTAAGCTAGGCCCAAGTTATGCCTACGCTAAGCCTAAGCCTAGCGAAAACCCTCTCTGCAGTGACGGTCAGTCGGTTCAGAACCGGGTGCACCTGAGCGTGCGCATTTTTTCGATCTGCTTGCAAGTTTTTCAGCGAACGGTGGCCGTGCTGGGTGGTATCTGATCTGCCATCGCGCGCGCCGAGAGGAGGACGAGGTGGAGGAGGAGGTGGAGGAGGACGAGGTGGAGGGCGGGTCGAGTGGATGTGTTCTTCTTCTCACATACCCCCCCCATCCACTTCTATAGCCTCAGGGCATACCCCGGGCAGCACAGACATACAGCTAGGCGACCGGATTCCCACCTGATACTTCTGACTCTCGATTAAAGTGCGTCGACCTGCAATGAGGAGAGTTTTGGTGGGTTAACAATTTTTTAAAGTTTATTTTTTTTGGCGGAAATTTGAGTTATTTTTATTTGACTCTACTCGATACTAGAGTACCATACTCTAAATTTGCCATTTTACCAATTTTTCAAAATTTTTTGAACGAAATTTACCCTAAACGTCTCGAAGTCCCCGCGTTGAAAGATGGAATATACCATTCGCTACGGGACCCTTATCTAAATAAGAACCTAGCTACCGTACTCCTGGAAATCACCTCGGGACTCGCTAGCATAAATGTAGTAAAGTCCATACTGTTTCTTCCAAGTACCTTTCAAAAATGGGAGAACTTTCGATTTTGTAGTCTGCCGGAAATACGTGCATTTAGTATCATACCGTAGCCTTCGTAATCTACATCAGACCTACCGTGGTCCACAACCGAAAATTTGAATTTCTCGACTTTCCTATTTTCAAAATCAGCAGACAAGCTTGGGAATATTTCCGCAACTTCCAAGTTGCACCTGGTTACAACGCTCGTTCGTAATATTTTATAGGAATTCTATGGCATCCTCTCTGACTTTTTCGACTTTCCGGTTTTCGAAACAGCAGACAAGCGTAGCAGTATTTCTGCAAACTCCATGTTGCGCCTAGTTACGGCGCTCGTCTCTAGAATTTTATCGGAATTTTACCGTGGTGTCCTATGCTATATATCTTATACGTACCTTCTCTACCGCTATCCACTCTGGAAAACACTTATCTATCGTAATCCAAACTCTAAAGCAGTTTTGCAACTTGTTACGGCACTTTTCGGTCAACCACTACATTTCCACGCTGCACCAATTTACGCCACCCCCTCGCCTATTAATGCGTAGTCGATACGGTATCGCACTTTTTTGAAACGTAATTTAGCAATTTCTCTGTTTCAAGGTTCCCTCATCACCGTCACCGCCCATTCGTAATTCTGCGATATTGTGCATCAGTGGCAATGCGACACTTTCCACCTTCCCTCCCCTTTCCTCACCGCCTCAAACGCTTGCCATAGCCAGTTCGAAGCGTTTGAAAGAACATTTCGAGTCTTCCGTCGGCTCACCCAAGCGCTTCCCCCGCAGCCGATTTTCTCTCGCAGTTCGTGCCTCCCACGCACGGCAGTGTAATCCGTTTAAAGAGGGTGTGACAAGGGAATTGGCGTAGTAACGCTTTAGAAAGGTTTGAATTGATGCGTACTGTAACGTAGTTGTCGATTTAAAGAAAACGGGCCAATGGCGCGATCTGTTACGATTTCTCTCAGGCTCACTCTCTCTTTCTCAGTCTCTCTCTCTCGCAGTCTCTCTTCCTTTCTCCCTCTCTCTTTCTTTCGCTCTCTCTCTCTCTCCCTATCTCTCTCTCTTTTGCTCGCTGTCTCTGGCTCCCCTGTCTCTGTCTCAGGCCAGTTTAGCAGATTTTAACCAAGCCAGCACGATATACTTCAAAAAGTACGCCGAAATACAGTAGACGGCTAGCTAAGCCTATTGAACACCAGCCTACCGTAACCAATTTTCAGAGCAACCCTTCAAAAGTCTCCAATCCCATCCGTTTATGCCCTTTTACAAAACACTACTGGAGCCAGCTGGCAGGATGGAAAGTGATCCCCTAAACCGATTCCCCTCCTGGCTCTGCTTCTCCCCAAAAAAAACTGAAACTCCCAGTCCCTTTAATTGAACATCAATTGGATGCCTGGGGGAGTGGATGAAGTGCTGTTGAAATCGAAAACTCAAAACACGACGCAAAAAGCGATGTTTAGTGTGTGCTGGCAGTGGTGCACTCGACGTTTGCGTGCCTCGGCGGATTTGGAGGTGGCGGAGGAGGAGGCGGATGTTGTCCTCCAGCTCAGACCGGATGCAGTAGCCCTTGTGGAGGGTGAGTTATTCGGGTTTAACGGGGTTGGAAAGGATTGATTTGAGCGTGAAAGAGCGAGAGAGAGGGCGAGAGAGAATCAGAGCCAGCGTCGGGGAGTAGGAAAAAGTCAACGAGAGATAAAGAGAGAGAGAGAGTGCGAGGGAGAGAACGAAGGAATAGAGTTCGAAGGAGCTAGAAGTCTGTTTTAAAACAAGTTTTTTAGCGGAATCTCTTCCGGCCCGGTCTCCGGCTACGCAGCAGCCCCTCCCCCAGCATCTGGCTACGCGGGCAGCGGCTACCAATCGGACTACGGTAGTCAGTCCATCCCACAGGCCCCTCAGCCAGCCGGCGGACAGTATGGCCAAGCCGGAGCTGGAGGATACGCCGGACCCGGGCAGATCTCTGGAGTTGACGCCGGTGCCCAGGGAGCCGGATACTCCAATGCAGGCGCTGTAGTTGGAGGAAGCGATTTTGGTGAGAATTGAAGAAGCGGAAGATTGTTGCTTTGGCGCGCATGAGATTATAATGCAAAAGCTTGACTACGCAAAAATCGGGTTTTAAGAATCCAGGATTTTCGCTTAGTGCCTTCAAAAACGCGCTAAAACGAAGCATAAGTTCAGTTAAATCAATAAAAAAATTAAAATTATTTTTTTTACAACTTAGGAAACCAGTTTATTAAAAATTATGTTTTTCAAAGCCAGATCTTGATATCCATTATTAAAATTACCGAATTACGCAAATTTCTAGTATATAAATTATTAAGATTTCGTAACATTTGAAATTTTTCAATTGGCACTACGATATTATTCAGAACCAAAAATTAAGGATGAAAATCTATGCAGATTTTGTCCAGTCTTACCCCACAGCGAAAAAGAACCCACCAACCGCATGTGAAACCCACAGCCCCGAGCATGCCCCCACCCACCCACCTAACAATATTTAGCTGGCGGAGCAGGAGCAGCTGGAGTAGCTGGAGGAGCAGGAGCTGGAGGAGCTGGATCAGCAGCCGTCGGCGGAAATGGCGGTGGGGCGATCAATGTGGCCCCATCGAGCTTCACGAATCAGCAGCAGACGGCTGAATATGGGCAGCAGGGAGGATCGGCAGTCCCGCAAGGAGCACAGCACCACAGTTTGTCCAGATTTGCACTGCATTTTTCATGCGCATCCGGAGGTTTTAAAGGGACTGGGAAGAGGTGGTGGAGTTGTAGATAAGAAGGTTTATATAAATTTTCTCTCACTCACTCTCCCTTTCTCTCTGGCTCTCTCTCACTCTGTATCTCTCTCACTCTCTCTAGCTCTCTCTCTCTCTTTCTCTCGCTCTCGCTCTCGCTCTCTGTCTCTCTCTCACACTCTGTATCTTTTTCTCTGTCTCTCTCCCGCTCTCTCTCTCTCTGTCTTACTATCTCTCTCTCTTTCTCGCGTTCTCTCTATCGCTCGTTCTGGCTTTCACGCTCTCACTCGACTTTCGAAAAATCTAAGAAAAAAGATATGATTACGGTAAAAATATACCCACCATTCTCAGCCCCTTTAAAACCGCCGTTTGCTACATCGTGCCCCTCCTACCGTAGCCGGTTCCAGGCGGCCCGGTCAGCGTGAATTCCCTAGCCCCAGCCGGCCAAAAGAGCACCGAATTGAGCGCCGCTGCCGGCTATCAGGGAGGCTCGGAGACGTCACAACAGACCCAAACCAGCCAAACTGAGAATGAGCAAGAGACTGAGGATGAGGAAGAGGAGGAGGATCACGGTTAGCTTTAGCATCACCCCACTCACTGTAGTGAACCCGCAGAAGCTCTTGCTCAGCTCAAAATTCACGCTAGAGCCAAAAATTTCACGCGGTTTCTCGTTGGCACGAGATTTTCATTTCTAAGCTGGCAAAATAAAACCGGAAACTTACCGGTTTCTCTAGGATTTGAAAACACGGCCTATTAATGCATGAATTTTTACTCTTCTTTTCTCTCACAGATATGGTTGGTGGAGGAGGTGGCGGATCCATTGGAGCTGGCGGAGCTGGCGGAAGCACTTCCGGCACCGGCTCGAGCACCGATACAGCGTACCAAGGCAACGCTGGTGGTGGGTTGGAGTGTTTCGGAAATGTTTGCTACCACTTCACGTATTATTTAACGTGTTTTCTCACTTTCTAACCCCAGACACCTCCGCGGCTATTGCAACTGGGCAGGACGGCGCGGCGGAGTACGATGAGAGTCAGGATGGCGAGAAGGGTGGTTGGTTTTTTGGGATTTTGGCACGTTGATATGTAGAGTCGCTCAATTTCTCTCACTCACTCTCTCACTCTCCCTCTCACTCTCTCACTCTCACTCTCTCGCTCTCTTTCTCACTCTCCGCCTCACCCTCTCACTCTCTGTCTCCCTCTCACTCTCGCTATCACTCTCTCTATTACTCACACTCTTTCACTCTCTCTTCCCCTCTCTCTCTTACTCTCTCTCTCTCTCTCTCTCTCTCTCTCTCTCTCTCTCTCTCTCTATTTTGCACCCAACTTACCGTACCCAGAACCTCCCGTAGTCTCTCGTAATCACTAAACCACCCTACCCCAGATGATGACACCCCTGTGCCCGCCACTAAAACCGCGTCGACTAACTACGCCCCAGCACCTAATACCGGTTTGTTTTGATTGCCACGTTGTCGAGCGGTGGTTATTTCATATGATTTGAAATTACAGCACCTAATAAAGCACAATATTTAGTTTTTATTTAGTTAAACAATTAAAACTTTTACCGAATTACCGAATTAAACCCACACAAGTTAACTAAATTAATGCATTTTTAAGTGGTTTCGCGAATTTTTGAGAACCGTTTGCAGACCAAAAATGATACCAAATTGAACGAAATCAGTTTAATCAATTTAACGAAAAATAATTGTTAATAAATTTTGTATAAAGCATGCTCAATGATAACCAGGTGCCGGTGAGGACACAGCCAACAACGACAAGGGCAGCGAGTACGACGATACTGATGACGGCACCGAGCAGCAGACCGGTGAACAGGCCACCGATTACGATTGTAATTTTTATGAAGGGTTTAAGGGCGGTGAAAGGGGAATCCATCAGATACCTTAATTTTTGAGTATTCTTCAAATCCGCCCTCCGTGGACTAACCTACCATTCCCCAACCCGTATTTTAGCGGAAACTAACGCCGAGTCGTCGGCCACCCCGGCAGCCCCTGCCCCTGCCACCACAACAATCGGTTATGCACCACCGGGTTTGGGTTTTATTCTTAAACTTAAACAATTGTTAACAACTCAAAATATATAAGTTTTTACGGTTATTTCACAAACTTCACAAAATCACAATTTTTTTTTGGTGGAAAACAAGCATGTTTTTGGTTCAACACTGGTTTTAGACTTCGGGTTCAAGGTTTTCTGTCACCTTTAGCACTCCAATACCTTAAAAATTGCAAAAGTTGTCATTTAAAAACAGTAAAATTAATTTTATTTAACGTTACATTACATGCGGTATGCATTACGATACGTTACGATATGTATCGTAGTTACGCTACTTCTTCGAAGAATCTAAATTTTTGAATTAATTTTATGTTTTCAGCAACAAATGTCCAACCCCAGGAAAACAGCAACAACTACAACAATAACAATAACAACAACCAGGGCGGCCAGGAAACCGAATATACCGGTGGGTTTGGGCTTAAAAGCATGCAAAAAGCGGTGAGAAAGGATGAGAGAGCCAGAGCGAGCGAGAGAGAGCGCGTGAAAGAGGTGAGAGCGAGTGAGTAAGAGAGAGAGCGAGAGCGAGAGGGCGAGAGAAAGTGGGAGTGAGGGTGAGAACGAGAATTTCTTTAACGTTTTACAAAATAAGAATCTTACTCTAGTTGCAAAACACAACTTCTAATTATGATTTCTTCAAATTCAATGAGCAACCTAACATTATTTCCCGTTCCAGAAGAAGATGAAGGAGACCTCGAGGCCCCAGCCCCTGCAGCCACCGGTAACGCCGGCCCAGTCGCTCAAACGGATACCAGCTCGTACTCCAATTCCGGATCCGCTGCCCCAACCAACACGGCTTCCTCCTACCAGGCCCCAGCTCCCTCTAACCCGGCCCCGGCCACCAACTACCAGGCCCCCGAGGAGCCGGCAGCACCGGAAGTTGACGAGGTGCCCAGGCTTGATTATCAGGTAGGATTTTTGTCAATTTTTGAGATCCATGTGGCGATTTACGACTCAACGGAAGGCGTGGAGACCGATAACGAACGTAATATCGTTTTGTAGGCGTCCAACAACGTGAACACCGCCCAACAGTATGTGCCCCCAGTTTCGTCGGATCGTGTCGAGACTCCGGAAGCCCCGCAGCCAGGAGGCGGAGCGGGAGGTGCCGACTATTCTGAGGAGACCAACGCGAATCCGGAGGTTTGTAATAGAGCTTAAGCTTATGTAGCTAACGAAGCTGCTTCTTTCCAGGTGATCGTTGTTGGCTCGCCGACGCTGACCTACCCAACCACTGCCGCCCCACGAGCCGAAATCCCCACTCCCGGCCAGACAAACGTAATTTGTTACTGTCCAGCTCGACTTTAGTGAATTATGAATGAAAAAGTTATGAATTATTTTTAACACCATTTCCAGGACGCCAGCTACGGTAGCAACGAGCAACAGGCCAGCCCGGCTCCCGTGTACCCCGAGCAGACCCTGGCCCCATACGTCGCCGAGACTGCGCAAACCTCTGCGCCATACCAGGCCGAGACTCCGGAGCCAGTTTCTTATCCTGCTCCGGAAACTTCGGCTCCATACGTTGCCGAGACGCAAGCCCCGTACCAGGCCCCGACGTCCGCCCCGTCCTACGTTGCCGAAGTTGCTGCCGAGACCCCGGCACCATACCCTGCTCCCGACCCGGCTCCGGTGAGTTCGAACGAGAGAGAAAGGGTGAGAGAGAGAGAAATAGGGAGATACAGTGAGAGAGAAAGAAGAGAGCGAGAGAGAGAGAGTGCGAGAGAGAGAGAGAGAGAAAGCGAGCTAGAGAGAGTGGCAAAACATCAGAAAGCTCCATGAACATCCAAATTTTCAGGCCCCAGCATACAACGGCAACGACAACAACAACAACAACAACAACAACAACAACAACGACAACAACAACTTTGGCGGCGACACCTCGGCCGCAATTCCGGTTAGTCACGGCTTCTGAGTTCCTCAAAATTAAGTTCAAGGCCGGTGATGAGAACAAGTCGAACGACGCGTATTCCGGCGAGTCAAATCAACCCCAGCCCGCCCCTCAGCCTTATCCCGAGACGACGAACACTGAAGCCCCGGCTCCGGCTCCTGCTCCCTATCAGCCACCCGCTCCACAACAGCCCGTCCCAGCTGATGTCTACCCCGAGGAGGAGGCCCCGCAGCCGCCAGTCAGCGAGAATACTGGGTTTGTTGATGGGAATAGAAGGTTTTAAGAAAAATGGGTCTAGGCTGTTCTCTTGCGTATCTTTAAGGCTTCAACGAAAGATTCTAGACCGTACCCAGAGGAACCGTTAGCCCCGACGCAAGCGGAAATCTACACATCCACCGAGGCACCCGTCACCCAAGCCCCTACCACCCAATATGTTCCACCAATGATTGAGCAGGTGGGTAGAAGTTTGGGCTCTCTCTCTCTCTCTCGCTCCTTCTCTCGCTCTCTCACCCTCTGCCGCTCACTCTCTCTCGCTCATCCTCTCGCTCTCTCATTCTCCTTATCTCTCGCTCCTTCTCGCTCTCTCTCTCTCTCTCTCTCGCTCTCTCGCTCTCTCTCTCTCTCTAATCCATAATTTCCAGTCAACCGTCCCGCCCGTCGAACCATACGCCAACGAGAACAACGGCGAGATCATCACCGCTCATGAGCAACAGGTACAAAATTTTCGTTCATTTTTAAAGCTATTCTTAATTTCTAGATCGTCCCCTCCAACGGCTACAAGCCCCCAGATAACTATTCTCCCACCATCGTCGATGACGTGAGTTTTCCGAATTCTACCGTAACCCCGAATTTTCAGAACAACGGCGGCTACAACCGGATCGCAAAGGTGTTGAGGGTAGGTTTTTGAAGGTTTGAGAGGGGGCTAGAGGAGAAGCGAGATGGAGAGCGAGGGAGAGAGAGAGAGAGAGAGAGAGAGAGAGAGAGAGAGTACGAGCTAGGTAGAGAAGAGAGAGAGAGTGAGAGCACGAGCGCGAGAGGAGAGAGAGTGGCGAGCGCGCGAAAACAGAGAGTTAGCGCTATAGAGAGAGACAACGACAGACAGAGAGACAGAGAGAGAGAGAGAGAGAGAGAGAGAGAGTGAGTGAGAGAGAGCAACACTCAGAACGACTAGATTTTAAAATGAATTTTGAATCCGGCTTTCGATGAAATCCTGACCAGTTCTCCCTTCCTTACATTAAATTCTATTTCCTCATTTCAGGCACGCGTCTACGGCGTCAGAAACGAGCCTCGATACCAGCGAATCCTCTTCACCACCCGCTAAATGCCAACAAAATCCTTAAAGCTCAATTATCATTGATTTCCCGATCAGGTCTCGGCCAATAATTTATTTGTTTGCCATCCGCGTTATTTATTTGACAAACCGCACCAATGCACTTCTACACTTATTTTTACCTAATTGACGACTATGTAGCTCTTTCGCGACCGCTCGTATACCTCAGCCTTCGATTTGCCCCCACTGCTTCGCCTCGTCTTGGCTAAGCCTCCGCTTCGAAATAGTGTGCAATTGTAGTCGCTCCAGCTTCTGCTTTCCTTTCCAAGTGTTACACCCTTATTTTATGTATTTATTGATGAAAATTGCTCAAAATTAAATCTAATAAAAATTACATGGATCAAGCCGATTGTGCGCAAAAAGCATCAAAACTACTCAAACAGCATTGCTACGCCATTATAGATACATTCAGAGCTTCAAGATGATTGCGGTTTCAAAAAGCGTATTTGCGCTAGTAGGTCAAACCGTCTAAATGAGGCCAATGCTCAGATTCATTGTGCTTAAGAGGTATGCGCCCTCCTTGTCCGTAAATTGTCCGTCCTGCTTAAAGAGGCGGTCGAGGCAACACGAATGATTTTTCGCTATGGACTATGGATCCGGCGAGATGGCGAATCGCGCGTTTTTTCCCCTACGCAACTTCATTTTCATCCCGGTCGGCGACCTAACGCGTTTCGAATCGCCGTCTCCAACTGTCGGGTATCCTCTGTATGTTACCGCCTGACAAACAGTCCCAGATCTGCGAAACTTGAATTTCCTCCTCGGTTTTCGGACAGTGGTTCACAGTTTATTTGGGGAAATGTTCAAATACCAACGACAGCCTCAATCGACATGGAAAAAACAGACCGGCCGCGGCCCCGACGTGACAAAACCCCGAAAACGGCCCACCATGCGATTTGATGAATATCCTAAGTCTAGCATCGAATTGCGTGTTCCTGTGTAAAAAATTGTGAGCAGCTACATCACGCTGCCCCCTGCACTAACAAATAAGAACGATCCCGCCTGAAAAACAACAAAGAATCCAACTGACGATTTTGCAGAATCTTCGGGTTCTCGGTACTTGTATTTGGACAAGACCGAAAATAATTAACTTGATCTGAAAGTGTTGTTCATGGTCATTAGCCTATGAGATATCATATACTACCAGTCGTTGTGTTTAGGACCCGACCACGGAGTGATCCTCCAGCCCAGTTTGTACCACCAAAGATTGTACATATTTTTTATTAAAGACCCCTGTAAATGGACAGTTCTGCAACGTTGCAAGCCCCAGAAAACTCGTCTACATAGATGCATCTGCGATGGCAACGTCAAAGATCGATGACAATTCCCGCGAAGGCCACGGCACCGCCAAGCGCGGCAGGGCGCGTAGAGGAGCATGAGCGTGACCCCGAGCTCAATTTTTGAGGGAGAAATTAAGCTTAACGCAAGGAGAGAGAGAGAAAGAGAGAGAGAGAGAGAGAGAGAGAGAGAGAGAGAGAGAGAAGCAAGGTGGGGGTAGGATGACTTTCGCTGTCGTCGAGATATGGCAGACGATACCCGGGGGGTTGAAGGATCGGACTTGTTGCACGGCTTGCCCCCTTCGTCCCCCCGGCCAATGGCATCCCTCCCCGATCCCTAAACACCCCCCTCACAACTTCAACAGTTTACGCAGTTTTACACAACACAGCCGGCGGGGCATGAAACCTGTGGTTTTCAACGCGCCCACGCAGCAAGCGTCAAGGGTCAGCATGCGAGCGCGGGTATTGTGCGTGTTTGTAGCCTGGGCGTAAAACTTTGGACTTCCAGTTTTGCCCCCCGGCGGGTACGCGACCAAAGTTTGAAGAATTTGCACCGAGTGCACTTTGCATTACAGTACTGTACTGTCTGGTTATGACGACGGACACCTAGAGACGGGAAGTCTAAGATCATGGGCTCAAAAGTTGATATATGAAAGTCATATTACCGTATCTATTCCGGATTTAAAGACACTGATAGTTGGACGAGAAGAAAAACGCTTTTTGCAATTTTTTTAACCTGAAAACCTCAGCTCTACACTACGCTTGTGTACTACGCTCTCTAGTATTTTAAATCAGAAGCGAGGAGCCAGGCTAAAAAATGGCCAGTATGAAACTGTACGAGCGTACTGACGTCGCATCGTTGTCCTACGTCAGTATAACGTACAGTAAGACCTAGAAGAAAAGAAAGAAGAGAAGAAGAAGCCTGAAAAAAAACTAAAAAAAAAGAGCTACGTTTCTAAGTTTTTGACGTCTTCCCACGCTAGTCTACAGTACGGTAGTGTACAGGTGAGTGCGAATGGTATCGAGCAGGGACCAGAGCTACGATCCACTACTACTGACACCGTGCGTAGCCTTATGGCGGTAGGCCTAAAACTACGCCTCACCTCTGTATGAGACATCTGGTTACGTAATACGCCAATTGACGGGCTGGAGTTCTGCACGTCTATATTGGTAACTTTCCATGTTTCTTCCACCTGTGTGGTATTAAAGGTATGGTGACACCGACAGAAGTCAGTAACGGTAGGAAGCTGAAACAATGTTACTAGAAAACTTCCGGAGCACCTATGGCACGATATCGCTTTTGCCGGATGTCACCCTTCCACTTTCCCCTCCAATCAGCCATGGTAATCCAAGCGTAGGAATCGTCGAGGAAACGAAGATGATTCGGATCAAGGGGCGGAAAGCGAGAGAAAGAGAGAGAGAGAGAGAGAGAGAGGCAGACAGACAGCTAGACACAGAGAGATCGTTCCCCCCAGTCCCTCCACGCTTATTCAGCGATTCGAATCTACGGTAGACCGATGCGAGGCAGCGAGGTGTCTGATTAATTTCGTGTGGGTTGGAGAGAGGAGAGAGAGAGAGAGAGGGAAAGAGAGAGGGAAAGAGAGAGAGAGAGCGGAATGTGGCAAAGGTGGCATAGCCACTCCCCCTCGCGTGCCCTGAGGGCACATCTCGGGGTCTGCCATTCACTCGCCAGCAGTCCCCAAGCAGTGCACCAGTGTCTGCTCCTTATTCGCCACTTAGAATCATGAAAACGGTGGGTTCAACGGACCTTTAATGGGATATTGTAACTTTTAAAAGATTCTCTAAAAGTTTAGGGTGCTATGGTAGCTTGACTTGCTGGCTCCCTTAAGATGGCTTAGGATATTCTTAAGGGGTGCTGTATTTCAAACTAGCAATAAGCTCCCAGGCTGGACTTCCTCAAAGAATCTCTGCTCGCTGGCCTTATCGCTCTCTTCTCTTTTTCATTGTGTAATGCATTACAGCAGGTCTCCTGGCTGTAAAATCTACAGCGAATCCATACCCAACAAAATCCAAAGACGAGCCTTGTCGGTCCCTTTAAAAGCGTCCCTATGATCCAAAGGCTTCTCGTAAATTTTTTACTTCCATGTCCCTTTAAAATTGCCTGAAAGCTGACCAAACCACCCTAATTTTCGCCCTGTTCCCGCTTCCATCTGAATTTCCCCAAAAATCTACTCTACCTGGTTTCCCTAGTCTTCCAGCCAGTCTAAGAATTCCGCAAAGTTCCTCCAGTCGCTCCTTCGATTTCCCAGGTTCACAGCGGATGCTCCGGCTGCCACGAACATCGGCTTTACTTTTTCAGTTCGATCGAGCGAACTTCTTCTCCCCTCGTTCAAAAGCATCCAAGATATTTTAAAGAGACATGGCAGGCAAGAGCTAGGGGATTTTGCCATGCAAATTTTATGGAAATTTTCCTTGGTCCTTTGATCCAGACATTAGGGTTTGGGAAGTCATATTCGGCCTAGGTTAAAGGCATCTAATTTTGGCAATTGGCCAAGGCTATGGACTATTCCGTACCTCGAAAAAGATCGAGAGACAGGGAGAGACAGAGAGAGAGAGAGAGAGAGAGAGAGAGAGAGAGAGAGGAACACGAGAGATATAAAATTATTTTTCAGTTCGTCGTCCTCGCACTTTTGGCCAGCCCGGCCCTTGGATGCCTTGGTGGAGGCGGTGGTAGCCAGTGCTGCCCGAGCCCGGCCCCGGTTGGCGGATGCGGAGGAGCACCAGCTTGCGGAGGAGCAGGCGGCGGAGGGTATGTTTTAGTTGGTTTAGGACATTTAATCGTATAACTATTTTGTAATCAGATTTGACAACCTAATGTAGTAAAACGGTCCGAAGTGCTTGATGTTGCCAACTATTCTTTAATTAAAAGGTGCGCTGATCTATTGCCTGAACTTGTTCAAGTCGCCGGCTGGGTTAGAGTTGACTCAAGCTCTGGATAGGGCTATTTGTAGTAAGCTGGGTCCGGTTGCGATTCAGCTAAGGCTAAGTAGGTTTAGGCTTCTGCTTAAAGAGATAGGGGCGGCATAAGTCAATCGATTACGCGAGGGAAAGAAAATGTCTCTGCGCCTCTCCCCTGGGAGCCCTCTCTCGCGCGAGATCGCCGCGGGACCTGTTGAACCCCCCCTCCCCAAGGGGGGTTCAACAGATGCCGTCCTCATCTCTTTAAGTCGAACTTGGTGATGGATTTAAATCAAGTTCGTGCTCAGGCTTATTTATAGGCTTAAGCGAAGCTTCGCTCAAATCTCGACTTAGCTGGAGCTCAGTTCAGGCTTAGGCTTTGCTCAGGCACAAGTTTGGCGTGGGTTAGAGTTTAAGCTTTGGCTCTGGCTTCGCATTAGACTGAAATCGAGCTTCGGCCATGCGTATACTAACTCGAGCTGAAAATCGACTTAATTTTACCCATCTTTCCATCTTTCCCGAAAGCTCCAAACCACACGCGTAATTTGGTGTCACCCGGAATTTCTCCACACGGCGAGCGAGCCCTTCCTCCTTGCCGATGTGCAGTTTTTGCGTACCCTCCTCGCCTGCTGGCCGCGGATTTCCTTAAATGATCGCATAAAAAAACTCGATCGCCACTTCCAAGCACTATCACGTATCCCCCCCCCCGACTCGGATCGGGTTTTTCGGGTCGAGCAGGCGAAAGCCGCTCGAAATTCCAAGGGCACGCCAGCCGCACCTAGCCCCAAGAAGAAGCCGAGGACTTTCGCTTTGCCCCCCTGTCCGTTCGGAGACTTGGAACGTAGTTTTTTTGCTTGGGGGTTGGCAGGCTGGCTAGTGGCTGGCTGTCCGTCTATCCGGCTGCCCACAAGAGGCTATTCCGCGACATGCCACTGCCAAAACGGCGGCCAATCCGAATGGCACGTCAGTGGCATGAGAGGGGGGAAGCAGGGAAAAGCCGAGGATTCCGTTCTATTTCTCCGGAACTTGCTGGAATTGGCGATTTAAAGGGGGCTGAGAAGCCAAGAATTCAAATTTTTTTAAAGGGAACTAAGAAATCCTGAAAATCTCTCTCTGTCTCGCTCTCTCTATGTATCTCTCTCCCTCTCTATCGCTCTCTTTCTCTCTCTCTCTCTCTCTCTCTCTCTGTGTATCTCTTCCCTCTCTCTCGCTCTCTCTCTGTATCTCCCTCTCCCTCCTCTCCCTCTCTCTCTCTCTCTCTCTCTCTCTCTCTCTCTCTCTCCTTGAACTCTCCCTCTCCCACCTTGAATCAGGGCGCTTCTGGCTTTCCTCAAAGACCTCTGCTAGCATGCATAGATAGCTTAAAAAAACCCAAGACCACAAAAACCAGCCAGACACCCATTCCCGATCAGATGTCTCATCACCCCCAAATCCCGTATCAATCAATTGATCCCTGGAGGTGTCAGGGTAAGGGGATGCAACTCCCGCCGTGTTTCCCACCCTGGGAATCCCCAAAAATTAGCATAACCCGCTCCTTTGGGGGCTTTTAGCAGATCTAAAGCGAAGAATTAGCCGATTCCTATTCCGTCGTGGAGGTGACGAATCGTTTGTATATACAGAGAGAGAGAGAGAGAGAGAGAGAGAGAGAGAGAGAGAGAGTGAGAGCAAGCCTGACTGTTCGCTCGAGAAGGGCACTTGACGATCGAGTAGCTAGCTGTCTTTTTGGGAGCCTCTTCGGAATAGAGCTAGTGCTGGTTAGAGCAGTTAACAGCGTACATGAACGGAAATTTCCTAGGGGTTCGTTACGACAAAGTTATATGATCTTTCAAGTGATTAAAATGTCAGAAATTAGCAACTTCACAATCTGGGATTCACGAAATTCTTTTGTCGATAGTCGCTCCGCGTAGTCCTGAAATCGGCTACGTTAGGCTCCACTCAACGCCGATATTTTGTGCGTGCGCTGCTAGCGTCGAATTCTTGGTCGAGAACTTCTCGAAGTTGCGTAGAAGTCACAGGACTTTAGCGTCGAAATGGGCTACGCGTAGGCTAGAGTTCGACTACGATAGGCTCCGCTGAACGCCTTGAATTTGTGAGCCCCTCGTTAATTCGAAAATTTCTCGGACGGAATGGCTTGTAATCCTTTTAAATTCTCCAGGATCCACTCGTCAATAGGCGCTCTACGTCGTCAAGCGCTAAACTTCGTAATTTTCTTGAATCCACGCTCAAGCTTGACAAGTTGTCAATACCCTTATCACTTCCGGTGCGGCAGCCTCACCTTGAAATCATCAGAAACGCTTGAACCGCGTCACAAGTGAAATCGCGCCACCGGTATCAAGTTCCAGTTCATCAGTTACGCTCAGCTCATGCGCAATTTCCTGGGCGGCCGGGAGAAAACGGACCGAATTGACCCCCAAATCACACATGCCGCACACCGTCAGCTCGACGCGGCCTTGGCTCTCCCGCCTTGGCTGCTTCTGCTAGGGGGCGAATCGGCTGGCGAGAAACGGGTTTTTTCGGTCGAGCATAGCCCGGGGGCAAACGCCCGCCGCCCGCCTCGGCTAAAGACTGATGCAAATCGGGGCGCAATTAATAAGGACACCCAGGTGCCGGGACTTTTTTTTGTGAAGGTCGCGACAAGGGAATTTTGGGTATTGTCTTCTTTTTGTCTTTATTGTCTTTGGCATTATCGGAGAAGGGGGAGAAAATACCGAGTTTTCGACCAAAATTCCGAATTTTGAAATTTTTTTGAAATATTTTTAGACAAGTTTTATTTTACCTACAGCAAATTTTGACTAAAAACACTGTTAAAATATTTACCATTGCGTTATTAGGCGATTTTTGAACTGTAAGCAAAATTCGTTTCCCTTTTGGTATACCCCCGCCCCCCCCCCCCCGATAATGCAAAAGTGCCGGATTGGTTAAAGAAATTAGAAATCTATTTTCGAGGTTATGATCTAACTTTTCAGCTTTGACTAAAATACCACAAAAATCAGACCAAAAATTCCAAAAACATCAAAATTATCAGCATCCAAAAATTTCAGTTACGCCCTGGCCCCGTCATCTTCCGGATACGCTGCCGCGCCGTCTTCTGGATACGCCGGACCCCGCCCCCAGCCCCCTCTTCCGGATACGCTGGAGCCGGAGGCCTTGGAGGTGGCATCGGAGGAGGATATGCCGGAGCTGGAGCCGGAGGACTTGGAGGAGGATATGCCGGAGCTGGAGCCGGAGGACTGGGAGGAGGATATGGAGCCGCCCCCGCTCTCCCGTCTGCTGGTAATTCAAACGGAATCTTGGTATCTAATGCTCCCCTAGGACCTATCGGAGCCGGAGGAGGATACGCTGACCAGGCTGCCGTTGGAGGCGGAGCCGCTCAAGGAGGATACCAAGGAGTTCAGCAAGTGCAGCAAGTCCAGCAGGGAGGAGCCCAGCAAGGTAAGAGGGTTACGGTAACGGTTGGACGTCCTGTATTTAGGAGGATTCGTCGACCAGGGAGCCCAGGGAGGATTCCAGCAACAAGGACAGGTCGCCCCAAGCGGTGGAGGTAAGCGATTGAGAGAGAGAGAGATAGAGAGAGACAGAGAGAGAGACAGAGAGAGAAAGACAGAGAGAGTGAGAGAGAGAGAGCGAGAGAACGAGAGAGTGAGAGAGCGAGCGAGAGTGTGAGAGAGAGCTATAGAGAGCGTGAGAACGAGAGAGAGCGAGCCAGAGAGAGAGAGAGAGAGAGAGAGAGAGAGCGTGCGAGGGAGAGCAAGGAAGAGAAAGAGATTTTTGCCATTAGCGCGCCTTTAACCCTCAAATCTTTCAGCCAGCTACGGCCAGGAGCCCCAGCCATCTGTCGCCGTCCCCCAGGCCCCCCAGGTTGAGCAGCCCGCCCCGCAAGTAGAGCAGCCAGGTAAGAAACATTTTTTATTCCCTTAATATAGATTTTTGCATCGATTTTTGCACAAGTTATGCAAATCATAATCTCACTGAATTTCAGAGGAATCCTCACCTAGGTCTTACAGAATTTTGGACTGGCCTAACAAGGAGAAACCCACAAAAAAAATCGATTCTGCACCGAATATTTTACTTTTATTCTTAATATTTAGAATATATTTAATCCTATTCCGCTAAAATGGATCTTGAACCTGACAAAAAAATAATTGAGAAACTCAAAAAGGCTAAGATTACGAATTTCACAATTTTTCAATGAAACCCTAATTTTCGTTAATTCCAATCGAATTTGTGTAGTTTTTAGCTTTCGAAGTAGCTTTAAAATACCAGTAACATTTTTCACCATGCGCCGAATCCATGATTTCTTGACGTAATGAATTAATCTTAATTTTTCGCAAATTCCTTTCGGCAAAACCCGGAAAACCAAGCTAAGGACTAGCTTGGGCTTGGACTTAGGGTTAGTCTTAGGCTTTGGTTAGACTTCGGTGTTAGGCTTAGGCTATGGCTTAGGCTTAGGTTGGGCTCAGGCCTACTTAGGTTAGGCTTAGGCTTAGGCTCAGGCTTAAGCTCCGGCTTAAGCGTGGCTAGGTACACCCTAAGAAAAATTCGTAAAAAAAACTTAAAAACCAGGTCAAATCAAGCATTTTTACCCAAATCTATCGTAACGACCTAAACCGCATCCTCCTCCCTATCGTGCCACATCTACCGTAACCCACACATATGGCACCATTTAGCCCCGATTGCACCGGTGGCACCCCAGCCCCAGCCCGAGACGTCCGCCCCCCAGGAGCAGACCGAAGAGGGTGAGAGTTTTGCACGAAAAAAATTGCATTTTTCGCACCTTCCAGCACTCAGTCTGTCCCTTATTTTAATCCTTGTTTTCCACCATTATACTAATTCCTGCGCTTCCGCTTTGAACCCTAATTTCACACGTCGATAATCCTAGGCTACGGCGACACGGAGGCGTCGATCGGCACCGCCTCTGAGGAGAAGGTCATCGGAGAGAAAGGTTTGCAACTACTTTTTGCGACGACGACGGCAGCATTGCTATATTATGTTCCACGCGGATAGGCAAACGGAGCAAGCAAGCCGCACAAGCTTCTTAAGAAATTTTAAAAATTCTATGATTTAAGTCTGTAATACATTCAGTTTAATTTTTGGTTGATTTCTTTAGTTTTTCCTGGCAGGCTAGCAGAGCTTCTTTGGGAAACTAGGAAACCGCTAGTTAAACAACATGTTCCACGTAGCCTAATTTACAAAAGCTTCTTAAAGGGATGCCGACGGCATAGTCAATCGGTTACGCTCGGAAAAGAAAATGTCTCTGCGCCTCTCCCCTGGGCGCGCTCTCTCCCCTGTTGGCTACTTGCCAATTTGTTGATGAAGGGGGATCGACACATGCCGTCCGCAGCCCTTTAAGACATTTTTTGAACTTTTTAGGTTATTTTTAATTAAATGTGCTTGTTATTTCTGTTTTTTGAAGGCGGGCTAGCGGGGATTATTTAGGAATTTGAGGCAAACTACCAGGCTTTCCTTGAAAATTAGATTTCCATGGAGAAGCGAGGCGAACTAGCAGCGTTTCTTTGCGAATTCGAGCTTAGTTAGCAGCGTTTCCTTGGGAATTCGGGGCTAACTAGCAAAGATGCTTTGAGTTCGGGCTAACTAGCAGAGGCTCCTTGGGAGCCTAGGCTTAGGAAACCAGCTAGCAGGTTGAGGCAAGCTAGCCGAGATTACTTGCAAATTCGAGGCGCACCAGCAAAGATTCCTAGGGAATCCAGGCGAGCCAGCAAGGTTTTTTAGAAGAGGAGGCAAACTAGCAGAGTTTCCTTGGGAATTTGAGGAGATTAGCAAAGATTTCTATGGAACTTGAGGCGAACTACCTAAGATTCTTGGGAATTCGAGGCAAGCTAGCAGAGCTAATTTGACACTCCTAGTAGATTTTCATTTTTTTCTTTGCAAACGCATTTTATGCACCTTTTTCTTTTCTTTTCCTGCAACCCGTCTAACCTCCCCCTTTTCTTTAGTCGGATACAGCGAGGACAAGGGAGCCGCGGAGCAGCAAGGACAGGAGCAAGAGCAGGGATACGAAGAGGAGGAGGAGCAGGGAACCGAGCAGAAGAACGACCAGGACTACCAGGAGGAGACCAACCAGGTTAGGAGACCGGGGCCATGCCTTCAACGGTCCTTTAGGAGGGCGAGCAGAAGGGAAATGAGGGCGAGTATGAGGAGGAGACGAACGAGGCTGCCCCAGCTCCCGCTCCCGCCCCGGTCCCTGCTGCCCCTGAGCAGGTACTGTAGTTTGAGAGTTTAGTGAATTTCATGTCCTAATTAGATAAGCAAGAGTTTTCGAAAAATTCGATAAGATTATTAGAAATTCACGCCGTAATTGGACGTGGCATAGAATTTTCTACACGTAATTTTAACCGCTTTAAAGCTAAATCCGTCGGCCACTACAATTATATGACGTAAGCGGTTGGCAAAATTACGGATTTTTGCGTATTTGGACATATTCGCTCCTTTTGCTGCCGTAATCGGTTGCCACTAGCCATTTTTCGAGCATTTTACAGCTCTTTTCGGTATCATTTCACAACTTTTGAGGGTTACGATGCTATTTCAAGACGTAACTGGTTAACAGTCGACGTTGAAACAGTTTCTTTCCCATTTCCGCATCTTTTCCGTCCCTATACTGTCCGATTTCCAGTCTTACAACTCTGCCGAGCCCGCCGCCCCCGAGCCGGCCGCCCCCACCGACACCGCCTACCCGGCCCCAGCCCCGGCTGCCCCTGAACCTGCCGCCGAGACCGCCTACCCCGCCCCGGCCCCTGAGGTTCGGAAGCCTTTCTAGGCCTTTTGAAGCCTTCTATCAGCTATTAACGGTCTTCTATACCCACTAAAAAGCGTGGGAGTAACTGTACACCTTTAAACTGCTGAAAAAGCTTCAAAACTTGTTCTCAAAGCTCTAAAATCATACTGAAACCATGGAAATGTGTGTAGTGGCGTGTGTAAGGCGCTAACTGTAACAAGTGTGGGCTTTAGACGGCCTACCCGGCCCCTGCCCCCGCACCGGAAACCACCACCGCTGCCGCCTACGAGCCCCAGACCGAGCCGGCCGCCCCGAGCGGCGGATACCCCGCTGAGAACACGGCCCCCCAGGCCGAGACCAACTACGATGATGAGGTAAGGGCACCCATAGCGCAAATTAACAATAATTTCCATAGGGAAAAGGGTAGAGATTGGCTTCGAAAATTATTAGTTCTAAAACCGATACTTCAAAAGCCCTTACATACAGGATTCACTACTTCGAACAACTTCGAATAGAGGTTACTTCGAAAATCGTTACTTTCCAAATTCATAACGTTGAAAAAGCTGAACACGAAAATTACCCGTGAAAAAATCATCACTCTATCCATAATTCGAAAACTTCGGTTTAATTCAATATGATTTAAACTTATCATTAATCCCTTACTTCGAAAATGATAATTTCTAAGTTTTAATGCATAATTTTACTTACAAAGTTCACTATTTCACTGAATATTATCACTGCAAAAAGACATTACTTTCAAAAATCGATACTTTGTAAAGTTTAGACATCGACGGTCGAATTTCGAAAAGTAAATTTTCCAAAAGAATACTCGGTTTTTAGCTAATTTTCGTAGTGTATCGCGTCGTACTGTGCCAAAAAATGGGCACAAAATTTTGAAAAGAAGGATTTTCAACCTAAAAACTTTCGAAATAATGATTTTTCGATGAAACTACGTAATTTGTAGCGATAGGGGGGATGCAATAAGACAAAAAAGGACAAAAGTGTTTTTCAAAAATTGCTCCCCTAAGCCAAGCTTCAAAAACTACACCTGCAGCTTCACCTTTAAGCCACCACCGCTTTTTACTACGGCCAATCGCAAAATAATCGATATTTCCCAATATCCAAAAATCTCTTGCTTTCGCTTCCGGCTTCCACGCAAAAGCTTGAAATCTTTCAGGACGTCGTGCAGAGGCTCGACCAAGAGGTCTGTCCTGCATGCAAATAATAACCCCCCGCGAAAAACGTGGCTATCCATTGCTTTAGATCACTAATATCGAGAAAAACATCGACCACGATTACCTGAATGAGGTCTGGCATGCGAGAGAGTGGCACGAGATTAGCATGCATTAAAAAACCTTAACGTGCACTCAGGACTAAAAAAGTTTACTGGAAAGGTGGAGAGGATTCTAGGGTCGAAGGGGTGGCATAGAGCTTCAAAATTTCGTCGGATTTTATTTATGCAAATCCATTTCTAAAAATTCTAGCTTTGCAGGGATTCTTTGGGAAATGTTTTGTGAAAGAAATGATTTTTAGGTGCTTTTAAAATTTTGGGAGGTGAAATAACTCATTTAATAGAGTGAGCTACATATATCTCCCTACTTCCACTCGACTAGCAAACTAGCAGGGTTTCTTTGTGAATTACTGAAATTCAGGTGCCTTGATAAAGGTTGGGTTCTGGTTTGTTAGCGGGGGGAGACCCTGATAAGCTATTGAGAAGGGAAAGGAGACTGTGACCTTCCGCCCTCCCCCGCCCCCGATAACGAACAAGCACCAACCTTTGGCTAGACAGGCAGCAGAGTTCAATGAGGAATCAACCACTTCCGGAAAATTACTGCGTCCTAGAAAATGCAAAGTTGGGCCTAGAACTAGGCTTAGACTTGGCATTTGGCTTAGGTTTGGCGTCGTAGACTTGGGTTTAGGTTTAGGCTTAAGTTTGGGCGTAGGCTTGGGCTGAGGCTCACTTAGGCTTACGATTAGGCTTAGGCCCGGGATTAGGCTTCGGCTTAGGCTTAAGTTAGGCTTCGGGTTAGGTTTACGCTTCGGCTTTGAGTTAGGCATAGGCATGTTAGGCTTAGGCCCTGAAAGACTCAGTCTGTCCACCAGGCATGCTAGCAGAGGCCATTGTGGAAATTTCCAAATTCTCTGCCACCCCATCGATTGGTGTATTTTTCGATAGTCTATCTTTTGCATTTTTAAATTTTCAATCTCCAGATCAACGAGCCGGCCCCGCAGCCCGCCCCTGCCGCCACCTACCAGGCCGAGGAGACCTCATCCACCTCATCCGACCAGCAGTACAAGCGTGACGCCGCCCAGCGCCTCGGCCGTAACCCCCACCGCCGCTATCTGGCCGCCCGCGTCTAAATCGAGACAAATTCGACTCGGTCTCATCGATTGAGGCTCAATCGATGGAAATCCTTTGAATTTCCCTAGCTTAGTGCCCATATTTATTTCGGTAAGAACGGTGGTTTCCCTTTGATCAATTTTTCCCCCTTGTTTTGCTCAGTTTAAGGTGCTTTTAAAGGGTTTGGCAAGCTTAAAATCCGTAGTTTTATAGATTTTTAGCTTTGGCATCGATGTGGTTTTTTAAAATCGATGATTTCCTTGACAATTTGACTTACCGACCCCTTTAAACCCCGAAATCGCGGGTTTTAAAGGGTTTGGCAAGTCAGAAAAGTTGGGAAAGTCGCGATTTTAGGGCGCCTATTAGTGCGCAATTTCTGAAAATCGATGTTACCGTCGGCAAATGACCTTTCCGGTTCCTCTAAAAAAATTATCTGGATGTTTTTGAGGTTTTTGAGGCTTTTTGACTTTTTGAAAACCTAGAAACCGCACTTTTAACGGAACAGAAAACTGAAATTTTCGGGTTTTCGAAAGATTTTAAAATTCAAGCCTAACCCCCTTAAGAAACCCTTGTGGCCCAATATTTGGGCCCCTTCCCCGCCTAAATCTGGCCCCCTGTGGGCCCGAGAACCCGCTAGGAATCGAGTGCCCCCAACTACTCTCACATTCCGCAACCTTCCCTGTGTGTTCCGTTGTTTGTATATATTTGGCGCCAAGAAATATTTATTATCCCTTCCCCAATCCCGGTCCATTTTTCCCACCCTCCACCCACCCACTCAGCCATATTCTCGAGTATCTGTGGGTGTGTGTGCGATGGAATAAATGATTTGACAAAAATGGCTCATGCTCAAGCTTCGAGAAGCACACACCAGTGAAACAAGCACCACAACAATGGTCACGATCCCGGAAAAGGAGCAGGCTGGCAGAGATTCTTTGCGGAAATGTTGATTCGGCAAAAAGGAAAGTAGACTTGGTTGTCAGCTAAAAAATAATGAGAGGAAAAGGCATGCTAGCAGAGGTTATTGAGGAACAAGGCACTCGGCTACGTCTACCGGAGTGGGAAAACCAACTTTTTTTATAAAATCCGATTTTTCCGATATAAAGAAAGGCAGTGTTTTGAATCTTCTTTTTTTTTTGCTATTTCTAACCGTATAAACTTTAACATTTTCCTTAAAACACAAAAAATATAGATTTTTCGACCAAAACGGCCGATTACCAACCAAAATTCCAGCAAAAAATATTCTGGCTTGTTTGATGGTTTTGCGCTTGAAATAATTAAATCTTGCTTAAAAAACTATTAAAACATGCACATACACAGGCTAAAACCATGTATTAAATGCGGGACTTTCGGCTACGCCTCGCTCCCATAAACTCTTTAACCGTAGCCTAGTTTTTACGGACCCTTTTTCCGAGGTCTTTTGGTCGATCACCTACAGTAACCTCCTTAAGTTGCCCAATAGGGTCCCAGGAGGAAAGGACTAGATTTGACTCCAATAATAAAAAGTGAAAAATGGTGAAAAATGACGCATTTTGCCTGCCTGGTTCCTTTAAAGGCATTTTTGGGGCTCAGGAAATGCCTGGTCCTAGGGATCAAAAATTTCCTCTTCCTGAGCCTTCCGCATCACCCGAAAAGTTTCCAAAAACAGCTTCTCTCTTCTCTCTCTCTCTCTCTCTCTCTCTCTCTCTCTCTCTCTCTCTCTTTCTCTCTCTTCCCTGAAATATGAATGGCCGCCGCCCAGACCAAATTAGCGGTGTGATGGATGGCAGTTCGTGGGCCACATCCAAAAATGGAGCCTCAATAAATTGAATATTCTTGCCCGGGCATCTGATCATGTAACTGCTGCTGCTCAGAAAATGCATACTTTTTGGGTTCTAAAGTGTGGCCCTTTGGTGCTGCGGGATATCCGATTTCCGTTAACAATCTGGGGCAAGGAAGTAGCTTGCAGCAGCTACATTACGCACCCAGAAACGACCTTTGATTGTAGGTTTTATCTATGAAAAAAACAATCTTTAAAGAGACTAACATGACATTGATGGTCTCGGGTCTTTTCCTACGATTACGACGCTCGTAAAATCTTACGGAATACGTCATTAGTAGCTCAACGTAGCCTCTATATATTTGCAGAAGCAGCGATCTCTCAATTTTCCAGTGAAACATTTGAATTTGATTGCCAAGGTTTCAGGGCGATAAAAATGGAAAAAAACCTCATTAGTTGCGCACCCGGGAGCCGCCCACGTGAGGGTGCTTCAGCTAGAAGTTTGCAAAGAAGATCCCTTCCACGGGCAATTTTGAGGGAGATGAACGCTTTTTTAATGTTAGTTGCTTATAAAAATTATTAGCTATCATCATTACCTCCAAATTTTATTTTGGGTTTCCGGACCAGAAATTAAATGAAAGAAACAAAAGTTTTTTCGCATGTCAACCGGCATTTTCCGGAAGTGCTGTATCTCCGTACACAAGCCTCCGCAGGAAAATCGGACAAGGCATCGTGTTCTCCGTAGTCGATTACCCGGTGGCAGCCGCGAGCCTTTTAAATTTCCACTTCGTCCACGTGCCCTTATCTTGTAAGAAAAACTTCTCGCGTCCCACCACTTTCTTGCCGCGTAATGGACCTTATCGTCAAAGAAGCGACGTGTGGCAAGCACTGCCAAAACCATGGGATATCCAAATGTCTTGTGCATCCATTTAGGCTGTGTTTGGAAACCCTATGAAGATAATCTCAAACGGTGCGGCGTTTCAAACGTCTCAAAACCGCTCAATTATGCGCAACGCGGCGGTTCTGCGCCAGGCAGCTCAATTTTGGTGGAGCAACGCACTATGCATTAAAGTCCGAGCTGATGCGTCGCGTGTCGCGGGTGGCCCCAAAATTCTAGAAAATCCATGGCCCAAAAGTTCAGAGCCTTGCCTTGCCTAGCTTGACAGTTTATCAACGTGAGAAACTTGGAAGCATCTCTACTGCCTCTCTCTCGCTCTCTCTCTCGCTCTCTCTCTTTCACTCTGTCTCTCCCTCTCGTTCTTTGCCTAGCTCTGTCTTTCAACACTCTCTTTTGCATAGCGTAACCAGTGGGTCTTCTACGAATTTTAGTTAAGCTTTGATTTGAAGTGAGTCTCACTCAAATGTGTTGTTTTCCGCATCCAAAGCACGTCAGATCCGACCCACCAGAATCGCCAAACCGGCGATATTATTTGACGTGGGATTGAGGAACACTTCCGACGGGTGGTTGAGGGCTATTTGGCGAGGGCGAGCCCATCCAGTTGGAAGCTGTGTGGCCCCCTAGGGTCTTTCCTTCTTCGGCTTTTCCCCTTTTTTGAAGGGCCCCCATCCTGATTACGTGGTGTTTTGGCAGTGGCCCGCAGCTCCTCTGCCCCCCCTCGAGCCACATTCGACACCCGAAAAAATGAGCGCTACTCCTGCGATGCGTTTTGCTTTTTGATTTTGAGAAGTTGGCAAAGTTGTACTTTGAAAGGTGCTAACAATATGGTAAACGTTAAAAATTAGGTACTTTTGCATTATCAGGGGTGCAAAATGTTATACGGCCTTTGTAATTTTAAAGTTATTATGGAAAATTAGAAGCTGAAGAATTTTAATAATGTTTTAAGTAAGATTTACTATTGTTCAAGTCCCAAACCTAGCCAAAATTTATAAACAGTTGAGAATTCACAATTTTAATCAAAAAATCAGCGTTTTTCGGTCAAAAATCTATTTTTTTTTCTTGTATGTAATCTTTGGTGAAGTTTTTACGTTTAGTAATAGAAAAAAAATGAGTAAGACGCGGAAATAATTACCCATTGGCTTTGGAGTGCTCTTCCGGTAAATTACTAGACTTTGGGCTTTTACTTGGTTTCCCCCAGAACTTTAGTCACTTTCTTCTAGCCATATTCCTTCAAAACTCAGGATGAAAACTCCAAAACTCGATTTGGCCACCGAACGACACATATGGCCTTCAAAAACCCAGGTAATTCTGGCAATCTGTAAGGTTTTAAACGGTTTTGTTCTCCAGTTTCGCATGTCGGTGATGAGCTTCGCGATCGGGTTGGGCAATTTCTGGCGCCTACCACCGTTGGTGATGAGGAATGGGGGAGGTAACTGGCTTTTCTGAGTTTTTTAAGGGGACACGCAACCGGCCTTTCCAGTTTCGGATTTTCTCGAATTTTCCGCGCCCGCGACACGCAACGCATCGAACCGTACTTTCATTGCGCATCGTAGTGCGCCGTTGCGTGGGGTGTGGAGTCGCGTGTTGCTGCCGTGGGAAATCCATAGGGAATTCAAAGCTAACTCACAAATAGATCTACCCCACCTGTTTTTTGAAGGTATCGTGGCAGCTCCGACGAAATTGAAATGCGATTTTCAGAGCGTCAAGGTTTTGCAGTCTTGAAATTTCAAGAGGCCGAAGTTTACTAAGAAAAATCCCCCGGGAATTTCCTACCCAAAACTATGCGAAAAATTTAGCATTGTTAAATTTTGAGGTTTTTAGTGTCGATATTCGACATTTTCGACATTCTAAAGTGTTAAAATCTACAAGGTATATCCTGAATTTTTAGGTGCCTTCCTGATCCCCTACACAATAATGGTGGTGATCCTCTGCTTCCCGCTTTTCTACATCGAGCTGGCGGTCGGCCAACTCTTCCGAAAAGGCTCGATCGGCGTATGGAAGAGCATACATCCTGCATTGGCTGGTAATCATCCTTTTCAGAAGTATTTTTTTAATGTTCAGGCGTTGGAGTAGCTGCAACGTCGGTCTGCTACCTGGTGGCCATCTACTACAACGGGATTGTTGCCTATGTTTTGTACTATCTGTATCAGGCTCTGTCGCCAAAGCTGCCATGGGTGGTACGGAAATAATCTTAAGATTAAGCTCTCTAAATGATTCAAATAATTAGTAATATTAGTTTTGTTTAGGACTGCCCTATCGAGCCAGCGCACTATCGAAATGAATGCCTGAAAGCCGACTCGGTGCCGGCTTTCTTCTTCAACAGGATTGCGCTGGATACGAGCAAGTTGGTACTTTACGACTATAAAAACGTCATGTTCAGCTAGAACTTTACAACTAGATAACCTAAAAAAACTATACGAATAAGGCACTTTCATGCAAGGAAAAAAAACGTAGCTTCCCTTAAAAAAATACCCAGTTACGTAGTTTACGTATGTACGTACATTTACTTTAGATACCTTAACATATGATGCCGAAATCCCGACAACCATAATCCCGACAGACCAAAATCTCTAAAAATAGCACGATATGGCTATTGCCTTAATTGGTAGATACTGTAAATTTCCCTTTTCAGCTCAATCTCCGAGTTCCGTAATTTCCGCCCAAACATCTTCGGCTGCCTGGTCATCTCCTGGGCGATCGTCTATGCCAGCGTGAGGCGTGGCGTGAAAACGAGCGGTTATGTAAGCTGAAAACCTTCATTAAAATCAAAATTCGCGATTTCAGGTAATGTATTTCACGTGTATATTCCCATACATTACGCTAGTCGTCTTCTTGGTGCACGCCATGACGCTTGACGGCGCTTGGGAAGGGCTCGTCATTTTATTCAAACCCGATGTAAGAGACGATTCGGAGAGTATAACAAAAACATACCAAAGAATATAAACAAAGAATCCTTACAAAATTTTATCAAAAACAGAAATATTGATTTTACGACGAAAAATGGATAATTTTCAACATTTCCTAATTTTGTCGAGATTTCCACTTCGTAGAGTATTGCCTTAAAAGTTGTAATAAAATTAACAAATTCATCGATTTAATGGATAAAAGTATAAAAAACTAAAATCGATAATGGGTATGTAAAGATTACCTATTTTTCTAGCTCTCCAAAGTTTTCGACGCCAATGTCTGGCTTCTCGCCGCGACGCAGGGCTTCTTCAATTTTGGGATCGCCTTTGGAGGTGGTTTTTTTTTTAATTGCTCTGCTTGGTAATTTCGAACATTACACTCCTTTGTACACCAATTTCCAGGCCTGATCGCCTACGGGTCGTACAACAAGGGCGGGCACAACGTCCGTGGCGACTGCATCAAGCTGACCGCCGCCAACCTGGCCACCTCGTTGCTGACGATCGTCTGGGTGTTCCTCATCGAGGGCCACCATGCCCACCATAAATTCTACGAGTGCAATAATGAGTATGGAGTTATATAATAAGTCTTACCACTTGGACTTTGAGGATATTCCAAGACCAAGGTGTCGCCAATGTTGCTGCGGAACTCAAGGAGCTTAAAAGGGTCGTGGAGGTTGAATCGATTGCAGGTAAGTTGTTGGGAAAACACAGTCCAAAATAGAACCATAAAAACAGAAAAATATCATAAATACCATTAAAAAACCGAAAAACCGCTTCTGCAGTGAAAACGAGAGTCCAAAAGGAATCTGCCAGCACCGCACAGAGAAATGTGTACAAAGAAACTGGTCGTAGCCCTGGGCTCGAAGAGCTCGCGCTCCTATGTACACTCTTTCTTAAAAGGCCGTCCGCGAGTCACTCGAACAGTCCCCATTATAGCTTGGCACAGTTTTTTTCGACCCCCATTTTTTGATGCCAGCTGATAGAGCGTGGTCGAATTAGAGGAATCGCACTAATTTGGGATTTTTAAATTAGCATTTTCCTGGTTAAACAAGGCGTTAAAGTTGCCAACGTCGAAAATTTATCTCGGTGACTACTTGACAGAATCGGCTGAAACTTTGTGACTAGGCCTAATTTGGGATGGGGATCATTTTTTTAATACATCGCAAAGCACGAAAATTAGCAGAACCTAGTTAAATTGCATACCCAAAACAGTTTTTGCCGAATTTCAAATTAACGGCGAGTCGGCCGCAAGCTGGAATTAAGCTAGAAAGATGCGCAAAATTTTTCTGCATCGATTGATGTATTATTTAGGTGGCGGCCAGGTCGCCGTTTTCTCACAGCGAGCTTTTTGTAGCTGAAAAATGGTCTAAAAATCTGACTAAAATGGAAAATTTTGCGATTTTCTATGTTTTGACCCACGGGATCACATTTAACGATCACGCCAAGCTAAACGCAAAAATTAGCAAAAGGAAATTCGACATTTGAAGGGGTGCTTGTTTTGGGCGGGAATCGAACCCGGACCCTCCGCCTGGGAGCCCTGTGGCGCAGTGAGTAGAGCGTCGGCGTGCCAATCCAGAGCCGCCGCCAGTTCAATCCCAGCTACCTCTCAGAAGCCGAATTTCTTTTTGCTCTTTTTTGCAATCGACTTGGCATGATTTCTTGATGCCTTTTGACTACTCCGATATGTAAATACGGCAAAATTTTCCATTTTAGTCAGATTTTCAGTCCATTTTTCAGCCATAAAAAGCTCGCTGTGAGAAAACGGCGACCTGGTCGCCACCTAAATAATACATCAATCGATGCAGAAAAATTTTGCGCATCTTTATAGCTTAATTCCAGCTTGCGGCCAACTCGCCGTTAATTTGAAATTCGGCAAAAACTGTTTTGGGTATGCAATTTAACTAGGTTCTGCTAATTTTCGTGCTTGCGATGTATTAAAAAAATGATCCCCATCCCAAATTAGGCCTAGTCACAAAGTTTCAGCCGATTCTGTCAAATAGTCACCAAGATAAATTTTCGACGTTGGCAACTTTAACGCCTTGTTTAACCAGGAAAATGCTAATTTAAAAATCCCAAATTAGTGCGATTCCTCTAATTCGACCACGCTCTATCAGCTGGCATCAAAAAATGGGGGTCGAAAAAAACTGTGCCAAGCCTTGTTCGGGTCTCTCGCAAACGGCCTTTTAATGCATTGCCAAGTGTTTGGGATCATTGAGCGGCAATTAGCGAATATCATGCGGTTATAGTAATGCGCAACTTATTAAGGGGATTAGAACTCTTTAGGTTTCAGTTTTTTTTAACTAAAAAAGTTTCAGTAACGATTCGACAGCACAACGACCTCCGATGCAGCTTCCAAGATTTTCTATGGAATGTGGGAAGGCTAAAGATTCAATGGACTCTTTTTTTCTAGACGACCCAGGGCACAGGGCTGGCCTTCGTCGTCTTCACCGAGGCCATCACCATGTTCCCCATGAGAAGCGTTGCCTCCGTTGTTTTCTATTTGATGCTGCTGACGCTGGGATTAGGTTAACACATCCAAAATATAACTTTTACCGGGTTTAGGCTCGATGTTCGGCACCCTCGAGGGTGTCATTACGTGCGCGACGGACGCCAAACTTTTTGGGTTGAAGGTTTGCATACAATTGATACAAAAAGCGCTTTAGAAACCCATGCTGACCTTTCTGCTTTGCTCATGCGCGTGCTGCGTGGGGTTGTTGGCGTTCAGCTTTGGGAATGGGCAGGTAGGAAGAGTCGGAAAAGCAAAAAAAAAACTGAAAGATTGTAATGCGTTAATTAAAAAGTTTTTTTAGTTTTTTTTAAGTTTTAAGTTTAAGTAAGAAAGAAGTTTTTAGTAAAAAACTAATAAACTACAAATAAATACCAAGTTTAACAATCTAAACAAATTTATAGAACGTTAAATAAACGTAAAAAGAAAAGGAAATGAAGAAAATACGTATAAAAATGTTCTCCATAAAGAGCAATTCAAGAGGCTTTTTTCTATAAATCATTCAAAATCGTATTTAGGTGTAGCTTTTCTAGCATCTGAATCGTAATTTCTATCTAAATGTATTAAAAATAACCCTTTTTCCTAGTACGTCATCACCCTGCTTGCACGTTCTGCAGCAGCTACGCGCTGTTGATCATCGCATTCTGCGAGGTTGTTGCAATTGCGTATGTGTATGGAGCAGAGCGGTACGTTTCCGGTTTTTTGCGCACCAACTCTCAGGTTTTCTAAAAGTCTGCACGAGGCCACTGGCTCGCGGCCGGGCCCATTTTTGACCATCTGCTGGAAGTACATCGATCCGCCCTTGATGCTCATAATTTTCTTGGCTTCCGCCGGGAAAAGCCTGCTACACTCGCCGAAGTACATGGCTTATAAAAGCCACGTGGTAGTTTTGTACATTTAAAAATAGCTTGCATTTTAGACCAAGCAAGTCCCAGAAGAGTTCCCATGGTGGGGGCTGATCCTGGCCATGGCCATCGTGCTGGTCACCACGCTTCCGATTCCATTAGCCGCCCTCCATACGCATGTCAGGACGGTGGTGAAGAGCCTGGAGGATAACTTAAATGGCACGGATAAGTATGCGACAGATCAGGTAGTAGATTAAATAATACCCACCCCTACTTTTTTTATCCCGGCTCCTTAGCTCCCCGATTATCTTAAAGCTGGTAAAGTATACAAAAATGTTCGTCTTGGCCTGGCCAGTATTTTAGTATACTTTACAGCCTTGTAGGCCAATGGTGAGCCGAGAATCGGTAGATGGTAGCCGGCTTGGCGAGAGGGTAAAGTACAGTAAAGTACGGTGTAGTACAAAGTACGCTCGTACTTTTAACGTCTGAACATCAGTAAAATATGCAAAAATTTTACGAAATCCTGATTTAGGCAGAACAATCTACACAAATATCGCCTGATACGACGGAATTATTCCCGATCGCGCCGTTTGGTGAACCGGAAGATCTGGACCAACCTTGAAAACACCCTGAAAAATCTCTCTCTCTTTCTCTCTCCCTCTCTCTCTCTCTCTCTCTCTCTCTCTCTCTCTCTCTCTCTCTCTCTCTCTCTCCTCTCTCTCTCTCTCGCTCTCTCTCTCCCTCTCTCACTTTCTCTCTCGCCTCATTATTGTTCGTTCCAAAAATATTTATTAAAAAAAAGACACTCGTCACATCTTTATCCTCCCCATGGGTATATGTCGCAGAAACGCGTAAATTATGTTGTATCAATAAATTGTGTTCGATCGGCGGCGTGCGGCCATCTTTTTAAGAATCCCCGACGGAGCTGGCGAGCTGGTCCTTGGCGCCCATCGCGATGTAGAGCTTCTTAATATATATCTTTTAAAATCGATTTTCCGAATCATTACATGGTCCAGGAACTCGACGGAGGAGCGGGCGCGTTCCGTCGCGTACTCGTAAATCTTGCCATCCTGAAAATGGGAGAATTTCCCGCTTTTTTGACCTTCTGGAGTAATTTAGATCTGGCTAAGCTTAAGCTTAAGAAATAAATTAATAAAATACTAAATAAAGAAATCTCGATGAAACCACCTGACGCTCCACAATCGTCAATTTTCCCGGCTCGTGCCCGTCCTCGCGGATGTCGTAGACGTCGTGCTTCTAGAAAACGCTCGCCTAGATCCCAAAAATCGATCTTACCAGGATCTTGGGCGCAGCCCCACTTTCGTCCCTAAAATAAAAATCAAAACGCGGTGGCAAAATCCTCACTTTTCCTTTGACATGTCGCTAGACTTTCGGGTGATTGTAGCGAGAATGAATTGCTCGCCAAATATCCATTATTTCAATTCAAATTACATTTAAATTGTTGTTTTTCCGGGTTATTCCAGATTCCGATTGGTCCTGAAATCGGATAGAATTGTCGCGTGCAACGCTAAAAGGGGACCTGGCGACCGTACCCGGCCCCTTCCCGGGAAGAAATCCTCCGTCAGAGGGTTCCACTGGAGCTTCACACGTGTCGAATCGTTGGCAATTCCCAAGTATAAAATAGTATAAAATTAATATAAAGCTTATTACAATCATTATAATAACTCTTTTTGGATGCTTTTCTCTTTCTCCTTGCTCCCTTTGACCTAATTACCCCAATTGTTGCAGGATGAAGCGCGACAAGAAGGACGAAGAAACCGGCGGCAACATCTACGCCCACCTCGACAAAACCCAAGTCCTTCAGGAGGTGCGTGTTATAGTCTTGCCACTATGTTGATGGATTTTTCTAAAAGTATCTTTTCAGACCCGCGTCTTCAACGAGACCCCGATCGCCGTCCTCAAATCCCGACTCGTCTTGACCAAGTTGCTCTATCTCTGCTTGCAGGTCGGGAATAAACACCTCGCAAGATAAATAAATTTTAGGGCGAGTCCATTGGGCGAAATGAAGCCACCCAGGCCTTCTTCGCCATCACGAAGCTGTGGCAATCCAAGGACCCTACAATTCGCCGACTCATCTATCTCTCGATCAAGGAGCTGTCAACCGCCTCTGATGATGTCATCATTGCTACGCAGAGTTTGATGAAGGTAACATTGCGATGAAAAGAAATATATGCGGTTTTTAGGACATGACCGGGAAAGAAGACCTGTACCGCGCGGGAGCCATTCGCGCTCTGTGCAAGATCACCGACTCTGGAATGCTGCAGACGATCGAGCGCTATATGAAGCAGGCTATTGTCGATCGAAACGGCTCGGTCTCGTCGGCCGCCCTCGTCTCCTCGACTCATCTGATGCGCCAGAGCGCTGAGGTGGGTCTTTGGAAAGCTTTTTACTCTATTTGCCTAAATAGCGTCATTATTAAGCCTTTACGTATTTTTATGACGTTAATTCTAGATCGTACGCCGATGGGCCAACGAGGTGCAAGAAGCCGTCTCGTCTGACAATCAAATGGTCCAATACCACGCGCTTGGCCTGCTTTACAAGATTCGCAGCAACGATCGGTGAGTTTTGATAGCAGGCGTCGAAATGTTTAGATGCCGCGGGACCGCGTACGACGAGTGGGGAAAATATTCGGGGGAATTGTTTATCATTTTTCGGATACCCGCTTTAGTTCCATTTTCGGGTTACCCCTCATTTTTGGGTCTGTCACCTTCATAGGACTTTCGGGAATTGGTTACTCGTCTCTTACAGGCGCTATTTCTGAAACGATATTTCGATTTTGATTTTCTATTGTCTATTTTTAGATTGGCCGTCAACAAGCTCGTCCAAAAGTTTGCGAAGTCCGGCATGCGCTCCCCGTACGCCGTGTGCTACTTGATCCGCATCGCTGCTAAGCTACTCGAAGAAGATGATCAGTAAGACAGCCCCTCTTTCTTTGCAAAACCGTTCAGAGCTGACTCGGCCCTCTTCCAATTCATCGACTCGTGCCTCCGCCACAAGAGCGAGATGGTCGTCTACGAGGCGGCGTCGGCCATTGTTTCGCTGCGCAACACCACGCCGTACGATATATTACCGGTTTTTAAAACGCGGATTTAGGAAGGAGCTGGCCCCTGCTATCTCCGTGTTGCAACTCTTCTGCTCGTCGCCAAAGTCGTCGCTTCGTTTCGCGGCTGTGCGCACGCTGAACAAGGTGTCCAGCAAGCACCCACAGGCCGTCACGTCTTGCAACGTTGATCTCGAGAAATTGATTACGGATCAAAATAGGTATGTGATTTGGAAGAGCTCGTAAAATTCCCTCGTTCAGATAATAGGGTACTCTGACAATTTTAGGTCAATCGCTACCCTGGCTATCACCACGCTTCTCAAGACGGGCGCCGAAAGCTCGGTCGAGCGTCTGATGAAGCAAATCAGCGGTTTCGTCTCCGAGATCTCCGACGAGTTCAAGGTAATTTACTAATTTTTTCTTTTCTTAGAAAAATTGCTTTACAGATTGTTGTCGTCGAGGCCATCCGATCTCTTATCGCTCGCTACCCACGCAAGCACGCCGTGATGATGCCTTTCCTGACGAATATGCTGCGCAACGATGGAGGGTGATAAATAGGATATGATTGTCACGAATTAATGTACAGATACGAATACAAGAAGGCTATCGTCGAGACGGTGATTGCCATTGTCGAGGAAAATCCAGACGCACGCACTGCCGGTGAGTAGGATTTTCTTAGATGATTGCTCTTCTTCTTTAGAAGGAGATTTTACTGATTCCCGCTCATATGGTAAATGCCGTTTGTGGCCGAACTAAAGAACCTCCGAAATCCAATTTTTTTTGGGTTTTGGTAGCGTCCAAGCAATATCGACCGTGTGCCTTTCTCTCATCCTTTAAAAAACTTGGGCTGATTTGCGTGCTTTTCTAATGTTTGAAAAGTCACTAATCTAGTCCACTAATTCCACCACGTCCAATTATTTTTTTTTTCAGGCCTTGCCCAGCTCTGCGAATTCATCGAAGATTGCGAGCACCCGCAGTTGGCCACCCGTGTTCTGCATCTGATTGGCCGTGAGGCGCCGAAGACGCCGAACCCGCAGTCGTACATCCGCTTCATCTACAACCGCGTCATCCTGGAGTGCACCCAGGTTTGGACCTTTATTTCTTAACAAAATCGAGCCCTAAATTCCCATTTTTGAGGTCATGTCATTTTCTATGGGGTTTATCCTTCGATTTAATTATTTTTATTCAGGTTCGTGCGGCAGCTGTCACCGCCCTCGCCAAGTTCGGCGCCCAAGTTGTTGAGCTGCGTCCAGCTGTGGAGATTCTTCTGCGTCGTTGCCTCCTTGATACCGATGATGAGGTTTTTCTGTATATCTTCTTATTTTATCTTCAATTAGGTGCGCGATCGGGCCACATTCTACCTCTACATGCTCAAGCAGAGCGCCCAGATCATCAACAACTTTGTGCTCGACCAGCTGCAGGTAACGCACCGATTCCATACCCAGCCTTTTTTGCAGGTTTCTCCGACCGGCCTTGAGAAGCAGCTCGAGAAATACGTGGACGAGAAGAAATATGACAAGCCGTTTGATCTGAAGACGGTGCCTGTGGCTGCTCAACCAATCACACATACCGAGAAGCCGAAACCGAAGCTCATCGAGGATCTCGATCTGCCGAAAGCGCCGAAGAAGCCTGAACACGCCGGTGAGTCTATTTTAATCTATATACCAGCAAATCCGGAGTAATCTGCTAAATACGATTTATGAGTACATTATTTCCAGAGCGCCTTGCTGCTCTGCCACAACTTCGCGAGCTCGGTCCGCTCTTCCACTCATCCTCGTCGATCCCGCTGAACGACTCGGTCTCCGAATACACCGTCCAGTTGATCAAGCACACTTTTACCAACCATGTCGTCTTGCAGGTGCTTATTACTTGTTTTAATTCTTAACCTTTGGTTTAGTTCGATTGCCGCAACACCGTCGAGGACCAACGTCTCGAGGAGCTGAAGGTGGTGCTCGAGGAGCAGAGCGACGAGCAGGAATGGAGGATCGTCAACCAGATTGACATCGACGCGCTGCCGTACGGGGATGCGCAGAGCGCCTACATTGTCCTCGAATACCCGGATTCTGGTCTGTCTTTGAGTTATTTTCTGAACCGTTGTTTAGGTGCCGTCGTCGGCCAATTCGAGTGCTCCCTCAACTTCAAGGTCAAGGACGTCGACCCGAAGACGGGCGAGCCCGAGTCCGACGACACCTACGATGATCAATATGTGGTATGCCTTGCCCGTTAAATGGAGTTCAAGATTTTTTTAGCTGGAGGAGGTCGAGATTGCCGTCTCGGACTCGGTGCAACCGATTTCCCGCACAAACTTCAAGGCCGGATGGGAGAAGCTGGAAGGCGCTGCTGAGGTAAGAATACATTCCGTGTTTTCTTGGTCTGTCCCAAAGCTTTTCTAGACGAAACATGCTTCTTAAACGTTTTTTTTTTAATTTTCTGGATCGAACCCCCATTTCTAGACCGACCAAACGTTTGCCCTCTCCTCCGTCAGCAGCCTGCAGGATGCGGTCAAGAAGGTCTCGGACCTGCTGGGCGTGTCGGCCTGTGAGCGGACGGATCTGGTGCCCGAGGGCAAGACGAACCACGTTGCCCTGCTTGCCGGCGTGTTCCGCGGTGGCCACGAGGTGCTCGTCAAGGCCAAGGCCGCCATTGACCCCACTGACGGCACGATCAACATGAACATTGTGATCCGGTAAGTTGCTAATTTTTGTTTCGGTATTCATATTTATCGCTTTCTATCCTTTACTGTTCATTTTTTTCAGGTCTGATGATGAGGGAGTCGCCGATGTTTTGGGAAGTGCCCTCGGTTAAAAGCTTTTCCCTTCCATTCAACCACGCCTCTTTCCACTCGACTTGCATATGCTTTTCCTTCCCTCCTTGAACCCCCCACTCCATTAATTTATTCGGCCCGCAGCCATCGCTCCAGCAAAAAAACTCTTTTGTTAATGTCAATCTTATTCTATCTGTGGCACCGCTGTTTGTGCGCACGCGTTTTCGGACCATTCTGTGATTGTAGAGTTTTTCTGGGGGCATCCATAGAAGCCCACCACTTATCCCACGTTTTCGACCGGGCACTTTTTTGCTGGTAATAAATTGGTGAATCGTAGTTGAGGTGGAAAATGCAAAGTAAGAAAGGGATGCCGGTTGTTGTTTTTGAGGAAATCATTTCTTTAAAAAGAGCTAATAGTATTTCAAGTACTTTTTAGTATAATAATTCTAATTCCTGAATTTTCGAGCGCCGAAAATGTAGATATTTTGTGGTAACCACACGCATAGTCAACCCCGGATGACGCGGTCACTTCTGGGGGCTCCACACGGACCTGCGCTAGCGCGTAGCGCGCGGGCCAAAGTGCTCCCTCGCTCCCTAGGGGGCTGCTGGGGGCCGGTTTCACTCGGCTATTGAGTCACAGACACCGCAGCGGGAGACCAACCGGGCCGAGGCGCTTCGCCTTACACGTCAATGCTTTCCTTTTAGTTTTTTTTTGCGACGAATATTCATAAACAACGATGATTCATAATGTCGATGGATGCGCGCTATATTCCTCTCGATGAATGCGCATTTATTTTTTGGCTCGGTTGCCCGGAGGGCATGTCGCGTGATGTGCCGAGCCCGCATAACATCTGCACGACATTCCCTCCTTTCAAATGGCTCCGAGTTTACGGAGAAATTGATGGCAACTTAATTTTTATGCGCTTGAACATTCATTTTATAGTCGTGGCGTTTTTCAAGCTTGGAGTTATAATTCCGGCGTTTCCATTTTAAAATATGTACCTACGTGCCCTTTTACAGAATTTTTAAGAAATACGGCTAGAAAAAATCGATTTAGAGATGCTCATAAAATTCCTGCTCGCCGCCGCTCTATTTTCTGCCGTCTCCGCCAACACCGAGTGCATCTGGGTGGTCGGCCGCGTGACTTGTGCCATGGATCAGGCGAAGGTAAATAAAAATTATGCAAAACAAATGATTTGCCCTCCAGGTAATCGATACCCGCGTCGAGGTCTGGGACAAGGACGGGCCCAAATCGTCGAGGGTAAGTGGATGTTTTTGTAAATTTATGACGTTTCAGGTGAACGTCGATCCGATCATGAAGCTGATCGACGGGGTCGATCCGGACGACAAGGCTGGCGTGACATTGGTTGAGGACGAGTCGGGCACGTTCAAGTGGGCTTCCTTTTTTGATTTATCAAGCGTAGCTATTGGTTTTTGTAATGTAAAACGTATTATTCGATCGATTTTATGGGTTGCCATACCCCAATAATGCTAAAATTTATTTAGGGTTGAGGGCTGCGCTTCGGACCAGGACTGGCTCTTCCACAAGAATCAACCCGAGTTCTACCTGCGCGTCTACCATCGGTAGGTCTTGTATATGAGCTGTAAACGAAGCCTAAGCCTAAGCTTTACCCGAACCAATCATACGACTAAAAATGAAAACCGAAAATATATGACACATAAATGACGCCGGCTTTCAGGTGCACCCCAAGCGGCCAGGAGCGTTCCGTCGACATTCTGCCCCCAGTCAAAGTCTTTGTCCCCAACACCTACGACAAGTACATGAACAACCCCATCGAATTGTCGTTTTTGTAATTACGCCCTGAATTCACAACTTATTGTACAGTTTGAACTTTCTAAGGTATTCCCCCTCCCCCCGTGCTTTCTGTCCTCGCCAAGCCTTGGTGCTGCTCAGCGCATCTCAACGATTACGCCACAAAATTTTGTGATACCCCGGGATTACTGTTTTTTTTGTAGGGTCCTTTAACGTCGAGTTAAGGTACTATTAATAAACGATACAAAAAAATAATGTCGCGGGTTAAAATATATAATTAATGTTTCTAAAACCGTTAAAGGAGACACTAAACTTCAAGTTGCTCCGTGGCTAAAAGCCTTTAAATGCAACGATTTTTGAAATTTAGAAAAGCAGTTTTCCGTAACTTAAATGTTTAGATTTTTACACGGTTCACAACGGTTTTTATAGGCTTTTAGCCCTAGAAAAGCGGCTTTGCATTTTAATTGTAAGGTTGATTTACCCCATAGCCTTCTTGTTCTAAGTGAAAACGGTGCATTGTCGGTCGCGAAATGTTTGCCCTCATTGAATGCGGATGGTACTATTGACCATCATGGTTGAAAAGTGCTTGAGTTGAGGGGTAGAGGAGACGATACGAGTTTCTGGCCCGCTGGAAATGGTTATTTTTTTGCACCCGCTCAAGGTCTCCAACTCGTTTTGGCTAAATCTGTAAAAATTTTGTTCATTTTTCTGTTGATTTTTGCCTGATCCCCGGGTAAATTTCTGCTTCACCAGCGAGTTTTACAATTGAAGCCCGTCCACATGGGTGTTGATTTTTGGCCACAAAGCGTTCAAAACCCACGCTTTCGATGGCGTTTATTAAAAAAGGGCAACGTGCGGTTTCAGTTGTTGAAACGACTGGATATTAGCTTTTTTGAACGAGCAAAATGCTGAAAATTGAACGCAATAACCGAATGACACTTTGTCATTCAACGTTACGAAATAGATCGGTTTATCTAGAGATATAATCGGCGCAGACAATAAATATGTGAAGTGTAGCGCCGCGTACTTAGACGTTTAGACATAGTGGTGCTCTGTACACGTTCAACTATGCGCTTTAGGCAGCGTAGTCTCAATTTTAACGTTCTGTTTTCCCCTTAGAGTAGTTTTAGGTTTTAGGTGTTTCTAGCCCAACCCCAATCAAAACGCTGACGCATAGCGCTATGCAAATTACATCCGCTATCCCTTACCAGCGCAAAAGCGCGCTGACACAGCCCCTTAACCCCTAGAAGTTCCGGTTCTGCGCAGTGTTCACCCACAGGAGAATAAATGAGTCACACACGGGGTGCTTTTCCTAGCCGCTTTCTAGCAGACAGCAGGACTCGAACCGTATCTATCCTCCTCTTCACCCGGGTGTTGTTATCGATATCGTGTCGGTCCGTTTTTTGATGCGCCCATCCCTCGGCTGCTCGTCGCGAGTTTTTCGCTCAATTTTGGCCCCCGTGATCGAGGGATGCCTGGGATGGTTGGCATTTCGATGTGACGTCAAAGATGGAAATTTTACATTGATTATCTTTAAAAGCTTTGAAAATGATCCCATTAAAAATTGCGAACATACGTTTAATTTTTATCAATTATCGGTGTAAAGTTGTGAAAAATGATCGAAGGATGCAAGAAAAACGGCTTTTTAGACCCGGCTTTTTTTAATTTCTTTAGCAGCATTGATTCTCTTTTTAATTAAATTAAATTGTTTAAAATTTTTAAATAGCATATTTTCTAATGAGAAACCTGTCTAGAAATTTTCTGAATATGACAAAGTAGATTGCATATTTTCATTTTCTTTCACTGTCAATGTAAATAATTATTAATAAATTTTAGCGATGAATGAAAAACCAGTCGTTATGTATTTTTCATCTTTAAAATGATACTGATATTGAATTTTCCGACTTTCTGAAGACGTAAAAGCAGAGTTCATGTCTAATTTTAGCACCGGAAGGTTATTAGGCTTTTGAAAGGTGCCCATCCACATGTGTCCGCATTTCCGGTCAGCTGTTTCCAACGAAACACCATGCCCGCGGGCCCTTGTGATGTTCGGTGTATTGGATTGTAGTTTGTCGTGAAGAAAGGCCCCGGGGCGCCCGCCTCGCACTTTCACTAATGAACTTCTGAAACACGGGCTATTTTGGGTCTGAAAATGTCTGTTGTTTTGACCATGTTCTGAAACGAGCCATTGAGAATTCTTCTACCTGTTTCTTCTAAGTTTGCTGTTGGCTTTTAAGGTATCGTGTCTATTTCCATTAAATTTCCCACAAAATTAGGTGCTACGTTGTATTGCGAAAGTCTCTAGGCGTACACGAGAGAGCACCAGTTTTAAAATGCCATATATTTGCTAATTAAACTTTTGCACTTTCACTCCATCAGGTATTTTTGTTTAATTTTATAGTTTTGGCCTCTAATGGCGACATTTCCAACTCAAATGATCAAATTTCCGCCCAAAGTGGTCAGTTCCTCTTCATTGAAATTGACAGGCCGATCCGTTACGAACTGATAAAGGGGCTTTTTGTCTGGAAATGGGTCAGTGGAAGCGCTCATTTTTCGAAATCTCCTTTTCTTCTGGCGATTGTTCAATGGTTTTAACCGTGTGATTTATATTTCTATTGTGTTATTGTTTAGATGGCCCGGTTCTCGATATTCGGGCTTTTGGCCCTAGCCGGTGCGGCATCGGCTGCACACGAATGTGTTTGGGTCACCGGAAAGGTCATCTGCGAGCACGACCCGTCGAAGGAGCTCAACGTTGAGGTTGGTTTCGCATTCTAAATAATCACTAATTTTTCCGAGCAATATCCGCATTTAAATAGCTCAGATATAAAAATTCCTAGCGCGCTTTGGTAAGTCTTCTTTACTTCGAAAACCTGGCGTGTAAAGCTAATTTATGAAAAATTGTTATCAGTTTAGGTGCGCGTCTACGATCGCGACTCGACGTTTTTCCTCACCAAGTTTATCGACCCGGATGACATGATGGGGTGGGTTTAACGTTATTTAAAAAAAATCATTACTTAGTTCCATTATCAACACCCCCAATTTTGGCAGGCGCATCGATTCCGCGGGCTAATCCGCTCCCCTATTAGCGGTGCGCCTGTTCAAATATCCGGGCGCGCCGCGAACAACCGGGGGATTCCTGGAATTTCGGCGTGTTTGCGCCCGATTGTGAGGCAAAATACGGCGCGCATTTCGTCAGGCAATTTCCGGGTCGTATCGGCTGAAAAAGCATCATAAAAATGGTTGGGGTTTCAAAGAAGCAGCTGCCGAAAGTTTGTAAATCTCAAGTTTGTTGGTAAAAATGTGGGTAGAGGCTTAGGCCGGATTTCCATTTTACACGCTTCTTTTCAGAGTGACGTTCACCAGCGAGTCCGGGCTTTTCCAGCTCGACGGCTGCGGTGACGATTTCGACTGGCTGCCGGGACTTAAGAACCGACCGGAACCTTATGTACAGGTCAGTGACTAGATAGCCTAGCAGCGTTATTGAGAAAATTACTATCGTTTTTCTAGGAACGTGACAGAGCTCAAAAAAAATTCCCAAATCTAGATTCGCCACTACTGCAACAGCGCCGAGGGAGAGACGATCACCCTGCCCGAGTTCACCACGTTCGTCCCGGACACCTTTGAGGTGAGGCTAAGGGTTATTATAGCTAAAGTATTGAAGAAATTTGTATGCTCTTTTCTAGTATAGTTTAAAGTTTAAAATGTTTTAAAATCATCTTTATATTTATATAAAGTTCTAGTATCTTATAAATTTTAAAAGTCAAATACCTTTTTCAGATTGGCGAGATTCGGCTAGACTCCCCGGCAATGCGCGCCAAGCTACGCAAAGACCGCGTCGAAATCCCGAAATAATAGCTGTAAATAGATGTAAAATGTAGCCGTCGATGCGGACCCCGGTGCCCCTCTAAGTGTGCTTGCCATTACCGGTCCCCAATGAACAAATTCAACCCCGAGATTATTTTGCCGATTTTTCTCGCTTGCCCCGTCAATTTTTAGCCCTCTTGCCTGGTGTAATTATGCAACTAAATTCTTGCCCTTTCTTCGCCATATCCACAAGAATTCTTTTCTGATTATGCAAGCTTTTATTGCTGTCGTGTTTTTTGAATGGGAATAAATATATTACCGCGTATATTTGGCTTTATAAGAATCGATAAGCGACAGCAGATGTTTCTTTTCACATGCAACAAAATCCATTTTGAGATGAGAACGAAATTTTTGGGGTAGATTTTATCGGGTTTTCATTTCAGGGGGTCGCATTTTCTGCGCTGGGCGTGTGAACTGGGGCCACGAAGGGCATTGGGTTGAAAAGGTGAGTTATTTGCGGACTTTTGGTAGAATAAAGCATTGCTACCTACGTACTTTGTCACCGGGCTCGCAATCGCCTCAACATTCCTTGTTTTTAAAGGAGCGATTGACGCTTGGGTACCAGAGGAGGACTTTCTTCGAATCGTTTCTTTCATTTTTGCCACTTTTTCGAGCCTTCGAATTTGACTAACCCGCGTGAGTCCATCCCCTCCCTTCTGGTCCACCCACGCAAAAAACTCGAGCTTACAACCCGGTAGCAATTTGGTGGGGGCGAAACGGTTCAAAACCGCCGGCTTATACCACGCTCAACCCCCGAAAAACGGCCATTAGAGCCGAACGACCCAGCTGACCGGACCAATTTTTCGTGGCTTCATCTTTTCCTTTCATCGCCATGATTCCTGTGGCGCAACCTTTTCAGCAAAGTCTAAACCTAACCACCAAATCCTCCAGCTTCAGATGTCGTTCTGCCCGGATCGGGTGGTGTCGCTGCTGCTCTCGGAGTTTGGCACCAACCACCAGGGATGCTTCGAGGCCTCGCAGCACGAGCGCATGATTGCCGCCTCGTTTTCGCGGATATTGCGGTGTAAAAGTGAGTTCGAATTCGTTGCATTATTTTCTCTTCCCATCATTCTCGCCTTCCTGGTCCTTGCAAAGTCCTTTAAAGGGCTTGGAAGGAAGCATAAGCGTCTGTTGGGATTGCCGAAAAGCCATCTGAACAAATATCGTCTCCCTTAGTGAAAGCTTCCAAAACCCGTCATTGAGCTAGCTAATTAGTCTAAAAAAAGCCTCGAAATTTTTTCTCGGGCTTCAACTTCTCGATTTTTTCTCGATTGAGGGGTTTCAGCCACTTTTCCACCCGAATAATTGATTTCCTGTCCTGAACGCTGATGTCTTAGCCCCGGTGATCAGGGTGCCAATTTGGGGCCGGGGCCCGGAAAGTGCTCGGCCAATCGCGTCCTTTATTGACGCAATCTGTCTTTTAGACAGTTAGCGCAGTTAGCGCGATATTGCCCTGGTTCAGCGTTTATTTTTTATAATCGGTAACTGGCCGGAAGTGGGCAGCACTTACAGCCTCCGCCTTTACCCTTACAGCAAAGTTCTCAACCGTTCATCTCAAAATACGGATCCTATTTACGACCATCATCAATTTTTCATTATTTTCTGGGTTGGCCGCAGAGGAAAGGCGGCCAGATACCTCTTTGAGGTTTTTAACCTTCTTGGAACGCTATTCTCAACCAGTCCATTAAAAACCACCATCCCCAAATACCGAATTTAAAATAGCGACAACCAAAACGCCGAAATATAATTGCTCTAAATCGGCATTTGCTTGCTGTATATTTTTTAACTACCCGTTTGCCCGCCAAGGAATTTTGCTTATCGGCATTTCGAATATGGTCATTAGGCTTCGAGTACGATTCCTTTATGCTACCATCCATTTCGTCGAAATGCCGTTTTGCAAAATGAATTTTCCGTGAAATCACAGGTCACCCCATCCCCCCTACATCGAAGCGACCTTGAATCCAATAGTCAGCGAGATTATTAATGACCGGGGTTCCGGTTCACACCTAAAAACCCTCAAAATAATCATATCATCCGTGCGGGTATGTGTCTAGCTATCCGTATATCTCTCTGTCTGTCTGTTCACCCAAATCCTGGGAGATATCGAGGGGCGAAAGCGGCGACTCGCCAGCGTTTGGTGGCATCCCAGGAAAAAAGCGGCTCCGATGCCGCGCGCACATCCCGCCTGGAGGTCCGGTCCTTATTTGGGGAGAAAGAGAGAGATACGGTCAAGCTCTCACTGTCCCCACCATGGCTACGAGCGGCACCTAAACACTGCGCAAACCGTGTGCACGGATGGCAAAGGTGGACTGGCTGGTCGGGGCGGTTCACCCTGATCACCGTATGTACCTGTGGGTAGATCAGGGGCTACGACGCGGATTGGGTGATCGATATAGCGGCGGTGGACCGGTTCGAGTGGTGCAATGGGAATTTTTGGCCTTTTTTTCCAAGAGCTGAGAACGATAAAGCTCGTTGAACGTTAAATCGTGGTTTTACATGAATTTCATTGTTGCGTTACGTCAAAATTGGTCTGCTGAGACCTTGGAATTTAATAAAAAAAACTGCCTTTGACTAGCTAAACAGAGGTTTTGGCGTTTCTCGCTCTCTCTCTCCCTCTCTCTCTCTCTCTCTCTCTCTCTCTCTCTCTCTCTCTCTCTTTCGATATCGCTTCCACTCCTTTGAAAGCCTTAGGCTGCTGTGTTAAGCTTTAAGCCTAAATAGCATCGGATAGAGACCATTCGGCCTATTTTGTGAGGTTTTCGAAAAACCAGCTTCCAGGCTTCATGGGACCGCCCCGGATGCACAGCTTCCTACTGTTGCCGGTGGCATCTGGGCTGAGCATGATGATCAGTGGCAATCTTTCGGTCCGCGTACATCATCGTTTTTCATTTTGCCGGGCAGCCCGATGGAGCCTGATCTGGCTTTTCCCTTAGCCTCAACCAGGCTGCCACACGCCGAACTGAGCGTACCCCGTTCAGCGAAATTATCGTCGTTTTTTTCTCATCCCTTATGAGAATTTATTAAGTTTGTTTGTTTTTTAAGGGCAATTAATTTATCAGGGTGATTGATTCATTAGGGTTTAGAATACATTGAGTGTTTTAGATTGGCTTTTTAGCCAAAAAATGCTAGCAGAGCCGGTTTTAGGAAGTTGCCGTTTCAATCTTGTGGTTTTCCATGTACCTAAACTTAGAAAATTTTTTAATTCATACCTATGCGAGCGCGTAGGGGTAGCGGGGGTGGTCCGCGGTATATGCTCAATTGCAAGGTGTGTACGGTTTCGCTTACTGAACCTTCACAAGATTTCTATATATTATTCTCTCTAGTTCTCTAATAAAGTAGATCTTCTCTATAGGCCAGAAGCTATTTGGAAGGTGATACTGGATATACACGCTATTTGGAGCACTATGTAGCTGCCTATACCACCCAGTACCGCAGTCGCTTCTCGCACTTCTCGGTCCTTTAAGCCGTGCTTGTACGGTCAATTCCAAAAACTCCACGCCATCCAGACTCCCCCTCCAGCTTTCCCCGATGCCAAAATGAGGGGCTAGACAGGCTTTTGGCGTCTTTTGCCATGGCATCTATCCTATTAGCCGCCTCTCTCTCTCTCTCCCTCTCTCTCTATCTCTCTCTCTCTCTCCCCTGAATGATGCCAAGCAATAGCCCTCCTGTCCAGCTATGGTGGTCAGTGTCGGCTTCTCCTCCCCTTCCCCCCGGTGTCAAGATCTGGATCTGCCAATCCCCCCACATCGTCCAGCCGGCCGATCCGTCCGTTTGTGCCCCCGGTTTTTTTTGCGCGCTGGCCTGAGGGGTGATTGCTTGGATCATGGTGTTTGCTCTTTTTCCGGGTTTCTTCAAATGCGGGAGTTTATAGTATTTAGTAGCTTGCGCAGATTTTCGCACTGGTATCAACCATACCATTTTTTTCCGATCGGGGCATTCAGGCATTTGGTATATTGCTCCCTAACTCTCGCTCTCGCTCCCTCTATATCACGCTCGATCTATCGCTCTCTCCCCTCATTATATTTTCTTGGCGCTGAAAACACGTACAAACACACAACACCCATCACTGTAGTAAATGAAGCATCGGGCCTTCGAAAATCGGGCTGCACACGCCACACCATCGGTCTCTGCTCTGGTTCAGCCCCTTTCCATCTAATTTCGGCAGTGCTCCTGCGCCTAAATCCTAAATCGCCATTTTCAGGTATGGAAATCGGGCATCGGCGTATTTCGGATCCGGGCGACGATCGGGTGCCGGCGATGAAGAGGATGCGGTTGCCGGTGAGTTTTGCGTCTCGTTCTAAGCTTCGTGTTCAACGAGCGTATTTTAAAAAGCGGCATCAACACATTTTTTTTCTTGACACGAGCGTTTTTCGCGACTTGCGAACTTTTTGCCGGTTTTTTTACCTAGGGAACTTGCCTATGCCTTCAAAGAGACTAGGAAGTGCGAAAATCGACTAGTGCCATCGATTAGGTCTCTACAGCTAGGCCGAAACCTACGCTACCAAAAGAAAAACTTAAGCCCAACCGTCGCCTTAGGTTTTAAGCACCTTAGGGAAATTGCGCGTCACCTAGTTTCTTTCTCGCGCTTTCTAGATCACATTGACAGCGTTTCTAACAGGTTTTTCTACTTCCGTAAAGAGGCGCACTCAGGAAAATGATAATTAGAAAGTCACGAGAGAGTCACATTTTTTCGGTCTTGTAAACACTAATTTTTTGTGTTTACGTCGACTACACACAGTCCAATGTTTTGCAGCATACGTCAGAATACGGTGAACCCAAAGCTCATTTAATTGTGTTTTTGTCGCCCAGCCATACTCTGTAATTTGCGCATTGACGATTTTCAAGCAACGGCGTCTCGGCATCAAAACCCAATCCCCGAATCCAGAATGCCCCCCCTTTGGGTGAACCGGTCATCTAACGGCCAATTTGCATCCCCCCGCTCATCCCCAAACATCAACGACCATCCACACTACTAATTTTCCGGGCCGTGCGCCACATGCGCTTTGTAATTTCTGGGTTCAGCCTAATGGGGAAAAGAAAAATTCGGAAATGTTTCATTGTTAATCCGAGGTTGCTTTTACGTTATCGGGGGGGGGCGAATCCAGAAATGCCTAGTAAGGTGATAGTAGGAATTTGAATAGTTTTTGTGAAATTTACCAAAATTTTGAGTGGAAAAGCCATCTAAAAACATTAAAAACTTAAAATTCGATATTTTGGTCAAAACGCGGACATTTTTATTCGAAAATATTTATATTTTTGTATTTTTATGAAAATTTGTAAAGTTCTTGTGCTTAGTAGTAATCACAAGCGGCTCAGAAGCTATATTTTATGACCCATTGCTACTTCGGGGGGGGGGGTAGCAGAGATCGTTTGGTCCCAAAGGTAGGCTGGTGAAAATCCTTTGTTTCGCCAAAGCACAGATACCAGAATGAAATCGACCTTTCGGGCAGGATAGCAGAGGCTATTGGATACCCCCTGGCAGGTTAGCAGTGCTCCTTTGTTGCTCCAGAAGCTAGCAAAAATCATCATCTGTTGTATGGCGCAAGCTAGTAGTTATTTGACACCTACGGCCAGCTAGCAGGGGCCATTTGGGTCAGATGTTCTGCAGCAATTCTGGTAGTCTAAAAGCTCTGCTAGCATTGGACGATACGACCCCTGGTTCCATGCTCGACACGACTTCGTACCTATTAGTCTTGCGCTTCCCCGTACGTGGACGGAATCGTAGGTCGGTGATAGATGCGCACGCCTTTGTAACATGGTATGTACAGGGCTTTTTTGGGGTGGCTTGCAACGTTGGTTGGTCGAACATAACGGGGAGGGAACAATACAGATCATCGCCATGTTTGCCCCAGGGTTTCGACGTGTCAGGGGAGAGAGAGAGAGAGAGCGCGAGAGCGAGAGAGCGACAAACAGAAAGTGAGAAAGAGTACGAGAGAGCGTGAGAGAGAAAGCGAGTGCGAGAGAGAAAGAGAGAAAGAACAAGTGAGCGAGGGTGAGAGGGAGAAAGCGAGATAGAGCGAGAGAGGTAGGGAGAGGATGAGTTAGAGAGAGAGAGCGAAAGATAGAGAGACAGCTACAGAGCGCGAGAGACAGCCTAAAACCCCGCACATATCCCCACAAAAAGCTACCTATTACTCACAAACACACGACAAACACCTCGATCTCTCTTTCGCTCTCTCTCTCTCTCTGTCTCTCTCCCTCTCTATCTATCTCGCTCTCGCTCTTTTTCTCTCTCTCTCCCTCTCTCTCACCCGGGTCCATCCCCACGTGGAACGGGCGCGCGAGTTGACGCTGTGGGCGGGGCTTATCCCTGCCCATCACATCGGGGGGACGAGCCGGGGGAAGACCCGTGAGCTTCAAAGTCCGTTTATTGCCTATAGACACCATTCAATTCCCCCGTTCTCCCTCTCTCGATCCCGCAGCTACACGACAATGCTACGGCCACCTAGTCGACAGGTGCTGTGAAATGGCGAGGTGTTATAAAAGGCGCCCCAAGTTGCGTAGGGCCCCCAATCTGACGCAGCGGTTTCCCAGCTAAAAAGCGCTCCACCCCTCCATCGCTCCCACGGGCTACGGTAGAAATGGTGTACTATAAGGTATTATCGAGCTTTTGGACTTTTGGTTTTAGGGGCGGGTTACGGTAGCATTACGGTAGGCTAGAAGGCGAATTACGGAAGTTTGGTCGTTTGTAACTTTTTTGCTGGCGCTGTCCCTTTAAAGTCTTGCGGCTCCGGTACGGCGATTAAAGTTGTGTTTTTCTATAGTCTGAGTTTAGCCGATTACGAAAGTTTTTGCCTGAGATTCCTTCCAGAATACGGTATTGATTAAAACTTGTGTTAATGAAAAGCTCCGGTCGCGATCCGGTTAAAAATATATCCCACTGGATTACGGTAAATATCCTGTATTTCGAGTTTTCTTTTCCATCGATTCTGGATTTTTCCAGGAATTTAAAAAATTACGAAATTTGTGAAAATTATCAAAAAATTAAAAAAACAGTGAAAAATACAAGCTTGAAATCTATCAGGGTCCAAAAATAATTGTAAAAAGGTAATCAGACGGTTTTTAGAATCAAGCTTATAGATTTTTATTATTTTTTATAATATTTCAGGACTACTCTTCCGGCGCCACGAACATCACCTTCCAGCAGCACAAGATCACCCGGGAGGAACGCGCCGATATTTTGGGTAGGTTTCGGGGCAATGCGGTATGATACTGTCCGGCAAATCTTAAATTTTGAAGAGCAGCAAGAAAAATATATCAAAATATATATAACATGAACTTTCAGGTAAGCACACTGGCTTCCGCGGCTGCACTATCTGGTTCACCGGGCTTTCCGGGGCTGGCAAGACCACCGTCGCTTTTGCCCTGGAAAAGGCGTTGACACAGGTGGGATTTTACCCTTTACCTTGCTAACTTCATAAGGTTCAAAAGTTAAAAGTTAGCTTTATGAATATTTACAGCTTTTCAATTTTGAAGTTCCAAACAGATTTTTTCACACGGTGTTAGTGTAATATTTATAAAATCTGCTGACTAAAAACGGAGTAAGTACGGATAAGAAACATTACCAAGCATGGGCTGGCTTAGCTTAGCTGGCTTGGTTTAGCTTGAGTGAAGGCTTAGGCTTAAGCTTAGGCTTAGCTTCTTCTGATTCTTCTTAGCTTTTTTCGTCACTTTGGTCCATCGGACAGGGAAAGTCATACCGGCAATGCGGTTTGCTAGACAGAGATTGCCAGAGATCGTTGATATTTGTCCGAAAACGTTTCCCCGTATCCGCTCAAACCGTACATCCCGGAAGTTCGAGCACACAGTTTGAGCGGATACGGGTTTGACCGTTTTTGGTTTTGGCCAAGGTCGTCAAGCGGGTTAGCAAAAGGAACTCCTACAGAATATTGTCGTCTATTAATGCATGATTTCGAGCTTAGGCTTAGGCGTTGCTTATCCTCTCCATCCTCGTTCTCTCCCGCCCCGCCAAAAATTAGCTTCTGGGCGTCATTTTTGTTCTGAATCGTTCTTCTGCTTGTTTGCCTGTCTGGTCTCGTCGGTCGTTCTCTCTCTCTCGCGCGCTCTCTATCTCCTCTCCCTCTCCCTCTCCCTCCCTCTCTCTCTCTCTCTCTCTCTCTCTCTCACTCTCTCTTCTGGAAACGCATTGTTCACGCATGCTGCTGGCGCGGGGGGAGAAGTCGATGGGGGCGGTTTTTTGTCCGGGGTGGCTAGGATTTGAAAATCGAAATCCCAGCAGCCCCATGGCAATGCTTGAAGGGGGTGGGGGAGAAGCTGACGGATTTGTTCGGATGGCTTACGCCAGCCGAACCAGCCGAACACTGCTGATCATTCGAATTAGCCTCCAGGGGCGGTCAGGAGGTCGGGCTCAAAAAGATCGGGGTAGATGGTACAGTTTTTTTGAATGGGAGGGGCAAAAGCAGTTTTTTATGACACCGTACTTTTTCGTCAGAGTGCTATATTTTGCCGTGCCATACCGTACCACTGGGGTAGAGTACGGGTCAATACTCTACAGTACGTAGCAGTACGGAGGAGCCAGGCCCAGAACTGTAGCGTACGGTATAATACGTTATCGCGCGGAGGTTTGCGTTTAGTACAGTAAAGTATAGCATTACTTACTTACGAGTCCGTTCCAGTACGGAATTCCACCGTTAAGTACGGTGGCGTTAAAGTAGGTTGGAGTGCGGTAGAGTACTACGCTAGGGTACACTATGATGCGTAAGTACGAGTACCGTGTAGTACGCAAGGTTACGCGTTGATACGTTTGAAAAAGGAATCTTACGATCCATTTCGTTAATTTTTTTTCAGTATGAAACCATAAACCTAAAAAAACGCTAGTAAGCTCGCAAAAACCATCACAGCTTGATGCCCGCCCGGTCAACCCGAAAACCGCGTTGCAAACACGTGTTTAGCCTACATCCCCCCCCCCCCACCACAAATTGCCACTTTCCATGCCCGAATCACGCTTTTTTTTCCGGCTCGCCCCCATCTCCCCATATGGCCCATTCAAATGGAAAATTGACACCTGAACACACCAACCACAACGTTTCCTAAAAAGCGGATATTATTGCGGGCAGTCAGGGGGAATTCGGTTGCCACAGGTTTTTCGCATAGAAAACCGGGGGGCGCAGTGGAATAAGCGGAAGCTAAGCCCTAGTCTAAGCCAAAGCCTAAGCCGAAGCCTAAGCCCGAGCTAACCGTAAGCTAATGGCAAAGCGAAGACCACGTAAAGCTTAAGTATAAGCCCAAGCCTAAGCCAACAAGGGAACCTCCAGTTGGCACGGTGGAATTTCGAAAAACGCTCGCGGCTACCCCTAGGTTTTCGACTATGGCGATTCCAACGCTCTAGTCAGAATTTCCTTAAGTCTAAGCCAGGGCTAAGCTAAGCTTACTAAGCTAGTTGTCTATGCAAAACCTAAGGAAGCACAAGTCTAAGCCTTAGCTAAGCCGATGCAAAACCTAAGGAAGCACAAGTCTAAGCCTTAGCTAAGCCGAAGCCCAAGCTTAAGCAGGTTATTGAAAACGGAAGAGCAAATTGTAGGATTGTACGAGGCGCTACTATAACCAAAAGATCGCGCTGGATGTTGGAATGTTAGACATTTAAATAATTACTATTTCTATACAATACACATTAATTGTTATAAAAACCTAATTTTTTCCAGCTCGGCCTACCATGCTACGGTCTCGATGGGGACAACGTGCGCCACGGACTCTGCAAGAACCTCGGATTCTCGATGAACGATCGCTCAGAGAATATTCGACGTGTTGCAGAGGTCAGGAATTCGCTCTTTCTCACTCTCTCTCTCTCGCTCTCTCTCTCTCTCTCAAACCCATTTTTTAGGTAGCCAAGCTCATGGCCGACGCCGGTATGGTCTGTCTCGCCTCGTTCATCTCCCCATTCCGCTCCGACCGCGAGCAGGCCAGGAAAATCCACGAGGCTGTGAGTATTTCTTTAATAGTCGTAGATTACGTAGTAAAGTATCCTATACAGTTACTTGGTGCTAACATAAATAATCCTAGTCGTAATTTCGCGATTCCAGGAGGGTCTCCGTTTCATCGAAGTCTACGTCAACACGCCACTCGAAATTTGCGAGGACCGCGACCCGAAAAGTGAGCCCGTTTCCGGTCGTTCAGGACGTATTTTTGAAACCTTTAGAGCTGTACAAAAAGGCGCGCGCCGGCGAGCTGCCCGGCTTCACGGGGATCGACTCGGCGTATGAGCCGCCGGAGAGGCCAGATTTGGTAGGGCTTGGTTTAAAGGGACAAGGAAGGTCTAAAATCTGCGCTTACCGCCTACTACTTGTATGGTGATCAAGTAAGCATAACAGCGTAATCTCGCTTACCGCACAGCTGTCGAGACCTAGTCGACCGGGGAGTTGATTCTGATGATTAAACACCTAAAAAATCAAATCACCACTTTAACCTTATATTTCAGCTGGTCGAGTCCGGAAAGCTGTCCGAAGCCGAATCAGCCCACTCCGTGCTTCGCTACCTCCACGAGGAGGGGATTCTGCCGCAGAAGGTATTTTAGAGTTTTTTTAGTTACATTGAGTTGAAAGAAACCAACTTCTTAAATGCCTTATTAAAGAGCTCGTGGCTTCGGCTACGGATCGGGCTACGTATACACTTAATTACGCCTAGTGAGAGCAAGAAAAAGAGAGGGAGAGAGTTAGAGTGGGAGAGCGAGAGAGAGAGAAAGAGAGAGAAAGAGAGAGAAAGAGAGAGAGAGAGAAAGAGAAAGAGAGAGAGAGAGAGTTAGTGAGAGATAAGGGGAGACTCAATGAGAAAGTGAGTGAGATAGGTTGGTTCGGCTCCATAGCCGAATATTCGTCGAAATTTTGTTCCTTCAGAGTCCCTTGAAACGCCCGCAAAAGTCTAAAGCCAAAATGTCCTGTAAAATCTATAGGGAACTTAACCTCAAAAGTGATGTTCCATTTCCATTCAGGTCGACCGTCGAGCGCTGTGGCTCTTGGTAGGGTGTAGCCATCCCCCCGCAAGCATTGCATTCTGCCTGTACCCCCAAGAATTCTCATTTTCTCGCTCAACCCCCAAAAACCAGTGTCGTTTTGTGGTTTCCTAGCCCCTGCCCACCCTCAAAAATGTGCCAAGTCGTGTCGTGCAGAGGAGACTAATCGCATGGATGTAATTAGTTGAAAAGCGTCGTTAGAAGGGTTTAGAGCGTCTGATTTCAGGCGATGGACCAGTTGGTGACGGACCCAGTTCGGGAGCTGTTCGTTCAGCCATCGGTTAGGGGGCAGCTTGAGGCTCATGCTCAGACGCTGGCCAAGGTTGAGCTGCAGCAAATTGATGTCCAGTGGCTTCAGGTAGGAGCGAGGGAGAGAAACAGAGAGAGACAGAGAAAGAGAGAGAGATCATGAGCGTGCGACAGCGATAGAGAGAGGGATAGAAAGAGAGCATGAGGGTGCCGCGAACTTTGCGGCGCGTACTTTTGCGGCGCGAACTTTGCGGCGCGAATTTTGCGGCTGCGAACTTTGCGGCGCGAATTTTGCGGCGCGAACCTTGCGGCCGAAGATTGCGGCGCGAATTTTGCGGCGCGAACATTGCGGCCGAATTTTGCGGCGCGATGCTTAGGCAGAGGCCTTTGGTTATTTTTTTTTGCACTGCATCCGAATTTCGTCATAGAAACGTTAGAAGACTGTTTTGCGACAGGAGTCACTCGATTTGGGGGAAATTAATTATTTCTTTCGCTCTGCGACTAGAAAAAGGCTTCGTGCCACCCGGGGCCTAGTCGCTTCGGATGGGTGCGAGCTCGTACAGGGTTTCGAAATCGGGGCGCCCGAGGAGCGCGAAGCGCCCAGGCGCCTCGATTTCGAAAGAGTGGAGCGGCAGCCCATCCGAAGCGACGGCCCACCTTGCCTGACGCCCTCAAGAGGTCTCTTGTCACGGCATTGCGTAAAGTTGCAGTTAATTTGTATGGAATTACATATATAACCATTACAAAAACAAAACTGGCGGTGATTCTGATTCTGAATTTCTGAAATTTCTCTGAAATCTGATCCTGAACTCAAAACAAATTCTGAATTTAAATGATTTCCATTAATATTTGTTGCGCCGCAAAATTCGGCCGCAAAATTCGCGCCGCAAAAGTGCGCGCCGCAAAATTCGGCCGCAATGTTCGCGCCGCAAAGTTCGCGCCGCAAAGTTCGCGCCGCAAAATTCGCGCCGCAAAAGTGATCGCCGCAAAGTTCGGGGAGCCAGCATGAGCGAGAGGGAGCGAGATAGAGAGGAACAGAGAGTGAGAGAGAGAGTGGAAAGTGAGAGAGCGAGAGAGAGAGAGAGAGGGAGAGAGAGAGCAAGTAACGGGAGCGAGAGTACCAAACAACCAAAGTGAGCAGCAACAGCTCCCATATTTCCAGGTCCTCTCTGAAGGCTGGGCCACCCCTCTAGGCGGCTTCATGCGTGAGCGACAGTACCTTCAGGTGAGCCCTACCTTAGTTACCAAAAAAGTTTGAGTGCTTCAGTCCCTCCACTTCGGCCAGCTCCTCGACCTCAAACACAAGTGCGCCTTCCCCGGCGACAACGACGATGGCGCTCAGGTTGGTGCTCCTAATTTTTGGTCCGGGATCGGGCAGGCTAGCAGAGATAATTGAATCTTCAAACATTTTGATTTTTTAGGACCCGTACCCGGTGCTGGATTCCGTTAATCAATCCGTGCCTATCGTGCTCCCGATTACTGGGGAGCAAAAGGAGATGATTACGGCGAGTAAGTGAACGTATTTTTCGGGGGGTTTAAAGGACGGCGTCACCAGCTATGGAAAATTCGGAGAGTGAGAGAGAACGGAAGAGAGAGAGAGAAAATATTAAAATCTGACTGAAACCCTTCATTTACCAGATATGAATAAATTTTTCAGCAGATGAAGAAAGAAACCTTTTAGAGGACGGCACCATCCTCAAGGAGGTCGCCCTCATCTACAACGGAAAGGTGTTGGCCATCCTCAAGGTGAGCGTCGCGGTTTTCCTTAAATGCACAAAAACTCACCGCAAGTTTGCAGGACGGCGAGGTGTTCGACCACCGTAAGGAGGAGCGCGTCTGCCGCCAATTTGGATGCGCTGACGCCCGCCACCCGACCATCGACCTGATCAAGAAGAGCGGCGACTTCTGCCTGGGCGGAGATCTCCAGGTGCTTGATCGCATCCAGTACAGCGACGGACTGGACAACTACCGTAAGACGCCCAACGAGCTGCGTCGCGTGTTTGATGACAAGGGCGCAGATGCGGTGTTCGTCTTCCAGCTGCGCAACCCGATCCACAATGGGCACGCGTTGCTGATGAGGGACACGAGAGAGAAGCTGCTGAAGAAGTACAAGGTAGGATGGGCTTTGCGAGTCGGTGAACCGCTTGAAATTGATGGACCAAGCGGAATATTTCATAAATGCGACTAAAATCTCGAAAAGGACTGCAGTGCTGTAAATGTTTGAAGTTGTTAGGCATCGTTTGTTACTTTTAGTGCTGAACTACTCGAACTTCTTGGCATCTTATTTTGCGTGGCTTTGCATTTGGACGCATCCCTTTTTACCACTGAACTGCTCGAACTTCTCGGCAGCTTATTTGGTCTGGCTTTTTATTTGTATGCGTCGCGGTGTACTCTTGAACTGCTCCAACTTCTCGGTAGCGAATCAGGCATGGTTTCCTATTAGTTAGCGCATAATTACACGCCGAACTGCTCCAATTCCCGGCAGGCATCGTTATGTGCCATAGATTTCGACTTGATAGCCCCCTTAAACCCCGCTATTCCAGAACCCAATGCTCCTGCTCCACCCCCTCGGCGGCTGGACCAAGGACGACGATGTCCCACTTCCAGTCCGAATCGAGCAACACCGAGTGAGAACGAATAAATAGTTTTTGAGCCAAATTTTCAGGCCGTCATCGAGGAAGGTGTGCTCGACCCCAGCTGGACCGAGCTGGCCATCTTCCCCTCGCCGATGATGTACGCCGGGCCGACGGAGGTGCAATGGCACGCGAGGGCAAGAATTGCAGCTGGTGTACACACGTATATCGTCGGAAGAGATCCGGCTGGGATTCAGAATCCGGAGAATGGGGACTTCCTCTACCATCCTGAGCATGGGGCAAAGGTGAGCGAGCGAGAGAGGGAGAGAGAGAGAGAGAGAGAGAGCGTGAGAGAGGGAGAGAGCGAGAGAGAGAGTGAGTGAGAGAGAGCAAGAAAGACAGAGCGAGAGAGAGAGTGAGAGGGAGAGAGTCAAAGAGATGGAGAGAGAGCGAGAAAGAGAGAGCGAGGAAGAGAGAGAGTGAAAAAGAGAGAGAGCGAGAGACAGAGAGACATAGAGATAGACAAATCGCTAATAAACTGAAACCCGTGCTCTTCTAGGTTCTCTCAATGGCCCCCGGTCTCTCCCACCTCTCCATCCTTCCATTCCGTGTGGCCGCCTACGACAAGCCGGCCCAGCGGATGTCGTTCTTCGACCCGAAGAGGAAGGATGACTTTGAGTGGATCTCCGGCACTAAGGTAGATGGAGTAGAATGGGCCGATCACCAGAAGCGGCTCGGGCGACTAAAGGGACCGCGAAGCCATAAAATCTACTCGTTTCATAGACTGGGTGTCGACAGTGGCTGCATATTGACAGAGTTCTCTGAAAATGGGGGTTGTCGTGAACTGCTTGAACTTCTTGGATTACAATTGGGGGACACGAACATACTGAGTTTTTAGCGTCGTCATTTTAGCTTGTTTTAGCTATAATTGAAGCAGAAACACTCAAAAATGGTCTCGAAAAAAATCGAAATTTGGTCATTTCGGGTCGAAAAAATCAGCTTTTCTACCTAACCTCAAATTTTAAGTGAAGTTTGTAAAGTTTTGAAGCCGAAGAACAGCTAAAAATCATGCTATTCATAAAAAAGCTTCGTCGAAAAAAAGTGCGTTTTGAGCCTTGAAAATCTTTAAAAACAGCACTTTCCAGATGCGCACGCTGGCCCGTACCGGCCAGACCCCTCCCGACGGCTTCATGGCGCCGAAAGCGTGGAGCGTCCTGGCGAACTACTACAAGAAGCTCGCCCAGCAGAACGGGCAGAAATAAGCACAATAAATACCCCACATTAATTATACCCATCTTCATAAATCCCAGCCAAATATCTTGTAGTTAGAGTCTCGCTTTTGGGTTTATTATTATGATTTCTCTTTCCTTTCTATCGCCTGGCTACAAACTACAACAATTTCCTGTTTTCTTTACAAGCGCTAAACGGCCTTCCCCTCCACTTGCACCTACCGTACCCCTAAGCCCAAGCTGGCTACCGTATGCCCACCGCAATTTTTTTGAACATATCTCCCCCGCCCATTCCCCGAATAGGTAACTTATTGGAATTCCAGAAAATGTTCCCAAACTTTGATACGCAAGCCCAAACCCCCACCCCCACTACTATAACCCCTGTGATTTTTCGCCTAATCAAAACACGATTTGAGTGTTTGCTTTGCTGTCTATGATATTTTTGTAATATTTTGGAGTCGCCTGCGAGTTGGGCGATTTTGGCGATTTGAATAAAGAGAAAATTGTACCAAACAGCTACGACCACAACGACGTACTTTTTTTTCGCTTCTTTTTGGACTTTGCTTGGATTTGCACCGACTGACTACCATATAAGAGGGTGCCCGGATTTTTGCTAAAAAGAACGTTTAACTTCCCTCCAGGCTTCAGGTATCAGCGTTGAAAGGGAGAGCTATCAGGTTGGAAAGAAAGTAATGGCACAAAATCTTTAAACCGCTGTAAAAACCCGCAGGGAGGTCCGATTTGAAAGTATGATATATGGTTTGGTAAATCTTCGGATTCTCTATCACGAGACGGCCCTCAAAACATCCAAAAACTAATGTACGCGAAAATAAAGGCCTCCGAAGTTTCGCAGAAAATTCGGTGAAAGCTTCCAAGCAAGATATCTTTGCATACATGCATTTGCATACGATACTTTTAACACCAATCGATAGCCCTTGAGGAGTAGATATCGATAAATGTTGAGATCATCAAAATCGGACACTGGATGGCCGAGATATGCCCCCTAGAAATTTGGTCCACTTCTTAGAACTTTTCTCGAAATCCCATACATTTTGGCCTGCGCGAGCCAAAAACTACTGCGTTTGCTTCAGCTTCCGAACCAAAATCCAGAAAATGCATTGATTTTGGAAGGCACATATCTCGGCCATCCAGTGTCCGATTTTCATGATCTCAACATTTATCGATATCTACTCCTCGAGGGCTATCGATTGGTGTTAAAAGTATCGTATGCAAATGCCTGTATGCATAGATATCTCGCTTTGAAGCTTTCACCTAATTTTCTGCGAAACTTCTGAGGCCTGTATGTTCGCGTACGTCAGTTTTTGGGTGCTTTGAGGGTCGTCTCGTGATAGAGCATCCGAAGATCTACCAAACCATATAACAAACTTTCGAATCGGACCTTCCTGCGGGTTTTTATAGCGGTTTAAAAATTTTGTGCCATTACTTTCTTTCCAACCTGATATCTATCTGACTCCGCATAGCCTGAGCTAATCCGAAAGATAGTTGTACCATCCAAAAGCCCTTAGAACGACGGGTTTGCCACCAGGCTCAGAGCTATATTTTCATGTAAACAGCAGTGTTGGGCGCATTTAAAACATTGCAGAACGGCCTCTGCACCGAATTAACGGTAGCTTCCGGCCATTTTGCTTCCAGAACTTGAGGAAAGTTGCCTTGCATGCAGCCTCGAAAACCCGCAATTTTACAAAATGGCTTGTAAAATAACAGAAAAATCTATGCTTATTTTTGGGGAACTTTTTAGTATGTTGTTGATGGAGAGTAGCGCCTGGTGGGTCAAAGCGCAGAAGCGATGCGGTGATGCATTCCAGAGCAGATGCGAACACTTCTGAGGCACATCGAATGACAAATAGGGAGGGTATTACAAGGGAGAGAGAGAGAGAGAGAGAGAGAGAGAGAGAGAGTGGGAGAGAGAGTGGGAGAGAGAGAGCGAGAGAGAGCGAGAGAGAGGGAATGAGGGAATGGGAGAGATAGTGAGAGATGGAAAGAGAGCGGGAGAGAGAGAGACAGAGAAATACAACCACTCTTCCGCACTTTCCGAACCCAAAACTGGGTACAACCTTGATGAAAAGGTTGCTCAACCCATCCATTGGCGCCTTGCCGTGTCTTTTTCAGCGAAATTTTTGGCGGTCGGTTGGACACTGATCTGCCTCGACATCTCCCCGCCCTCACTACACAACTTTCCTATCGACGGCCAAGATCTTTCGATCGACCGTCCCACCATCAAAAAGAGCCATTTGCACCGAGACGTGATTCATATTCGGCGGCGAATCGGCGTACGATTTTAACAAAAATCGACGAATTTTGTCGGTTTAAGTTTTTGGAAACTCGATGTATGTGCATTAAAGGGGACTGGACGGCAAAATCGATGGGCTGCTTACTCTTTGAAAATACCAAATTTTGCCCGTTTGTGCCACATATTTTGCGACGCTCTATCAAATGACGTTTTCATACTATCAAAAAACAACGAAAATGCCGAAAACTAGCTTTTCAAACACATTTTCGAAAGTACTTTTGTTTTACCGCAGCTTTTTCACGTTATATTATTTTTAAGCTGTAATTAAAACCCTACGGATTTTTCGGTGCTCTCAAACGCTTTGGGGAATGGTGGTTTCAAAATATTAAAAAAGCAAAAATATCGACATTTTTTGGGGGAGGGCGGCAGTAAGGTGTTTACAATCGGCCATAGGCTTAAGCTTAAGGTTGTGGCTTAGGCTTTGGCTTCGACATAGCCTTAGGCTTAGGCTAAGGTTAAGGCTTAGGCTAGCTTCGGCTTCGGCTTAGGCTTAGGTTTTTATTTTTAGCCCTAATTGGGTTGTTCCGGTTTTTTCTCGATATTCTAGGTACAGGTTTCTGGGTATTCGGTACACTTTAAAACCAACAACTACTCGTCGGGATTTATCGCTGGTCGCCGAGGTGGCGGAAAGCACGGGGATGCCCTCGTGTTCCCCCCTATCAGTAGATAGGCGATCCAGGAAGAAAAGAGCGTCCCATGGCCAAGAGTAGCCACGACCCCCCGAAAGCATCTCCTCCTCCTTTCCGTTTTTTGGGAAGCTAGCCGCTGTTTCTTGTGCTGTTTCTCAAATCTGTCTGTCCCTCTCTCATTTTCTACTCTCTCATCTGCATCCCAGTGCCTCCACCCTCTTCCCCCCTCCCATCCATTCCCCCAAAACACATACACAAATACATGGCTGCCACCAAACGGGAGTTTTGGCTGGCCGCTGCAAGGCGTGGGGCCCAGTTTTGGGCCCAATTTTTGAGAAATTTCGATTTAATTTACATCATAAGATCTTTTAAAAACAAACCTTTTTTTCTGCTAGTTTTTGCAAACTTTTATGGAATTTTCTTATTTTCTTTGGTCTTATTTCCAATTTTTCAGTTTTCCAGCCGATTCGTTAGCTTTTTTAATTGTCTAGTATATGGATATTCGATACTTGCCAAAACGGTCATATTTTTACTTTTCTATGATTCAATTTTCAAAAAACCTGGCAACCGACCAAAAATCGTAAAAACGTAACGAAACCTTTGTAGGAATTGCCTTGGAATTGTTTCGCCAATGCAGTCCAGATTTGCAACAAAATCCTTTTTGCCGATTTAACAAAACCATGACGATTTTATGTTATTTTTAGTTAAATTGAGCTAAATTCAAAATGCCAAAAAATTTTGAAACTCGAAAAATCCGCAATATTTTTGAAATTTTGTGTATTGGAGCAAATAAATAGATTTTCCGGGATTAAAAAAATAATTTTCAATTAGATTAAGAACGTATTGATGTTTGGAAATGGCGAAAAACGCTGTGCTGATAATTCTGAAGTCAGTGGTAAGTGAAAAACTAAACTTTCGAATTAACAGCGTCTGGCTTTACGCATTAAAACAAATCATCTGAACGACTAGCCCACTCCTTCTGTTTCTGACATCCGCATCCAAAAAGCCAGACACACTCCACTCCTCTGAAACGTTTCTGCGTAGAATATCTATACTTTTCGGGGGCGTTGCCCCGGGTCGGAATTTCGGGCGGGCCACACTGTGCCCTTCTCTCCCGCGCCAGAGCGGTAAACAAGCCTCGGGGGATTTTTTTTGAGGGGATTTTGTTGAGGAACTCGTCTCAAAGCCCTGGCATTTTTTTCTTTTGCGCCGGCCGCTTTTCCGCTTTTTTGATAACTAAATTTTAGTAGTAATTTCGTGGTGCAACTGGATTTTTGGGAACTCGTTCTCGTGCTCCTCGACCGCAAAGTGCACCCAAGAACAAACATGTTTATTGGTGCGTAATCCGGATTTGGCGTTGTTTCGCCCTCATTTATGGTTCATGTGGATTCCCATGCGTTTTATTGGCAACTTTCTGTTTTTCTCGTCTCTCTCTATCGCTCTCTGTCTGTCTCTCTCGGTCTCGTTTCTCTCATTCGGCCTCTCTCTATCACAACAATCCTTGGTTCTTCCTCTCTCTCTCTCTCTCTCTCTCTCTACCTCTATATCGTACACACTATCTATCTCGCTGACTATCACTCTCCTCTTCCCTCCTCTCTCTCTCTCTCTCTCTCTCTCTCTGTCTTTCTCTCTCTCTCTCCCTCTCTCTCTCTCTCTCTCTCTCTCTCGTCCTAAAAACGGCTTAAAACATTTCATCTGCTCCCTTGGCCCTCAATTTCCGAGTTCCGCGACACTTCATTAAACGAATGCTGCGAGAGACATTCCCCTCGTTTGCAGATGGGCCCCCGGGGATGGCCGTGGCCATTGGCCATCATCTATTTCGTCTTTTGCGGCTTTTCGCTGCTCCACACTGCCGTGGCCGACGACCCGGTGCCCGCCATTCTCAACGGCGCCCCCGGCCCGAACGGAACCAACGGTGTGTTAGAATTATATCGGGTATCGGATTATATGTATCAGATATATATTACGTTATTTAAATTACAATAATTTATTCAAGTTAAATTTACAACAATTGTAATTTATCAAGTTTTTGCTATCTGTAAAAATCTGAGAAAATTTTATTAGAAATAGAAATTGAATGAAACAGGTAAAAATAAAGATGGCTATTAAAACAGGAATAAAATGCTATTGTAAAAAATAATTAAAACAACTGTTAAAAAATAGTTTCAAAACGATAGAAAATTCTAAATTTTTGGATATAATTTTTTATAATGAATCTCAAGGGGAAATTTGATTTTTTTTTGCTTTTTTTTTCTAGTGAAAACGATGAAATAATGCTTTTTTTTGCTTTTTTTAGAATAAAAAACGTACCAAAATCCGGAGGTTATTTTTAGCATAACAAGCCAAGTTGGTAATCCAATACCCTTAAGTGCCTTTTTCAGCAAACACGACCCAAATCCGTGTGCCGACAGTTTTCGGGATTCGCGTCGAACTTCCCCCCGACGACCCATTCGGATACGAGTATGTTGACCCACCCGATTACTGTACCATTGGGCCGCCGTTTAGCAAACACGGCGTCTGCATCGTCACCCCCGATGAGGAGTTCAAGGTGGTCGTCTACGGGAATCAGCTCGACAAGTTGGACAAGGTCAGGGCGGATTAACGGCTGGGTTTTTTTGAAGGGATATTACCAGGAAAATTTAATTTTTCCAGATTGTTTTCACCGCTACCAATAGCTGCTTGGAGGCTACAAAAGTGCTCGACGTGCATAATGACTTTTTGCAGCATTTCCAGCATCGAGCTTCTTTTAGATTGGTCGGTTTCAGGAACTCTTGCTCAGCCTCTTGCGCACTGCTTGCTCATTCTCCTGCTCAGTGTCTTGCTCACACTCTCTCATTTTTCGCTGTTGATTTGCTTCCTATCTCACTCCTTCTGGATTGCTGAATGTCACCCCTCCCATGCTAGCTGGATCTCTCTGTCTCTGTCTCACGCTCTCTTTCTCGCTCTTTCTCTCTCTCTCTCTCTCTCTCTCTCTCCCTCTTCTCTCTCACGCTCTTTCTCGCTCCCTCTCTCTCGCGAAAAATTCACCGTATTCCAGAAACTCCCAATGCTCCTCGAAAGTGTGCACGCCTACAAGATGTGCGTCATCCCGAAGAACATCCCGGAGAATTTCCTGTTAAAGCCGGTACCATAAATTGGCGTGCGTAATTAGGCGTTCATTGTAGTTGGAGGACTTCTCAACTATGATCACCACCGAAAGGCCACCCAAGGAATATTTTCTACCTCTTCCGCTTCAGATTGGGGTAAGAAATAAGTATTTACTACTCTCTCTCTCTCTCTCTCTCTCTCTCTCTCTCTCTCTCTCTCTTTCTCTCTTTCGTTTAAAGCGGTACCGATTTAGGTTATCGTCTTCCTGTTGATTCTTTCCGCTCTCTTCTCCGGCCTAACCCTCGGACTCATGTCGATGACACCCCAGGAGTTGCAGCTCGTCCAAAAATCTGGTATCCCAAATAGCACCCAGCTACCGTATCTCCTTTTCCTCCAGGCTCCCCCCAAGAACAGAAATACGCCACGAAGATCCTGCCCATCCGCAAGAAGGGCAACCTGTTGCTCTGCTCGCTGTTGCTGGGGAATGTCGTTGGTGAGCCTAACTTTTGGCCACGCTGGGATCAAGCAACGCTGCAATATTTTACGTTCTGTTTATAGTAAACGCAGCCATTTCTATCCTATTCGGCGAGCTGACGTCTGGACTGCTTGCGCTTGTCGTTTCATCGCTCGGCATCGTCATCTTTGGAGAGATTATCCCGCAGAGTATATGCGTCAAGTACGGTAGTTGAGGGGAGATACGATACAGAGAGAGAGAGAGAGAGAGAGAGAGTGGGAGATAGAGGGAGAAAGAGATAGAGAGAGAGAGTGCGAAAGAGGGAAAAAGAGAGAAAGCGAGAGAGAGCGAGAGAGAGAGAGAGAGAGAGGGAGGGAGTGAGTGAGAGCGAGTGGATTGCAGATACAAAATAATCACTTAGCCTTTAGAAAAGGCCTGGCCGTCGGCGCGCACACGATCATGATCACGCAGGCGTTCATCGCCCTGACCTTCCCGCTGGCGTGGCCCATCTCGAAGCTGCTCGACTTTTTGCTGGGTGATGAATATGTACGTCTTGCGCCGTTTTTTTACAGTAGTCTTTGGGAAGAAGGGTTTAAAGGGACCGGGAATTCCCTGGATACATGGCCTGGAGAGATGATAAATTCTTGTTTCGTTTTGGAGGGGTTTTCGACTGTTTCGATCATTTTCTTTAGCGTGATTCCGCAATCAAATGGCAGTCATGGATATGTTTCGATAGCAAGGTTTGAAAGTGGGGGCCTAAAGGGGCCGGGAAATGTCATAATCTACCCCCTATCGTCCGCTGGGTATCGACGGCTACGCTTTTCGTTAACACACATTAATGATAATTTTAGAAACTTGTTGAAACTGGGCAAAAAGAAAGAACGAGAGAGGAGAGAGAGAAAAGAGAAAAAAACGAGAAAGATAAAAAAATCGAAATTGACCACTTTTGTGTTGCCTCAGCGAGTTGCTGTCGATACCTAGCAACAGCCGGGGTCGATTTCTGCGCTTCCTAACCCCTTTAAAAGGACAGTACACTTACTGATTTTAAAGGTACCCGCACATCAAACACTTTCCTTAACTAAGATAAAAGAAAAATTTGCATTTTTTTACGTAAAGCTGAACTCCAAATCCCGCCTTCCAGGTCCCTTTAAAGCCGGGATGTCACTGTCCCTTTAACCAGACCTGCCATCTTCATCACTGATTCTTAGCCCGCAGCACCGCAAAAAATTGACAAGAAAACCGGCCAACCGGAATTACGCGACCATACTAAACCCGTTGCCAGCAAATTTGTGTACTTTATAGATTTTTTTTTGGTTTTTGTAGACGGCCTACGATCGAAAGCGGTTGATGGAGTTGATGAAGATGTCGATGACGGGGGATGCGCATGCTTCGAACGAGCTGAAAATTGCTGTAAGTCAAGGGATTTTCTGACAATTCTTAAAACTAAATCGCATAAACGTTCTTTAAAATGTAGTTTTCCTCTATAACGAGAAAAATTCTCTCCTTTCCAGGTGGGCGCCATGGAAATCGCCGACAAAGTTGTGCGACAGGTGATGACGAAGATTGGGGTAAACCTTGGGTTAACGGGCCCCCATGAAAAAAAAATCTTAGGACGTATTCATGCTCCCCGAAAACACGGTGCTCAACGCGAAGACGATTGCCGAGATCATTCGGATGGGCTACACAAGAATACCGGTGCACGCTGTTGGTAGGGGTTATCGGAGCTTCTCGGAAATTCATCGATTTAGGGGACAAGAATGATATCACGGATATATTGTTCGTGAAGGATTTGGCGTTGATCGATCCGGATGATGATTTTACGGTTAGGACAGGTGAGAGAAGAGAGAGAGGGAGAGAGAGTGAGAGAGAAAGAGGGAGAAAGATAGAGGGAGAGCAAAAGATATACAACCAGTGAGAGAGAGTCAGAGAGCGAGAGAGAGAGAGAGAGAGAGAGAGAGAGAGAAAGAGAGAGTGAGAGAGTAAAAGATAAAGATAGACAACCAGGCAGAGAGAAAGAGGTAGAGAGCGTGATGGACAGAGAGAGAGAGAGAGAGAGAGAGAGAGAGAGAGAGAGAGAGAGAGAGAGAGAGAGAGAGAGAGAGAGAGAGAGAGAGCGAAGCAGAGAGAGACTCTAATAAGCATTCAATTTTCAGTCTGTGGCTACCACAAGCATCCCGTCAAATTCGTGCTCGACGACACACCACTCGGAGTCCTCCTCGAGTCCTTCAAGAAGGTTTTTCGCCCCAGAAACAGCTAAACTAATTTTTTAGGGCGAAGGCCATATGGTGATTGTCAAGCGCTGCGTGAACGATGGTGTCAAAGATCCGGCTTACGAGCTTGTCGGTAGGTTTCGCCAGCTTTCTCTCTCTCCTCTCTCTCTCTCTCTCTCTCTCTCTCTGACTCATTCAACCTTCTTCTAGGTATCTGCACCCTCGAGGACATTGTCGAAGAGATCTTACAAGCCGAAATCATCGACGAATTCGACGTGATCACCGACAACGTGCACAAGACGAAACGAAAAATGACCGTTGCGGTAAGCGTTTTCAAAACCAGTCGTTTATGCACTAATATGCAGATTCAACCTACAAGCTTTAGCCCCGAGATATGACGCGCTTCTTCGACAAGGAGGCCCCGCACATCACCATCTCGATGCACCTCCAGCTGGTGGCCATGCAATGGCTCGTCGCCAACACGGAGGCGTTCAAGGAGAAATACATCAGCAAGGAGGTGCTGGAGCGATTGGTGAAGAGCTCGGCGAGGAGGGTGGGTTCTTGAAAATGTTCATCTACCAAACCTTGATTTTAGGTCGACATCAGCTCGTTAATGGCAATTTCGGAGGCGGGGCGGCCAAGTGAGCATTTGAACATCCCGCGGTTGGCCCGACTCTACACGAAAGACGAACCGAGTGATCGTTTCGTGCTCGTGCTCGAGGGTCGGGTGGAGGTTACGATTGGACAGGTAACTCTTTAGGCTCTTTGGCGTTATCGGGGCTCGCTAAAGTCTTGTCATAACTCAATGGACCCTTATTCCAAAGTACCGTACCCCCAAAAAGTACGCTAGGATACGGGGGAACAGTACCGTAGCGAACTGTATGCCCTAAAATTTCAGGGTGGTATGATGTTTGAGGCGGGCCCGTGGCACTCGTTCGGGAATGAAGTGCTCGACAAGCTGACCCAGGGAGCCGCCACCCTCGGCCGATCCGCCAGCGTTGTCGGTAGGTATAGGCAAGGGGGATTGGAGTGGATTTTGGAATGTCGCGTAGCTCGTAGAGGACGTTTTAGAAGGATCTTGAATTTACGTATAGTGTATTTTTCATGAAATTTTTTGAGTAAGACAAACCTTAGGCTGTTTTTTCTAAGGTGTCTAAGGTTCTAAAAATGACATTTTTCTTTTAATTAGAATGCTCCATGTCAATCCACTGTACCTAGTTGCAATGCGTAGTCGATTCCCTCCCTATCCGCCCTGGGATTTCAGACAAATCGCATCTGCTTGCCGTCTTTTCCGGAGGTGTGCACTCTGGTTTCCCTATCTCGGGAATGCCGAAAGTTGCCAGTTAACATTGTGGTGTTCGGCAGTTCTCTTCTGTAATCGTCGTGTCGCGCTGCCTGCTATTATTCGCCCCTTTTCCTATTGAATTCTCGGTTCTTCTAAAGAACTTTTTCGCTCTTTTGCATCCCCTGTCTCTCCAGTATTTGCTTATGGGTATTGTAAAATTCGTTTGCAGATTCGAGCGATGTGGCGGTGCGCAGGCCCGATTTGATGTTCAAGCCCGACTATTCGGCGTTGATCAAGGTTGGGAAAAGTTGTTGGGGCTTTTAGCGATATAAAGTGAGATCGAGAGAGAGAAAGAGAGAGAGAGAGAGAGAGAGAGAGAGAGCGGGAGAGAGAAAGAAATGGAGTGAGAGATAGAGAGAGCTCGAAAAGACTTTCTTACACCATCTAGGGCGATTGCACATACCTGGAAATCACGATCGGCCAATTCATAAATGCCTACAAGTCGTCATTAATGCAGCGAGAGAAGGCTAGGGAGTAGGTTTTTTACCTTCCATTTTTCACTTCCAAGTACCTTTAAAGTTTAAAACATTTTAGCCGTGAGCTTCACTCGACCGACCATTCGGCGAATGCCTCGCCAAATCTCTCGGCCAACCGCCGGATGTCGATGCCCTCGACGCAAGGATCAATCGATGAGGTGGGGTTTTAATGAATGCTTAGGCTTAGGTCAGGCCTAGGGGCTTACGCTTAGGCTTAGGCTCGGGCCTAGGCTTACGTATACACGAAAAATTTTCAGGCCCCACTACCACCGCACCAGCAAGCGATCGCCGAGGCCAAGGAAGCGGTAGAGACCCTCAACCAGGTGGAAGAGGCCCGAAAGCGGAAACAACGGAACCATCGATCCGGGAGTAGACAGGATGAGGTGAGGATGACTGAATGATTTCTTTAGAATGTGTAAAGGGTCGTTTCGTTTATCGTTTTCAAAGGGTAAAATTGCCACAGAACCGTAATATTAGGTCTACTAGGTCTAGACGACCACGTTATGCTAAAACCAAAACGCGTTGTTTGCGTAGCTAGGCTTTAAGATTCCTTTAAGAATTTATGGTCTCCGGAATAGCTTTAAGATTCGCATCCTTTTATTGGTTAGGCCTAAACAGCTACGATAGGCGCCAAAGTACGCTGAAAGGGAGCTTTCGGAACTGCGCATGGTTAATGAGACCCGGGACAACATAACTGTTCGACCCATATCTAAACCAGGTTGAGATAGCAACGCGACACTCCACAGAACGCTGCGCCGAAGGTAGCAATATACGAGTTACGCTGAAAAAATATGGCTAAAAACGCGCTAACAGTCAACACCAAGCTCAAGAAGTTCAGAGCATCTAAAAATATGCGTATTTACCTGCAACAATTTTCTTGTTTTCCAGGAGGAAATCGAGCTGCTCAATCACCCGACCCGGGAAGAAGAGGAGGAGGGATAGACGAATTTACGAAAATTAGCTTTTTTTCACGAAAATCCCACCTAAAACGGGTTTTGTCTTGCCACACATGCACCTCAGTAATAAAAAAAACGAGATTTCTATCGATGCTAATTACTGTTTAATGTTTTTCAATCTAATTCTTTTTGAAGATCTCCCAAGAGATCCTATATACGAATGCGAACAACAGGCGATTATGCCTTTTTTAATATTTTACTCCGGTTTGTGATAAGTTGCAGCTCGTAGTCGAGGCACAGGGAAAATTTGTATCATGTATTTTCTGTTTTCTGGCTGCTGTTTTTTGTTAGTACACTGCGCTTCAATGAACGTTGTCGATTACAAAATTTATTTTTCAAAAATACCAATCAAAAATACAAAATACAAAACGCAATATGAACCGGAAACGACGGAAAAAAGTTTATATAAAAAGGGGGCAGCCCGAGGGCCGCGAGATCATTGAAGTGTTGAGAAAGCGATTGAGCAAGAGGCAATGATGGAAGAGGTAAGACACACGTCCGAGATCTGCGCCCATTCTTCTTGGGGGTACGGTAGGTACGCGCCTACGATATGGTAAGTAAGGAACGCCACGTACTTACGCCACGGTAAGTACGGAACGCTACACAATTACGCTATGGTAACAGCAATACGGACTTACGTTCAGGTAAGTACGTTATGCTACGCACTTACGATATCGTAAGTACGCAACGCTACACACCTACGCTACCGTAACCCCCGCAGAAATGCACGTCAGGGGTAAAGCCAGGGCTTCTTCTACACAGTGGAGGGGCCGGGGAGCTATTTTGAAAATTTTAAAGGGACCTTGACTCCCAGAAAATTTTTATTACCGAAACTTTCAAGAATTCTAGTGTCACTGTCTCTTTAAAATTGTAAGGAGTTACCCGACTGGTGTCCCAAAAAAAAATTGGGACACTGAGATCATGGTTTTTGAGATCTGAGAGCACAAAAAAATAAAAAAATAAAAATGGAAGTTAGAAAAAGCAAAATACTGATGTAGTTACTGTAGAAAAGGTGAAGAATAGGAAGTAGAGAAGAATTAGAAAGGAATTAGAATGAGATCATCGGTGCTGAGATCGGTCCGATTACCGCAAGTGTTGAGAGGGCGAACAGGGGCTTCTGTTCGAGGGTGGCAGGAGGTGCAACCTGAAATCGTTGACTTTAAGGGGACAGGAAGGATATTTTTTGCTCTAGAGGCTTGGGGCTAGGCAGACTTAGCTTTAGATTAACTGTTAGGCTTAGGCTTAGGCTTAGGCTTAGGCTTAACTTAGGCTTAGGCTTAGTCTTCGGCCTAGGCTTCTCTTAGGCTTCGATTCATGTTCAGGCTAAGGCTTATGCTAAGGCTTAGGTTTTGGCTTAGGCTAACAAAATTTGGTGTAATGAAAGCAATAAATTTAATTTGATTTTTTCACAAAACTAACTCACCACTTCTAAAATTCGGCCCATTTTTCTGCGACATTTTTTGGAGTTTTCTGGTGGAGCGTATGTTAGGTATTTCGGTGGAAATTTGCATCCCGGCAAGCGATTGGAAGATCGTTGGCTCACATTATCTGAAAAGCAGCTTATAGAATTGCTAAAGTAGCAAAATATGGAAAAATAAAAAAATTGTATCGAAAAGAAAAACTACAATAAAAATGATTTTGTAATTTTATTTAGATTTTATTTATATATAATTTAGATTTAGTGTTTCTGAAATTACGTTAAAAAAATATTTACGTTTTGGCAACTAGGCTGTATTTTGAAGGGAATTGAAATGACCAAAACAGTCAAAAATTTTCGAAAAGTATCGTAATGGTCGTATCTTTGCGGAAAAGCTACGGTAGCTTAAAATTCAATTTATGCAGCTACGATTTAATTGTTTTGGAATTTGCTACTTTGGCTGTACTGTGAACTTAATTTTTTGTTGTAAATTTTGTGGAACTTCGCAACGCCTTTAAAATTTCGAAAATCGACAAAAAAGTTTCTAATGGACTTTCGAAAATCGGCTCCAAAATTCAAGCAGAGTCTAGGGAATTTCAAGGTGAACTGTCGAGGCAAATACTCGCATGAGTGTTTGAGCATGAGTGTGAGGTGGGGAGCGTGGAACGGCCCGGGCTTATATAGCCCCCACCCCACCGAGGGTTTTGGCGCGAACCCGGGCGCGAAGGGGGGAGGGAGCACGACCCAGCTGGAGGGGGCAGAGGGGCACAGCGGACAGACTGAACTGTACGCGGGGAGACTCTGTACGGCCAGAGCAGCCGCAGCAGGCGTTGGCCGGCAGCCAGGTGGGCGGAGCTTCAACCCCCTGCATTCGGCTTTTCGAAAATGGCGCCAAAAAATGGCGGTCGACCCGGGGCGAGTACGCCGCTGTACGAAATGACAGGGAAATTTGGCGGTCGGCTTGGGAGTGGGGTCGTAAAATGGTAGCCGGCGACGTGGTGGCGACGAGGAAATAGGTGGTGGAACAACGGAAATCGCTTTTTCACAGGATTTCTGGACTAAAAAAATTCAAACTTCAAATTTCCCTACGGCATTTTGAAGGGATGAGCCATGCAAAATTACGGTAATGGGTCCTTTAATGCGCGGACTCCGGAGGGAAATTGAGCCATAATACCGACAAGCAAAATCCCGACAGCCAAAATCCCGACGAGCAATATTCAGACCGCCCAAATCCCGACAACCCAAAATCCCGATAGGTTAAAATCTCGACAGCCAAAATACCGATGGGCAAAATGCCGACAACCATAAACCCGACATCCATCTCGAGAACTCAAAATCCCGACAACCCAAAATCCCTTTAGGTCAGTAACTCGGCGGCCAAAATGCCGACAACCATAGACCCGACATCCAAGATTCCGATGGTTCAAAATCCCGACAGTCCGAAACTTGACCGTAAACATCCCGACCGGCCTAAAAGCCTACAGGTCAAAATACCGACAGCCGAAATGCCGGCAGCTTCTTGACGCTAGTTTCAATCCCACTACGTTTAAGCAGGTATTTTGCTTGTCGGTGTTCTGGGTGTCGGTATTTCGGCTGTCGGTATTCTACCTGTCGGGATTCTAGAATTTTCCCCTGAAGACTATTATAAAACGTGAAAATTTGTTAGCCATTCTTCGTTGGCCTTGACTTGTAGGGATGAATAGATTGCTGGGGGCAGATGTCCTTCGCTCGATCTGACCCCTTTGATCCGCTCCTTTTCAAGGGGGAGGGCAGTAGAGATCTGGAATCCGCACCTGGCTTACCGCCAGATGTCCACCCCGGCCATGCTATAGAAGCGGATTTGGCGCGTTGCCCCGGGCATGAAAATCTAAGCCTCTACAGGGTGGCCAGAAAAAAAAGTGCCTGGTTTGCACTGAAATATCTCGCTATGGGAAACGAATCGGACCATCGTTACCTTGCCAGAATGCTTAAATATGCTGGGTATGAAGAATAAACACAAGTTGTTTTTTACGATTTTTGACGACCCACTACTCGTTAAGAATTTTTGAACATTTTTGAAAAAATAGAAAACTTTGAAGCGATAAAGTATGCGACTTTTGAAGAGTTATAGTAAAGTGTAGGGTATCAAAATGAAGCTCTTGGAATGCGCTATCAAACGAGCGGTAAAGAATTTCGATCGGTTTAACTAGCCGTCAATAGGAGCGTTCGGAAAATCCGTATTTTTTGGGGAAATAATTCCAGATAAAATTACTTTACCATCCGATCCTTCTGATATTTTGCAATTAGCAATAGATATATAACTACTAACTTTTGGCATCAAAAATTTTCAAATCCCGATCAAAAAATTTTTTGGCACTTTGCCAATTCGACCGAATTTGTAAGTTCTAGGCTCCAATAGTTAAAATTATAACATCGTTATCTTTGGCAACCAGGATTACATGTAACGAGTACAAAAAGTTATGTCAATAATGGGTTTTTTGTGGTCAACTGGGAAACGTCCCTTCTGGAAAAGTCTCGATTTTCCGAACGCTCCTATTGACGGCTAGTTAAACCGATCGATAATCTTTACCACTGATTTAATAGCGCATTACAAGAGCTTCATTTTGATACCCTACACTTTACTATAACTCTTCAAAAGTTGCATACTTTATCGCTTTAAAGTTTTCTATTTTTTCAAAAATGTTCAAAAATTCTTAACGAGTAGTGGGTCGTCAAAAATCGTAAAAAACAACTTGTGTTTATTCTTCATACCCAGCATATTTAAGCATTCTGGCAAGGTAACGATGGTCTGATTCGTTTCCCCTAGCGAGATATTTCAGTGCAAACCAGGCACTTTTTTTTTCTGGCCACCCTGTAGTTATCGACGGCGGGCGATCATTTTTCAAAATTATGATTTTAGAAAAAGTGATTTGCAAAAATCTGAATTTCTGAAAAATGACTCGGCAAAAACTAGGTGCGGTATCTTAGCGCTTTTTCTAAACTTTTACTAAATTCTCTGCCGAGTTAGAAGTGTTATTCGGCCCACCGTCACAAACTTATTCTAAATCTCCCAAAACAAACTTTAACGCGCCTTGAGAGTTCCTTTAAAATTAAAATAAGGAATGGTAGGCTACATATTTCTATCATTCACGTTGTCAACAAACGGTTGTTAATATTTCTGCGTTTCTTCTATACATTCATTTAAAAAGGAATGTATGGAGTAGAGATTAGCCTCTCTCCATCGCGGGTCATTCTTCTTCCAGTTCCCTCCCATGCCCCGAGGCCCCTTCGTGCCAGGCGCCTGCCCTCAAATGATAACGGACCAACCACGTGAGACCCCATAGTACAGCACGATCGGATTTTTGCAATATTTTCGAATCGGAAAAGGGCACGTTTTAGCAAACAGGGCGCCTAAAACCGGATTCTGGATATATCGGCATTTTAAAGCCGAGCTCGACTGTCGAAAATACATATCTCAGTCTTCTCTCTCTCTCTCTCTCTCTCTCTCTCTCTCTCTCTCTCTCGCTCTCTCACTTTCTCTCCCTCTCTCTCGCTCTTGCCCTTCTCGTTCTCTCGCGCTCTCTCTC